TCTCCACTTTTTTGTTGTTGAAAATATTAAAAATGACACAAAATTTTCGAGTCACGTGTCACGTCAAAACAGAATATCCACTTTTTTCCCAGGATTCCTCCGGTTTTTAGCAAAATTTAAAAAGAAAACTGGCTGAAACGGATCAAAGGCACACATATTTTTCTCGTTTGGTCTCGTGCCGATGTGATATTTGTGTAGTTCTCCCGGACGAATTTAAATTTTTTTGGGAAAAATCGTTTTTTTCCGTGTTTTTGCGTTTTCCTGTTGAAATTTTGAGTTTGGGGAGAAAGTTCGATGCTCTTTATCAATTGCGTCACCGAAAGATAGATAAACAGCTGTTTTCTTGTCAAAGAAAACAACTAAACACTTTTTATTTCGAGAAATAGAAATAGATTTTTTGTTTTTGATTTTTTGAACTGTTTTCCTCCTCACTAATTCATAGAATAAGTCGATTCCCTAAAGTAATAAGCGCGTGATGTAAATATTCTCGACCTTACTTTTCTTTCTCGAATTCTCGTTTTAGTTTAGCCCATTCTTCTCTCGTTTTTTCCTCGTCTTGATGCCTCTTAAACTATATTACTTTACACCCAACCATAAATAGATGACAAAAAACAAATGCGCACCACAAAACACATCAAAAATTTCACTTTTTATTTATGTTTCAAGACAATTTTTAATCATCAACATCTTTTCGCTTCTTCTGTCTTCCAGCAATATTCAGAGGAAGAAATGTGATTAGATGGCAATCAAATGAGAACGAAGATCTTTATCTTTCTACAAGTAAAAGTACTTGTTTTCTTTAAGATGGGATGAATTGCGAGACCGTATCTAATTAGTTTTCGATTTTCAACTATTTGAGTTAGGTTTTCTTATCCAAACATTTCAAAAAGTTTAGATTTTTGACAGATTTCCGTTCCTATGAATCATTCTTATCAAGTTCAAACTACAGTTGTAATAATTTATTGTAACCGAAATTCAGCTAAGTTTCAAAATTTCTGAGAACCAGTTGTTTTATTTTTGTTCTCACAAGATCCTTATCTTTTTCAAAAAGAACTTTGTACTTTTTCGAGCAATTTTAATCCACTCATAAATATTTTCTAAAGGAAGTAGGGAAAATATTTTCTTGGTCTTTGTTTTCCCACGCCAAAATATTTTGGCCAGTGGGAAATGTTTGTAGTTTGAACAGACGCTGATTCTTTGATAAAATCATCAAATCCGTATGTTGAATAGTGCAATGCTGATAAAATTATTTTGAAAAAGAGTCAACCCTCAAAAAAATTTGGTTTTATAAAGTGCACATTTTCTTTGGAAGGTCGGAAAATCAGGCCAGGTCCGAAGGGGCCAATTTTTTATCCGAGTCTGACTAAGGGGGATTTTCATATGGAACGGAACCAATTTCTGAAGTTCAGATAAAAATAAGGCTATCCTGGCCCGATTCAAGAAGCCTGAAAATTTCTGCCGTTTTTTCCAGTCCCCCTTATTTTCCCCCGATCAAACTTCTAATTTATGTCAAAAATAAGTTTTTTTGAGAAAAAAACGTGACTTGCTCGACCATTCCAAAAACTTTGTACCAAAAAACAAATACGATAAGAAACGGCAAGACTACAAAACATCTGTCTTTTTCCGTCTTGTAAAAATGTCTTATCTTCAATCAACACAGACTTTGAACATTAAACAAACTGAATTCAGCACGTGGTTATAATTTTTTATTGATAAGAAACTTAGTTGCACCAAAGGTACAAATAGCAAATTGAAAAAGAGAAGAGGTATATTTGAAACCACTCCACTTTACGAAATTCCAGTTTTTGTCTGTCTTCTCAACCATTTTACCACACCTTTCACTTAACATAACATAACTTTCACAGTTTTTTACTACTTGACTGAAAACAGAGATCTTAAAAGAATTCTAGAAGATGTTTCGATGTCCCTTTAATTTTTCCGGCCTAAAAATGAAAGCAAAAATTCGATTAGTGTCAAGCGTTGTGTTTTATTTGCATGCATAATATATAGATTTGGCTCTCTCTTCCCTCCTTGTTGTTTTTTCTTCTGCTGTTGCTGTTTTCTTTTTTTCGCTTTCAGCTAATGGCTATTGTTGTTTTTTGTGTGACATTTTCGTTCCATTTTCTTTCGAACTGGACCTGTCATTGGTTTCTATATTCAAATCATCTTTTGAAGTTTCTATTTTTGAAATCGGTTGATTTTTGGCGAGTGAATTTGAGAGCATCGTCATAAATTTTTGATAGGAACTATTTTTCGAACTTCCGTTCCTGAATTGTTGCGAAAAGCTTGTTTCCGACATTCGGACAGAAAATCTAGGCTCTGAAATTCCAGTCAAATTGAGCCTAGGTTGATTTTGAGCTATGACGTGGATTTTGACTAATCGTTAGATCTTTTTTGCTCCGAATTCATAAGTTCTTTGGCTTAAAAATCTATTTTCTCATTTTCCCTCAGAAAATCCACGTGGTAAAGTTTTTGGCACCTATCCAAATGCTCTTTTTTCCCCGAGATCTCAAATTGTTTTTTCAAGTGCTTGTACATATAAAAATCAAAGTACATAAATTTCTGGATTTTTCATTTTTGCCCTTTGCCAAACACAGAAAAACGGAATTTTTTCTTGTTCAATTCAATTCGATGACAGGTTTATTCTATTCTATTGTATTGTAGTGTTAGAGAGTAATAGTAGTCTTCTGACAAGGTCAAATTTTGGATATTCATTTTTTTCCATTTTATATTATTTTATTGTGAGATTTGGAAAGTGTAGGTTTATGAACTTGTTTAATTGTGGGGTTCGGGCGGTGTTTTTGAGCTCGTACTTTGAAATTATCTCGTCAAAATTTTGGATTTTCGTCACTTTTTCACACAAGATCTATGGCTTAAAAAAATGAAAAATTTTGAGCAGGTCCTCCTGGCATTTTTAAATTTTCTGAGCTTGGAATCCACGTCAGTTTTCTCAAAATTCAGCTCTAAAATCCACGTGGCAAAACTTTTAACATTTCCACCAGAACATCAATTTATTTCACATGTCCGTTTACAAACTTAAATTTCAACCCAGTAGAAGTTGACTTAGAAAATCACAATATAGGGCCCCGTAATCGCCTAATCCCGCTCATCCTGATGTTTTTTAAGAATCTCAACTCTTTCATTTCTATGATTTGAAAAAAAACGATGATTCATCAAACCATCTGTTTTGTTTATTCAAGCTTCGTTCTTCTCACTTTCACCCTTCGAACCTTCTTTTTCATTGTTATAGTCATAAGCAGCAGCAAAATTAACCTTGAAAATGAAAATGGCAGAGGGCAAATCAAGCAAAGGTCAGTAAGTGAACCTCAAAACGGTAAAAGAAAGAGATAGATGATTTAAAGTGATAATTTGTCTATTGTTCCTCCTTGTCTCCTCCTCTTTTTTTTCATCGAGAAAATTGACTGCTGAAATTGATGTTTGTCACGCGATGATTTTTGTTTTTCATTATTAGTTGCGATTTTTCTAACAGAAATTTACTATTTATTTATCATTTCGAATAAGTGTTTTCTTTATTTTCTATTGGCTGAAGGTCTTTTGTTTTTGATTTTTTGGTCTTCAAATTTAGTGGAACTTCTGAAATCATCTCGAAAATTTTCAGAATTCGTCAAACTTCGAAAGTTAAATTTTTGTTGAAAACTAAATGTGATCAGTATTTAGATAAGGTCACGTGGTAAATTTTGAAGGTTTGATTTTTTGAACTGACTAATTTTGAGAGCATCTTCTCACATAAATTCATATTCACTTTCACAAACGTAAGATCGTTTCTATTTTAATTTTTTCCGATTTCCGATTTTCGTTTTCCCACATTAGTCTTATAATAATCCGATTTTCAAAATTCATATTTTCGAAAAATGTGTGAATGTTCTATTTTTGCACTCCGCTCTCCGTTCCTGGTTTTATTCGAAAAAAATATTTTCTATTATTTTTTTTCCACCAGAACACATAACAAAAAACTTGGTGATTCACACGGTTTATGTGTTATTGGACACATTATTTATTTTTGTCACAAAAAAAATGAAAATAAATCAATAGTTCACCCAGCCATAAAACTTTTTTTTGCTGTCGCGACAAAAAATATCCAGCTCTTCCTTCATTTTTCCATATGGCTGTTTTCTATCGAAAGATGAAGCAAACACATTTTAATCTTCTCTAGTTTTTCTCTACCAATATTCACCTCGTTTTTTTTCTTGCAGAAAGAAAAAACGAAACATGTCTTCGAAAATCCATTAGTCGCCGAATTCCCCGAGGAGTTCAAAAAGAACGCACGCGCGTGCCAAAATAGGTAGTAATGACCTTGTGTCTTGTTTTGTTCTCGGCAGAAAAGAAAATGTTCGGGTTTCCCCGTTTCTATTTCACATTTCGGTTTTTTTTTCTTCGAGAAGGAGATTTTCGTTTTGTAGAGCTTACCTGCTGTGTACCAGAGTACAATTTTCAGTTTTTTCTGAAAATTCGTATATAATAGTCTCATGACGTGGCATTATTTTCATCGTCACTTCGTAAGTCCTGAAGATTCGATCTTGAAAATCAACCTAACTACAACTTTTCTCTGAAAACCGTCCTCCCAAATGAATAAATAAATATCTTATTTGCTCTCACATAATAATTCGATTGTGTCAAGAGAAAAACCCAACAACTTTTTGTTCTCTTTCAAAAAGTTTTTTTTTTCTGCCTTCGTGCTTTTTGCCTGCCTACTTCAAAAGAAAAGTAAATAATCTTGTGGTTTTTATCCCAGTAATTTTGTGCAGCTTTGTATTAGATTCTGAAAGAATATTCGAGAAAATCTATTTTTCAAAACGAAACTCATAGTTTTTTTTTCTAAAGGCACGCCCATTTTTTGCTGGACCCGGCGTGCTTATTTTTGCTGTTGTTGTTTATGATACACATTTTGTGTGGTATCTATCACATGTACTTTTTGCCGATTTTTATATTTTTTGGTTTTTTTTTTCAGCAAAAAAAACTTCAATTTGTTTGAGATATAAATGGCACGCTGGACAGTTCATCTTGAAGGTGGTCCCCGTCGTGTAAATCATGCTGCTATCGCCATAAATTCGGATATTTTTTCGTTTGGCGGATATTGTAGTGGTGATGGACAGGATCAGAGACAATTTATTGATGTGCATGTGTTGGATACGAGTGTGTTGTTTTTGGGCAGGGATTGGGGGGAAAAAAATCTGCCAAAAATATATTGATAAATAATTTCTATATTTTTAAATCCTGAAATTGTCAAAAAAAGTTATTTGAAAATTTTTACGGCTAAGTAAAATATTTAGAAATTGTAATTGTGAGTATAACTCTCAAGAAAAATAGACAAAGTTTACAAAGACTTTTTTGGGATCTTAAAATTTTAGATCCCATTTTCAAGAAGAGTTCAATATTGTTTTCTGAGTAAATTTATAACCAAAAAACTCCCGTATTTTTGTAAGTTTTGTAAAAATTCAAGGACCACTCTAAAAATAACTTCTAAGAATTCTAGATCCAAATCAGTGAACTCTATTTATATTGTTCAAAATTTTTGTTTTACCCTGTGTCTGAAATTTCTAAGCGAATCAAACACCAGTGAGCAAAGAATTTTTAATTTGAGAAATTGCTTCCTGTAGAATTTTCCTGATTATTTAAAATGTTCACCAAAACCATCTGAACCATGTGTTCTTCTTTCCTTTGCCAAACAACAGAAATTTTCATTCAAAAAAAAAACCGAGAAGATAAAGATCTCTAAATTCGTATATTCTTTTGTTCTTCCGATGGCAAAGGTCATGCCATATTTCATTGTTGTAAATTTCTGAATTAGGGATTTTCAGCCAAAAACCTCATATTTTCAGCAACTTATCGATGGGCACGTGTTCAACACTCGAATCAGACTTTCAACAGAAGAGATGCGTTTTTGGTGAGTGTTTCTTTGAATTTTCTTCTAAACCAGAAATTCAAATTCATTGTTTTTCAGGACGTTTCGATTGGAAATGACGCTGATGTTGGCGGTGAATTTTCGCAGAAAAACGAGGTTCCTTATCAAAGATATGGTCATACTGTAGTTGGACACAATGGAAAAGCCTATCTTTGGGGTGGAAGAAATGATGATTATGGAGCCAGTAATTTGATGCATGAATTTGATCCGGGTAGGCATTTTTGAGGGGTTGAAGATTTGAAATTGGTTGGGGAGAAACTGGGAAAAAAATTATTTTGAAAATTGTCGGACCAGAAGAAATCTTGATTCTTGTCCCAAATATTCAACAAATTGTTTTGTGATGGTCAAAGATTGTCTGATTTCATATCATCTTATCAAATTTGAAATAAATTGATATTTATCTAATTTGATTGATGTTTTTGTCGAAAATTTTCAACACAAACTTTTTTTTTCAGAATTTTGGGGTTTTGAAAAAACTACAGAATCATGAAACCCTTTTTTCAGTAACCCTCAGATGGCGAAAAATGGAAATTGTGGGTTTCATCCCGCCAGCTCGCGACGGACACACTGCAGTTATGGTCAATAATAAAATGTTTGTATTCGGTGGATTTGAGGAGGAATTGCAGAGATTCAGTCAGGAGACTTATGTTTTTGATTTTGATACGAATCGATGGGCTGAATTTATGACTATTGTGAGTTTTTTTGGGGAGAGGATTTGATGGAAAAATTCAACCCTGGCACAGTTTTTTATTTACAAAAAATAATAATATGAGACTTGGAAAATGAAATCACAATACAAAATTTGGTGACCCATTTTTTGTTGAAAAAAGTTTCTGGAAATTTTCAAAAAAAAAAACCAGAAAATCCATTCTAAAATGCAAAGCCCTGAATTATTTTCAAAAAAGTTTCAAGTTTCACAAACCCATTTTTTGCAGAACACGCCTCCAATTTGGCGTGATTTCCACACAGCAGCCGCAATCGACAACAAAATGTATATATTCGGCGGCAGAAGTGACCAAAGTGGTCAGGTCGGTGACGAGCACTTGGTACGTGTGCAGTGATTGTGTTTTTGTCGTTTAACCCACTTATTTTTTCTCATTTTTTGAAGCCCTCCTTCCCCCTTTTGCCCCCTCCCCCCTTTTTCAGCATGTCCATTTCGAGGTGTTTTCGTTTGGGAAATATGGTTAACTTTGGTATGGTGGTTGGAATTGAATGTGGTTTTGATCTAGCTTATTTTCTCTAACTCATTGTCCTTGTCAGAATTAACCTTTTTGGTTGAAAATGATTTGGAGATGGTTTTTTACCTTCTCCAAATTGCACCCTTCACCCCCTATCATTTTCAACTTCTCAATTCAATTTTTCGTATTTTAGTTCCACTCTACTAACGATATTTATGATGATAAATTGATGATGCTTGACTTGAAAACTGGAAAATGGAGTGAAGTTGAAGTGTTTGGCACAGCTCCAGGAGGTCGACGAAGTCATTCAGCATGGGTTTATAATCAAAAAATGTACATGTTTGGCGGATATTTGGGATCGAAAAACATCCATTACAATGAATTGTATTGTTTTGAGCCAATGACTTCAACATGGTCAATTGTTGGATGTTTTGGGGAATATCCGAGTGCGCGAAGACGGCATTGTACTGTTGTTGTTGGCAATCGTGTTTTCTTGTTTGGTGGAACTATGCCAAGTGGATGTGGAAATGGAGCAGGAAATGGTGGGATTATTCCGCAAATTTCGACAAGTGGATTGGCTGATTTGAGCGATATGCATGTTTTGGATTATGGTGAGTGGTTTTGGGGACAAAAAAATTGTAAAATTCTGACAATTTCATTCAAAACAGGCCTGTGCCGTAAAATCAAAACCCGGAAAACGGGAAGTCGGAAAATTTCCGGATTTTTTGAATCGGAAAATCCGGAAAGTGTTTCAAAGTCTCTGAAATTTCGATTTTCAGCCTTAAGTTGGCACTAAAACTAATTTTTATCTACAATTTTTCTATTCACAGGAAATTTAGTAACTATTTGAGACGTTTTACGTTCAAAAATAGTGAAGTTTGAAAAATTGAAAAAAAATTGCAAAAATTTCATTTTTTCTCTCATAAACTGAGAAAATTTCCCAAAATTTAGGCAATTTTGAAAATATTACTACCAAAGATCATTTTCCGGATTTTCCGAGCACGACACAGGCCTGAAAATTTGAAAAATGCGTTTCTCATTCGCAAAAAAAATTGTAAACGATTTTTTATATCAAAATTTCTAAAAATCAGTTCGCTTAAAAAATATTCACCTTTGAAAAACATTTGTATCTGAAAAGTTCTAAATTTCCACGTCATAGCACCAAAATCTCTGAAATTTTCCAGCTCCAACTCTCAAACAACTCGCATTGATGCAAGTCTTGAATCAAACCACAAAACAAGCGGCAACTGAAATTTATCAAGGATTCAAATATTTGTTGCCACTTGATGTTAGGTATGTTTATTTCTGGCTTCAATTTTCTGATTTTCATCCCATTGATAAATATTTTCAGAGAAGAAATGTATTGGATGACGACGCCCAACAAGCTGAATCAACAAACACAACAAAGATTTGAGAATTTTGGATAATTTTTCAACTCATTTTTTTTGGCTCAATCCCCTTGGTTTCTTACCTTTCCTCAGGCCCTTTTCTATCATTTTCTATGTAAAATTCGTGTATTTTTGCCAATTTTTCTTATGCTCACCCTGGAAATGTTTTTTACGGGTTATTTGAGAATTTTTTAACGCTATTCGGATTTTGTTTGTAAATTTTGAACATAAATATATTATCATTGAAATTTGTAAAGAAGGATGTTTTTGAGAAAAGTTGAGAATTTCGCAATTTTATCTATACCTATTCGAAGTGAGAAAATGCGCCCCATTGGACGCTTTTTTTCAGAGCTGGCTGATTTCGTTTTTTTTTATCTTTGGGGATTTATACGAGTACAATTAACAGCTACTTATCATTTTTTAGAATTATTGATTGGGTTTTGAGATATGGGTGAGTTTTTTGGGGAGAGGGAGTTGTGAAATTTGAGAAAATTTGGAAAAAAATGGACTGGAAATTCAAAAAACTCTAAAAATTTTATAAAAATGGCTGATTTTCGCTGAAAAATTCCACGTTTTCAATTTTCAAAATACATTTCCAGTTAATTTTCAAACATCACTTGAAAACTATTTTAAAAAATTAGGTCTAACAAAATCCACCTTGAATTCGAAATATTTAAAATTCGAATTCTTCTCAAGCCTAAAAATATTGTGTTTTGCGTCAAAATTCTCGAAACGTGGAATATCCGAAAGTTTTTCAAAATGTTTTATTTAATTCTAAATTGAAATTTCAAATTGCCACGTTATAGTTCAAGTTCAAAATAAAAAAAAACAGGTCTAACAAAATCCACCCCAAATTAATTTTGCAGGTTCAACAACATCAACACTTTTGATCTCGATCCTTCTCCCATTTTCCTACGTGGCTCTAGTCAATCTATTCGATTTCGATGGAACAAATCGAGAAGATCGCAAATCTATCAAAAGAAGGTGAATTTTGGGTTTCCCCCGAAATTTTCACCCGAAAAACCCTCTTCTTCCAGAATATCCGGCGCAATTCTAACCAATATTCTAACAGTTGGTCTAACTTATTTTTTTCTTGCCGATTTCACCACAGAACCATGGAAAGATATGGGATTTCGATGCGATCAATTGTATGAGGCTGTGAAGTTTCCGATTTTATTGATGTTTTCGTTGTACTTCGGACAGTTTGTTATGATGCATATTGATCGAACTCTTTGGCATTATGTTGGTGAGCAATTTTGGATGAAAATTTTGAAATATCTTTAGAAAATTGATTTTTTTGGAAATATAGAATATAACTTTAGAACTCAGAATTTCTACTTATTTATTTAGAAGAAGCAAGTCTTTTATGACAATTCCAATATTTTCCAATATTTTTTCATTCGCAAAATTCCAATATTTTCCAAAAAAAACATCAAGTTAAAATGAGAAATCTGAAGTTTTTGTCACCCAAAATACCACCCAACCTTATCTGTTTTTTCTCAGACTACCATGAATGGCGATCTTGTCTAACAAATCTATCCTGGTTTCGCGATGTTATAATTGGACCAATCACCGAAGAAATCGTATTTCGAAGTTGTTCATCAGCTCTAATGTTTTATTGTTTGGGTTTCAAATGGACTTGTTTAATGGCTCCACTTCCATTTGCTGCTTCACATTTACATCATATTTTTGATGATCAAAGAAGAGGACATTCATTGGCACATTCGATTATGAGAAGATGTGAGATTTTTCCGAAACGTAGTAATTTTTTTGAATCTGATAATTTTTTCAGTTTTCCAATTCGGATATACCTATATTTTCGGCGCCTTTGCAACATATCTCCATCTTTCAACTCGAAATATTCTGGTTCCAATCATCGCCCACTCGATTTGCAATTCTCAGGGACTTCCACTAATTCATGAGATTTCAAATTATCCCAAGTATTTTGATCGATTAAAATTGTGGATTTCTTATTTATCAGGAGCCACAATGTTTGGTTATTTATTGTACACGAAAACGGGAATGCCTAGACCATGATGATTTTAAAAATTGAAATGTGATATAAAGATTTTTAACTGGGTTTTGTACGTTTCAAAATTTGAATATAATTTGAAAGGAGTTATGAAATTAGTAACTGTTGGAATAGTTTTCAAAGCTCTTGAACGATTCTGAAAAATATAAATAGATGTTTTTCAGATAAAGAGAGATTTTCAGCTTTGGCTGAAATGTTTTTTGGTACAAAATAATTGGGTCAAACTAGTTTTAGAGAAAGTGAAAAATCAAACTGAAAACAATGAAAATGTTGGTTATTTTTGAAAATTTTGTTGTCAAACGGTGTGAAAATATTTTCATTATCAGATTTGCAAAATTGTAAACATTTTGGGTCGAAGGTCATAAATATCTATATATTTTTGAACGAATTCTTGAAAACTGTAATTTCAGAGACTATTTTCTAGCTACAAAACAATTTGTAGCTCACAATTCACTTCAAGAGCCCCCCCCCTTCTACAAAATTGATCTACTACTCGTAGCCATCCCCTAGAATTACTTTGTTCCCATTTCCCACTACAATCTACCCATCCCACATGTGTTATAAAGATAACAGCAAAGAGACGCAGACAATTCGTCTCTCCCTTCTCATTTTGACCCATGATTGGCCATTCTTATTTTTTTTTGATCGTTTGGCAACATTTGTATTTTATGTTCAAATTGGTTCTATTTTTGTGTGTGTGGAATTTGACCTCGGGTTTTTGGGTTGAAAACTGATAGTTTCAGATTCTACCAGAATTTTTTCCAACTTCAAAAATTACCCCAAAAGCTCATTTCCTTGTTCCCAGTTTATCTTCATTTCCGCAGCTTTTCAGAATGTCAACATTTTCTCGTCAAGAGCAACTTCCAAGTCTCCCAGTTCCACCATTGCGTCAAAGTTTGGAGAGTTACGTCAAATCGGCCAGCGCACTTTTGAGTCCAGAAGAAGTTGTCAAACTTCGTGAAGATGTTTTAAAATTCGAGAATTCCAGCCTCGCTGATATTTTGCAAAAGGCTCTCGAGAATCGAGCAAAATCGCATCGCAATTGGGTGAGTACTTTTCTTATCAGAATGACTTCCTTGGTCTAAAAACAATTTGTTTTGGTGATAAGGAAAAGGTCAACATTCACTCACATTTTTGAATATTTTCAGCTCGAAGATTGGTGGTACAATGTTTATACCGAAGATCGTCACGCGCTTATTCCATTTGTCAGTTTTGGCGCATTGAATACTTCTTATACACCAATTGATGGTGGACAAATTTCAAGAGCTGCTGATGTTTTGCATCATTGGATAGCTGTTTGGGATAGGATTAGAAAGTAGGTGATTATTACCAGAATAACAATATAAAATGTATTATTTCTTGGGGCAAACTTCGTGAAATTAACAAGGGACATAATGATACAGCTTTTTGAGGGAAGTTGTAAATACACTTTTGGGTGAGATTATAAATAGTTTGCTACAAAAATGTTCGAAGGGGTGATTATATGCGATAAAATACAAATTCTTTCTTGGTACACGAATATTTTACATGTTCTTCCGGTTGCCGTTGTTATTGTTGTTCGAATATGCACGACGATTTGGGCAGTTTTTCTCGGTATGAGCTGCGCTTTCAGTAGCACCGCAGATTTTGCAGCTGTGGAACCAGAGAAGTGGGCATTTGATGCTTCCCTGATAAGCCAATGAGTGAGATGACCAAACGCCAAATGAATCCTTATCCGGAGCGGGAAGATTCTTCTCCGCGTAGCGGATTTTGACGAGGTTCCAGCAGAATGAGCAGCAATTGGCTCTTGGCTGTTGAGCACGGCTTGTTTCTGGGGAAGTTTGCTGGAAATAATTAACTGCATAAGCTTTTGTTCGATTTTTCGTATCAGACTAACCGAGTTTTGCGAAACATCCAATCTCACGCTTGATGATCTGTTCATGTTGTTATATAGAGAAGCATCAATTCTTCTTCCAGTATTTCCAGCAGCTGGTTGATTCCGTCTGTCGCTGAACAGATTTAGCTGAAAAACAGGCCATTTTTGATGAAATCGCAGAAAAAAGAAAACTCACCTTGTTCATTATTAGTAGTTCGAACTTCCCCGTGGGATTTTTAGTGAGTAAATTCAGCGAATCGAGCAAACTTCTTCGAAAAACAGAGCGAACAAGAATAAAAATATTTGAAATTTCAGAACCGCGAAACCGCCCGCGACACGCAACGCGTCAACGGAGTATCGTTGTTTTACTTTTATTTCGGGGGCAAACATAAAAAAAACCGTTTTTTTGGCGAAACGAGAATAATTGTCGTACTTTATCGTAACTTTGATAAACATAAGTGCAATAACTTTATTGCGTGTCTGTTGATTCATAAAATGTTTCTTGTTTTCAGCGAAAAATGGCCAATCACATCATCTCGCGGAGTTACCTGGGATATGGTGCAATTTCACCAGCTTTTCTCGTCCAATCGAACACCACATCGACCGAATGATTCAATGGATAGATTTTTCAAGACAAGTGAGTTTTTTATTGGGACGGTTTTTGAAAATGCTGAATTCGGCTTGAAAAAGGTCACGCAAAAGGTGAAAAAATGACATTTCTACTAATTATGTTCAAAAAGTGATATTTTGTAGAAACTGAAGGTGTTGCTCCTCATCATGTTATTGTGAATTGCAATGGTGTTCTTTGGAAAGTCGACATTCTCAACTCGAACAATGAGATCAAATCAGCTGATGAATTATACGCGATTCTCAAATTTATCGAATCCAATTCGATCGATCAGAAGAAGTATAGTGTCACAAAACTGACAACAACAGATCGTGACACTTGGGCTCAAAATCGTGATGAACTTTTGCGAGTTAGTGCAAGAAATTTGGAAAATCTTCATGATATTGAGACAAGCATTCTGTTTCTAACTCTAGCTCCAGGAAAAGCTGGAGATCAATCGAGTTTTATGAAGACTGTTTTGTTGGATGAATCATGGATGACTTGGCAGGATAAAAGTGTATCTTTGGTGATTTATCAAGATGGACAAGTTGCCACACAAGGAGATGTGAGTTTTTCTCTCAAAAATGTTCCCTTTTCCAATTCAGCTCACCTAATTTGTTCTATACCTTTTTTTTTGCACAATTTCCGGAGTTCGCCCACAAATTTCCTGAATTTTCTGAAATAAATCAGAAAGTTCAAACTCCAAATTGAAGTTTCATCAGTTTAAAATGAAAAATGTTTTCAGCACTCAAACATCGATGCGATTGTTCTTCTTCAAGTCGGAGATTATGTGGCTGAGAGAGTTCGAAAAGAACTATGGCATCCTTGCAAACTCGAAACCTTCCAAACTCCACTTCGACTCGATTTTGAGCTCAGCGAGCATTTGAGAAATGAGCTATCCTTAGCGGATGTATCCTTTTATAAAAATGTAATTTTTTTATCCAAAAAAAAAAACATTTTGATATTTTTTTTCAGAAACGTTTGTATCGCGCCCGTCCAATTCACTACAGTACATATGGAAATGATTTGTGTCGAACTGCAAAAGTCTACACGGATACTGTAATTCAAATTGCACTTCAATTAGCTTACGTTAGAACTCATGGAATGTTTGCACCGATTTATGAAACTGCTTCAACCCGGAAGTTTTATCATGGAAGAACTGAAACTGTTAGAGGATGTACACCGGAGTTTGTGAGATTTGCGAGATTGATTTTAGGAGAAGAGAAGGAAGAAACAACTTCAGCGAAGGTATTATTCGAGGAGGCTATTTTGGCGCATAATAAATTGATGGCTGATTGTATGGATGGAAATGGTAAGGATTTTTTAGCTCTGATTTTTGATTTTCCTCCTATTTTCATCAAAAAGTTCACTTAACCTTGACGTAACCGAAAAAATTAATTAAATTTTTTATAAATAAAAAATACCGGAAATTAATTGCTTTCGATTTTTACTGTCAAAAATAGCTTTTTCCTCAAACTGCCACGCGTTTTTTTTAAACCAACAAGGAATTAAATTTTTGATGAAATTCAGCTGCACGTCATTTTTTATCGCTCCAAAGGAAAAATGTTTTTAGGTCTCCAGAGACTTTTGAAAACTTCTTTTGTTTCAAAGAGCACTTGAGCAAAAATGTTCAAAAAATCGCAACAAAATGTCTATTTATTTTTCCTTCCAGGCTTCGATCGTCATCTTCTTGGCCTCAAAAAAACGCTGGAAATAATGAACAAAGGGTGCGGTCCAAAATGGGCTGTGCCCGAATTTTTGCAAAATGAAACGTGGCGTCGCCTGGGTGGAAATGGCAATTTCTTGCTGTCAACCAGTTTCATTGGATATATGACTGGAAATCAAGTGGGAACAATTGGATACGTGGCAGCGATGAGAGCCGATGGATATGGATGTTTTTATCGAATTGGCAAAGATCGAATTTCGGTGGCTGTTAGTGATTGGGCTGGAACACGATCCAATATTGATGCGTTTTCGGGAAATGTTGTTTGGGCATTGGATAGATTGCAAGAATTTATGAGTGGAAAATCAAAGATGTGAACATTTTTGGTATTTTTCAATGTATTTATATTATTTTTGCTGAATGAAGAAAAAGCAGAACTCAAGATTGTCATGTTCATTCGACTTCCGATTCGAATTTTTTTTTGGCAAAAGTTCACTGGAAAATTTTTCAAGGAGTTTGGAATGAGAGAGAAATTCTGAACTTCAAAGTTTTTTTTTCGAGAATTCTGGAATTCTGTAGCTACCACTAAAAATGTCTAAAAATAATGGATTTTGAAAATTTCCACGTTGCCAAGAGACCTCTTCATTTTTCATGTACGTAAAATTTGTATTCGAATTTCAAATTCAATTTTTCTCCCAGTCTCCTGAATAAAAAATCGCGTGTCTGTTGATTAATAAAAACCGCTACAGCGAGAAAAAAAACATAATATTTTTGTTATGACAAAGCTTCCATAAATTTTTGAGGATTCGATTCCTTTTTATTTTTGGCAAAGATCATTTTTGTGTTTTGTTCTGCTCTCACAAAATTAGTATTCTCAGCGAGAGAAAAAGAAAAATTATTCCCGGTTCAGACAAAATTCAATTAGCTGAAATTAATTCTTGAGTACGAAAAATGAAACATTCATGAGGTTTCTTTTTTTTTCTTCAATTTTTTGAAGTAAAAAAGTTCCGGGCGATTTTTAGAAGCTAAAAAAATGGGCGTGGCCTATTATTTCAATGATATAAAATCCTCCCATTTTTCTCATTTCGTCTATTTTCTGTTGTTTTTTTAAAACTGAATTTTGTGGATTTTTCAGATGTCTCGCTTTTTGGTGATTTTGCTGGTTTTGACAGTGATTTTCGTCGGACTCACTGTGCAATTCAGTTTGGACAAAAGAGGTAGGCAAAATTGTGTTTCGCGCCGAAAAAAAAATTCAAAAATTTGGAATTCTAGGAGCCGCCTGGTTCATGCGAACAAATTGGAGACCACCATCGAAACGCTACATCCAAGTTTCAGATGACAATAAGAATCCGAGCGGCCTGACTGCCTACGATCAATATTTGCTTTATTGATATCGATTTTTGAGCATAAAGTGATTTATCAGTTGATTTTGGGTTTTTTAGGCAGAAACTTCTGTGACGTGGCAAAATCCACGTCATAGTTAAATATGTTCTACTTAAAAGCATCTTCAAAATTATGTGGTTTTGCTCGTTATTGAATTTGAAATCCTTCTTTTGCGATGAAAAAAAAAGGAATTTTTGCTTGGAAATTCGAGATTTGTTTTTTTCAATGGAAGCCAGAAAATTTATTTATTTTCATTTGAAAAAAAAACACAAAACATAATTCTTTGTGAATTTAATAGATGAAAATGTGATTTGTAATATTTGGTATAAAATGAAAACACTGAATTTTATTGAAGAAATATTCAATGAAGCTTCAGGATTTTTCACTCACATTGAACCGTACTCACAAGGTTGAAAAATAGAAATCATAAAAATGAGAAATAAATAAAATTTTGAAGAACGCAATGTTACTGTAGGTTGTATTCCTAATCTGGGATTTTTGGATTTATATTTGAAAAGCTAAAAAAAATCTAAAGCTACTTTTGTTGAAAAATTGAATTTCAGAATAACTGTAGCCTGAAATAAATAATTTTTTATTCGAATATTTATATTTAAATGGTTACTTGAAAATCAAAATAAACAAGGAAAATCAATTTTAGACAGAAAAACTTTACTTTCATCTGAAAAAGCGTTTGCCTAGAAAAAAAATTCAGACGATTCAAAACTTCCTTAGAGAAGCTATAAATCACTGGAATCAAGTTACTGTAGCTTCAATGATTAATCTTGTTCAAAAAACTAATCTCCACATTCTTCTGTCAAAAAGTACATACCTAAAGTCTAACATTAACAGCTTTAATCTCCCGATCAAAATCATACTGATGTTTTTTTCCCGCCTAATCCTATTCTTTTCAACTGTATAGTTTCATCAACTTACATTAGAAAAGTATATAAACAGAATAAACATAATCCAAGGAATCATATTTGGTCCTAACTTAAAAAAAATTAAAGTATACGGTACCGTTTCAAATAATTATGAAAATACCATTGGCTACTGTAGCCGCCGAATATGTCGGATTTATTGTTGCATTTTTCGCGAATATCTTCTTGATATTCTTAATCGTCACTCAAACTCGTCAAAACTTTGGAGCATATAAGAATTTGATGTTATGGTTCACCGTATTCTCACTTTGGTATTCTTTCATTGATATTTTGACACAACCTGGAATGCATTCCTACAAAAATAGTTATATTGTTTTTTGTGCAAGTTGGTTCAAATATCATCAATTATTGGCACCAATTATTATAAGTAAGGGTTTTTTTTTAAGGAAATCAGGGCGTGAACATCAAAATTCGGACTTTTTTCCAGCTTCTTACTGTACTTCTTATGGTCTCACATTAGTCCTTCTCGCAATTCATTTTATTTATCGATTCATTGCAATTAGTCGTCCAAATCAAATGTATTATTTCAAATATCCACGTGTTTTTCTTTGGCCTACCGTATTCATAACAATTGCAATATTTTGGTGGTGTAATGTATATTTTTTCTTGGGAAGAAATCAAGTGATCGATGAATATATGCAAAAAAGTATTGAGGAAAATTATGAGGATGATATCAGAAAATTATCATATATTGGTCCTCTTTATTTTGTAATTAAGACTAATTAAATTTATAGAGAAAATTCGATTTTTTAGATCATTAGTCCTGGTGGAAAAATTGAGATACAATGGAAAAGTTGTGTTGGAATGGCGAATGTTTATACGATTGCAGCCACTACTTTTGTTTTGATAACAACTTTGGGTTTAGGAATTTATAAAAAAATGCAATCGGTGCAATCTTTGATTGCTCCGAAAACTCGAGAACTTCAAAAACAATTATTTCACTCATTGATTGTTCAGACAATTGTCCCCATTATTTTCATGTATACTCCCACAACTATTCTCTTTATCGCTCCAATTTTTGGAATTGAATTGGGAAGTATGGCAAATATAACATCGATTTGTCTTGCATTATATCCAGCTTTAGATCCTCTTGTTGTTATGTATTTTATTCGTGATTATCGCAAATATATCATCAGTGAGTGTCAGAATTTTTTAAAAGTATTTTCTAGTTTTTTCCAGAGCACATCACATTTTCTAACAATGTTTCATCAACTCGAAATGTGACACATGATAAATGATTGATTTTTTTTTGAATATTCATTATGAAATACATAAATACTATCATAAAAATTTGGAAACTTTTTCAATACTGTAATTATAGAGTTGCTCGCTGGCTTGATCATTTTTGGCAAGTTCAGATTCGTTGGCAAGTTTGCAGTCTCTGCAAAATCAAGGTATTCCAAAGAGAAAATCTAAATTTCAACTCACACAAAATATTTTCCGGAAACTCGCTCAATTTTCGTGCTCAGCGCCACATATAAAACAGTTTGGGCACCATCGAGTGGAGTTTTCAAGAAAATATTGGCAAAAAATCGGGAGATTGAAATGACAACTGGCTTTGCGAATACTGTGTTTCGCAATAAATCAGTGTTGACAACTCCTGGATGGAGAGAGTTTACGGTGACTGAAGAATTGGATTGTTCGAGGCGGCGAGTAAGGTGGCGAGAATAAAGAATCTGGAAAAATCCGAAAAATTTTGAAAATAGAAACGAGCAGCGTGGCCAAGTGGTTGCGTGTCTGTCTACTATTTTCATAACCAGGGTTCGACCCCAACCCCCAACTCACAATAGCCACTTTACTTTCCCCATAAGAGTTCCAATCGCCAAAATGATTTTCATAATTGATTTTCTCATAATCCAATTTCTTAACTCTCTCATGAATATCCGAAGAAACATTCACAATTCTTCCGCCATTTTCTGATTTTTTAATAGCTGGCAACAACAATTCGGTGAACAAGAATGGTCCCAAATAATTGGTTTGCCACGTTTTCTCAAATCCATCTCCTGTCATTTCGAATTTCGTCATCAAAACAGCCGCATTGTTCACCAAAATATCGATATGATTTTCTAGTCGAAGTATTTCATTCGCCGCATTTTTGACACTTTCGAAACTTGTGAAATCGCATTGAATGAATTGAAGACGCGATGATTCACAGCCAAGATTCACGAGTTGGGTTTTTGCAGATTCTGCATTTTTCGCACTTCGACATACCATGTAAACCTAGAAATTCAATTATTTTAGAAAATTCTAGAAGACCTGTTTTCAATTTTAAAAAAAATTTGGTCGATCAAGAACTTTATCCAAGAAGTTAATTTCCTTTCAGAAAAAATCTTGGAATAAAAAATTTTGATTTTTAAAAATATCTCACCTTTGCTTTTCTCAAATTCAGCTCTTTAGCCACTTCAAAACCAATACCAATATTAGCACCAGTCACCACAGCCACATAATTATCAATAGTCACATTTTCAGTGAATTTTCCGCTCTTCGAACACATTTTTTCTGAAATAATAAAAGTTTCAAATGAAAATGGGCGTATTCATAGAAAACTTGTTGACTAATTGAAAACACACCACATTGTGTGCATAGACCACGTTTTTGAAAAAAAAATTATTTTTGTGAAAAATAAAAAAACATGGATGAGTTTCACACCAAGTTTTTCACCAAAAAAATTTCTATTTTTGAAAAAAAAATTTTCAACCAGTTGGAAAAACCAAAAAAAAATGTTGAAAAATTATTGTTTTTTGCTATTTCTTCGCACAGACCACGTTTTTTGACTGATCAGAGACCACAAAATGAAAGAGAAAAGTAAATATTATTTTGGAAACATAGGAAAATATGACTAACAAATTGAGTTTATATAATTCTACTACAGTAAAATGAGGAGTACGGTAACTTTTTTATTAGAGTTATTTAAAGAAAATTCAAGAATTCTTATTTGAGTTCATTTAGGGGCTAGTTTAGAATTTGGAACGTTAGTGCATCTCCCAAAAATTTCGAGATTGGACTTTTGGTTTAGTTTTTTTAATTATAAAATTTTTGAGGGGTCTAAAAATTTGGGTTTATTGAACTCATTGAAAAAAGATCTGAATTTTTAAAATGAAAACAGCAAGTATTTTTAAAAGGGAAATTCATTCATTTTTTCAGAAGCTTTAGAATTTTCCATAATTTTTTTACTAGGGGCTGTTAGCCCCCAGGCGTAACTGTCTTCTCATTTATTTCAGTTTCACTTTTTTCTGTGATTATTGTCCACAGAACATTGACTTACAATCAAATTTATAGAAAATTTCAAATTTTTTGATCGAAAAATGACTCGTGGCAAAATCAGGAAGGCTTCCTAATTTTGCCATGGATGACGTCATCGATCAATTTTTGAAAAAAAAAAAACTTATTTAATTATTTTTTCGAATTAAGTGTACTCGTAAATTCAAATTTTGACAATAAATATTTTTCCACGTGAACTGATCATATCTCCCCAGCCACGTAATCATTCCACGTCATTTTGATCTTATCTTCTCGCTATAAAAACCCCTCCCAAAGCCTTATTCATTAACCCATCGTTCAACAATGGCTCAATCTGTTCCACCAGGAGATATCCAAACTCAACCAAACGCCAAAATCGTCTTCAATGCTCCATACGACGATAAGCACACTTATCACATCAAAGTGATCAACTCATCTGCTCGTCGTATTGGATACGGTATCAAGACAACCAACATGAAGAGATTGGGTGTTGATCCACCATGCGGTGTTTTGGATCCAAAAGAAGCTGTTCTCTTGGCTGTTTCATGTGATGCTTTTGCTTATGGACAAGAAGACACCAATAATGATCGTATCACTGTTGAATGGACCAACACTCCAGATGGTGCTGCCAAACAATTCAGACGTGAATGGTTCCAAGGAGACGGAATGGTTCGCAGAAAGAACTTGCCAATCGAATACAATCCATAATGAGCAGGACAAAACCAATAATCTTGTTCTCTTTCAAAAAGCAATAAATATTTTTTATTGAAAAATGTTGTGTTTTCTAATTTTTTGATGAAGCCTCGGCAGCTACAGTAATCTAACTTTTTTCAGTGAAAATAGTAGATAAAATTTTGAAGAACGCAAAAAATTCTTCTTTGACTAGAGGCTGTTAGCCCCCAGGCAGGACGGTATTTTTCTTAAAGACATTTTTTTTTGGAAAAATCAGGAATTGTTTTTTTTAACACTGTTAAAATTTATTTGAACTCATCTTTATTTTTTCGAAAAATTCTTTCAAAAATTGAAATTTTCAATTTTTTCACAATCAAACGTGACCTATTTTTGCTTTCCACGTGGAACAAAAATATTTCAAAAAACTGTCAGATTTATCAAACATTCCTTAATTTTCCAAGCATGCGATTCACTCTTTCTGCAATTATTCTAGCAATTTTTTTGGTGCAAGCATTCAGTGCTCCATGTCGAACAGTCGGTCCAAAACGAGCTACTAAAAAAACAACAAAAAATGCTGGCGATACAACAAGGTTTGAAAGAAAACATTTCCAAATTGAAAATATTTAATTCAGATCCATCCAAACTTCCAAGCCCTCGGAAGCTACAACACAAACATCTGCAACAGCTTCGACAACAAAAGCTTTAATAGTTAGTACAACATCGATAATAGAACAAACCACAACTCTAGCGCCAGAAATTTCAACCAAAAGACCTGGTTTCAATTGGACAATTCCAACAGGTCCATCTTTTCCAGGATTCAATGAAACTATAACATTCTTGAATAAAACAATTGCTGGATTCAATGGAACTATACCAGATCCAATTTGGTCAGTTATACCTGGATATAATGAAACTCTGAAGTTCTTCGAAAAAAATATACCTGGATTTAATGGAACTTTGCCGGATCCATTTTGGCCAGCAATTCCTGGATTTAATGAAACTCTAGAATATTTGAATAAAACGATATCTGGATTTGATATCAATCTTCCATTCTCAAAATTGCCATCTCTTAATGAAACCATTCCTGGATTCAAGGAAACTATGGATTTCTTGAAGACTACTATTCCAAACTTCAATGGAACACTTCCATATCCATCTTGGCCATATCCACCTTGGTTTCTACCGGATGGCAGATTACCTGATATCAATATAACTGTGACACTTCCACCACTACCAATTACAGCTCCACCAATTGTAGTTAACTTGAATTCGGACTCGAGAATCAAGCAAGCTGAAGTCTCCAATCTTCAATTTCTCCTGAAGTCTCTCGTCGACGAGAATTCGATTCTCAAAGAGAAATTAGATCTTGCTCGAGCTTATTTAGCTGGTCATTCAGAGGTTTGTTGTTTTTCTAATTCAAAAAAATAATATCGAATTTTTTCAGACAAAGGAGGACAACAACAATCAATGAATCACCTTTTTTCTAAAATCAAAAAAAACTTGGCATTTACTTAGATACTTGTGGTGTATAATTATAAAGATTTAGTTCTCATGTTTTTTGTGGCGCTTTTCGTATTCTCTAGAATATTCTCCTCTTCAAACCAGCTAAAATTCGAGAAAAACACTGAAAATTACAATATAAAGCAGGCATATGGAGACAATTGCGATCCGGAATGTTGGTTTTTGGATGAGAATTCAGAAATAAATTCGACAACGATTTTGAGTTTTCCGACAAATTGCACTGCGGTTTGTGGAAGAATATTGTTCACAAGTGAATCGGATCTGTCGATTTATGAATTGACATCATACTTCAAAAATTTGAAAATAATTTATGGTTCATTGATTTTTGAGAAAACGAAATATATGAATGTGGGATTTTTGAAAAATCTTGAGGAAGTTTATTGCGAACATTATTATGGTGCATTCTCCTTCTACCATAACAAGTATTTGGTGTCTCTAAATTTGACAAACTTGAAAAATGTGTCTTGCGATTTATATTTTTATTCCAATTCAAAATTAGACATTGGAAGTATTTGTGATACAATTGATAGTCCGATTGTAAGCTATGAAAATCTCCAAAATTGTGATGCTTGTGTTGGTGGTACGATAAACGTTGACAGCGTTGCTAAATATGAGAATTGTGTTGAAGTCACAGCTGGCGTTCGAGTCACTGATATTTTTGTGGGTTGGGGAACTGATATGTCAGGAGTTGCGAATATCGAAAAAATCACTGGATCTTTTGAAATCTATAACACTGATGCTGAAAATATCACATTTTTCAAAAGTCTTAAAACAATAAAAACTAGACTTGCGTCAAGAGGATACAATTCGAACCATTTTCATATTGAGAAAAATTATCAACTAAAACGACTGGGGGCACCTAATTTAACCGAACTTATTGCTTATGACACCGAAGGAGTTTTCTATGTATTCATCGATAATAATAATGAAACTTTTTGTTTAACAACGCAAGAAGTTCAAATGTTCATAACTCAACGTGTCAAATTTTCCACTCTTCATGCGGATTACTGTGCTGATGATGGTAAGTTCCAGAAAATACTCATAAGTAGTTTTTTCTCTTCCAGAGAATTCCACAGTGTCTTGCATTTTTGAATCAATGAAAGATCTACCAAATGGTTGTGTGAATCTTCGAGGATTTGTAAAAATCAACAAAGGAGATGAAGAATATGTGGATAAATTGAAAACTGTTAATTTTATATTTGGATCATTGACTATTGAAGGAACAACTCTCACAGATCTTAGTTTTTTGAGGCAATTGCAATATGTGGCAAATCTCAAAGAAAATTCCACGTCAGCAATTCAAATCTCATCTAACACAGTGTTGAAAGATACATCACTTCCAAGCCTAAAAGTTAGTCAGAAAATATTGATCCTCGTAGCAAAAAACCTTAATTTTCAGCGTGCCTATTCAAAATCCAAATATCAAATTGAATACTCCAACAACATGATTCGAACAATGAATTCATCATCTTGTTCAAGTTTCCGGGATTCTTTATTCTTCACATCTATCAATTTTGATGGTTATGAATGTGAAGTCATAACTCGAATCGAAACATCTGATCATTCAAATGGAGCGAGAAATGTAATTAATATTTGGTTAATTACTTTGTTTTTGGTAATTTTTTTTGAATAAACACTTTTCAAGATTAAACTGTGGATTATGTGATTTTCTGATCAAAAAATTTTTCAAGCTTCGATGGGAAATCCGATTTTCGAAGTTAACAGTAGCAATCTATTCAAGTTTGATATTTTTGTTTTGATGAACTTTTTTCTTTTTTATAGTATATTTTTGTGGTGAAAATGTTCTTCTTCTGAAGTTGGTTTCAAAAAACGTGTAATTATTTCTGACGAGTGTATTGATATTTCTGAATATTTTTTGCAATCCAATACTGATGTTTACTCTTATCTATTTTCCTATTTTTCCATTTATTCAAACTGAAATCAATCAAACGTATTTTTGTCCATCACAATGTCAATTTTCACAAGAAGTGATTTTAATCAACTTAAAAGTTTCTAACAAATTGCACTATTGTTTGTGGAGACTTGAATTTTGCTGAAAAATGGTTATGAATGCGCGAAGCTCTGAATCGCGTCGATCTTAAAAGTGGAACAATGTCAACATCTTCATATTTCGTTACTGCTTCCTTGATTCTGTTTTCTCCAAGTTTTTAAGTAGTTCAAATAATTTACTTGATATCTCTATAATTACTTCAGAAGTTGGCATTTAAAGACAAAAGAGCACCTAGAAATGAGCAGAAAATGAGTTTGTTTTTCATTCATAACACCTTTCAAGTAATCGAAATTCATGAAAATCAAGGAAAAACTTTGAGTCTAGCAAAAGTGAAAAAATAAAATAATTGTTTTTGAAACCGCTCAGGCAAGTTTTGTGTTTTCAAAATCTTTATATTCTCTGATTTGTACATATTTCTAGACACTAAACTTCGTCGTGATCAGATAAAAATAGAATATGACTACTCTCGAACACTGGTCCAATTACTATTCGATGACTTGGAACTTCTCATTCGGATTTTTTGGAGTTTTTATGAATTCTATATTGATTTTATATGTCTATAAACATACTCCGGAATATATGAAGATTTATGCTACAGTAATCCGAGTTGGAGCAGTTTGGGATTTCATGGTTTCATTTTCGGGAATCATGGCTAGCGCGAGATATTTTTCAACTGGCTCGTCGGCTCTTCTAATGTTTCATGGATTGGCAAAATATTTGCCAGTTAATCAAAACCTCAAGCCATTTATATGTTTTATCTGTGAGTTGGATGTGGTTTTTATTTTCAAAAATTAATTTCCAGTTCTTGCAATCGAAGTTCATGGATATTCCTACAGTATTTTCATAGTGTTATTTTCCCTTTATTATCGCCAAAGAATTGTCACAAAACCCACCCAGCCTCTAACTCTTCGAACTGTTCAAATATTTTGTTATTCCTCTTCATTCTTCATGATTTGTTATCTAATTATGATTCTATATTTTGACTTGGTTCCAATGTCAAAAATTGACGATCTCGTTTTTAAAATCCGTCCAGAATTGATAAATTCCGGTTGGGTTTATTATGCGATTCTGGACATTTCCGCTCTACCAGATGTTTTAACAGAAGGTTTCTCACTGATCCAAAGTTTTTTGGTTCTCATATACGCAGTTATTTGTCGGCAGCGAGTTAATAAACATTTATCTGAGCTGCCAATGAGTCCGGCAATGTTGGAACTACAAAAATCTCTACTGAAAATTTTGCTCATACAAATTTTGTCACCAATATTCCACACTATTTTCATGATTCCTCATACAATTGCAACATTTTCAAATGATTTACAAACTTCTTTTGTTGAGAATTTAGTCGAGACAACAATTACACAGCAAATTTTTTCCTACGTAAATTTTCATTGCACACATTTGAAACTACAGTAACCCAAAAAAATAAATAAATAAAATTGCAAAGTGCGGCACACACATTGGCAGAGGGAAAATTGCATCATTTTTCTTTTTGTTTTTCGCTTGTTTCTTTTCGAATTTTTTCGAATTAGTGCGTTTTCGTTGATTTTTCTTGGATGTATTTCAGTGTTATTGTTGAACGGTGTTGTTATTCGATAAGATGGCCAAATTTTACACATAGATATAAGTTTTTAGGTCGTAAATTGATATTTTAGGCCAATGTAAAATTATTGTTTATTGATTTCTTTACATTTGCATTGAACATACCATTGTTTCATTATGTTTTTGCAAGAAGCTTAGGTTTCCTATCATTAGTCTAGGTTATACAATCCATGTGGGAGTATTTTTCGAAACACGCTTTCCAATTATTTCATTTAATAATTTATAAATCACAATTTTCATATTCTGTTCAACTAATAAATTAAATTTCAGATATGTTGAGCATATATTGGAGTTATTGAAAGGTTGGCGACGCAATTATTCAATATTTGGATATGGATTGCCGATATGGATTGGGTTTGTTCTGGATATGGATTGGATTTTGATTTTTGATGATGGAGTAGGTGTGGATGTTGATGGAACTTGAACGTCGATTGAAGGATTATAACAAAGGTGAAATTTATGCTTCATTTCAGGTTGATGTATTTCAAAATTCACGAAAAGTTATAATTGTCGACCATCTTGTTGTTTAGCAGAATTCTGGTGAAGACTCTTCTAAGAATAAGTTCTGGATTTTTCGCCGAAGCATAACTGAAAAATGAGATTTGTTGTCAGAATGTTTTGACAAAAACTCACTGTCTGAATAGGGCATTAACATATGCATGAATTCCTTCCACTCCTTGTTCCGAAACAAAAGCCCAAGAATCAAACATCTTTACGAAATCTGGTACATGTTTATCGAGCATATGGAATTTGACAATCGGATGGTCTTCAGGAACCGCGGCAATGAGTTCAGAGCAAAATCCTTTCAACGATGCGTCGAATTTGGCATGATCATCGGCATCGAATCGCTCAGTTTTGCACATGCTCATTATAATTCCGAGATGTTTTGCTGCTGTTCTTAAGTGCTCCAATTGTGGAGTACTCGGAAATAAATCAAACATTGCATCTATTGCTTGAGGTTTCAGCAAGGCATATGTCTGATTTCCATTAAATTTCTGCGTCCAAGTTGACATTGATCCACCATGTTGTTTCCAGCAGTCTTCCAATTTTTTCCTCCATACGCCCGAATTGCTTGTCACAGATTGTTCGAACAAAGATTTCTGAACCTCCAATTCTACTATTTCTTCTTTTAGAGCAGTAATATAAGCATCGGTTTCAACAATGGTTTTTTCCAACATTTCCTTGACGTTCAAGTTTGTCTTATTCTCACATATCAAACACAAAAATGGCTCATTTGGATCTTCAAAACGAATCCGATCGTCTGGCAGCCAAATTCCTGCACACATGATGTGCATGAATCTGTGGCAATATGCACATTCAATATGTCGCAACGCTTTTCTCGATTTAACAGTAGTTTTGCAAGATTTATGTGTATAAATGCAAATTTCCAGCATGACATGTTGGTGGTGGATTTCGAGCTTTTGATATTTTTCTACTGATTACACTAGTGACAGCCAATAGCATATCTTCCATTGATTTTTTGTCGCTGATCCAAGTTTTCAATACATTATTTTTGTTATCCAAGTTTTTCACCATTTCTTTCATCTTACTCTTTGTGTGGCTCAACTTTTCGAATTCAATGTCTGTCAAATTATCTTCTTTCGCGGCGAGAGTTAGCAAGAAAACAAAAATATATCGATCAGCTAATCCCATCAAGATATGAAGTGAAGGGACAATTACATGTGATAATTTCACTAGTTTGAAGATAATCACGGAGCCAATTTGTACTGAATTAGCACCAGTCAAAGCATCATTAGCATATGATTGTACTGTTCGAAGGATAGCATCTCCATTATAATCCCTGAGCTGTGTACATTGTCTGTTTACTAAATAGCAGAAGAAGCAAAATTCCAAAGAACTTGCGCCTGAAATGAATTATTAATTTTTGAATCCATAGACAAATCATTACCTGCATGCCCATGACACGAACAAAGGAATTTGATGTCGCCACCAAGCATCCATTCAACATCAATTGTAACAAGAACACCGTTCTGTTCGAAGCTGATTGTTTCCAATGAATTGAGTTGGTCCAACACATCAGGAATGTATTTCAGCATATTTTGAGCTGTGTCATCTGCACCGAAAATTGATATGACCAGAATATTATGACGACTATTCGGATTTGCAAGATGTACCAGAACAATAATTAGTTTCGTTGTTCCTCCTGAAAAAATACTTTGTTTGTCGCCTCAAGACATTTTCTCACCTCCTTTATCCCCGAACAATGCCAATTTTCTGCCAGCTAACAATTGTCCAGATTTTGCCAAATCTGTCATCCGAGTTTCGATTGCTTTTTTCACATTTTTAAGAACTCCAACAATAGTACCATCAGCATGGGTTCGAATCTCTAAGTTATCCGAATCCACCAGCTCTTTCTCGAGATTGTTCATTTTTTCCATTGAAGGGAAAGGATCACAGCCCGTTTTGACCCGAATAAATCTTTTTCAGCCGTACTACTTGTGATTTGGTAATATTCAATTGTGAAACAACATATACTGCATCTTCAACGTTGAGCTTGATTCTGAAAGCCATTTTATCTGATTTGTCTGCTTTTTGATCACCGCGTGCAAAAGTGCCGAACAATCCTCCTCTTCGAAATTTCACAAAGCATTTCCAAAGCTTCATCTGTTCGTTTTTCGATGTAATAGAAATTTTCCATTTCAGAAAACGCTTTTCCACGCGTCTCCTCTGTTGTTTCCGCTGGTTTTTTATTTTTGTAATAATTTATGGCATCATTTTTTTTTCGATTTCTTTTCTCGCAATTCAAAAAACTTCTCGAGTTTTTTTGTCCAAGTCTTTAGTTGCAGTTTCTAGTCGACTTTCAATATTTTTTATCAGAATACGACCATTTGCTATTGTTCGGTGAAGATCCATGATTTCAGCATTTTTTGCATTCATATCTTGCTTAAAATGATTCAATCGATTCACATACTCTCGCCTAAGATTTTCCAATTCCTTGTTTGCTGCTAATAATCCATTTCTCAAATCAATTTCTGCCATGTGGTTATAAACATTCGATTCCTGTTCCCGTTGCCTTTTAATAGCCAGATCAACTTGCTTGTTTTCTTCAATATTTCGAATGTGTGTTCTTAATCTGGTGTTTTCTGACCGCAGGTTGCGCAATTCCCTGTCCTTTGTATTTATCTCCATTTTTAGAAATCGAACTTCGTCGGTGTCATTTGGCCTCGGCCTTTTTGCCGTTTCCTAGAATAAAAGTCACAATATAATTTTTTCAGATTTTCGTCATTCCCGGAGGAATTCTCAGAATTCATTGGCTCATCGAATGATATGACTGTGGCCTCGGAACATGTGAGTTTTTTTCAAAAATCACAGTTTCTTCTCAAAACTTGAAAGGAAAAAAATCATGTTAAAATTAAAATAACTCACCATTTGAACCAACTCTGAGATGAGAAACAAAAAAACTAACTTCTTTGATAAACATATTTTGTGGAAAATGAAAATGACGTGTCACGTCACGTCAAAATAATAATATTCGTTCTCAAGTTTCAATAATTTTCATTCAATATCGATTGATATGAAAAATACAGTACTCAATAACTACAGTATCAGAGACCAACATTTTTCATTTCGTGACAGCAAATAAACTATTTTTCTTTTTAAAATGAATCCGCCAAATTATGAGCATAGTTTTACTTTCAGGTATCGGACAAATAATTGCTCATTCGCCACATCTTCGATTTTCAAATCAAAAGTTGTTCATCGGCGGTCAGAATGGATAAAACGTGAAGATTTTTGGTCGAAAACTTCTTGAAAATCGATATGACCGATGATCGATGAAAAAGTGTCTGAAATAGCGCAAGAGGAAAAGAATAAACTTCGGTCGATGGATTCTGAATTACACACAAATCCGGAAATTCTTTCTGAATATTTGAATTGTCTCACCCAATATGGGTTTTTCTGTTTTGACAGTTTGTGTTGTTTATAAATGAATATGTTTTTTTTTTGAAAAAAATGATTCAAGTTTTGGCGACATTTCTTACAGATTCTCAAAATTCACGCTGTTTTCAAGTTTTTCAATAATTTCCTCTTTTTCATGAAATTTTAGAATAAAGCTGTTGCGACAAAATAAATATAACGGTTAGAAATATATATATAAATTGAGGATTTTTCATTTCCAGAACAAATGGGGATTTTTTTCCGGATAAATTGGGATAATGTGTAAGCCTTGCTGTTTTAATTGAGAAAAAATTTGATTTGTTATTTAAAAAATTCCGACCGACTTGAATAATTGGAATCTAATCACTTTTTTTCTTCCAAATGTATTTTTAAGTCATTAATCCTCTATTCCACCCGTTTTCGCCAATATTCTTTTGAAAAAAAAAACATTTTTCCTTTTATTTTAATAATCATGGAAAAAACTGTGCGAGCTGTTGCAAAAATTGCAAACACGTGTGCGATGCTGTTGCACAATAGGCTCCACCCATTTTATTGTGCGAGCCCTTGCCATTTTTCTGCAAGGACGCAATTTTTCGGTGTTTAGTAGGAAAAAATTTGCTGTGAATTATTTGGCTTTCAACAATAACACCTCTCGTAACACTATATTTTGTGAAACCATATCGATCAAATCTACTTGAATATTTTGGAAGAACTCCAATGGAAACTCCAGTTTTTGTATCGCATAATAGCAATCCAACTCATACCACTATTCAAGTCTGATTTTTAAAATTGAAATGAAGTTACGGTATCTTGATATTTTCACTTCCCGTTTTAAGCTATAATTATCCGAGCAGCGATATTAATGTTACCACTGTTTTCTGGTTTTTAACATACATTTATAATTTTCTTCAACATTTAAAAAAGGGAAACAGATTTTCAATTTTTCAAAATAAAGCAAAAAAACTGTTCTTCCGAATTTATGAAAAATTTCAAGTTTTTCGTTTGAAAAATGACTCGTGGCAAAATCAGGAATGATTTCTAATTTTACCATGACGTCATCGATCAATTTTTCGAAAAAATGCAATAAATCTTTTGTTTTTTGTGTAGAATGCACTAGAAGGATGTGAAGCACAAAAAATACAATCGAACAAAAAATGTGAAATTTAAAAGTACACAAAAATTCTTGAAGTTTTCACCTAATTAAATCAGAGCTTTGAGCTAGTAGTTCTAAATTGCCTAAATTTGTGAGTCTAACTTTTTGAGATTCTTTTAAAATTTATTTAAGCTTCCATCAAAAATCCTCATTTTCCAACAAAAAAAAACTAAAAACCCTGGCCACCAGGACAACAAAAAAACACGTCAATCATTTCGAGTCTCCAACCAAAAAAGGTCTAATTGTTCTCTCTGAAACTCAGAAAAACTACTTTTCCAAACGGGGTAATAAATTGTGGATACAAGTATTCAAAGTTCCTAATCCAAACTCATCTGTTTTCAAAATTTATGCATTTTCTCCTTTTCCCTTTGGCTTCTTTCTGAATAAAAATTGTTCATTTTTTGCTGTTTCTTTGCTGCTTCCTAGCTGGCATTTTGGTTAGTGCATTCTCATTCATGAATAATTAATTTTCAATTAATCTTCTCCTAATCTTCGCCGGGGTTCTTGGAAAAAATAAAAATATGTAGGAAAGTAGGATTTTTGACGACATTGGAATAGTGTTTTTTCTTCTTCTGAAAATCCATTTTGAATTTTTCTGTCTATTAGAAAAACTGTGTACTACTTTTTATTAAATTCTGAAATTTCGAAATAAACTTTATATTTTGTAAAAGCCTTCTGGAAAACCCTTCTTTCTCAGAAAAAATTGAATTTGTTAGAACCTTGTAAGCTCAGAATCCCCTGAGAAACCCTGTATTTATTTTTCAAATTTTTCAATTTTCATAAGAGCCCCCAAATCTCTTAAAAACACAGAAATCACCCTGTATTTTCTGAAACTTCCAGGTTTTTTTTCTATTCCCGAACAGAGCAAAATATTCAACGTAAACCTCTTCTTTTTCTGCTTTCACAATCAAATTTCCATCTCATCTCAACATCTTTTCATCTTTTCTTTCTCTCGGAGCAAAAAAAAAACTTTTGGCTTTTCACTTTTTTTTCATTTCGATCGAAAAATTGTTGCAATTACATACATATTTTTTTCGTTTGGAGCAACAAAAAAAAAGTTTTTCGAGAGCACTTATCCTCAAAAAACAGCTTCTGAAATGTTTTTTTTTGTGTTGTCATGGATATATATTTTTCCAGCATTTTCTTCTTTTTTTTCGCCACACACACACACAAAAATTATTCATTAATTTTGGCTCTAAGATTGATTGAAAACTCGGGCGAGCTCCCGAGTTTTTCCATGAATTTTCTATTTTTTTGTAGTGTTTCCGAGAGAGCGAAAAAAAGGAAAAATCTGGAATGAAGCAGATTTTTATGAGTGTTTTTGTTATTCTTCTCGAAGATTTTCATTATTTATTTTTGTTTTTTTTCCAGGGGGCCACTTCATTTAGAAAAACAGATAAAAATGAAAAATAGTTTGAAAAGTGTCAGCATCAAAAAACAAATAGGAAGGAAGCACTTTGCAAATTTATTTTTGCATTTTTTGGGGAAAATATAAGGGCTCAAAAATTATTTGGGTCCTATAGGAAAATATATTTTTGCCTATTTATTTTTGTTCTGCATTTTTTTAAACTTCCAATTTTCATATAGAAATTGTTTCTAACAATGAACATTTTAAAAATTATAAGGTTTCAAGAATTTATTTCCAGATTCATATTTTCAGATCAAAATTTCTAAATTGAAATTTAAAACTTGTGGGAGTCTCAATTATTTCCCTTGAATGATACTTTCTTTATTTTTTCATAAAATTTTTTATTGCAAAAAAAAGGTTTGAGATTTTTCAAACCTAATTTTCTATGGTCAGAAGTGATTCAGATATTCCAAGCACCAAGTTTTCAGTCATAATTTTTACCCTAAATTTTTCTGAAAAATATTTTGTGAAGGGTTTTTACCTTTAAACCAAATGTTTAATTTTAGGTGAAGCCCAATTTTTTACCTAAAATTTTGATCGCTGATTTTTCAACTAAAATGTTTTGAACCTCAAAATTATGCCCCTAACTCGGCTTTTTCAGACCTCCCCTTTCACTAATATTTTATTCAATTCAAATCCAATTTTTCAAAAAAGCAAAAAAAACAACATACATCTTATTTTTCTCATTTCCTAATTGCGTTAAACTCGATTCATTTATTTTATCCAATTCTATTTTGTTAAAAGGCAGATTCGAATCGCAAATTTTGCTAGAATATTCTAGACATTTTTCCTGTTAGTTAGTTAAACTTGGAATTGAAATTCTCTTCTAAACAAAGAGAGAAAAACTCAAAACTTATGCATATTTTTCTGCGAGTTGTCACTCAAGACTCAAAAAATCACGAACATGAATGCCTCATTTTTCCGGGCCCTCAGGGGACACATTTCTCAAATGCGAACCCCTGAAAAAATAACAGGAGGAGGCGAAAAAAAAAAGAAAATGATAGATTACGCGTTGAAAATTTATAGCTTCTATGTATTCTTATTCCAGATGCCAGGGGAGAATAAAAATAAGAAGTTGACTTTGTTTTTTTTTTCTAGACTTTTCTAGATTCCCACATTATGTTTTTTTGTGCTGCCCTTTTCTCATCCCAGTTCTTCACCCTCATAAATCCGATTTTCTTTTGTTTTTGTGTCATCTTGAATATTGAATTTAGCTCCCCTTTTGTTTTCTTGTTTTTACGAAGCAGAAAAAACAATAATAATCGTAACTGAATAAATAAGTAATCGGATCGTTGTTCAAGTGTATCCATATGTAATTCGATAGTTTTTTCACACATTTTTTTTTCAAAAACCCATCTATTCATTTTCGGCAGTTTTTGAAATAGCAGCGAGACTTTTAGGGTGTCGAAATACATAGGAGGAAATTTTCCTTCGGAAAAAAATTTAGATTCGGATTTTTTTTTGAAATCCGATTTTTAATATAAGTTCTGATTGATCTAAAAATTGTCACTGTGTAGATACATTCAAAGGCGCATACCGTACCCTCGAAGTTTTTTTGTCCTGGATACTGTAGCAGTCTGATAAAATAATTAGCCCATCTGAAAAAAACTTTTTTATTTTCACAAAAAAAAAACTTTTGAGAAAATTTCTGAATTTTTGAGATTTTTTTATCATTTTCCTTATCCTCTCCAGATTCCTACTAAAAATACGTTTCAAATAAAAAATATTTCAGTTTTGATGGCAAGAAAACGTCGATCCTCCACACCAATGTATAAATTCCTGCTAATCTCCTCAATCTGCCTCATAGTCGTCGGAATTCTCCTAACCGCGTTCAGTGTATTCAGCCCAATGTGGGAAATTGTTGAAATGCCACGTCGTGATATTTCACATCATCACGGACTTTGGTGGGATTGTATTGTTCATCATACCAAGTTGATACCTCTTGATGGACGCAATCCACAAATTGATCAATGTAATAGTAAAATGGAGCCGGCTGTTCAAGCGGACCTCAAATCGGCCTTGGAGTTTGGAGATTTGGGCGCCAAGGAATTGCTTCTACATCGATTTTTGCGTGAGTTTTCTGATTTTTTTGCAAAAATTCTTCCAAAATCAATTTTTTTCAGCCCACCATAAAGGAGTAATATTCTTTGCCGTATTCACATTGGTTTTCGGCCTCATCTCAATAGTAATTGGTGTTTGTTCACCATGTTTCCCACCAAATTCTCTATTATACGTGGTTGGCGTATTTATGACAAGTGCCTGTTCTCTTCTCGCTGATATTACTTTTATCTGCGCTTTCAATCAAAAACAAATCATTGTTTCGGAAACAAAACTCGATCAAATTGTTTTTGTAAGTTTATTTAATTTTATTTTTTTTCGGAATTTATTCTAGAATTTTTCAGAAACGCCTCGGAGCTGCAACTTATATTCACATGTTTTCGAGTCTCTGCTTCACAGCCTCCTTCATATTCTCCATATTTTGCGCATATTTTTTGATAACTTCTCAAAAATCCCACGATTCTTGTTGTACAAGTCGGAAAGAGTATCGAGAAAATGCGCGATTTCGAAATAGTGGATTGATTTTGAAAACCGGGGGCGGTGGAAATAATACACTAACTTCTCGACCATTTGTTGTCATTGATGATGATAGCAGCATGTAGAAATTTAGTTTTGATTTCAAATACTGCTTTTTTGAACGGGTTTAATTAGTTCGCTTCTCATTTTTGCTCTGTACATACATATTTTGTAGATTTCACCGGTGAAAAATAAATACATTTGCGCGTTATTATGAAAAATTGATTTATTTTAACCCAGATTTGCAGGTCCAAAATCCCTTAGTTCCAATAATCATCAATCAAATTGTTGTAAAGAATATTGCAACCAGTGATTTTGAATTCTTGTTTCTTAGCTGGTCTAGTATTCAAACAACATCTGAAATTACTGTCAGTCATACAACTTCCATCATATTTGTTATAACAATTGTTAACACATCGATTGTAGCAAGTTTTGTTGGTTTGTTGAGAGAAACTGATCCATGGTGAACAATAATCATACGATGCTCCACCATTGACAGAAGAACAAAAAGCTTGGCAAACAGCTTTGGTGACTGCGCCAGCACCGGCAATTAAAGCAAATACGAAAAGAATACGGAAGATCATTTTTTGATCATGTTTAATGGAACTCTGCCATCTATTTTATAGTGATCAAAATGAATAACTCTGCGGGAAACATGGTTTTTAATAACTTCGAAATGCTTTTTGGACCATTGATATTAAAAAATGCGTAGGATTTTCAAATGTTATTGAAAAAACCAGAGTTTTGATTTTTTTCACGATTCAAATGAAGTTTGGCTATCGGGACCATCAATATTGAAAAAAAAAACCAGCTGGATATTCATTAAACGTTATTGAAAAACCAGATTTATGTATGAAGTATGTAGTTTGGTTAACCAACTCAAAAATTCAATTCAAAACCCAGAGTTTGATGAGCTCGAAAAAACTAGACTTCGGAGAATAGGAAGTCAGAAATCATGAAAAAATTTCCAAAATTTTATATACCAAGAAAAATCTATTTTTCAAATCTCCTCCTTCAACAAAAATCATTCTGAAAAATTCTAAACCTCAATGATTTTTCCTCATTATCACTGCAAAAAATCAAATAAATTTTGACAATATTTACTTTCTTACAAATTTCCCTTATCATCAATTCTCTCACTAAAAAAAGTGCTCAATTTCCGTCGAAAAAAATTATGTATTTAGAATTAGTAGTATCTATGTATGAGTCATGTATCTATTCACCTGAACACCAAAAAAATAAATGTTTGTTTTTCCCAAAAATTTCACAATAACCAGCCAGTCTGCGCAATATTTGTTCAACTCTTATTTTCTCTCATCGCTGTCCACTTTTTAAAATTTATTTCGATTTTTCATTTGTTTCAAGCTTCCCAAATTTTTCCGAGAGATCAATAATTTTCTAAAAACACGAAAACGAAAAACGTGTCTTTCTCTCTCTGCGTCTCTTCTCTCTCGCTCATCAACTGAAAACACGATTTTATTTTATTTTCTTATTTTCAGCCGCAAATTTTCCTATGTCATGGTCTTGCGTATATTGCACCCTTCTAAATGATCCGCTATTTTTGACGTGTCAAGGATGTGGCTCGCAAAAACCGCAGGGAAAAGAGAAATCGAGAGGAATTCAGGGTTTTTTGAAGGATTCGATAAAAGAGGTGGGAAATGTGGTGAGCGATTTGTGGGATATTTCATCACGGAAAATGGCACCGCATAATATTGTCAGGATTCCTGATGGGTGAGTTTTGAGGCTTGAATGAGACTTTTTTTTTTGATAAAAATATTTCGAAATATTCATAGTTCGAGAGGGAAAAAAACCTATAAAATAATGTGAAACATCGTTAGGGTGGGCATTTTTTTTTGGAGAAAAAAAGAAAATTTTGCCACGTCATAACTTGAGTTAGGCAAGATTTGGTTATACATAGAACATGTTTTTTTTTTTAATTTTTGAAGCTTTTACGAAAAATCTTCTTCAAAATTGAATTCAAAACCAAAACATCTCTAGAAATTTTTACATCCAAAAATGTTTCAAACGAAAAATTTTCTCTGAAACTTCAAGATTTCCAATTTCCAGTTCCAATTCTTTTCCAAAAAAATTTCATAATCCTTGCAGCTACCATGGATACAAAATCTAAACAAAAAGCATCTTTCTATTCACATTCGTCTTCAATTTTGTCACGAGTTTACCCCAAAAAATGTTTATGATTTTCAGACACTCTTCTCTCCCGCTCGGTCCACCCATTGATAATTTTATTTCCGCCCCGCCAGCTTCATCATCTTCTACGTTTTTTGTGCCCAGTGTGAGTGTTATCGTTATGACCCCTAGTGTCTTATCGTGGTTTTTTTTGGAAAAAATATAGCGAGAAAAAAAACCACTGCGTCCACTTTCTTTGAGAAAGTGCAAAGCAATTTTTCCTCATTTTCAGGCGAACGAGCATAGGTATCAGAATTTGGATTTCGAGATCGATTCGAGTTTCAATTCGAGTCTGCGCTCTGAAGATACGATGAAAGTGAAGAGAGATGTCGAGGAAAAAAGTGAGAAGATTTACCAAGATATTTTGAGTTACTGCCAGTGAGTTTTTGGGATGGCTATAGGTTTTTCGAATTTTTAATTGTAGTGCAAACCAAACATCTTTTATCGATGATCAATTTCCTCACAGTAGTCGAAGTATTGGAGTTTTGAATTTCAAACGAAACGGAAAACATCATAGTGAGTTGCTAGATATTCTTCTAAACCCCTTCTAACTTCTAAAAATTTCAGACGAAGTTCCAAATTTTCTTCAATGGCTTCGCCCAACTCAAATGTTCACCAAAGATGGTCGACAATGTCCTTGGACAGTTCTAAATAATCCAACCCCATCAGATATTGAACAAGGCACATTAGTTGGAGATTGTTGGTTGATGTCTGCGATGGCTGTGATCGCGGAAAGACCCGAAGTGTTGAATGATATATTTCCATCGAAAGAATATTCATATCAAGGTGTTTATCGAGTCAAAGTTTGTGTGGAAGGAGAATGGAAAGTTATCATTGTTGACGATTTTTTCCCGTGCTACAAAGGTGTTAATAATATGGCGATGGCTGTTGGAAGACGGAATCAATTATGGGTTTCATTGATTGAAAAAGCACTGGCTAAAGCTATGGGGAGTTATTCGATGCTTCACGGAGCATCGTTGACACAAGGGTTATCAATGTTGACCGGGGCTGCTTGTGTGAATTATGATACTCCAGAAAACCCGATGGAAATCGACACATTTTGGGCGCAATTGATAAGCTCGAAATCTTCAGGATTCTTGATGTGTTGTGTTTGCGCGGCAAAACCTGGCACCTTTTCCGACGAGGATTTTCGTGCCAAGGGTCTTTTGACCAATCACGCCTATTCAATTCTCGATGTCAATGATCAATATGGTCATCGTTTATTACGAGTCAGAAATCCCTGGGGACAATTTGTATGGAATGGAAAATGGTCAGATAATTGGAAAAATTGGCCGAGTCAAATGAAAGATAATTTGTTAACAAATAGGAAAAGAGAAACTGGTGCATTTTGGATTGAACTCGATGATTTTATAAATATGTTCACATTCGTCACAATCTGCAAACTTCGATCGAATTGGAGCGAATTTCGACATAGTCAAACTGTAGGAATCGATACACCAGTGATTCAACTTATCGTGACAGAAACTTGTGAAGCATCCTTTATGGCTTTTCAAAAGGGTTCATTTGCAGTCAAAGATGATTCTGTGGTGAGCTAATTTTTTTTGTTGAAAATTTGGAAGAGAAAGTTATTTTAGAACGATATGATGTTAAGTGTGCATCGAATTTCATCAAAAGGTGTGATTGGTGAAATGATCGGACGGTCACCAAGACTTGCGCAAAGACATGTGAATACTGATGAGTTTTTCCTGCATCCTGGACATTATGTTATAATGTTTTTCAATTTGAAAAATGGGAATATTAAACCAATTACAATGAATCTTGTTTGTCATTCTTCCAAGCAAATATTTTATGAAACAATTAGGCAATCTTCTCAAATGTTCAACCACGCGCTCAGAGAAATTATTCTGAAAGATGGAGATTTGGTTAGCAATACGGTAAGTTTCATCTATTGAAAAAAATCCAAAAATCGTAATTTTTAAGGAATCTGGAATAGTTATCCGAACTTTAACCAAAAAATTCCGCGGGATGATAATTATGGCGGACAACTTTTTGAATAACCGATGGCTTCATTTAGGAATTGATTGTAATGAATCAATGAACATTCAATCATCTCGAAATTCTCTTCAAACAACTGATGTTATTCCACCAATGTCATATAATATTGTGATTATTCTATCAACAATTGATGATTTAGCTGAATATCGAGTGGCGAATAATTTGAAGGTAAATATCAAAAGTTTGATACATTTTCAATTCTATCCCGATTTTCCCTAATATATGTGTCAATTTTTCCCAGAGCATTGTCCATCGTAACAAATATATTGGGCCGGAAATGAACTACGAAGCTTCGATTGTTCACTCGAAACTTCAACATTATCCAATTCTCGATATTTCTGATCGCCTTCATTCTTCCCATTCTCTGTTCTATGAAACGTAACGTGAAATCAATTAATTTGCAGTTTGCTGTTTCACGAAGTCACAAACCCAAATATTATGTATCAGCGCCAACGTATACCGTAACCAGAGTCATGTAAAATTGTATATTTTCAAAAGGAAATATGCGGGTACTTTTTGCACTTTCTTTTTATGTGTGATGAATTTTATGTGAATAAATTGTGTTATCTTTGAGAACAAAAGACCGACAAAGGGTTTTTTTGTGAAAAAGTTTATTTAGTTTGATTCAGGGAAACTTAGTTCCAGTAATCATCAATCAAATTGTTGTAAAGAATATTGCAACCAGTGATTTTGAATTCTTGTTTCTTAGCTGGTCTAGTATTCAAACAACATCTGAAATTACTGTCAGTCATACAACTTCCATCATATTTGTTATAACAATTGTTAACACATCGATTGTAGCAAGTTTTGTTGGTTTGTTGAGAGAAACTGATCCATGGTGAACAATAATCATACGATGCTCCACCATTGACAGAAGAACAGAAAGCTTGGCAAACAGCTTTGGTGACTGCGCCAGCACCGGCAATTAAAGCAAATACGAAAAGAATACGGAAGATCATGTTTTGATCATGTTTAATGGAACTCTGTCATCTATTTTATAGTGATCAAAATGAATAACTCTGCGGGAAACATGGTTTTTAATAACTTCGAAATGTTTTTGGACCATTGATATTAAAAAATGCGTAGGATTTTCAAATGTTATTGAAAAAAACAGAATAATCTCGATGATTCGAATGGTTTCAAAAAATCAGGACTATCAATATTGAAAAAAAACCAGCTGGATACTGCAGGATTTTTGAATATTATTGAAAAATCCATACACCATAGAAAAGGTTTTTTTTAATTCTGCCAAAAATCGTTTTCTTAATTGTTTCTGAAACTTTCTTCCCAAATATCATGGATTTTTTTTATACGTAATTTTTATGATAAACTACAACAAATGCTATATAATACACTTAACTTAACTTAAAGATTAGTTTGTGATTCAATTTGATAGGTAATCCCGAAAGATTCCAAATATTCGTAGATTTTTGATTGACCAAAAGCGGCGGCAGTTGTGTAAACTCCTCCGCTAAAAATCTTCCATTTTTTCCCGTAAAAACCCTCCTCTAATCACTCACGTTTGTGGCAAATGCTCGCGATCCTTGATAATAGCCAATGCTGATGATAAAATACATCCACTTGTTGCAATATATCCAGCATCTGGTCCTTTACAAGTTGCAACAACTTTCCGATCTGGTTTTCCTTCATGTTGTTCTTCAATTGGTTTCACATCTTTATATCCATATCCAAAGAACCAATAGGTAAATGAGGCTTCTTTCATTTGTTGTTTAGTTGGTCCGCTATTTTTGAACATGTAGAAACTGCATTGATCTGGATAGTTTTGCAAAATCTTGCGGGTGAAGTTGAATTTGACAAAAACTGAGAGAAGTGTAACCCAGAGACCGAGAAGAATTGCCCAGAATTTTGATGATAATCTGATATATGTTTCCATATGAATTGGTCGAACATTTCTCGATGTCGCATCATAATATTGTGATCTATTAATGATTGATTTATCGGCTCCAGGGAATGGAACTGCGAAACCATCGAGCTCTTTCTCGCGGATTTCCCAAAGTTGCGGTCTTCTTGGAACTTTCACAGCACCTTTGACAATTCTCTCTGGCATAATTTGTTTTCTAACAGCTCCCAATCTATCAGTGGCAGCTCCATTGAGACCCAAAATCAATGTTTGATAGGTTCCAGCGTTGAACGAATATCCCTAAATTTTAAAATAATGATATTTCGAGAGGATTTTTTGATTTACCGATGGTCCGGTGTGCAATTGAACAAATGATTCAACGTGATTCAAATCTCCCCCAAAATTATTCTTGAGGAAATTGACTCCCAAGTCAGCCGGAATCGAATCCCATCCACAAGCCGATACAACATAAACACCATTCTTGGCTGCAAGTTCGCCATAATTCGCCTGCATTTTCTCAATCCACGCTGGTTCTCCAGAAATATCAACATGACTTGCGCCATTCTCAACAGCCGCTTTGACAACAGCTTCACCATACAAACGATACGGTCCAACAGCGTTGATAACAACATTTGCCTGTTTTGCCATATCGGCAAGTGATTGAACATCTGCTGAATCAGCAACAATTACTGGAACATTGCTCAAATCTTTGCCGGTTTTTTCGGCGACATTGCTCAAAACTTGACGGAGGCGTTTTTCGCTACGACCGGCGACTGCAAATTGAACTCCTTCGTATTTTGGAGAAAGCACGAGATATTCAACAATATATTGACCAGTGAAACCAGATGCACCATAAATTACAACATCATAGCGACCCATTTTCAAACTGAAAAAAACAATTGAAATAAAAATCATCCGAGAGAAGTACACAAAACACCAATCGCTTCGAGAAAATTCAGAAAATCGTCATGTTTCTTTTTGAAACCCGTACGAAAAATAAAATATTTAGGTAAAAAATGTTTACAAATGAGAGGGGTTGAGCAAAAAACCTGCCATTTTATCAGTTCTGCTGAACGCCTTATTTCTGATGAAATGGTGTGATTGCATGTGAAAAATGTGTGATGTTTTTTTTTTTGGAAATGAAAATATTTTATTTTTTAAAAGTCAAACGTGAACCTTATGAAATTTCATAAATTATTACATTTTCAATTTGTTTTCTTTCTGAAAAAAACTATCTAGAAAATTTAAAAATCAGAAAAAAATGAGCAAATACTGCTGATTTGCATGTTCTTTGACTGAACTATGAAAACTGATAAATGAATTTTCGAAAAATATGTCAACTCGACAGAAAAAAAAAATGAAAAAGGGAATTTTATGAGATTGAAATCAATATGGAGTATAAGAATGGCCTTGGATTGTTCTACTTTTATAAACAAGAATAAATTGGCTACAATGTTCTCTCACCAAAAACCATCTTGCACTTGTTTATTTTTCGAGAAAATGTTGGCAATTTTTGGGACTCACCGAATAAATTCTATCAAAATCTAGTTATTACGTGGCAAACTTGACATTTTATTCGAAAATCGGACATTTCGAGTACTGTAACTTCTTTAAGAAAATTAAATACTGGAAATCTGCAGTTCTTGGATCAATGTCAATTTTGCCACGTCATAACTATGTATCTAGAATTTTCGGAATAATTATCACTTGAGGAGTTCCCAAAGGTAGAAATAAGATTTACTATCCCAAATCTCTAGAAATTTTTCTGATAGATCAAAAATATCTCACTTTTGCGTTGAATTCCGTCGATGTTTAGTCCCAATAAATCCTTCCCTTGTTAGACGCTGACAAAAATTTAAAAATGCAAATTTCTTAGTTTTTTAAACGCGTCAACTATTTCTAGTTCACGTTGCGGAAATATTTATTTTCCAAAAACTAGGGAAACATTTCATTTCTGAAAAATGAAATGTTGTATTCTGGCAGTTCTAAATTTTGAAAAAGTTGGCTCCATTTTTTGAAAATGTGAGTTGTATTTGGTCATTTTTAGCATTTTAAAACCTATTTCAGTCTAATTTTTTTAAGCCTAAAATAAATAGAGTCTAGGAAGTTTTGTTAAATTTCAATCTTCGAAGAAAAAACTACAGTAATCTATTTGAAAATTTGAGTTTTCGATAAAAAAAAAGAACATTTTTTAAAACCAATTCCATGAAAATCTGAAAATTTTCTATAAAATATTTGAAAACCACCTCTGGTAAGATTTCCTTTCAAAAAAAAAACCATAAACACTTGAAAAACAAAATAAAATTATTTATTCATCCTTTTTCTGTTTCAAAAAATTAAAATTCCAAATGAAGAAAAAACCGCGTATATATAAGATAGAGAGAAGAGTAAAAAAGAAGGAATCATTGAAAATACAAATGGAACGGGGCTATACATTATCGTACTCACAAGGAACCCAAACTAGACCAATAAAATTACCAAAGAAAAAGGAGAAAACAGGGACTGAGTTTCATTATAATATTACGGGGTTAGACTATTTTTGAGAATATCAGGAAAGAATAAAAGAAAAAAAAAACAAGAAAAGAGGAGGAGTTTTGTGTGTGAAAAATTTGAACACCGGTACACAAGACGAGACGAAAAAAAAACAAAAAATGCGACTGAGAACATGGTTTACAGGTTTTAGGGATGTGTGAATGTTTCAAGCTAGATTTTTCTGACTAATGGTAAGTACTTAAGACACTAAATAATATATGCAATGTATATATTAAAGATACATAATAATTAATCTAAAAATGACTCTAGAAAAAATCATCACAATAACAACGACTTCAACAACAAAAACATGAAAATCATAATAAAAATAAAATTAACACAGTATTTAGAAAAAACGTGTGGTCAAGGAGGGGGAAGAGGATTTTTAACCGGATAAATACAAGGAATCTTTTCGTTGCGAGACACGTGACATTTTAAAGGGAAGGAGTCTGTTTTGTGACTTGTAAAATTAAACAGAAAAAAAAACACCCGGGGCGCTTAACCTGGAACTTCGTATGGATCGGGAGGGATTTTGGTGAGAGAATTGTGTGTTGAGGAGGGGGCTACAAAACAAAAAAGGGATGACTCAGAAAACAAGTAAAAAACCAAAAGTCAAAATTCAACGGGGGACCCAAAAAAGAGAAAAAGGCTTGGACTAGAAGGCTGGCAAATACAACAAAACAAAACACGCAATAGGTTTGGGATTGACAGAGAATAAGAAAATCACCACGTAAATATAATATATTGAAAAGTATACACACCAGGTAGATCATTGAAATTAAATGAAATGAAGAGAAAACACTATAAGTACTATATACACGCCTTAAACTTTTTTGGGTTGGGGAAAGGGGGGGGATTATTAAAGGGGGGGATGGAATATATTGCTTTGAGAAAATGACTTGATTTTAGACAGAAAGAGATCAACACAATAAAAAAGTTCTGTAACACCAGCACAACAACACGCAAAATTCCAACAACAATTCAACCCGGCTCCATTTTCAGAGAACTGTGTAAAATTATTATTATTATTACTTTTTGCATGTGGTTTTTTGGTGAGTTTTTTTGTACATGAGATTTTTTTAGAGAAATTTTTGCAAGAGGAAACAAAACCGAATTTTTGATGTTTTAGAGGCCCGGTTGGAGATCACTAGGCGGGTTAGGGATTAACAAAATCTATACAAGTTTCGGGAAGTGTGTAGGTGGGGGAATGGATTAGAATTGTACATTGAGAAAATTTGAAATGGAGAAAAAAAATAAACCGTGTGTCCTGATTTCTTCGCTGGTTGGTGATATTGATGATGATGATGATGATGACAAGAGATGTTATAAATATAATTCGCACTCAAAAAAACTACTCCTCCTTCTCGTTCTTCTTCTTCTATTCTTTCTGATATTCTTCGGTCTAACTTCTAATTATGCTTGGAGGAGTAATTGAGATGGGAACAAGTGTTGAAAATCGAAACGAGCAACACCGAACGGATCCGAGCCCCACAAATTGAATGATGGTGGCGAGGCTGGCGAGGAGTCGTTCCAACCGAATTCGGCGCCGGAGCTCGCAGAGCTCAACAGCGGGGACGACCAGCTGAACATCGATTCATCTTTGTCGATTTTGTTGTGAATCGATTCGAAAATCGATGATTGACTTGTCCACGACCAGGTCGCCGTCTCAGTTTCCATCTCCAATTCGAATTCGTCGTCGTCTGCAAAGAGAAAAACCATGGATTAATTGGGCGGCGAGGGATAAAACATAGAAAGAGAACTAGAGGCCACCCACACAACGCAAAAAGGAGAAAAAAACACAATTATTTTTCTCCTTTTTAGTGGTTATTGACGTCATTAATTGTAAAAAAAATAAAAGTGATGTGGGCTGAATTGACGGGTCGTATTCATAGGAAATATAGGCTCAATTGAATTTTGAATGAATTTTTTGTAGATTAAAATAAATTGAACAGGTAAAACCTGAATTGATATGATCTAGATTTGAAAATTATAGTCAGAAAATATAGTGATTCAAATTTCTAAATATAAAAAAACACTTGAAAATAGATTTTGCCATAACCCAAAGCATATTTTTTTGGACCATTGTGTTTCAAGAAAATTTTCAACTATAATTTAGAGAAAACTCACCACTCAATGATGTTGAGATGATGGAGTTCGACACCGAGTTGTTGATTTGAGTAGCGACAGCGGTGTCGTGTTGATTCGATCGGTGCTCCTCTCGCTTCAGAGGTGCGCCAATCGGAGTGCTGACGACACGTTTCGGAAGCCAATTGAACTCGTCAATTTCCATGTCATCCGCCATCGCACCACCAATCATTTGATTGGAGAAATTATTGTTGTTGTTGTTACCCGTTGTCTCGTTCGACATACCCAACAGAGAGCAATACAGATCTTCATCGTCCAACATGTCCAGATCACGCTGTAAACAATACGGTTGGTCTCAAAATAAATTCCTAGAAAGAAAATGTTGTCTCACCTGAAGCGCCTTGACAGTGTTGAAGACGAGCAAATGCTTGCGCATCGGCATGTTAGATTGCGCACGCAATTTGCCCAACCCAACATCGAGCAATTGACGACGTTGAGCGCGTTCATGCTCGCGTTCAGCTGATGATCGCGACGAACAACTCGACTTGATGGAGTCGACAGACTCGGCTGACGTGGCGAGCGGAGATGCGAGTCGCTCCAGCGGATGCGCGTTGTAGTTCACATCGTCGCAACACCGGTTTCGACTGAAATTTTGGAATTTAGTTGCCTCGAATTTTTTTTAAAGGTTTTCGATCAACTAACCTAACCGAAATCGGCTCGGACTTCCGATGAAACGATCCTCGTTCATCATCGTTAAAATCATTATTACACGTTGTTGTTGTGTTTGTTGAAGACACCAGGGAAGAAGTTGGACAAGATACAAATAACACCATTATGACCCGATAACTGATTCAATACTCTATAATAAAATCAATAAATTGGACAGAAAAGAAATGACACATGTGTGGGACGGAAATAAAAAGAAAATGGGAAAGAGAGGGAACTTATCGATTTTCTCTCTCATGTGTGTGGTGGCAACGAAGGGTATTATTATAATAATAATGAAAGTGTAAATAGGAGAATGTTCTAGATATATTAGTCATATGACTATTCAAAAAATATATGACCTCACTTCTCTTTTAAAAATTTTTGGAATGAAGCACAGAAAAAAAAACAAAAAATGTTTACAATAAGTTCTGAGTATCTCTCGAGAAAAAATTGTTGAGGCGAATTTTTTGTTCATCTTCGACATATTGTCTACTCTGGTCTTGTGACGACACAAGAAACTTTTCGAGGAAAATAAATAGACAAATATTTTCACGAAAAAAAGTGGAGAAAAGTTAAATAGTACACATTACTATTTGAAACAGCGAATTTTCGAGAAAAACTTGTTCGTGATGTTTTGCCAAAATTTTTGGAGAGAAAAATTAGAAATGCTTTTTGCTTTAATTTTGTGATTCTGGGCCGGTCCAATTTTATTTCGTATTCAAGTCGAGTTTCGTACGTGCGAAAGAAATAACGAAGGAAAGAAAGAAAAGAATCGAATGTGTGTATGTGTTGTATATAGAAAAAGAAGGGGCGGATCGGTGAGAGGAGTGGAGGGGGAGGCGAGAGCGACAGACGGCAAGACACATCGTTTAGTCAGTCAGGCAGATAGCATCGCATCGTCGCCATCGACGGCCGCTTCGCCGCCTCGCGACGTCGCTTGAACAAAGATCTGTTGATGGTGGGTGAAAATAGTGAGGAAAATTGAGGAGACGCCGGCGAAAATATAGATTATTTGCGGCGAGGAGGGTTGTAGAGAATGAATTAGTTGAAAGAGACGAAGAAGCGAGAGGAAAAATTGTTGTTTGTTCTCTTCTCTCCCCCTCCCTAGTCGCTGCGTCGTATTTCTTTTCTCTTTATAGATTCTACGCACGCATCAGCGGGCGCAGCGACTGTCGAAAAGAATCGACGGTTCCTTGATCCGCTTTCAAGGGGTTGTATTACAGAGCGAAAATAAAAAGGACAACAAGAAGCGCGACAGTCTTTTATGGATTAATGAGATGGAACTGAACACAAAATGTATAGATATTTATTTGTGTTGTTTAACCAAGTGTAACATTCAGATATGGTTTAAAAAAATATTCAGCGGATTATCTAGAAAAAAGTGACAAATCAAACAAACATATGTTTCTTAGAACCCACTATCAATATTTTCTTGTCATGACAACAATTTTCTTCTAGTTTTTTACACACACTCAATTATCGTTTTTTTTATTCGTCAAAAAAGATAATCTTTTGCCTAATCAGATTTGTCATTCGATTAAAAATACACAAATCCTTTTTTTCCCATCCCAAAACAAGAACTATTCACGATTTTCATAAATATAGATATCGCCATATTTGCACATACATATCAAGTGTACACATCGCATGTATTTGCACAATTTCAGCCAATTGCTTGCTGGAACGTACGAACGAGCCGAGCAAATAAATTGTTTTCTTGTTCTTCTGAACAAGAGGCTATTCGTTCGTTGTTTTTTTTTTCGATGTGAAAATAGAAAGAAAAGAATCGAGCGTCTTCCCTAATGTATTCAAATTTCTCCGACTCGGAAAATGACGTAATTCTTCTCACATCAGCGTGTATTTTTAGAAACAACGAGATCAATATTTCCGATAACGTAATTAATCATCCATCTTCCCAATTCTCACAAACACCCGTATCATCAACAACAATGATTTCCTTCGTCAAAAGATTCTTTTTTTACTGAAGGCAAAAAATATCTTATAGATAGTTAAAAACACGGGGCTCTCCTTTTTTCACGTATCACCTCGATAAGATAACATTTTGGAAGGACAGCCAGTCAGCCGGTCGCCTGACAGCCATCAAAATGAATGTGTGGTGGTGATAAAAACGACAAAATGAACAAAAAATACGAAGGATGGATGTCTGATCGAGAAATGATGGAGGAGAAGGCGAAAGATACTTTTTTGCAGAACAACTTTTTTCTTTGTGGTTAGATGGTTGGTCCATGATGCTTGAAGAGAGGAGAAGAGTTATGTTACACAAACATTCTCAAAAATGTTTGAGAACAGCTCCGATTTCTTGTAAAACATCTTTAGTCTCTGAAAAAATGTGAATGAAAAATCAGATGAATATATAAATATTTCCTGTTTCGGTTCCCATTCCATTCCATACGAACTCGTTTTTATGTAAATGCTTTTTGGTGTATGGTGTTTTAACAACCTTGCCGCCAAGACATAAATCATTACAGAAATAGACCGACTAAATTATTCAGCCGCCGAAAAAAACATAAAATGACGAAGGTCTTAAAAACATGAAAGTGCATCACTTCCACCCTAATGACACTTGTTTATGTCTTTTTTGTCGTATCATTAAATTTTTGATCATCGACAATCGTCCGAAAATAGAAAAAAATACATGCAGGTGTTAAATTAACAAATGCATATACAATTACATCGATGTGACACACAGCGAAAGAATCGAATTGAATACAAAAAACCAGACAATTGCTGTACATTCTCTCGCCAGTCAAATAATGGGAGAAGCAAGCAGACAATGAGGCATTCAATTTACCCACCTAACCTATTTATTATTCCAAACAAAATGTAGGGGTTTTTTTTCGAGTACGCATTGTTAGTATTTCTTCAACCATCTGAGAATTGAATCGCATCTGGTGACCCCGTGTCACAAAAAAGCAGATGTGCCGCACCGCCAAAAAAACACTCTTTCATATTGAAAATAAACAAATTAAGGTTTATTTCTGTCACCTCTATGGAGAGAGAGAGAGAGATGAAGTAAACATGTTTATGTTTGAACAGGACCCAAAGAAAAAATATGCGACATTTGGAGAAAGACTGTTATTTTTATTAACGCGGAGGATTTTGTTGTTGCGAGCGAGCGGAGAAGATTTATGGTTTTTTTTTGAGAAAAGAGAACCGACCGACCATATTTCGAGACGAAAGAAGGGCGATAAAAAAACCAGCTACACTTTTTTTTATTGAAGGGTTTTATGTTGTTTACGGCGGTTTTTCTGGGGGATGAAAATAACTTCTGATATATACTAGTACAGCCATAAATTCAAACTTCGCAATAACAATGCAATTAAAATGCATATATACACGGAACTGGGCGATGTCGACTAATTAGCAGCCGACTGCGCATTTTTTATAATAGTTGAAGAACTGGTTCCTATAGGGACGTTTTGCTTTTTTTTCGAGGAGACCTGACAAAACCACTAATACCCATGACCTTTGCAGGTGTCAATTTTCAATGGACCTTCCTCTCCACGCAGCTGTTCTTTATTCCATTTGTAAATAAGAAATTAGTAATTCCTAAACAGAAACCGCATGGGGTCTTTCTTTTCTTCTCGTTTTTTCTTTCTTTTTTTTCAAAAAAAAAAGAAGGAAAATTCCCATGAATTGACCACCTCTCTTTTTCTTGTCAAAAACTATTTTTGCCGCATGACATGACAATTGTCCTTGAGGGGGGTTTTTTCCACTTGGGAAAGCTACCATTTTTTTCAAAGTAAAACGAAAAAAGAGAGAAAGACTGGGGGAGGGATTGTTTATAGAAAATAATCGCTCGCAAAAAAAAGAGCAGTCAAATATCATATGACCGAGCGAAAGGGAAAAGGGAGAATTTCGTTGAAACTTATATTGATAATAAGTGTCAATTGTGTATTCATTCTCTCCACAAAAGACCTTCGATCATATAATAAAATGATAAATACAGAAAAAAATCTTTGATAACCAATAAGACCAAAGTCAGGAAAACTAAAATTGAACATGCATTGAAAATCAGGGGGAAATTCAGAATACTAATGTCAAATAGGCGAAAGCATCAAAATGAAAACTGGAACAAAAACAAGAGCAAGAACGAAATTCGAAAAACAGAAAAATGAAAAAAACATGTTTCGAATTCAAACTCCCGCACTCGTTTTCTCTGCACTCTCTCAAGCTTCAACACACAAAACCGAATTTGGCAATCGGCCACCACACAAAAGATAGGGGTTCAACGCAGTGCGATAGTCCACACTTTCTCACTGGCGCGAAAAGTATATTTCAAAACATTATTTCTTTTCTTTTTGGCGAACTTTTTTTTATTCTTTTCAAGTTGCAGGATGTCGAGCGGGTTTTCCAACATCAAAAGTTTGCAAAACGTAGGAATTCAGAAAATCTGCATCGACTCCAGCGGAAAAGACAGAGAAAACGTCTACGTCTGCGACTCAGAAGGCGCAGTTGTGAAATTTTCTAAGAACTCGCTAAACGGTTCTGATTTTCCTCAAACTTTTGAACTTGGTGATTCTACATCGGCTTCAATTGCATGGAATGTAAGTCAGAAACTATCAGAGATGTGTAAATTTATATTTTTCTCAGAATGATAATTTATGTGTTGGTTATTCTATAATAGATTACATCACCGGATCGGATAAGAAAGCCGTAGGAAATGTGAAAAATGATGAATTCGACAGCGAAAAAATTAGGAATCTTCTGGAATTCCAATTGCCGATTACAACAATTGATATAAATGATAAATATTTAGCGGCCGGCTCAAGCGATTTTTCAGTCAAATGTAAATCGCTTCAAGGAGGAGATGGAGATTTGAAAAGTATTGAACTCGATGGCGAACCAGTTTGCGTCAAAATCGATCCAAAAAATGAATATCTGGCTGTCGCTTCAGTTGATGGACTTATAACTATCATCTCATTAGAAACTTTTGAAGTTGAGACAACTATTAAAGATGTTTTCCATCGCTTCGAATCTATTGAGTGGGTTTTCAGATAATAAAACTATCTATTCAATATTTTCCAGTGTCTCCAATCCCCTAGTCTCTATAACATGGTCCAAATCCGGTCAAAAATTATTTGTTCCCTCAAAAAATTGCGTGAAAGTCATCTATCGCTCAACTTGGCAATTCGCAGCTTCAAAATCTTTCGCCAATGTCGATTCAACTGAAATCTTCTCAACAAGTGCAGTTTCGCAATGTGGAAAATATTTGGCCGCTTCAACAATGTCAAATATGATTGGAGTTTGGGATTTGGATTTGAATGAGTTGTTGAAAACCGAGCAGTTTAGTAGAAATGCTCCTGGAAAAACAGTGATTACATCTATCGAATTTGCACCATTTGGGAAAGCTGGCGATTTATTGATTGCTGATTCGAATAAAGGAATATGCATTTTCCATCCTTTCGAAGACAAGTTAGAAGAAAAAGAGGAAAATAATGAAGTCTCTAAAGTTTCTGATGATGAAGATGATGAACTTGTTCTAAGTCGACATAAAAAACCAATATTTCTTGATGAAGAAAGTATGGATGTTGATGATAATAATTCAAGATGTAAGAAAATTAAAAAAAAATATTATTATCTAAGCAAAAGTTCTGTTTTCAGTATCCTCAACTTCAATGGATATCGCAGCCATCAAGAAAAACTACGGATTCGATAAACCAGCAGACATCGGAGCTCTTGAAGAATTTGGTTTTAGTGTTGGACCAGCTGATCCAAGTTATGAGAGAAAAGAAGAGGAATTCACAAAGCCGCAAGTATCGGCTCCAGTTGATTATATACCAGCTCCAAGGAAAATAATGGTTCCTGATCGATTTGTTTGTAATTCTTCACCAATGGAAGTTTCGCAACGTTACTTGGTTAGTTTTGTTTCGTGAAACCACAGTTGAAAAAAATAAAAAATTTTCAGAAATATAATCAACATGGAATTGTTAAAGGATATATCAATGAGCAAGCGAAAACGAATACAATTGATATTGAATTCCATAATAAACGGATACATGGTGATATAAATTTGGATAATTTTGAAACGAATTACGAGCTCGCTGATATTTCGCTGAAAGTTATTGCGTTGGCAAGTTTCGAGAGTCGACGAAAAGAAAAAGAGTTGGATAAAATGGGAAATGAGGTGAATGAACTGGATGGAGAAAATGATAGGAGTGAGAAAAAAGGGACTAGCGAGCTATTGGTTATTCCGATTTCATCATTTGATAGTCAACGATGGACAATTACACTTCCACGAAAAGATGGAGCCATTGATGTTCTTGTTTCCGAAACTAATGTTGTTGTATTGACGGCCAAGAGAAATGTAAGAATTTTCACGATTAGCGGAGTTCAGCGGCAAATCTTCACACATCCTGGACCTATCCTAACTGCTGCTTGTTTTGATAATCGAATCGCAATCGCCAGTGTTAGTGGATCGGAATTTTATGAGGCAGACAATAAGAAAATTGCACAATGGAAGTTTGAAGTTAGCGAATATCGATTGGATGGACGAGATTGGTATAAATCATCGGATATTTTGAAAGATGCAAGATTGCCGATTTCGATGGGTGAATCGCTTGAATGGTTGAGTTATTCGACACATGGAAAATTGCTGGCGATGGATAGTCTTTGTGAGTTTTTTACTGAAATAAATACATTTTACACGGGATAAACTTAATAAAATATATGTTTTCTAGTAGTTTTCGACCATCTGATCACGATTTCTTCGTCTAAAATTGCAAAACTCAACTCCTAATATGAGTAATGACGTGTCAAAGTTCGAAAATTTTGAAAAATCAGGATTTCAGGAGCTGAAATATAGCTTCAAAAATTTTGAAAAATGTTTTTGTTCTGTGAAAAAATATTGCGGATTTTGAATTTTTCTGAATAATCTTCCAGATTTTTGAATGAACCTTCTGACCTCCTGAACAACCTCATATCAGATTTGCATGACAATCATTTTTGAAGCTAGTTTTCAGCTCCTGAAATCTCGATGTTTTGAAATTTTCGAAGTTTGACACGTCATTACTCATATTAGGAGTTGAGTTCTGCAATTTTAGACGACGGAATCGTGATTAGCGGGTTGGAAATACATATATTTTTCATAAAAAATCCAGTTCCCTTGTGAGATCCATGTGGCAAAATCTAATTTTTGAGAGAAAATCCATTTAGTTTCCAAAAACCCCTAAAATTTATTTTCTAGACAATCTTTATATGCATCAATCATCGGGTTTATGGACCCCAATATTCGATGGTTCCTCAATTCTCCGCTCTCAATCTGACGGAATTTTCCCGATTGGAATCGCCGACAATGATGCGAAAAAAATCCCCGAATTGCGTTACATTTATTGTCGTGGAACAAAATATCCATTAGTCAGCGGTATAAATGCGCCAACAATTGTTCCCATCAAAATTCCATTTTGTCAACCGGAAAGTGAACGATCAAAACTTGAACATGAATTGTATTGGAATGAATTGGCAATGGCTGAATCGATTCAAGAAGACGATCTTCGAAGTGTTGAAGTGTTGGATAAATTGCATTCGGCTGCACTTGTTAAACTATTTGCACTTGCTGTTAAATGCAATTCAGATGGACGAGCTGCTGATTTGGCACAACTTGTTGGATCATCCGAAAGAATTCAAATGCTCGTCAAATATGCGAGCAAAAATAAGAAATTAGTTTTGTCGGATAAAGTTGCTGAAATTGGAAGACAATTGTTTGATGAGCCGAGTTCTTCTTCGCGCAGAAAATATGAGGAGGAAGAATTGAGACCGACTAGGAAAATTGTGTTGGGAGCAACGAAGAAGCTTGCAGGTTTGTGGGTTTTGAAAGAATTTTTCAAAAAATTTCAAATTTTCTGCAGAAAAAGTAACACCACCTCCTGAAGACGAGGAAGAAGAAGAAGATGAGAGAAATGACTCGCAAGCTGATGAATCTTTGATTTTCTCGCAACCAATTATTCCAGTCGAAAGAGTTGGACAAAATCCATTTAAGGTGAGATAATTTTTCAAAATTCCATGAATCTAAAAAAAATTACAGAGAAATAGCGCTGCTTCATCAAACAATAAATCAGTTTTCGATCAATTGGAGCAACAAACATTGAAACGACCGAATTGTGAAGAACCTGTGACTGCAAAAAAAGGAGGAGGACCACCGGCCAAAAAACAGGCGAAATTGGCGTTTGGTGGCGAGAGCAAAAAGAAGAATGAGGAACAAAAGGAGAATTTGAAGAAGGCTGTTGTTGTGCAACAGGAAGAGGTTATTCCGGAATTTGTTAAAAAAAGGTTGGAGATTTTGGGGAGAATTGGAATTCGGAAAAATAGGGGAGCCTGTAGTTCAGAGTTTTTTGTTTCAGTGTGAATTTTTTGCTCTTTAAAAATCCGCTGAAAACCAAGTAAATTTTTCTTGAAAAAAATGTATTGGGCTTCGGAGAGTTTGAAAAAGCTTATTTTTAATTACACGATTTAAATTTGGAGTTTTCAAGTCTCATTAATACTGTTGTAATTTTCAATTAGACACACGAAGTTCAAAAATTCTGAAAAAAATATATTTTTTAATTAAAAACTCTGAGAATCTAATACATAGATCTAATAGATCTATAAATGAAACGCCTGTTTTCATAAATTTGAATTTTCCAAAATAAAATTTGATTCACTAGAATGTTTTCTTCATAAATTTAAAGTTCCCAAAAATCTTTTTTTTTTTCAGCGTCACACCGTATGATTTATGGCTATCTGAAAGCCGTCAAAATTTGCAATCCGAATATTCTGGAGAAGATTCGGAATTCTCGAAATTCTGCATTCAACAATTCCGAGCATTGAGCAAAGCGGAAAAAGATGTGAGTTTCTTTCCGATTCCAATAAATCCTAAATTTTAATTTTTTCAGGAATGGAAACAAAAAGCTCAACAACAACAACAAGTCTAACACTTTTTTAATTTAAAATTTTTCACAGCTTGTAAATAAAAATTCATAAAATCTCGAGAGAAAAAACGGATGAAAATCGGAAAAAAATGCTGATATTTTCACGCGGTGTGCAAAATTTGGGGGCAATAAATAAATATCTGGAAAATTATGCAATAGAAAAACAAACTACGGTGTTTCTTTGGTGAGTAGTCAATAATAAATACCTACATGTTTTAGAGGGGCGGAAGAAAATGTGTGTGATAAGTGAAAAATGTTTGTAAAAATCAAAATCAAATACAAAAAAAATTAGGACAAGGACCCATTTCAATCATCGCATTCGGCATAGTTATTTTGGTTTTCGGAAGATGAAAGTGTTGGATACACGGCATCTTGTGTGGCTCTTTTTGATGGCGGAATCAAATGTTTTGGCAATTCCAATGGCAATTCGTGACCTGAAATTTGGGAATTTGGATTTCTCGGCTATGAATTCATAAGAAATTTTGGAAATTTTACTAATGGGAATCAAGGTTGAGAATTTAGTTAAAAGAAGAATTTTGTAAAAAATACATTTCAAATATTATTGATTATTTTTCTGGAATTTTGGAAAATCGTTAAAAGAAGAATCTTGTAAAAAAATACGTTTCAAACAAAATTTGATAATCTATTGGGCGCTTCTTCAACAGTAATACAAGAATTATGTGTGAGAAAAATCTAGTAAAAAATACGTTTCAAAAATTATTGATTATTTTTCTGGAATTTTGGAAAAGGAATTCGCCGTATTACCCATAAATTATAATACAACTTTTTTTGAACACAAACCTTCCAATTTCAAGTTGATCAAATAATTGGCCAATGCAAATTCATCGCCATCCAATTGTCCATCTTTGTCGATATCGGCCAACTTCCAGATTTTTCCGAGAACCGAGTTTGGCAATTTCGATTTTACCATGTGTTCTTTGGCGGCGCGGCCTGGAAGAAAAAATGTATTTAGGATTTGAGGTGATTATTTTAGACTGGAATTTTATTGGGCCAATTTTTTATAACAAAAAATAATATAGACCAATTTTACGAAAAAAAAAGTCTTGAAATTCAGCGTTTGAAAAATGAAGCCAATTTCGAAATATTTTCAAAGAATTTGGAATTTGAAATTATCTAATCTAATCTGAAATATTTAAAAACTAGAGCGATAAATTTTTTTATCAATCATAAAATTTATGAAATTTTTCAAAAATCACCGAATTTTAAAATTTCTAATTGATAAATTTTCCATCTAATTTCAAAAAATTGTTCAGAATTTTTGAGAACTTTTCAAATCCTCTTCCAATTTTCAAACAATTTATCAGAATCTAAACTAATTTGAAACATTACATTTTTAATCCTACATTTTTATTATTTTTCAATCTCAAATAAAATCTTTTAAAAAATTACCCAAAGGTTCTGTTCAGAATTTTTGAAATTTCAATTTTCAAGAGGTCCCAAAAAACTCACCACTCAAAAAACCATTAACCGGTCCCAAACTATCAAAAGTGCTATCCGCTGTGGTTCTTTCGCGGTTAACAATCCATTCGCTTTCATTGGCTCCCTTATCGAACCCTTCTCCCTGAAAACAAATCAATTTTTGATGAAAAAATCAATTCGGATAGGGTTAATTGTCAGGTAAGTTGAGAAAATCGGAAAAATCAGGATTTGGGTAAAAAAGAGACAAAGGCTGTAATAGACAACAAAAAACACAAATTACCACCATCAAAACTGACCCAATGACTAGAAAACTAGAAAAATAAAATAAAATTAGAGGATCTCGAGATTTCTAAAAAAAAATCGATAACTGAACTTACTCTTCCAAATCCGAATGGTGTTTCGGCTTCGGTGGTTTGTGAGAATGCTCCTCCGCGAACAGTTTCGCTTTTTGGAGTTTCGCCGTTGAGCGGAGCAGCGGCTTCTTCTTTTGGAATTTGAGCCATAAGACGGGCTGAAAATGATATATTTGGAATTTCATCGAGCTATGACGTGGCAAATTTCGCTTACCAATATCAGTTGCCAACATTCCATCAACAACTTCCAACAATTTCGGTTTGATCGGATTGAATTTGGTGAAATCTTGATTGGCCAACTTCTCGCGCATCTTATGAACATCTGGAAAATCTCCGGGCGAAATATTGTGCTCTCGCTGAAGTTGCTCAAAGATTTTGTCCAAATTCTGAATCAACTCCTTCTTCTTCTTTTCTTTTCCAATCATCGATGGCATTTGTTTACGAAGTTCCGCAATAATATACGCGTGCACTTTAGCCAAACGAGCCCGTTTGATCAAATCGTTCAATTTTCGAAGTGCCGCATTTCTTGGCAACGCTTGCAAATCTTGGAAAAGATCGTGTTGCTCATCTTGGAACAATCGTCGATTAATATCATAATGAAGTGGATGATCCCAGAATGATCCCAAATATACACGTGAAACTTCGGGAGTTTTGAAAACTTTTCCAAGCGACCACATCAATGCTCCATAAACTCTCATCAATTGTTGATGATCAACCATATCGGATTTGTTGAGAACAATTCGAATTTTATCCTCATTTCCAGCCAAAGCCTCAATACATCTTTTGAATTCATCCGAAATATCCAATTTGTGAGCATCGAACAACAAAATAATGCGATCAACTCTTTCGGCAAACCACTCCAAAACTCCAGTAAAATCATAACCTCTATCGATTCGTTGTTTTTCTCCCGATAATATTCCGGGTGTGTCAACGATTGTGACACTTTCCAACACTTGATTATTCACTGATGAACATTGGAAGCGATTGAGGAATGCGTTTCCGAAGCCGGAAAGTGCGCGGAATTGCTTTTTCGCGTCGACAACGAGCGCATTTCCGGGGATGATTCCTTCTTCTTCGCCGTGCATAACAGCGATGAAACGATCGGTGGTTGGCTCTGGGCCAATTCGAATTCCCGGGAAATCCTGAAATATTTATTGATTTATTGGTAACTTTCCAAAAAGTGTTTCAACTTGCAATCGAAAATTTCAATGAATTGCTTATTTTCTAGTAGTTTTCGACCCGTTGATCACGATTCCGCTGTTTAAAACTGCAAAGTTCAACTCCTAACATGAGGTATGATGTGGCAAAGCTGGAAAATTTGACTTTAGGAGATCAAATCTCGCTTAAAAAACGGTTTTCATCAAAATCTGATAGGATAGCGTTGGTCAGCAGAAAAAGTTATGCCTCCTGAACAACGCTATGCTATCAGATTTTGACGAACATCGTTTTTAAAAGGAGATTTGACCTCGCAAAGTCGCAATTTTTCGAAATTTTCCAGCTTTGCCACGTCATAACTCATGTTAGGAGTTGAGCTTTGCAGTTTTAGACAGCGGAATCGTGATCAGCGGGTCCAAATCTACTAGAAAATTAACAATTCATTAAAAATCTCGATTGAAAGTTGAAAGAGTTTCGTTGTTCTTCAAAAACTTACAGATTCGAGTAAATATCTGATGAAAGTGGTTTTACCGGTCGAATATTGTCCAACCAACAAAATCATCGGTTTCGCATCGAAATCCGGATCATCGAGAGCCGGACTGTGAAACTCGTGGAATTTGTGAAACTCCTCGAGCGGCAAAAGCTTCTGCTTGTAGATTTTGCGAAGTCCCTCGCTGACCGACTCGAGAACCTCCTTGTTCTTCTTCTTCCCCGAATCACCGCCCAACCAACTGAACATGCTTTTTGAGCGTTTTTTCTTGTCGGCTGAAAATATTATGAAATTTGTGTATTTATTTTATTTTTTTGTTGAATGGAATGGAATGTGGAAATATAAATAGGATGATTCATTAATTTGGTTTCGAAAGACTTAAAGTACACAAAGTAATTTTTCTTGTGATGTAAAATAAAAATGTTATCTATCTAACAAAACGAAAGAGCTGTCAAAAATTGCTATAAATTCCTGACTGATAAAAATAAGTCAAAAGTGCGGATAAAAAACGGAGCGGTCGAGAGATCAATCGATATTTCCAATAAAACCAAAGGCCGGCGGGCGGTCAGGAAATAAACGACAAAAGAGAACGTATTTTTATTATGTGTGTTTTTTTTTTCTCGAAAAAAAAGAATGAAAAATAAAAAAAAATGAAAATTTCAGTTAGGCACGACCACATTATATATAGAAAACGAGAGAATTGAAAGAAACAGACAGAAAATTGCGAAATTGTTGTCCGAACATTGCCAGCTCAGTTTCTTTCTGCCAGTGATGAGTCATCGAAAAAAAGACTGTGCGAATTTGAGAGAGAGAGAGTCAGACAGTTAGAGTATATACTTTCGATGGATTAGGGGGAAACAAATTGATCGATTTTTTATTGGTATTGGAATTTTTTTACAAGAGATCTCTTGTAAAAAATAATTCGAAAAGATTTCCCTTATAAGGGGGGATATTTTTTGCGCGAAAAAAACAAATTATAAATTTTTGGGTGATTTTTTCATAGAATTTTTTTTTTCGTAAAATTTCTCCCAAAAGTTTGTTTGAAATAAATGAATTGGAAAATATGTAAGTACAGCCCAGAGGTTTTAGGTGAAAAACAACAAAGATACAATAAATAAATGACTAATATGATTATGATACACCCGAATCGATTTAGGTTGATGTTTAATCAAAAGAACATAACAAAAAGAAGAAAAGATACAAACTTTTCTCTCTTTTTTTGTTGTTGTTTTCTTAGATTTCTCGCCCTTTTTCTCAAAAAAGAGCAACAAGCTATCTAAATAACTATTTGGAAAAGCAGAAACAACACGCTATACTGCAAGTTTATTTATTTATTCATGCCTATTTCGACGAGAAAAAGCGGAAACGTTTATTGTGAATTTGATACCAACCTGATATCGATTCATCATCATCATTTATATAATACACTTTTTTGCGAGCAAAATACATTGAGAAATGAACGAGATTTGATTTTTATTTTTTGAGGAGTTCACGTGATTTTATTATTATTGTCATTCCGAAAATAAAAGAACCCCCGTTTAAATTGGCGCTCACGTACAGTAGACTAAAAATGACGTGACACATGCATATCAAACTGGTTGGCAAATAGCCAACGTGTAAATTTCGCATTTTATTTTTCAAAAAGACTCCAAAATTTTGCGAAGTCTACTGTATTTTGGTTTCCTAGGCCATTTCGGTTCTCTTCCAACGGTCTTTTTTTTTCGGAACGACAATACCTTTAGAAGTCATTTCCGAAAAAAGTGTTAGAAATATTGTGAGAGCAGAAAATAAAGAGCCAACGTCACAAAGCAAAGCAAATAGACAGAAAAATGTTGTACTTTTTGCACAGTTTGTTTCAAATAAGTTTACAACCCTAAACATTGCAGACATTCTTATCAATCAAGAAAATGAATTGTGCCTTGGATTGATATTTTAGGAGGATTTTTCGAGAAAATTGTATAAAAAATGATGAAAATGCTTTTAATAGTCGTGAGAGGGCGGTGAATGTTTGCTTTCGGGTAGTTTTTATGTTTAAAAGCAACTATGCGGTAAAACCGTTTTTTTTTTCGAAGAAAAAATAAGAAAAATAAGAAATGAAGAATGTGCGCCCTAATGAACACGCGCCAAAATGAATCATTTCGAAATATAAATTTTAGCATACCTTCAAATGTTGGGAAACTCAAGCGACCTGTAGATGCCGAGCAAACCATATTTTTAGCAACTCGAGAAAAAGAAAAAAATTATCTAATTTTCAGTAATCAAGCATGTGCGCCCTAGTGAACACGCGCGAAAATACAAATTGTGAAATGCACAGGGTGTAATTCACTACCTCAAATCGCTAGACCTCAAATTTTTCATTAATTTTCGGGTAGATCAAAAATAATTTTTCTCTAAATCTCTCGTTTTTGCGTTGAATTTTGTCGATTTTAGTCCCACCCCTAAGATCGTGTCAGATCTCAAAAAATGCGCGAAATTTTTCGGGTAGTAAATTACACTCTGTGAAATGCGTTTTTTTTTGCAAACCTGGAAACTTTTGGAAACTCAAGCGTCCGGAAGAGACAATCGAAGGAGTGCGCATTTGCGACATTCGGCGAATCGGTCTTGCAGGTGCAGAAATCGTATCAATTGAAGTAAATGAACTTCTATTCGAGCGGATTTTAACAAAACCCTAGAATTTCAAGCGATATTGATGAAAACGTTACGAAATTTTGAAAATGATGAAAAAAAATAAACCTCAGACATGATTCGACCGGCACAACAACAAGAATGTGTCAAATAAATATGATTTTTTTCATTTATCAGAAAAAAGGGGAAGGGGCAAAGAGGGCACGCCAATCAAAACATTTCAGAGTTTTTTATCAAAGTTTTATATAATAATAAAAAATAATGAAATATTTCTCTGATGGACGAGCAAAATATATAAACAATTTTTCTGCGAATCAACCGGAAATCAATAACTCACCAGATTCCGGATCAAAAAATGGATTTGGATAAATTGCTTTAGGCGCGTCTGTTTCAGTCAGTACAGGCTTACAAGGCTGACATCCCATCAATAACTAGGAATTTATCGATTTTCTATGTATTTCTATTTATTTTTCTGCTCTGTTTCTCCCGTTTCTCAATTTCCAACAAAACATTCGTTTTGTTATGGATCAATTCATCTGAAGAAAAAATGAATTTCGCGACATTTTTTTGTCGCGAAATTGCAATTCGCGAAACGACACGAAATTAATAAAATAAAAGAGGAAATTCTTTTTTCGTGTGTTGGGTCTCGCAGCGATTACGTGTCCCTTTAATGTTTCTCCTTTATTTTTGTGTTTATTTCGTGTCGTTTCACGAATTGCAATTTCGCGACAAAAAATGTCGCGAAATTCATTTTTCGTCAAATGAATTGATCCATTATGTAAATATAATACGTGGCAAAATGCAAATTGAAAACTGACCTTCTGGAAAAAACGACCATTCTTCGTTGAAATTTTCAGTTCGCGGGACAGTCTGGAAAAAACCAAACATTTTTGAAGTGAATGATTTTGAGTGATTTATTTTGTGAAAAATGTTGGGGAAATTTGAATATTCATGAAATGACGTCATAATTCATTTTTGTAATTTTTTGAAAAGTTGCAGAATTTTTTTATCACGTAGAGCAAAACAAAAACGCATTTTTTCGGAATAAAAATTTTGAACCTGACAATATTTCAATTTTTCCCATGTTGCAGGTTTTTTTTTTCAAAAAAAAATCTTGCAGTTATCACGTAGACAGACAAATGATAACGAAATTTTTGAAGAAAAGTTTACAATTTCTAAAAAACTTTGAACCTGAATACTTTTTCTGATTTATCTTCTCTCAACTATTCTCTACTCAGTTTTGCCACCCATTAAGACAACAAAAAAACACAATTTTTTCCTCTACAAAACTTGAGTTGCCTACGTGCCAAATCGATTGTTCAACAGTCTCGTGTCTCCAAAAATCATTCTCTCTCGCTTTTCCGATTTCTGACGTTTGTTTTTTGTGTTCTCCCATCTGTTTGATAGTAATTTTGTACGTATAAATAGACTAATTTCTGACATTTTTTTTGTTTAAAACATGAAAAATCGAAAATATTGTGCGGTTTGTCATCAACTTGGTGATGGAACACATTTTGGCGCGATTGTTTGCAAGTGAGTTTGATTTTTAAAAGTGTTTATGTGTATTACTGTAGCTACCGTACTAACCCTTAACTTTGAGACCCATATTTTCAATCTGTCAATTTCTCATTAACAGAGCCTGCGCTGCATTTTTCAAACGAACCACAACATTAAAATTGGATTTCAAGTGCCGAAAAGAAAATGAGAAATGTGTTATCAAAATGAGCAGCCGGGATAGTTGCAAAAAATGTAGATATTTGAAATGTCTAGCCGTTGGCATGAAATTATTATCAGAAGATCAAACAGTATCTCTTTGTGACTCATCTTCTCTCGATTGCGTTCCAAGTTGTTCACCAAGAAGTCCAAAATTTGACACAAAATTGGATCAATTCCAAACACCAACTCTATTCAAACTATACAGTAATTATCAGAAACTTTGCTCGACTCGATTCAACCTTCATTATCGAAATATCTCCAATTCCTCTCCTCGTCCTTGCACTCATGAAGAATTTCAGAAAATCTATATCGAAGATGTGAAATTGCAGAATATATTTTTAGAAGAATCATATGATGAGTACAAAAATATGGGCAATTTGGAAAAACAACGGGTCTTCAAGCACTTTTTTGTGACGTTTATGATGACTGAAATGGGTTTTAGAACTCATTCTGAAGGAAGATATAATAATTTCGTGGTTGCGAATGGTGATTATATTGATCTTAAATCTCTTGATACATTTTATCATAAACCGGATGAAAATAGAAGGTGCAAACCGACAGATGCTGTTAGGTAAGAAAAAAAGATGAGGTGCATATTTTCAACACCGAATTTCAGGATTTACCAGCCAGCTTTCACTCAAATGAAAAGAAATATCGTTGATCCATTTAGCGAGAAAAAATTATCAATCATCGAATTCCTCGCCCTTGTTTCATTGTCAGTTTGGAATGAATCAATCGATAATAATCCAACAGAATTCTATCAAAATTGCCAATCAGTGAAGGAAAAAACTATTCGAGATTTGATAACTTATTATGAGCAAGATATAAATGAGCCCGATCCATTATTCCGTCTCGGCTCAATTTTAATGCTGCTCCCTTCAATTGAAAGATCAATTCAATTATTTGTTCAACATGTTGAATTTAAAAATATGTTTCAATGTTATGCGTTTCATCAAAGATTGTATGAAATTATTCATGATGTATGTTAATAATAATAATAAAGTTTTGTTGTTTGTTTCAAGTTGGTGCCAAAATATTTTTGCACCCAAAGAGCACCTGACATTACTCACGATGTGTATTGCTCCAATGCACCCCCACTCACTTGTTTTTCGGTCTTCTTCTCAAGTTAATGCTAACATAAGTTTCGACATTTACGGAAAACTATCGAGTTTCTCTCATTTTACTATGTTTTACAAGTGCGTAGTTGTTTTTGCTCTCAATATTCTATTTCTGAATTCGCAGACTTTGACTAAAGAACAAGATGAAGCTTATGATAGTTTTATGGAAAATCAGGATCGGCTAACAAAGGATCTGTTCCAAAATTATAATCCAGATTTTACTACGATCTATACTTTGCGTAAGTGCTTTTTCAGAACTTTCGGAGAAGAAATTAGAGGTCTTTACAGGAAGTTCAAATTCTGTGAATCTTTCGGATTCATCCCATCCTCCCCCATTAAATATGAACTTCAAATGTCGAAATATAAAACTAGTAGATGTTGTTGAACGAGAAGAAAAAGTTAGTTTTCTTTTTGATTGGATTGCTGAATGGGAAGATCGAAGACTTCGATGGAATCCAGCGGATTACGGTGGCATTGAGCATTTCTACACACTTCAGAAAAATGTTTGGAAACCAGAGATTACTGTGTCCGATGCTCACGATATAGTTGATTTCCAACCCGAAAGTCAGAAGATTGCATGGATAAATTCAAATGGAACTGTTGGATTCTATCTCTCGATCATAGTTTCAGTTATCTGCGAACTCGATGTTTACAGATTCCCAAGAGATACTCACACTTGTTCAGTGAATATTATGTTTCACGCGTATTTCAAAAACGAGTATCATATAACGAATGAACCAGTTGATTTACCTGAGCCAGCTTCGCAATTAGGAAATGGTGAATTCCAAATTCTAGCAATCAATACATCTACTCAAATCTCACCACCAGGAGATGCTGATATTGTGAGTTTCTTGTTAACTTTTACTCGGAAAATTGAGTAGAATTTTTAGCAAAAAATCAATGTAACATTCCGAAGAAATCCAGGCTTTTATATCTCGCTGATCATGATTCCTGCACTTTTCATTAATGTTTTAAGCATTGTGGCGGTATTTGTAAACGTTGAAAATATTCCAGAGAAGGTAATTCACAAAACAGTTTTGAATCAAAAAAAAATAATTTCAGTTGACAATTGGTCTTACGAATATCATGGCAATGACTTTTATCCTCTCAATTCTTGCTGATGATCTACCAAAAACTAAGAAAATCCCACTTCTTGCAATTTATGTGATACTTTCTTTAGTGATAATTGTTGCTGCAATATGTTGTGTTGTGATTCTAAAATACGTTCGGAAGATGAAATGGTACGTGGATCAAAAATATTTGCAACAACAGAAGCAGAAGATCGACTATCTTTTCATGGCAATTTTCCAAATTGCTAACATCTTAAATTTTATGATACTCTACTTTTAATCTCAATAGGGCTGATTCACGAACGAAAAAATGTTAAAAAATGTTTTTTTAACATCGAAAGATCAATTCACGAAAAGTCAAAAAATGTCGAGAAAACATTGTAGGTCAAAATTAGTTTTTCGAGTTTTTCAGCCAAAAATGATGACAAATCAATATTTTTTAAGCTTCTGGAGTAATTTCTGATTAAAATTGACCTTGGAATTCACTTTTCAGAAGGTTTTGCTGATTTTTCGTAAAATAAAAATTTTTTAAATTTTTATGAATTTCGAAAAAATTCATAAAATAAAGCAAAATAGGGTTCTCGAAGCTTATTTTCATCAGAAATTACTCCAGAAGCTTGAAAAATATTGATTTGTCATCATTTTTGGCTGAAAAAACTCTAAAAACTAATTTTGACCTACAATGTTTTTTCGACATTTTTTGACTTTTCGTGAATTGTTCTTTCGATGTTAAAAAAACATTTTTTAACATTTTTTTCGTTCGTGAATCAGCCCTAATTATTTTCTTGATTTTTTTGTGGTACAAATAAAAAATTTACTCTTTTTTGTTTGAACGTCGACAAGTTTCGAATTTCCATCTCATTTTCAAATGTTTTCGAAATGCGTTTTATATTTTGTTCTGGTTGTAGTTTCCGAATCTCAGAATCAGAACCTAACAAGAGATCAGGATGAGTCATACGATAAATTTCTTGAAAATCAAGACAGGTTGACTAAAGATTTATTCAAAAACTATAACCCCGACTTCACAACAATTTATACGTTGCGTGAGTTTTTGAAACGTGGCAAATAATTTCTAATTTTTTAATTTTGAAATCTGATCAATCTTCAGATAGTTCAAAATCAATCAATTCATCTGGATATAACCATCCTCCCCCGTTAAATTTAAATTTCAAATGTCGAATGTTGAAACTAATCGATGTTGTGGAAAAAGAGGAAAAAGTTACTTTTCTGGTAGATTATCTTGCTGAATGGCAAGATCGAAGACTTCGATGGAATCCAAAGGATTATGATGGAATTGAACATTTTTACACACTTCAGAAAAATATCTGGATTCCAGAAATCACAATTGCTGATGCGTAAGTTCGAAGAACTTGTAGAAAAGCACATGAAAATTGTTTTCAGCCATAATGTGATTGATTTCCAACCCGAGAGTCAAAAAATTGCATGGATAAATTCAAATGGAACTGTTGGATTCTATGTGTCAGCTGTAGTTTCGGTTATCTGTCAACTCGATGTTTACAAATTCCCACGAGATATTCATACTTGTTCAGTCAATGTTATGTTTCATTCATATTTCAAAAATGAATATCAGATAACAAATGAACAAATCGATTTGTCACAGCCAATTTCAGAATTAGGAAATGGCGAATTCCAAATCTTATCCATCAATACTTCTACTCTCATTGCAGATCCAAGAAATGCAGATATCGTTAGTAAATAAACAATTCTCGCTGATGTTTTATAATTAATTTTTTCAGCAAAAGGTCAACGTAACATTTCAAAGAAATCCAGGATTCTATATCGCTCTGGTAATAATTCCTGCCTTATTCATTAATGTTTTGAGCATTGTGGCGGTATTTGTAAACATTGAAAATATTCCAGAAAAGGTGAGCTACAGTATAGAAACCGGAAAAAATACGTAAATACTACATAAAATGGAATAATTTCAGTTCACAATTGGTCTTACAAATGTGATGGCGATGACTTTTGTTCTCTCAATTCTTGCCGATGATCTACCAAAAACCAAGAAACCTCCCCTTCTCGCAATCTACGTCATCATTTCTCTCGTCATAATTGTTGCCGCAATATGCTGTGTAGTTATTCTAAAATATGTTCGGAAGATGTCTTGGTATTCAAATCAGAAATATTTGCGACAACAGAAAATCAAGATCGATTATTTTTTCATGATCATTTTTCAAATAGCTAATTTTCTAAATTTCCTTGCACTATTTTTCTGATGAAATAAAATACTTTTAAAACAAAAAAATGTCTGTGATGCGTCAAGTTACATAAACTTACTATGCAAAGTTTTAAGCTTTTTCCGATAATTATTTTCTTTCTAGTGATATTCAATACCCATGGTTTATCAGTTGATGAAAATATAAGTTATCGTAGATTTTTGAGCGAACAGAAAAGATTATTCAAAAATCTTTTCGAAGATTATGATGCAGACATCAGTGCACTCTATACTTTAACAAATTCTTCATTCGTCGATGAATATTCAATTCATCCTCCAAAACTAACATTATATCTTCAATGTCGAATGATGAAATTGATAGATGTTGTTGAAAAAGAGGAAAAGGTTACATTCTTATTTGATTACGTGGTTCAATGGCAAGATATTCGTCTTCAATGGGATCCAAATGATTACGGTGGAATAACACATATCTATGTGCAGCAGAAAAATATATGGATTCCGGAAATCACTTTATCCGATGCGTAAGTTGTTAGTTTAGAAAAATCTAATGATCTTTTAGCCACGATGTGATAGATTTCCAAACTGATCAACAAAAAACTGCGTGGGTTTACTATAACGGTTCCATCGGATTTTATACATCTAGTGTTCCATCTGTGATTTGTCAAATGGATGTTTTCAAATTTCCAATGGATTCTCACATTTGTTCAGTCAATATACAATTTCACACTTATCTTCTAGATGAATACAAAATGATAAATCAACCAGTAAATATTCCCCAACCTGTTGGATATTTGGGAAATGGTGAATGGAAAGTGGAATGGGTTAATGCAACAATGTGGGATACAGAGGGCGTTGTCGCAGATATTGTGAGTTTTTTCCAAAACGTACGTTACGTAAAACAATTTTCTCAATTTTTCTAGCAACAAGTTCAAGTGAAAATCAAAAGAAATCCAGGATTCTACATCGCACTCGTCATTATTCCCGCATTTTTCATCAACATTTTGACAGTTTTCGCCTTATTCTACAAAATCGAAGCACTTCCGGAGAAATTCAGTCTAGGATTAACAAATATTATGGCAATGACTTTTATCATCGCAATTCTAGCTGATGATCTACCAAAAACCAAGCAAATTCCACTTCTTGCTATTTATGTGATAGTCAGTCTTGTCATAACTATCTTTTCCTTATTTTCAATTATTATTCTTGTCAAGATCAAAAAGTTGAAATGTTATGAAGGCGGTCAAAAACTGAAATTTGAATACGTTTTGATGTTTGTGTTTCAACTTGCTAATTTCGTCAACTTCATAGTTTTGTTCTTCTGACTCTTTTTTGACTAAACAAATAAAACATTTTCTTTTTTGCGCATTTGCACATATTGTTTCCAGAGAAAATGCGTGGGCTTTTGATTCTTTTTATTCTAACTGAAGTTAATTCTCTTTCGGAATTCATGGCAAATCAAACAAAATTATACGATGATTTGTTTAAAAATTATAACTCAGATCTTGGATGCATCAATACTTTAGGTGAGGAAAATTATTTAGAAAATACGTGATTTTTTTGTTGAAAATCTATGAATTCAGCACCAAAATCACCGTATATTTTGAAAATCGAAACTGGAATGTTCAAATTGGTTAAAATCGAAGAGCCCGAGGAGAGTGTCACTTTTCTTTTCGATTTAATTTTGGTAAGCCACGGTCTTACTTGACTACGTAATTTCTGAAAACATTTGAGACTTGGCACGACGAAAGACTAGAATGGAATCCTGAAGACTACGGTGGAATAAATCACATTTACGTGCCATTAAAGAAGATCTGGGTTCCCGAAATGACAATCGTCGATTCAACAGAGCAAAAAAGTTTTCTCGAAAGAGATATGCTGTATGCGTGGATTTATAGCAATGGAAGTGTTAATTATTATCATTCTTCCGTTATTACAACAATTTGTGAAATGGATGTTTTCCGATTTCCGATGGACAGACATACTTGTAGTGTGAATGTTATTTATCACAGTTATGTGACTGGTGAGTACGAGATTTATGCCGAGCAAGGATTGATGCCGAGACCTATTAGAACTCTTGGAAATGGTGAATGGCAAATGGAATCTATGGGTGTTAGAAAACAGATTATGGATGATAATGAAACAGTTTTAGTAAGTTGGCAAACATGCCTTCACTGAAAAACCTAACCTAGATGTTGTGATTCCGAGTTTCAGAACATCTACGAGGCAACATTCCATCGAAATCCAAGTTTCTACATAACTCTAATTATAATTCCCGCATATTTTATAAATGCATTGAGTATTGTTGCATTATTCCACAATCTTGAAGCACGAGGTGAAAAATATCAAATTGGTATGACAAATATTATGTCAATGAGTTTTATTATGGTTATTCTGGCTGATGATTTACCAAAAACAAAGAACATTCCACTTCTAGGTTTGGAAATTTTGTTATTATTTTTTAGAAAGAGAAATTATTTCAGCAATCTTTGTTATCATAAGTTTGGCATTAATGATCGTATCCTTGGCGCTTGTTTTGATAATTCCAAGAGCTACACCATACCTCATCAAATATAACAAAACATTACCAAGAAAGATCTCTCTGATTCTGATGTATCTTCTACAAATCGCAAACTTTATCAATTTTATTGTTCTATTTATTTGAATGTCAAATGACCTTTTAAGTTCAATATTGAATTTGTTGTTGTCGAGATTCAAAGTTAAATTATTAATATTTCAAATAAAAAACTTAAAACTTTTGTCAACTTCTGACCTTTTTTTGGCTAAACAAACATCACATTTTAAGCATTTTCATATGTTGTTTGCTTCTAGGAAACATGCGCGAGCTTTTCATTTTTACAACTTTTATGGTATTATTTCAAGCTCAAGTTAATTCTCTCTCGGAATTCATGGCAAATCAAACACAATTATACGATGATTTGTTTAAAAATTATAATCCTGATATTGGATGTGTCAATACTATAGGTGAATTTGAAATTTGTAATTCTTTAAACATGGGTATAGTTATTCAGCACCAAAATCCCCGTATATTTTGAATATTGAAAGTGGGATGTTCAAGTTGGTCAAAATCGTAGAAGCGGAAGAAAGTGTCACTTTTCTTTTTGATTTGATCTTAGTAAGTTGCTAAAAAAAGCTTTGGTGACATACAGTATTCTGGCTCTGAACTTTTCAACAAAAAATTCTCTAATCCTAAATTTGATTCATAGACTTGGCACGACGAAAGACTAGAATGGCATCCAGATGACTACGGTGGAATAAATCACATTTACGTGCCATTGAAAAACGTTTGGGTTCCGGAACTGACAATCGTCGATTCAACAGATCAGAAAAGTTTTCTCGAAAAAGATATGCTTTATGCGTGGATCTACAACAATGGAAGTGTGAGCTTTTATCATTCTTCAATCGTCACAACAATTTGTGAAATGGATGTTTTCCGATTTCCGATGGACAAACATACTTGTAGTATTAATGTTATTTATCACAGTTATGAGCCTGGTGAATTCGAAATTTTGGCAGAACAAGGATTGATGCCGAGACCTATTAGAACTCTTGGAAATGGTGAATGGCAAATGGAATCTATGGGTGTTAGAAAACAGATAATGAATGACAATAAAACTCTTCTAGTAAGCTGAACTTTTCAATAGAAGAAATAATTACTAATTACAGAACCTCTACGAGGCAACATTCCATCGAAATCCAAGTTTCTACATAACTCTAATTATCATTCCCGCATATTTTATAAATGCATTGAGTATTGTTGCATTATTCCACAATCTTGAAGCACGAGGTGAAAAATATCAAATTGGTATGACAAATATTATGTCAATGAGTTTTATTATGGTTATTCTGGCTGATGATTTACCAAAAACAAAGAACATTCCACTTCTAGGTAAGATTTTTTTTTGATTTACGACAATTTAAAAAATTCCAGCAATCTTTGTTATTGTATGCCTGGCATTAATGCTTGCCGCATTGGCTTGTGCTTTGATAATCCCAAAAGTCACACCATTCCTCATCAAATATAACAGAACTCTACCGAGAAAAATCTCTTTGATTCTGATGTATCTTCTACAAATCGCAAACTTCATCAATTTTATTGTTCTATTTATTTGAATGTTTGAACTGTGTCATTTGAAAAGATCAAATTACCTTCCCATGTAGTTCAATATTCATTTTGTATAAAGTTGTCAAAACGTCATAAAATGCACGGCCCGGCTAAACGGACGCCCCGCCCACTTTTTTTTTCGTTTGTGTTTTTTCGTTTCCCACACACACACCTAGGCTACGTATACCTTAGGTATACGTTAGGGATACTTTATCCATAACGTATACTTTTTTTTGTCCATAACGTATACGTGTTTTCAACGGATACAAAACGTGTAAAATTTCATGGAAGATTTTGACTGTTTTTTGGACTAAATCTGTCCCTTATGAGCTTGGGAGTTAGTTTAACAACTTTTCGCGAGGTTTCGAGACCATTTCGAATAAATTTATGGTGAAAGTTGAAATTTTGGAAAAGTGGACGTAACGTGTATATTTTTCATCCGTAAAGTAGACTTGGCAAAAATTGATAAATCATTGGAGGTTTTTCGAAAAACTTAATTTTCGTTGTTTTCTCAATGTTTGTGATGTCAAAGAATGAATCAAAAACTCAATTCGAAAATCGGAAAGACTTTTTGAAAAGTACACGTAACGGAGATGTATTATTTCCATAACGTACACTTTTTCATCTCCATAAAGTATACGTTAAGTACATTTTTTGTAACCTATAAAAAATACATTTTCATTTTTATAAATTTTCCGTCCAACGTCTTATAGATAAGTTATTTCATAATTTCAGTACTTTTTCTTTCCTAGTAAATTGTTTCTATACAATTTTGGCCATTTTTGTCTTCATTTTCCACTCAAAAAGAAACATTAGCTCAAAATTAGGTCTAAGTTTCATTCCTGGACTGATATCCCATGTATTTTCAGTCATTTTCATATTTTATCACGTTTTTATTTGCAAATAAACATTAGTAAAACTCAAAAATTGCAAGAAAAACGCGAAATCCAGAAAAAAGATAAGCCCCGCCCACTTCCCACGAAAAACATAGCGTAGCGCGCAGCACGCGAGGTGTCGGTCGCTAGAATTATATAAGTAGACAGAGCGCTTTCCCTTCTCCAAAGCGTGTTTCGCTGAAAAACGCCGAGGAATGGAAGTTTTTTTAAAGCAATATTGAATTGCAGTCAATTTTGAACTGATCTATAACTGAAATAGATTCACATTATCAATTTGAAAATAAATTCTGAAATTTCAAAAAGTACACTTTTTATGTCCGTAATTTTGTCCGTTACGTACACGTGAGAGTCTCCATATGGACATCTCAGGTGTACTTAACGTACAAGTGTGCGAGAATCAAAAAGTGTACGTTATGGAGACTTTACGTATACGTACCCGAGGTGTGTGTGCACACAAAAATGTGCAACAGCGAAAACACGCTGTACGAGTGGTTAACACACGCGCCGAACAAACGCACAGTGCGAGTTCGACTCCCCATTGGCGCACACATTTTTTTCTTCTTTTTTTCTTTTTATTTTTGCGCGCGCTTTCTTTTCAACGATAAAATACTTCATGAATAAAAATTATTTGGAAGTATATAAATATTCATTTCCATCAAATCGATGACGATAAAAAATATTATTTTGTTTTTGGGTGTTTTTTCGGCTTTCAAAAACAAGAAAACATCGAAAAACCAAAATTATCCATATTTTCATAGGGTTTTCAAGTTCAAAAATTAATTTTGAGAAAACCGCTTGTACAATTTTTATATAAATTTTTTTCTTGACTAATAAGGTCTAAAGGAAAGATAATAGCCCACAAACAAAAAATTTTACGATGAAATTTGAAAGTAATGGGCTTGTGACCAGATTTAGCCTTATTTTTCGGTGATTTTCAAAAGTAAAAATTAATTTTGAGAAAACCGCTTGTACAATTTTTATATAAATTTTTTCTTGACTAATAAGGTCTAAAGGAAAGATAATAGCTCACAAACAAAAAATTTTACGATGGAATTTGAAAGTAATGGGCTTGTGATCAGATTTATCCTTATTTTTCGGTGATTTTCAAAAGTAAAAATTAATTTTGAGAAAACCGCTTGTACAATTTTTATATAAATTTTTTTCTTGACTAATAAGGTCTAAAGGAAAGATAATAGCTCACAAACAAAAAATTTTACGATGGAATTTGAAAGTAATGGGCTTGTGACCAGATTTTGCTTCATTTTTCAGAGATTTTCAAAAGTAAAAATTAATTTTGAGAAAACCGCTTGTACAATTTTTATATAAATTTTTTTCTTGACTAATAAGGTCTAAAGGAAAGATAATAGCTCACAAACAAAAAATTTTACGATGGAATTTGAAAGTAATGGGCTTGTGACCAGATTTATCCTTATTTTTCAGAGATTTTCAAAAGTAAAAATTAATTTTGAGAAAACCGCTTGTACAATTTTTATATAAATTTTTTTCTTGACTAATAAGGTCTAAAGGAAAGATAATAGCTCACAAACAAAAAATTTTACGATGGAATTTAAAAGTAATGGGCTTGTGATCAGATTTATCCTTATTTTTCAGAGATTTTCAAAAGTAAAAATTAATTTTGAGAAAACCGCTTGTACAATTTTTATATAAATTTTTTTTCTTGACTAATAAGGTCTAAAGGAAAGATAATAGCCCACAAACAAAACATTTTACGATGGAATTTAAAAGTAACGTGAGAGAGAAATGTATCTTAATGAAGGAGACTGTTACGTGTAGGATTAACAACTTCTAGGCTTGGTTAATAACAATGTATAAAGATTTTTCAAGCAAAAAAGTTAACTTTTTCTGAATTTGAATTTTTATATAAATTTTTTTCTTGACTAATAAGGTCTAAAGGAAAGATAATAGCCCACAAACAAAACATTTTACGATGGAATTTAAAAGTAACGTGAGAGAGAAATGTATCTTAATGAAGGAGACTGTTACGTGTAGGATTAACAACTTCTAGGCTTGGTTAATAACAATGTATAAAGATTTTTCAAGCAAAAAAGTTAACTTTTTCTGAATTTGAATTTTTCGGAAATATTGTTTTTTTTCAAAAAATTTCAGACTTTACAGAAAAATTTCAAATATTCAAACTCTTTGAAAATCACTGAAAAACGAAGCAAAATCTGGTCACAAGCCCATTACTTTTAAATTCCATCGTAAAATTTTTTGTTTGTGAGCTATTATCTTTCCTTTAGACCTTATTAGTCAAGAAAAAATTTATATAAAAATTGTACAAGCGGTTTTCTCAAAATTAATTTCTACTTTTGAAAATCACCGAAAAATAAGGATAAATCTGATCACAAGCCCATTACTTTTAAATTTCATCGTAAAATTTTTTGTTTGTGAGCTATTATCTTTCCTTTAGACCTTATTAGTCTAGAAAAAAAATTATATAAAAATTGTACAAGCGGTTTTCTCAAAATTAATTTTTACTTTTGAAAATCACCGAAAAATAAGGATAAATCTGATCACAAGCCCATTACTTTTAAATTCCATCGTAAAATTTTTTGTTTGTGAGCTATTATCTTTCCTTTAGACCTTATTAGTCTAGAAAAAAATTATATAAAAATTGTACAAGCGGTTTTCTCAAAATTAATTTTTACTTTTGAAAATCACCGAAAAATAAGGATAAATCTGGTCACAAGCCCATTACTTTCAAATTCCATCGTAAAATTTTTTGTTTGTGAGCTATTATCTTTCCTTTAGACCTTATTAGTCTAGAAAAAAAATTAAATAAAAATTGTACAAGCGGTTTTCTCAAAATTAATTTTTACTTTTGAAAATCACCGAAAAATAAGGATAAATCTGATCACAAGCCCATTACTTTTAAATTCCATCGTAAAATGTTTTGTTTGTGGGCTATTATCTTTCCTTTAGACCTTATTAGTCAAGAAAAAAATTTATATAAAAATTGTACAAGCGGTTTTCTCAAAATTAATTTTTACTTTTGAAAATCACCGAAAAATAAGGATAAATCTGATCACAAGCCCATTACTTTTAAATTCCATCGTAAAATGTTTTGTTTGTGGGCTATTATCTTTCCTTTAGACCTTATTAGTCAAGAAAAAAATTTATATAAAAATTGTACAAGCGGTTTTCTCAAAATTAATTTTTACTTTTGAAAATCTCTGAAAAATGAAGCAAAATCTGGTCACAAGCCCATTACTTTCAAATTCCATCGTAAAATTTTTTGTTTGTGAGCTATTATCTTTCCTTTAGACCTTATTAGTCAAGAAAAAAATTTATATAAAAATTGTACAAGCGGTTTTCTCAAAATTAATTTTTACTTTTGAAAATCACCGAAAAATAAGGCTAAATCTGGTCACAAGCCCATTACTTTCAAATTTCATCGTAAAATTTTTTGTTTGTGGGCTATTATCTTTCCTTTAGACCTTATTAGTCAAGAAAAAAATTTATATAAAAATTGTACAAGCGGTTTTCTCAAAATTAATTTTTGAACTTGAAAACCCTATGAAAATATGGATAATTTTGGTTTTTCGATGTTTTCTTGTTTTTGAAAGCCGAAAAAACACCCAAAAACAAAATAATATTTTTTATCGTCATCGATTTGATGGAAATGAATATTTATATACTTCCAAATAATTTTTATTCATGAAGTATTTTATCGTTGAAAAGAAAGCGCGCGCAAAAATAAAAAGAAAAAAAGAAGAAAAAATGTGTGCGCCAATGGGGAGTCGAACTCGCGCTGTGTGTTTGTTCGGCGCGTGTGTTAACCACTCGTACATGAGCTCCCACGCTTAAGGAAAAAATGAGAAAAAAGTGGGCGGGACGTACGTTTCGCCGGGCCGTGAAAATGTTAAATTATTTATTGCTATTCTCTGTTTTCATTAGATTTGTAGAGAATTCGGAATCAAATTGGAATCCTAAATATTTGGAATTTTTGGAAAATCAAGATCGATTGATTGATGATCTTTACGCAAAATATAGTTCAAAACGAGCGCCGATTTATACATTAGGTTAGTATCAAAAATAAATGTGTAAGGTTTTCGAAAAAAAATGAATTCAGAAAGAGGAAATGGATCTGATGCAATTCCAAAGTTTGTAGTTACTATGGTTTCTGGATATCTGAAATTGATTGAAGTTTCAAATCCAGAAGAACGTGCAACTTTTGTTTTTGATTTCACGGCGGTAGGATTTTGAGAAATAGTTTTTGTTAAAAAACAAAAAAAAATTTCTTGAGTCGTGGGAAGATGCTCGATTATCTTGGAATTCTACAGAATACGGTGGCATTAGTTATTTATATCTTCCAATCACCGAAGTCTGGGTTCCAGAAATTGCAATAGTTGATTGCATAGATATCAAAACTTTAATGTCAGATGAAATGAAAAATGTTTTGATAAAATCGGATGGAAAAATTGCATTTTATCAAAGCGAAGTAGTTTCAGTGGTTTGCGAAATGGATGTTTATAAATTCCCAATGGATAAACATACTTGTGGTGTGAGTGTTATTTATTATAGTTTTTTGCCTACTGAATATTCAATAAACGCCTCATTTGGTGCAATGGTTAGACCAATTAGTGAAGCTGGAAATGGTGAATGGCAAGTTGAATCAATTCAAATGGGATATGAACTTGTATCAGATAATATAACAACAATTGTAATCCATCCAAAAATTAAGAATTTCGGATTTTCTTTCTATTTTCAGAATAAATTTCAACTAACAATGAAAAGAAATCCAAGTTTCTACGTGGTTCTTGTAATACTCCCCGCCTATTTCATAAACCTTTTGAGTATTGTTGCATTATTTTGCAATATTGAAAATCTTCCCGAAAAATTTCAAGTTGGCCTAACTAATATTATGTCAATGAGTTTTATTATGGTAATTCTTGCGGATGATCTACCAAAAACCAAAAAGATACCACTTTTAGGTGAACTGCATTTTTAAACATTTCCAAAAAAAATTATCACTGTTTCAGCAATTTATGTGTTGACAAGTTTGGCAATAATATTAGCTGCAATGGTGGTTGTTGTGATAATTCCAAAAATCAAGAATCGTATGCGGTATTTTGAGAAATCTCGCCTCAAACTCAAACTCGAACACATAATAATGATAATTTTCCAAATTGCAAATTTTATCAATTTTTTAGTGTTGTTTATATAAATGGATATGTGTAGAACATCAAAAATTACACCAAATTTTCAGCTGTCCCAAGCTCAAAATTTGCTCATTGATTTTCCACATAAAATTTGGATAAATGCAAAAAATCTATATTTTGGACAATTATGATATTCGCGAGTATGTTTTGAGTACTTCAATATTTACGGTAGTTATAAATATTCTTGTAAATGTTTTATGCTTTCATATGATGCTTAAACATTCGAAAAAAGAAAATAAATTGTATAAATATGTTTTCTTTTTGAGTCAATTCACATGTTTTTTATCGCAAGTTTATTGGGGAATATTTCAATGTACAATTCCGCTGTTTCCATTTCCTGCATTTATTTCCTATGGATTATTGAGTCAATATCTTTCAACATATAATCTTTCACTGATTTGGAGTTTATTTTTTGTGCCATATGCTTTTTCTATATTTTTTGTCCTTCTTCTTAGATTGAAAATTGTCGAATCATTCATGAATTCTGATAATGTTTCAAATTATTATTTTTATACCATAATAATTATAATTTGGGGAGTTTCTTTTGTTATATTTCTTTGTATTATTACTGCATTTTTTAATAATGATATTGATAGCTTTTATGATAAATGAGTATCCAAACTATATTCATATTCAATATCTATACGGAATCTACATTTTTGCCAACCCAATAATTATCAAATATTCTGTTATTTTTCTTGGTGTTTTATATTCTATTGGAACTCTTGTAAGTTTACAGTAATCTTTGTCTAGAATCAGATCAATTCAGATTTACGTTTTCCTTGGATACCAAATATTTTCCAAAGTGAAATCCCAACAAAATAAAATGAGCAGATCGCAGAAAAACTATCAGAAAAGAGTTTTTGTCGAATTGACAGTTCAGACATTGCTTAAAATATGTTCTATTTGTATTTATGGTCTTTGGTGGATTGTATTATATATTCTGGCGCCGATTGGAAATGTCACATGTAAGATGTTCTCTATTACTAACTTTAATACATCAAATAGATTCTTATAGATATCACAATATTTTGTCATTGTACATTTGTTGGTGGATCGATTCCCGGAGCCATATACATGATTTGGAAACATCCAACTTATTTGAAAAATTTCAAAAAAATGATTGTTTGTAAAAATGTTTTGAACACGGATAGAATTTTCATTCGTTCATCAGTAATTCAATAAACTTTCTGACTGCAAAATGTTCTACATAAGCTTTATCAATTTCACAAAATCAGACGTTCAGAAAAAATTGCAGCTGTCAAGCACATTTGGTTATTTATCTCACAATCAGAAATGAAAAACATATATATTTTGGACAATTATGATATTGGCGAATATGTTTTAGGCACCTCAATTTTTGCAGTGGTTATAAATTGTATTGTGAATTTATTCTGTTTTCATATGATGTTGAGATATTCGAAAAAAGAAAATAAATTATACAGATCTCTTCAATTTTTGAGTCAATTATCATTTTTTGTATCACAAACATATTGGGGAATATTTCAATGTACAATTCCGCTTCTCCCATTTCCTGCATTTATTTCTTATGGATTATTGAGTCAATATCTTTCAACATTATATTTATCATTTATTTGGGTCTTATTTTTTGTTCCATATGCAATTTCAATATTTTTAGTTGTTTTGCTTCGATTAAAAATTGTTGAATCATTTATGAATTCTGATAATAGTTCTAATTATTTTTTGTATATTTTTGTACTTGGAATTGGTGGAATTTCTGGCGCATTATTTCTCACCATTATAGTTTTATTCATAGAAAATGATATTGAAAGTTTTATGATGAATGAGTACCCAAATTATATTCATATTCAATATATTTTTGGGATTTATATTATAGCAAATACTACAGTGATTCATGTATCTGTTATTTTTCTTGGATTTATGTTTTCGTTTGGAACATTTGTAAGATTCCTTTTTTTTCAAACCCAACCCCAAAGCAAAAAAAAACTAACTTCAGATGTATGCCCTCATCGGATATAAGATATTCACCAAGGTAAAATCGCAGCAAAATAAAATGAGCAGATCGCAGAAAAACTATCAGCAAAAAGTGTTTGTCGAATTGATGGTTCAAACATTTCTCAAAATCATCTCAATCGGAATATACGGGTTTTGGTGGATTGTGTTGTATATTTTGGCGCCAACTGGAAATGTGACCTGTAAGATTTTTCTTGTAGATAATAATATATATAATTGTGAGGAGGACAAACCTTTTTCCAGATCTCACAATATTTTGTCATTGTACTTTTGTTGGTGGATCGATTCCAGGAACTGTGTACATGATTTTACAACATCCAACTTATTTCAAGAATTTCAAAAAATTCTTCGGCTGCTTTTCGAATTCAGATACATCACGGCAAATGTTTGTTCGATCATCTGTTGTTCAATGAATATTTGCATAATAATCCATGTTTTCCTGCAAAAAATCAAAATAAGAAATGGTAAATATGTTCAAACGTGAAAAATCTCACGCGAAAACAATTTTTTTCAAAATAATTTTGTTTTTCGAACAAAATCGTGTGATTTCCAATGTTTTATGCTGTCCAACAACTTTGTGACCGAGAAAAAAGAGAAATAAAAAAACTGAAAATCTCCCAGCGAAACAACACACGAAAAATGGAGCGCGCAGAGAAATAAAGTGTGTGCAGTGGAGCGCACATTCCTTTTCTCATTTTTTCATTGTTTATTTTTCTTTTGGTGCGTTCGGTTTTTTCTCCATTTTCCGGAGTTCCCCGTCTGATTCAATATATCGAATCACATCACCGAAAATGGACGGCTTCATCAAGCTGTTTTGCGGTTGTTGCGGCACTCAAGATGAGTCAGATCTTCCCTATCGACCACTCGATCGTTCCGAAGAAGTAATTCCTGTCCGCGACCCACCAATCATCAACCCAAACTTATATCAAACTGCTCACGTTAACGGAGGATTCGACGAAGTCGACGCGCGACCAATCGAAAGCGAAACCAACAGTCCGCTACCAACTGAAAGCGAAAAAACCGAAAAAGAGCGAGACAAAGATTTATTGAACGAAATTCTTGCAACAACACAACATGTGAGTCGTTTTCTCTTGATGATAAAGATAAAGGAGAGTTTCTTTCAGAATATTATCACCGTTGGTCACATGGAATACAGCAGCCTAGCGACTGGTGAAAATATGACAAGAGAACGAAAATACGATGATCTCGTCAAACAAAATGATGATAATACAAAGAATGTGCCAACTTCCAGTGAACACGGTAAGATAGCAGACTTAAGTTCAAAAAATATTCATATCCAAAGTTGAAATTTTCTGGGATGTGGAGAAAAAATCGATAACTGGGATAATGTTACACAAAAAAACAAAATAAGGCAGCTGCGGAAATAGGATTTCTTTGAAAATATAGAAAAAAATCATATAGATTCACGTGCTAGGTTTCAAAAACAGTATATTTTTGTAAAAATTACGAATACAAGGTTTTCCTAAGGAACCTTTTCAGTTTCATAAAAGTTCATGAAAATTCCCTTCACATCTTTCAAAAAATGTTCTTTTTCAGTGTATGACTTCGATTTGATAACTCTCCAAAGGCCCATCGAATTACCATTGCTAAACGACGATGATGCCCCACCAGGTTATCCCCACAATCACATTCGTCCACATTTCACTGGTCCAAGTCGACAACACACTCAAAGATCGCGTCCTCTCGGCCTCCAAACTTCAACATTCCTTGCTGAACATCCAGACGTCAAAAAAATCGGAAAATTGCCGGCAATCCCACAAGCCACTCGACAAAAACTTCGCGATTGTGTCAAAGAAATTCACAACGGTGTTGAAGAATGTCAAATCGAACACAAAACCGATCTTGTCGTTCACATGGATTTCTGAGTTTTTTGTCTTTTCGTTTTTTTTCTCTCAATTTAATTTAGGATTTCGTGTGATAGTCAACAATTACAAGTAAGCCTCTTTTCTCGCAGATTATTTACTACTAAAACCCCGAAATTTTTCTTCGTCCATTTATTCATGTCTAATTATCATTATTTTTTTCGAATTTGTTCATATTTTCTCCCCTTTTTTTCGCCCCGATTTTTTGAGTGTGTGTGTGTTTTTTTGTTGCCTTGCCTTATTATCAGAGAATTGAAAATTTTATCTTTATTCAAAGAAAAATCAGTTAGATAAGAAGAAATACCCATAGAACTTGTAGATATGTTAATTTTTGGCCTAGGGGAGCCAATTAATTAATTAGTTATACATAAAATATGAGCAAAAACGCTATCAAAGTTTGAAAAATCACAGTATTGATTGATTTTGGAGAGGAGACGGCGGTGACTGAATCACTATTGCAAAGATCACCAACGCAGGCACAATGAACTTCTTCGGAAACATCTGGCATCCATTTTCGTGAGCAACCTTTGAGAACCTGCAAAATTTGGGAATGGTGAGTTTTTTGAAAATGAAAAAAGTTCACGTTTTTAAAAAATATAAAACACGTGAAGTATTTTTTTTCATTTCGTGATTCAAAATTTCAAAAACTTCCAAAATTTAATTCAAAACTCACATATTGGCTATCAGTAACATTCATACAACCCTGTAGTTCTGTCAAGGATTGTACCATATTTAATCTACCACTTCCTCCCCAATTCCGATTCGCTGCATAAGTACAAAAATGCCCCAAACATCGATTTGTTTGACAATTCGTTGTTCTTGGTAATTGTTCTTGTGCTGTTGTCTCACAACTAACACAAACATGTAAAGGAAGCCCCGGTTCAGAAATACTCATCGCAATATTTCTAGTAGCTATCGATTTTTCACGATCCGAATTATATGAGTTCTGATTGCTCAAATATACAGAATTGCATCGATTCTGTTGACAAATACAATGTCTTCGAGGTTTTCCAGCGCCTCTCGATAGAATCACACAAACTCGACTTCGATAATAGAAAATTGTTGGACCTCGATAGAAAAATGGAAGAGCTGGTGGACCATGTCCACATCCAGCTGCACCAGTCAGCAGATCTTCGTGACACCAATTGCCTCGACATGTTTGACCGCAATCGGGATTCTTCTCGGGGCAGTTTCGACATTCTACAGAATGTCGATGTTTTGTGGAATTCATTATTATACGATTGTTACAGTATGGACCTTCGCATGTGCAGAGAATGTGATCGGAGAAGTGATCGTATTCGCAGCCGTGGTGGATTCGAGGAGTTCGACGGAGGCAACCTGGAAGAATTTGGAATTTTGAGGGGAAATTTGATCTTCAGAAGGCTGGTCAACATTTTTAAGAGTTTCCGAAAATCACAAAAAAATTTTATAAAAATTTTCGGTAATAACGGAATTTTCAAAAAATTCAAAATTTTAATTGATTTCTGAAAAAAATCGCTGCCACAACAGATTTTCCGGATTTCAAAATCCCCGAAAATTTCAAAAACATACCTTTAGTGATTTTCATAATTCCTGGAATATCCGACGGTTTTTTCTCAATGAAGCATTGTTTCGCACTGCATTGTCCCATCTGAAAAATTCTTTTTTTTTTCTGAAAAATTTTCCTGATTCTGAATTTTTTTATTCAAATTGTTTTTTTCTCTAACAAAATAATTTTTTTTCGGTTCTCTTTTCTTGTCCAAAACATTTTTTTCTTCATTTGAGTTCCCGTCTTTGGGTCATCAAGAATAATGTCGTCGTGTTTTTGGCTTCTGCCTGTGTTTCAGGCGGTCGTAAATGAGGTCGTTTCGAGTTTCATAAATTTTTTAGTAATTTATTTTTTTTGTTGGCTCGTTTTGCTCTCGTTGAGAAAGAGGAGGAGAAGGGAGAAATGGGCATTTTTGGGTTTTGAAAAAAATATTTTTCCACGTGGCAAAAATGTTGAGCTGAAAGTTTTAGGCTAAAAATCCACGTGGCAAACATTTTGCTGGATACAAAGCCACGTGGAATTTTTTTTGTGAATTAGAAAAAATTCGGAAAACTTTGATCCACGTGGCATATTTTCATCTGATTTTTTTTTTTTTTGAAAAGTTAAGTTATTTTTTCTAAATAACCAAGTGGAAAAAATGTTGGGTTGATTGGAAATTTTAGGATCAAAAATACACGTGGCAAAATTTTGAAAATTTCTCTCAAAAATTCACGTGGAATTTTTCGGGCTGTAAAATCCAAACATTTTGCTGGATATTCACAAAGCCACGTGGAATTTTTTTGTGAATCAGAAAAAATTCGGAAAACTTTGATCCACGTGGCTTATTTTCAGCTAAATTTTTTTGAAAGTTATGATATTTCTTCCGAAAACATTTGGTTTTGATGCCAAATTTTTCCGAGCTCAAAAAAATCAGATCAAATCTCTGAAATTCTGGAAAAATAAACAAAGTTCTAAATTTCTAGATCAAACATTTCCAGCCCGAATTCCTACCATCTCCCCAAAACAAACCTGACAATTACAGTCCTCATTATGACACATTCCCGAACATGAATAACACGTGTTCGCCTCGCCAAAACCTGGCAACACGCCAAAAATCACCAAAAACCCAATGAAACACTTCCAATGTGCCATTAGAAAATAATATTCATCTGTAAAGAAAAAATGTTGGCACTTTTTTCGAGGGTATATGTATTTTTTTGATTGATATGAACGCGACACGAATTCAATTTGTGCCAGAAAAAAGAGGCCGCGCACTTTTTCAGGGTGTATTATTATTATTAAAAACTCATCGCGGTGGGCTATAATTAGAAGAAGAAGAAGAGGGAAAAAGTAAAACAACAAAGCGAGCAAGCAGAGAAAGAGCAAAAATGGGATTGGCGTGAGCAAAGTGGCGCACTTCCTGTAGACCACGCCCACTTTTTTTGTTGGGGAGCTCGCAGTTTTTGGGAGAGTTGATGAAGCGGAAATTCATTCACCTTGTTGTGTGCACATCAAAAATGAATCATGAAAAAAAATAGTTTTTTTTTTTCTGGGTGGAAAAATTTGGAGGGAGCTTAATGGATGAATGAAGAAAAAGAAAAAATTAAGAAAAATAAGTGCACTTTGGATACTGTAGGTTGAGATTTTTAGGTGGGAGAAGGGTAAGAGAAGATATTCAGGTCAATCGGGTTTTTTGAATTTTTTAAATGTGAAATTTGTAAAAATTCTGAATTTCTTCACGTGGAATTTCGAGCTTCAAGTTCTTGAGAAAATTGTCCACGTGGATTTTAGGCTCCTAAACGATTCTATAATTTTCTCAAACTTTGTCACGTGGATTTCTAATAATTCTCAATAATTTCTGATGTTCGGAAAACTCCTAGATGTTCAAATTGAAGTCAAGAGTTTTTTGAATTTTCTAAATTTTGCCACGTGGAATTTTGAGCTCCAAGTTCTTGAGAAACTTGTTGAACTCGAGTCCTAACTTCTTCTTTTTGTAAATGTTGCCACGTGAAATTTTCAAGTTTCAAACAATTTTCTTCAAACTCTCATAAATTCAGTTAAAGTTTTACGAACTTCCAAATTTTTCCCTGCGTTCTAAGAACCTTCTCGAAACAAAATTTGGAAAATCTAAAACTTGGGCTTCAAAAAATTTAGTCACAAGAAAATTTGCAATTTTTCAATTTCAATTTTTTTTACAAAAGTTTATAGAGTCTCAAAACCTTCTTGAACCTAGATAAAATTTCAATTTCCAAAAAAACATGTCCAATATTTCAAAACGTCGTTTGCCCTCATTCAATGTCAATTTGGGACGATTCGAAATTAAATTTTTCTTCTTCTGACGCTCCAAAATGTCAGCCTTCTTGTTTTCATCTACTCCTCAATAATTCATGAAAAAACCCACAGAAATTTCTTATTTGAATTGAATGTACAACAAAAAAATATATAGAAAGTGCTGTTGATTTTTTTTGTAACAAAAAAATTGAGAGCAAAAGTGACCCGACACAAACCAATAAAATAAAATAGAATAGAAAAAAGAGACAATGGGCTCGAGAATGGGAGACGGAAAAATATCAACTTTAGTTTAAAGTAACAAAAAATGTGCTGACCTAGATACACATTTTGAATATATATCGATGTTCTAAATATTTTTATGATTCAGAAAAATTTAGGGGGTCAAAAAAAATGAGGAAAAAATTCGAGGCAGCTGTTCGGCGGAAAAACTGGGTTAGTACATGAAAACAGAAGAAGAGGAAGAGTTGCAGAATTTCTTGTTGAGAGAACAAATTGTTTGAAAACAGAGAAAGAGCAAATGGGAGGGATAAGTGAATGATTAATTTGAGATTTCGCGAGCGTTTGAGATGACTTTGAGTCATGGAACATTGGAGAGTTAGGGGTGTAAATTTTGATCTACCAAAAAATCTAGATTTCTGGGAGAGCTTTGAATTATTCTGCCCAGAACTTTACAATATTTTAAATTTCGTTTTGGATTTTTTTTGGAAAGTTTCTGATTTTTTCGTTTTGAAGTCAAGTTGAAAATCTTAATTTTTAATTTAAAAAAGTGAAAAAATAGTTGGTTCAAAAATAATTTTACAACAAAAACATCCAAAATTTTTTATTGAAACGTGAACTTTACTGAATTATTTTTAAATTTTATTCTTAAAATGATGATTTCTGGAAAAACTGTACAAAGAAGTGGGTTTAAAATTGTTTTGTACTCGCAAAATCAAAAAATATTCGTGGTATTTCTATTAGATAGGCTTGAGGGTTCCATCAACTCAAAAATGTTATCTTCAAAAATCCCACCTACCGTAATCCCCAAACGAAAAAAATCATAAGTACTTCATCATTTGTTGTAAAACAAAAAGTGACAATATTTTCATTATCTCTTTGGTTATTTTCAACTCTCATTTCTCAAAAATATGATTTTTCTACTTAGCGAAAGAAACGAAAAACAAAGTGGCGCGAAACATTGAGGATCATCATCGATCATTTTTGTTATGCTTCTTTTCCGGGTGGAACTTTTAGAGAGCGGGCGGAGAAAATGAAAAGTTTATATTTAAATATATAACGTAGATGTTTTAAACAAAGATTTGTTTTGGGATAAACAGAGATCTCGCGGAAACATCTGGGACTCATATGAAAAATTTAAGAGAGTTTTCAAAACCTAACATAGCGCAGCAGGTAGGTTTTGCGCTTTTGAATCACAAGGCGCTGGTTCGAGTCCGCGCGGAAGTTATGATGTTTTTCTTATGATTTTTTTTTAGTTATGATTTTTTTCTTGCAAATCAAAAAAAATAATACCAAAAATTGGATTGTGAGAAAAAGTTAGTATTTGGAGCAGAAAAAAACACGACAAAAATAATAGTACTAATCTTTTTGTTGTTTTTCATCTCGCACAGAGCGAAAATTCAATTTATATCTATCAGACACAAATATTTTACTGTTTTGTTTTCGCATTAATGAGAAAAGTGAAAAACGAAAAGAAGAAAAAATAGTGCAACTCGCGTCAAATTAATTATTCGCTTCAAAGAGTTTTCGAAAAAAAGAAATCTGAAATTCAAAAAAAAAAGCAAAAATAAATATTTGTTTGGCTCATGCTCATATTTGTGGTCACAAAAAAAAGCGCGGCCATCTTTTTGGTGTCCAATTTAACAGCGATTCATGTGTTGTTCGCCATTTCAAGTGTCTTCTCAGACCGCCTCCTTTTTTTTCTGACGCCGACAAAAATTCGTATATAATCTCAAAAATTCATCCAACAAACTAACAATTATATTGAAATTTATTGTCAGAAAGACATAAATAATCGAATTGAATTTACAAGGCAAGACAAGACAAGTAATAAGTGGGTTAGAATCTTCTCGAGACAGGCAATAATTTTTTGAGAGGTTCCGATTTTTTTGGTTGCTGGTTTGAGGAGGAAGCTTGAATTCCGATTGTTCGTTTCGGGGATGGTGGACACAGTAATTCATTTTGAGTTGATTGGCGCTTTTTGTGATTTTCCTTGTTGGTGTTCTCGATTTCGCGGGCCAAATCCAAAAGTGGATCATCGTAGGAGGTTGAGGGTGGAGTTGGAATGCGATTGGGATCTGAAACAAAAATTATTTTGGTTAACAAATTTTATAGGATAGTCTCTAGGCGCGGTTACTTGAGAAATGGGTTTTGTAGGTGCTGCTCCTTTATAATTGAGCTGTCTAGGCGCGGATACTTGACAGCTAGAATTTCTAGGTTCGGCTGCTTGGCACAGAATTTTTCAAGACGTGACTAGTTGAGAACTTGGTTTTGTAGGCGCTGTTCCTTTATAATTGAGCTGTCTAGGCACAGCTACTTGACAACTAGGATTTCTATGTTTGGCTGTTGGCACATAATTTTTTAAGGCGCGGCTACTTGAGAACTGGGTTCTGTAGGCGCTGATCCTTCAAAACTAAGCTTTCTAGGTTCGCCTACTTGGCACCAGAATTTTTCAAGGCGTGGCTACTTGAGAACTAGACTCGACTACTTTTCCTAGAAGCTTTAAAGGAGCGGCTCCTTGTCAGAGTAGATCTCTAGACACCAGTCCTAGACTCTGAAGCATCGTTTAATGTTAGGATTGAAAATTTCTAGTGAAATTAAAATTTTTGAAAAGCAAGGCCTTGAAAATTGGTGGACAGATATTTTTAAAAATAAAATTTGTATTCTCAAAAATCCCTATCATAACCCTAACCCTCTCTCACCTTCAGAAATCATATCCAACATTTCCCTATAATTCATCGCAATATTCCTCTTCAATTTCCCCTTGATCTGACTTTCAATCATCTCAAAATGTTTTTCATATTTCTCCGCATCTTTTCGATATCTCAACATTTCGCTCATTATTTCCCGATTCCTCGCTTCTAAAACAGCTTCTCTGTCAGAATTTGTCTTCAAAATTCTCGAAATTTTATCATCTTTTGCTCGAACAATTTCATCCATTCTTTTTTGTATATCATCTCGATAAATATTCATTTGATCAATCATTTCTTTTTCATGTTTTCGCGCTTTTTCTCGATTCTTTGAATCTTCAGCGATTATTGCATTTTGAAGATGATTCACCTCTTTGGTTCTTTCGATTGCCTTAAAAATGATATATAAAAACAGAAAAAACAAAATTTCTACTTTTTGAAATACCTCATTCTGTGATTCTAGTAATTGTTGTCGAAGATTTGTTAGATTTTCCTGAAGTTCGAAATTCTCCGATCCCAAATGTTCGCATTTTTTCGATAACTGTTCCGATGTGCTTTGCGTTGATTCATAATTTTGAAGAAGTATCTCATTTTTCTTGCTGATCACATCAATTTTCTCCTCGAGTTTCGCTATTTTCCTCAAAGCTTCTTCCAATTCCCCTTCTAATTTCGTATTTTTCATCGTCGATTTATTTAACTTCCCCATCAGATCAGATTCTCTTTCATGAAAATCATCCAAAACTTTTTTGCACGCGGTTTCCATTTTATCGAATACAACATTCTGCGCCTTTGCCACACCATTTTCCGCCAAATCCAACATATTCGTCATTTCTCGATTATGTCGACTCAAAAGCTCATTTTCTTTCTCAAGGTTTTGAAATTTCATCGTTTCGACTCTCACAATTTCAAGAATCTCATCAATTTCTAATCTTCTCATCGCATTTATTTTTTCATCGATTTGTCGATCTCTCATAACATTCGCCATTCTCACACCTTTCTTCAAGTTTTCCATATCATTCCATTTATCAGTGAGTTCAGAGAAGATTTCCGTCAACATTTCACCGGCTCTGCAAATTTTATAGATGTTATCTAACAAAGGTTTGAATTCAAATTTACCTGAATGTCACTGGTGCTTCTTCTCCTGTAGCTGTACTTGAAGTTGCCTCATCTTGCCTTAAATTCTTTCTCGGTGTTGCAACTGGCGTTTCGTCCATTTTAAAGTTAGCAGAATTCAAATTTATTTACAAGTCGTCCAAAAGAAATACACAACGCCACAATTTTTTTGAAAATGACGCGTTGTTTGCATTGGAGCGCGCTTGCTTGTGTGTGGATAAAAAGCTAATAATTTTATTGGGAAAAAAACAAAAGGAAAACAATAAATTTTATATCACAAGTACTTTTTTCAGTTGTTTTGATTCAAAAGAAAGAAAAATATTATTTTTTCATATCACAAGGCAAAAGTTCACAACTCTTAAACAGAAAAAAACGCTATAAAAAGGGTACGATAAAATCATATGTGGCAGGCAGGCGATATGGAATTAGGAGAAATGTTGAGTTGTTCCACTACCCATTGGGAACATCAACATATTTGATTGAATATATTGTAGATCGGGTAATTGATCGAGAAGACTTCGAGCATCCAGTGAAAGCACTTGAGTATCTCGATATGGGCTTTTTCGACCAGCTTCAACTTTTGTCATTATGGAATCGAGGATATTTGAAGATGAGGAATTGCTGAAATATTTTAAATATAATTGATAAAGGTCTTGGGGAACTTTAGAAAATTGAAATCCTCGAGACTTTTCTCGAGAAGCCTGGAGAAAAGGAAACATGTAGAGAATATTCACATTGAAAAGCAAAACATTGAAAAATTTTACATTTTTTTAATTCCTTGAAGTTTCAAAAAAATGTCAAACCTCTGTGTTCCTGATATAGTTTCGGAAACTGAATTCAATCCAAAATCCGCTAAATCTTTTTGCAATGGATTTGTATAACTGCTTGCACCATTAGAATGTAGAAAATCGACATCAATAATCGCTGAAGATTGACTTGCACCTTTCAATGGATTTGTTAGACCAGATGTATCCCAATCGAAATCAACAACTGGAATTGAAGGAGATTCAACTGCTACTTCTTTTTTCGAATTTTCCGATGTTGATTGTTGTGTTGTCGAAGTCGAAGGTTGTGTTGGCAATAGAATACTTGACATATCAAATGCTGATTTTGCAGGAATCCTAACTTGTTTCTCATCAATTTTGATAGATCGAAAATGTTTTCCCCGCGTCGAACTATTCTTCCACTCAAATTTCAATGAAAATGCTTCTTCAACAACTCGAAGACTCTTCCACAAATCATTTTCGATTTCCTCCTGTTCCAAATTCTCTCGAAGATCCTCCAGAATCACCTCATCATCCAAAGGGGAATTCAACAATCTCATTATTTTCATCAAATCCATCATTCCAAAATTCTCGATCTTCTAACATTTCTTCAAGACCTTTCAGGGATGATGGAAAATTTTGAATAACTTCAGGAGCACCAGTGAATTCAGCCTGCCAATCATCATCATCAAATGAATCTAGATTTCCCGGTTTAGAAGGTGAAGGTTCAACAACATCAACAGATTGTTGTCGAGAGGGTCTTGCTTGATCAAAATCTCCCCATTCATCATCCTCCTCTTCTTCATTTTTCTGATCTTCTACGGGTGGATTAGTTGTTGAAGCTTCTCCAAAATCTCCCCATTCATCTTCATCATTCTCTTCTTCTTTTCCAGTAACAACATCAGGAGAAGATGGAAATTCGGATATATTTTCATCAATAACCATCGAATCACCCTGACCAATCGATAACATTGAAAATGACTTCATTGTTGATGTATCAGCAATATGACTATGATCAAGGTTCTGAAAATATCATTTTTAATTTGGAAATTAATGTGAAAATGAAAGAAAACTTACACCAAAACTGATTGCTGTATCAACATCATCTACATCTTCTTCAACTACACCATTGAAAGGCGGCGGACCTTCATCTATTTCCATATGATATTTTATTTCCTGCAAAAAGTATATAAAAAATGGCATAATTACGAAACGACACTTGAGAAAAAACCGGTTATTTCGAGAGAAATTATTCATCAAAAGAAAAAATGAAACATTTTTTTATAACAACTATTCCCGCATTTATGAATAAAACATATGTCATATACACTACTAGTATTCTGTCGCAGATTTGGAAAATATAAAAATATGCCTAATTTACTCCATGGTTACCTATTGATTTTTCATAAAAACAACAGAAACAAAAAGTAATTATAATTCAGTTAGAATATTTTGGAAAGGAAGGAATGAAGACATTTTTCGGTGAAAAAAACGGAAAAATCGAATTGATGTATTAAAAAAAGAACAAAGGATGTTTAACCTGCCGGAAATACCTGGGCAAACTTGAGAAAAAGATGTCAGGGAGAAAGAATGAAAAAGAAAAAAGAAGAGAAAAAATACTGCATGTGTCAAGGGGTAGAGGATTGACGCGTTTTCAGTGTGTATCGCTTTGTTTGTTGGCCAAATAATGGAATGAAATGAATTGGAAAAGAGAAGGCATTCACACGTTTCATTGATTTTTCAGAAACAAATGAAAAATTGGAGCTGGAAGTGGAAAAAAAGTGAAAATGGAAAAAAAAACATTTGCGACGAAAAAAACAGGGTCTCGCCACGTGAAACAAAATTTGTGTGTGTACCTTTAGGATTACTGTCAGAATAAAATTTTTTTCAAAAACTAGAATTTTCAGTTTGCAAAATTTTTGTGTTGTTAGATAGAAAAAGTATTATAAAACCCGTTGTAATTTGGATCGAAAAACATCAAGATTTTGGAAGAAATTCAAGTTTATGGTTGTTTTTCCGAAAAACACTTTATTATTCAAAATAATTATTTCAATTTCAATTTCACACACAAACACAAGAAAAAGAAAAACAGCGACAATTAAGAATTCGTTTGATATTTTTGGGATTTGGAAGACAAAATTGGTTCAGAGTCTGTTTTTCTATCAAGCAAAGAGTCGAATTTCGGCAAATTTACAAAGTCGGTGCCGCGACGTCGCTGGTTGTTGGCGTCGCTTCGGACGCATTCGCTGCAGTCGCCATGGCTTCCTCCGTTACCGGTGCAGCTTGAGCATCCACGCTGCTCCTAAAAAACTTATATAACTTCTCTCAGCATTCTTTGATGCTTTTTTTCTATTTGTTCCCACAATTTTTAGGGTTACACAAGGCAACCCAATACGCAAAAATTTAGTTGTTGGCGAATCTCAACTCGAGATTGCCATACAGGTCAGCCCATTCGAAAGTGCAATGAATAGGCCTCGCCATAGGAACGCCGCCTTGATGATCGCGGAGTATCCCCAACCAGGTAAGTTTATGAGCCGCCCACTCGCCAACATATAAACATGCAAACAGCCAGACATCTCGCTGGCATAGCGGCATGCTATGTTTTGTGTGCGAGTGGGCGGAGCCAAATGAAGAGAGAGGAGACATTTTCTTTTTTTTCGATAGTTTCCAATTGATTTTCAAAAGTTTCAATGTAATATTTGGTATCATTCTGGAGCTAATTTCACAAAGAACAATATTAAATACACACCTGCTTACCTGAGCCTCCGGAAGAGCATGAAATATTGGTTCAGTTGCACGATGAACAAAACGTTTTCTCATATTTTGCAACAAATCATTAGCGCTCGCTCTGAAATTGTAATTCTGACAATGAATAGGAAAAAACAAGATGAAGCTTACTTTTTATCGATTTTCTTATCATCCGGAATTTTGGCCAATTTGTCAGTTGACGAAGAAGAGCTGGTTGAATCCCTCTCTTTTCCATTCAAAGTGTCGCAAGATTCGACTTTTTTCAAAGTTTTGATAAAATCCGTGACACTGATTTCCTCATCCAAGTTATCACAATTATTGATATATTGATTGAAGTTGCCGTTCATTTTCTGAAGAAAAAAAAACAAATTTGAGAAGATCAATAAGAAAAAGCTGCGCGCGAAAAAAAAGAAATCCAAAAAAACAAACGAACGAAGGCGCAGGTGAAAATGAGATTTTCTCCCATTATTAAATAAAAGTAATAAAACAATTTCGCGTGTGAAACAAAAAATGGGGCGGAGCCTGGTTTTTGTATGGATTAGTGATATCTTCGTGCGTCAATGAAATACAAACTTTTAGTTTTTTTGTAGGGAGATAATAAGTGAGTAAGAGGGTTACTGTAGATTTGTCATAGTCATTGGTTTGTGGATGTTGGAATTGAACTATGTATATGTGATTCGATAAATTTTTGTATGCTGGAAAAGATCTGAGCATTTTCTGAAGCTGTTTAAGCTTAAAAAAAAAAAAAAAAAAAAAAAAAAAAAAAAGCAGAAAACAAAGTTTAACTTCAATCAAAAACTGATTGCCAAAATTTAAAAAAAATACCTGAAACTATAAATTTTTCAAAATAAGTTATTTTGCTTTGAGAAAAATCTAGATTAAATTTTTAAAGTTTACAGAAATATGAACTAATTTTAAAATACTTGATCTGAAAATTAAATTTTTTTTTCAGAAAATACTTCAAGAGAGAGATTTTTCGGTCTTCAAGAACTATCTCAAAAAAATTCCCAGAGACATTTTTTTCAAAAAATAATAAACTTTTTCTCTAGAACTTTTCTCACGAGACAGAAAATTGACGTCAATCTTCAATCCAATCAAATTTAGGATTTGCAAAAAACATCTACCGTACCCCTTTAAATTTCGTGTTAAAAACCCATTAAACTACAGTACTCCACCCACACGAAAAAATAAAAAAAAATGGGGAAAAAATCAAATGATCTCGGCTTGCTTGTTACCTTTTTCTTATTATTTTTTATATGATTTTTTTCTCGGTTGCTAAGGTATTTTTCCGAGGGGAAAATCCAAGAATAAATTGTAGTGTATATACATTCTGCTGAAATTTCTCTACGGGAAAATAAGAAAAAATGAAAGGAGATTTTATTGAAAAATGAAAAAATAGGGAAACATTTCAAGAATTAATTTTGGGTAACTTATTCGCTTGTGAAATTGTTGTGGTTGCTCGAGTTGTTGGATGAGCATAATTTGTTTTCTTAAAATATTTCAAAATTGGCCAAAGTTGTTTGTCAAACATTCCTCGATATTCTTTCGATCGAAAATAGCAAACATAAAAATTTTGGGAGAATCCGATAAGCGCTGGAATCACCAAGAAATTCTGCATAGCAATTATGGAACCAGTCGAAAAATTCATGATTTGCATAATGTTTATGGCAAATATTCCGAGGAATCTGGTGATAATGAAAACTATCACAATAACACTTAAACTTTTCAATGTTTTTGATTCGATGTCCACTCGAGATCTTTGGCGCGCTAAATTAATTTTTTTTGTATTTTGTGTTGGAAGTAGATAAATTCCTTACGTACTTTTTAAATAAATAAGAAAAAATGAAATGCAATATGCGATTACTGTAATTGAACAAGTGCATAGACTTATATTATAATTGATTGAATTTATTTGTGGATTTATTGATGATGGTGGATTGCATAGTTTGAGTTCAGCTTTGTCGATTAGGAGAAATCCAAAAATAACTAGATATAAACCATGAGCAGCTGGTGGAATTAGAAGGAGAGTTAGGTAGAAAGGTTGATGGAAAGAGCGATATCTGCAAATGTTTTATGACGTGGATTTGTTGTCATTTGAAAAAAAACCAGGCTGATTTTTCAGAATTCCCATTCTTAAATTTTCCAAATGTTCCCATAATTTTAGGGTTACACAAGGCAACCCAATACGCAAAAATTTAGTTGTTGGCGAATCTCAACTCGAGATTGCCATACAGGTCAGCCCATTCGAAAGTGCAATGAATAGGCCTCGCCATAGGAACGCCGCCTTGATGATCGCGGAGTATCCCCAACCAGGTAAGTTTATGAGCCGCCCACTCGCCAACATATAAACATGCAAACAGCCAGACATCTCGCTGTCTTTGCGGCATGCTATGTTTTGTGTGCGAGTGGGCGGAGCGACGAAAAGGGGAAAGGGTTGTTCTTTGCAAAACAACATGTTTTTTGGGGGTGGTTTGGCTCAAATTGATAAAGAGAAAATTAATTAGTAACTAACCTTATTGGAAAAATAACACAAAGCAAAAAATCAATAGCAATCATAGTTACAATTCCTTGCTGTAAAGGATTGAAAAATACATAAGGAAACATGGCATAAAAGCAAGAATCTCGATAAATTGGATGCCCCAAAATTATTCCTAAAAAAATTAGATTTCTTCAACAACTTGTTCCCAGAAGAAAAAAAATGAAATTTTACCATAAATCGCATAAAATAAATTGATATTTTCAAAAAGAAGACAAATACTTTGACAAATTGTCAAAATTGTTAACAAAATTCCATAATTTGTTCGAAGATTTGGAAGTCGATAATGTAATAGAATCAAGTTGAAATTCCCAAAATGTCCGATAAATTGAAAAATTGAAATGCAAAATATAACTGGGAACAAATACCAGGCAAACATTGAATGAATGAAAAACTAATTTAGATATGATTTTTAGATTTTTTGTTTTTATTAAAAAAAAAATACTCGAAAACAACCAAGTCTGTTCTGTTTTATGAAATGAAATGAAAAAAGGAAATTAGTATTTAATAAAATAATTTTCGGTAAAGTACAAATGTATTTAAGTAAGGAAAAGGTGACAATTTGTCTGAACGGGTTCTGTGAATACCTGGAAATGTGCTGAAATTGAATCATTGAATGATTTTGAGAGAAAAAATGACATTTTTATTTGAAATGCTGTGCTGTGATCAAAACACAAGTGGAACCTATAATTTTACAGAAAGCAATAGACTTCACGAACTTTGAATGAACTCTGGAAAAGTTTTCTCGAAAAAATGTTATATAAAATGTCAATTTTTTTACTTGCAAAAATTTCGAATGTCAAAAAAAATGGAATCCACGTGTTATTTTTAGGATACTGTAGTTTTTTTCGCTCTTAAAAGAATTTGGAATTTCGTCACGTGGATTCGGAAAATTTCTGGTTTTTTCAAAAGTTTTTCAAAAATTCATTTCAAATTTATGAAGTTTTCAATATTTCTGGATTTTTCAAGGCCAAGGTTACGGGAAATTTTTTTTCGATTAAAAATTTCATTTGTTATTTCAAGCATAACAAGTTTAGAGCCGAGTTCAGAATTTCAAAATTTCAGATTTTTGAAAATTACAGGAAAAATTTATCATTTTTTTATAATTTTTTGAAAATTTACTAATTGGAAGATAATGAAAACATTTCGATATTCCGAAAAATTTGACAGTAAATTGATTTCGAATTCTCCAAATCAGGCTAAATGAATTCAGATTGTGTTCCCTCTTCCCCTTTCCAACTTCCCTTTTCCCTCAAATAAAAAACCAAAACATCCATTCTTCGAATCAAAAACAATAACAAAACCCTCGCTTTTCCTTGCCTCATTGTCTCGAATGTTATCTGATTCAAAATAAAAACCAGTAGAAAACTTCCATATAAGACTTTTGATTTTCAAATTTCAAAGAAACACTAAACTTGATTCATGTTCAAGATACTAGTGATAATAAAAAACTGGAAACTTCTTTCTGCAAACATTTTTTCTTCATTTTATGGTGAGGTGTCTGAAACTTTCTTTATTTTTTCGTAGTAAGACCCATTTCAATTGTCTTCTTCAGTAAACAGTTCCACGTGAGAATATCAGATAATTTGTCAGATGATTTACGATCCCCCATATTTTTTTCCAATCTTCATTTCTCCCCTGACCAGTCTTTATCATTTTATTAGTCTTCTTCCCTTTCTTTTACCCAACCACAAAAAAAACACTTTTTATTCTGTATCGTTATTCTTTTTGTGTATGTGTAAATATAGAGAAAATAATGCGAAAATCGGTTGCTCGAGACATGAAAAATGAGCGATTTCCGCCATCCATTTTATGAGATTCCGATGGTGACGTGGTTTATGCTGGAAATGTATTTATTTTCGGTTTTGGTCCAATTTTTTCGGAGAGATTCTGACTGAGAAAACACGTAGCTTATGATTGAGCCTGAGTTCAGCGATTCCAGATTGATTAGGCTTGAATTTAGTGAGCCTAAGGTAGACCTGAATTTGGAAAATTTTCTGTGAGCCTGAAATGAGTAGGACCTGATCTTAAGAAGCCTGGGAGCCCTGAAAAAAATGAGTCTAATTAAGTTGACCTGAATTCAAACATCCTAATCTCAGCAATCTGAGTTAGCCTAACTCCAATTTTCCTTAGCCAGGCATTCCTAAGCATTCATATAAGCCTAAAAAAGGTGTAAAGATCAAAATGAATTTGAATTTTTGCAAACTGTGAAAATAATGTATTCGAATTATGATTATGGTTTGAACACAAAATCGATTATGACGAATTAGAGAGATCAAAGTTTAGTTAGCCTAATTTCGGCCTAAATTTGATGAGCCTATATTTAGTAGATCAGCTGAATTTGCTTAACCCAGGGACTATTTCGAACTTGAATTTAGACCTTGGCAGGCCTAAAAATTCCAAGCCCAAAAATAGTTTATTCGAAAATTGGTCAAACTTTGGATTTTCACAAATTCGAATTATCCCAAAAAAAAGTACCGCTCCCAATTTTTGCAAATTCAAAATTCGATTAAAAATTCCTTCAAAAGCACCCGCGAGTTCTTGAAACTCCGGTGAGAAGTTCTTCCCTCCAGAAGGAAGAATTCTTATCCAAAATTATTACATTGTGTAATCTATATCGAATTGTCCACGTCATAGCCACCTTCAATTTTCCCAGTTTCCTAGGCATCCAATTTTTTCTCAAAGAAAGCAAAAGCAGAATTTTTGATTATTCTTTTATGTAGATATCAGATTCCACCTCAAAACTCCTACGCAATTATTTTTGTTTCTTTATTTTCTCTCCAGGTTTTTCCAAGTTACCCTAACTTTTTCTTCCAGAAAAGAAAAGAAACATGTCTCGTTTGGTTGTCGAAGATGAATCCGGTTTTTTGTCATCTGACAATGCTAGCGAACATTCGCATACTGAAGATGATAAAAAATGCACAAAAGATGAGCATTTGAAATCGATGGCAAATGCTTATTCAAGTATTATTGCTCATGTTGGAGAAGATTTGAATCGACAAGGACTTTTGAAAACTCCTGAAAGAGCAGCGAAGGCTATGATGTATTTTACAAAAGGATATGAGCAACAATTGGATGGTAGGTTGAGGATTCAAAAAATTTGGAATCTGAAACTTCTAAACTGATTTCTGATTTCTAGTAGATTTTGATCAGCTGATCATTTTCCCACAGTCAAAATTTACCTAGACCAATTCTGACATGAGTTATGACGTGGTTGGGTAATTTTTTCCGAAGAAATTTTGAAACAAACAATTTTCCAAACATTAAACCCCAAGTTTGCCTAACTTCGAAAATTTCCAGAACTCTTAAACGAAGCAGTTTTCGATGAAGACCACGATGAAATGGTAATCGTAAAAGACATTGAAATGTTCTCAATGTGTGAACATCATTTGGTTCCATTCGTCGGAAAAGTTCACATCGGATATTTGCCCAATAAAAAAGTGTTGGGATTATCGAAATTGGCGAGAATTGTTGAGATGTTCAGTAGAAGAATGCAGGTTCAAGAGAGATTGACGAAACAAATTGCGACTGCAATGGTTCAAGCTGTTCAACCGGCTGGTGTTGCGGTTGTTGTTGAAGCTAGGTTCGTTTTTTTTTGAGTTGAATGGGGGGTTTTGAGAATATTTTATTATTTTTATGGGGCGTCAAAAAATCGAAAAATTCATGCAAAAATTTTAGTTTGATCAAAAATTGGTGTAAATTCTCATTTTTGAATTTTGGACGCTACATTTTTTTTCAAAAGATCTCAAAATTTCAAAAAAAAAATTTCTGAAACAAAATTCCAAAAGTTTTCCACGTCATTAATTTTGAGAATTGAAGAAAGTTCAATTTTTTTAATAATTTAGAAATATTTGTTCAAGAGGTCTCAAAAAAAACATATTTTTTTTAGAATTTGCAATTTTTGAGATTTTTTTCTGAAGATTCCAAAAGTTTGTCACATCACTTATTTTCAAAGTTGAAGAAATTTCAAAATTGAAATATTTTTCAAAGTAATAAACAATTTTTTAGAATTCAAAAGTTTTTAGAATTTTTCTGAAGATTCCAAAAATTTGCCACGTTATAACTTATTTTCAGAGTTTTAATCCTGACCTCAAAAATTTCTCTCAAATTTTGCCACGTGTCAAAATTCTCCTCTAAACAATTTGGAATCTGTAGCCTAGAATCAACAAAACTACAGTATCTCCAAATTGTCATCATCACTAACACCTGTTTTCTTTGTTTCAACAAAAAAAAACCCAAGATCATCAAATATTTTTGTGTTTCAGTCACATGTGTATGGTAATGCGTGGTGTTCAAAAAATCAACGCAACAACCACAACTTCGTGCATGTTGGGCGTTTTTCGAGACGATCCAAAAACCCGCGAAGAATTTTTGAATTTAATAAGCCGTCGATAATTCTTTTCTCGATTTTCTTCTTCATTTTTTTCCCTGGTACTTCTTTTTATGTATAAAGCTTTTCACTGTCATTTAATTATGTTTATTTATTTGTTTTCAAATAATAGGGGCTCTTTTAAAGCAAGACAAGGGCGAAAGAACCAGTAAAAAATGGAAAAAATCACAGAATTTCAAAAAAAAGAGGGTGCAATAAATTAGAAAAAATATATATGAAAATCCCAGATTATACAAAATTTACCCAAAATTTTTGTTGGTCAATTGAATAAAATGTCATTGAGTGATTCCAATTCCAAATCTCGACAATTTTCCATCATTTTCATGTTTTGTTGATAAAACATGTAGTCTTGAGTGACTAATCTGCAAAAAAAAATTGGATTCATAAAAAAAACTTGGAGGCTTCGAGGCTTCAGGTCCTAAAATCCGTGGCGAATTTTTCAAAAAATTATATTTTTTCTTGAGCAGAATCCTGAAGGTTGATATTTTTTAGGTTAAAAATTTGAAGGATTATTAGGATCTCAAATCTTGGGCAACTTCTTTTTGAAAACAGTTTTTAATTTTTTGCTACATAACATTTTGTCTGAAAATTTGAACTTTCGTGATTTTGAGTTAATTTTCGGACCAAAAATCATTTTTCCCAACAAATTTCCGATAACTTTTTTTCAAAACCCCCTCAAAAACTCACCCAAACTTCAATGGATCATGCGGTGTAATTGCCAACCCAATCAATCGTTCTTTCAAATTCTCCTTGAATCCATTATGAACCTTCAAAAACAACGCCTCAATTTGTGGTTTCGGCATAATTCCCGTCAATCCATTATGAAACTTCAATAAATGTTTACAAATTTGTGTGAATTCGGCAGATGGTATAGTTCCCTTCACTTCCCATTGATTTAAACAATTTGTCGTATAATGATCAATCACACTAATTAATTTCAAAACAATCTCATTAATATGCTCTTTGTATTCGTTTTCAACTTGTTTGAAATATCGCAAAATCCCTTTTCGATCTTCTCCCAAAACTCGATCCATTTCATCATGAACCATCGGAACAAATCGAATGATAAATTCGAGAGATCTTGAGGCAAGTGCAAGATTTCGAACAGAAATCGTTTTGAGACCAACAAGTTGCAAAGCTCCGGCTCCAAGGATTAATTGACAACATCGACTATTGAACACTTTTAATAATTCGATGACTCTTGAATTCCAATCTTGCGCAAATCTCGGCATTTCACAAATAGCCTCACAATAATCAGCCAAAACATGGAACATTGTAACAGCCGATCCAACAATTATAAATGCCTCGTTTCCAACGAACACAATATCACTAGAAGCACCAGAACTCTTCTCTGAATTCATAATATTCCTCAATTTCCCCGTCTCAATCGCCATTTTAATCATCTCCTGATCATTCTTCCCAACTTCACACGATTTCCACAATTCAGTATCCAACATATTCCCAATCCTGATTTTCCTCGACGAATGAAACTTTTCAATATAATCCATTGATAACCTATTAATTGCTCTTCCCAATGCTCCAGTTTTCTGATTTTCAGTCTTATACCATCCTTGTTTTTCACATTTTTCTTGATATTTATTAACAAGTTGGATAATTTCAGACAACTGTGTTGGAGTCGTCGATTCGGTAAGTGCTGCATTCTTTGCTCGAGCAATTAGTAATCGTGAGATTCGTTTTTGCGAAGCCTGATGGGCAAATTCAGCAATCAGTGGGAGGATTTTGAGAAGGAACGTTTCAGATTTCACCTCCATTGATAATAATAATGTTGCACTTGCATTATTCACCGACACTTTTTCATTTAACCCATTAGAGGAATTAAAAGTGTCTTCCGAATCTTCGTCTTCATCATCATCATCTTCATCAACAATTTTCGCATCAATATCAACTTGCTGCTCTTCATTCCGATTATTCCCAATTTCCGAAGTTCCAACATCTTCCGCAATATCAATCATAATTTCTTGCAATGCTTCTAATCGTTTACAAAACTCGAATAATTCATCCATAACAGCTTGAACAGTTCTCGAAAATTGTTGATGTTTCATAAGTCGAATCGGATCACCCAATTTCTTCAAACTCGGGTCAAATCCACTCAAATCCACACCACTATTCAAAATCTGTAGTTTGATCACTTGACTCATAACATTTCCAACATTTTCCAAAATCTCTCGTCGAAGTAAACTGATGAATGAGTATTTTCGCATTCTCATCAATCCCAGGAAAACTGCCGATAATTCTCCCTCGTTCTGAATTAAAGTTCCAGCCTCGGGTTTGACTCCAAGTTCTCGTTGAATAAGAGAAGCTAGATCCTCTTTCATCATTCTTCCGATAACATCATACAATTCTCGAAGTTGTGATGACAAATGTCTGAAAAAACATCGGTTGAACAAATCTTTTAACAAAAAAATCACCTGAAACACGTAACACCGCTCAAATCTTTGGACAAAATATCAAGACTTGTTTCAATACAATCAATTGCTTTTGGATAATCTCCTTGTGATAACATCATTTGAACTGTTGATTGAGCTTCGCGAAGACACGAAATATCGTGAAGTTTTGCCAGCAGATTTCGTTTTTGCTCGTTTTTTCGATGAACTTCGACAATTTTCGCAGATTGATCGCATACTAATTCATCCACTTGTTTCAAATTTCCTCTGAAAAAAATTATTTTTGGGAATTTTTCTAGAGTAACATGGGAAGATTTTTATTAACTCTAGGCTTACCTGACAGCTTTCACACTTTCCATCGCAACTGCCAAATGTTCCTGCAATCCACTATAAGATCGAACAACTTGCCAAAAGCTATCAGTTTTTGAGACAAGTTTCGCAGCCAATCGACCATCAACAACATCATGCATCATTTCAAGTCGACTTTGAAGTGATTCATAATCTCGAAATGCTCCAGGTTTCTAAAAATCATTTATTTATGACGAAAAAATAAATAAATTATTTAAAAATTATTTATTTTTTCTAAACGTGTAACCCAAATACGTGTCACTTTTTTTATCGGGAGGCCGATCTCAGTCAGTGCAGTCCGAAAATCGGGTATTCCTCAAGTTTTTGTATTTGCTAACTGAACTAGTTTCAGTTTCCGTTACTTAAAGTAGAAACAAAAGGAAAGATGTCAGTTCATAGTAAGTTTGAATCAGCTAATTAATTAATTGTAAACTGGGTTTTAGGAATCTAGATAATATAGAAAGAGCCTATGACGTGGCAGATTTCAGCTATTTTTCGGGAAAACATTGCCACATCATTGATTTTTCGAAATAGGATTCAGAAAAAATTCTATTCCCAAGAAGCCTTTGCCACATCATAACTTATTTCCGGAGAAATTTCTATATTTAACTGGAACCTTCTCTGAAAACAGTTATGACGTGGCAGAGTTGAAATTCTGCTGATGACGTGGCATACTCGCCAAAATTTCGGTTTTGCCACGTCATCACGTTTCTGAAGAATTTCGGAATCTCGAAAGATGACGTGGCAAATCACAAACAAAACCCTGAATGGGAAATTCGATTTTTTTGCCACGTCATAAACAACATTTTTGCAGAACGCCGAGCAAATAACAACACCAGCTCAAAAACCGTTCACAACGAAGAACAACCAACTGCTGGGGAAAGAAAGCAGTTGAAAAAATGCATTATCAAATTCGTGGCAAGAGTTTTGGAGAAAGGACCAACCGGTCTTCGCGCCGAATTTCAAACCATGAAAAGATCGAATGACTTTGAAAAAATGAAGGCATTCAAAGAAGCTCAGGAGCATGGCAAAAATCGCTATAAAGACGTGGGCTGTTTGGATAACTCGAGAGTCAAACTCGGAACTCCATGGCCACACGAATATATTCATGGCAACTATGTCTCAACTCCGTCGAATCCCAAACGCTTCATTTGTACTCAAGCGCCACTTGAAAAAACATGCGCCGATTTCTGGTTCATGTGCCTTCAAGAACGTGTCGAGACCATATTTATGCTTTGTAATTTCACGGAAAAGGGCACCAAAAAATGCCACGAATATTTTCCAACAAAAGACAAGCAGGATACGATGACGTATGAGGAGGGCGGACATAAGATTACTGTTCGTTATGAGAATTCGAGAACCGTCAAGTTTCGCGGAAAAGATATCAAGGCGAAAGTTATCGAAACTCAACTATCGATCGAGGGTCCAAATGATATGACACTCAAAACAACACATTATCATTGGATCGATTGGCCAGATCGTGGTGTTCCGCCGGCGGATTTGGCTATTATTGAGTTGCTCAATAAGGCCAGAGTCTCAAAGTGAGTTGGGATCAGCTTGGCAAATCCTTTTATGACATGGAAAATTGTTTTTTTTCCAGAGGTCCAATCGCTGTGCACTGTTCAGCCGGAATCGGTCGAACCGGTAGTGTTGTGATGATTGAATATGTCATGGAGCAAATTCTCGCAAATCAACCAATCGATGAAACCGACAAGATATTGTTGAAAATTCGCGAGCAACGCAACAATTCGGTTCAAACCGATCATCAATATCTTTTTGTCCATCAAGTTTTGATGAACTATTTTCGTCATCGCAAATTGCTTGATTCGACTGTCGAAGGACATCATGACGATTTCACCAAGACCTATTTGAAACTCGTCATCTAAGTCCGATCTTTTTCTTCTTTTTTTGTCTTTTATTTTTTTTGAAAAAGTCATAAACTTTTTTCTCGGGGGTTTTTTTGTTGTAAAAAATTCAAATTTTCCTCACCAAATTAGTGGCGACTTCAATCGGCGTCGCTGGAACCACATTTTTTCCGGAAAGTGTTTGCCGAAGTGCATCGTTGTTTTCGTTGGGTGGAATTGTGAAGACACTTGAGAATGTTTCGGGATCGGCCAATGAGAATGAGGGGTGGATGAAGATCTGGAATTTTCGAGATTTGGGAATTTTTGGAAAATGAATTAAATTTGGGTGAAATTTAGCAAGCCGCATTTTTAACAGTGTTCAAATTTCTCTTTTTATCCATTGTCTCATTTTTAGCACCATCTAATTAATATTTTTTAATAACTCATGTTGGAAAAATCTATGTTGATTTTTCTTTTTCAATTTCCACGTGGCACAAAATCAAGATTTCCACATGAAAATCCGAGGATCTCAAAAAACAAAATTTTACGACTACTAATAAATCCATAACACAAATCTTCATATCCGCTAAAATTACCCCAACAGCTGTTTTTTTTTCTCTATTTGTCAAAATGTTTTTTTTTTCAAAATGTCAAGTACTTTTAATTAGCAATGATTAAAATTCGATTTTTAATTTGGAAATTTCAACCCGAACACCAAAAACCAACCCGGAAACCCCGAAAAATTGGGCTCGGTGTTCAACTAAACCTTAACGTCTTCTGAATTCCAAAAAATCAGCAAACCCATAAAAATTACACCAAATCATCACCTTGGAAATGTTCATCAAACCGCAACTTTTCTCGTGCAAAATTGTTTTTTTTCTGCATTGCTATTATATTATTTCTTCTTTTTTTCGTGTTGTATAGTGGTTTCAGAACATAAAACCAAACAGTTGTCCTATCATTTTTCAGCTATTTTTTTTTCAAGCTCACCGAGTAGGTTAAACCAAAACTAAATAACTAAAATAGTATACTTTTTTGTTGCAAAAATGATTATGGCAATTGGACAAACAATTTATGAAGATGAGCGAGCTCATCAATATGAAATGTTGCAGAAAAGAAAGAGGAGGTGAGTTGGGGTAACTTACCGTAGGTAAATCATCCGCGTCTTGTTTATCATCTCCAAGTGAACCGCCTTCGCAGTGACTTAGTCGAAGTGCGCGGCGAATTGAGCGATATCGTTTGTAGGACTGGAAAACATAGAATTACTGATGGGTTAGGGGGACTTTTATGAAAACCATTTAAAGGGTTGGTGTTTTCCTGGTGAAAAAACCGTCTGCAAAAAGGCGTCACCGTGTTATTTTCAAAGTTGTGTGCAAACACACGCACGAAAATTCAAAAACGAGTTGTGCGCTAGAGCGCATTTACTTGCTTTATTTCGTAGGTTTTAACTCGCTTGTGTTTTTGAGGAAAAACATGGACTGAATTGATACTAGAATTTTTTCTAAAACTGGAACCTTCCAGGAGCACCTTATTTCTATCTAAACTAAGCAAGATTCCCTGGCGGAGCACCAACCCTTTAAATTTAATTTTGAGAAATTCGAGAGATTTTGATATTTTTAGACTTTAAAAATGTTGGAGAATCTGATTTTCAGACAAATATTTTTAACTGTGGTCCAGGTTAGAGGAACTTTGAAACGTGGAATTTTATGAAAACCATTTGAATTTAATTTTGAGAAATTCTAGAGATTTTGATATTTTTAGACCGAACTTCAAAATGTTGGAAAATCTGATTTTCAGACGAATATTTTTAACATATTTTTCGAAGTTTCTTAAAATTCCTGACTCATTTTCCAAATTTCTGACCCATCAAAAACAAATCAAAAATTTTAATGATGACGAACAAAAATTTTTTAGGACCGGTCTAATTAGAAAAATCCGCTCGCTTCACTAATTCATTGTCATCGTTCTCCCCCACAATAATTTGTCTCAAAAACAAAAATATATTTCAAAAGAGAATAAGTACAAAATAATAAATACAGTACTCATTCTTACGTCATCAAATTTTTAATTTCAAATTAACAACACTTAATTTTTTTCTGTTTCAAAAGTCGTCAAAAAATTACCTCTCCAGTAGTTTGATTATACTTCTCAAACGTGGCTTTCGAGATTTTCGGCAATTTTTTCGATGCCAAAATCGAGGCTTGCGGCACAAATGTGTCACCCCAATGACGTGTGAAAAATGTAGATGTTTCGGTGCGCGATCTTCCCGGATCAGCCAACACAGCAGATAGATTTTGAGTGAAACTGCAAAAAAATATATGTTTCTCTGACTTCTTGTTGTTTTTTAGTAACCAGTTTTCTTCGTTTTGAAAAAGGTCATTTGCCTCTTGAAATTCCATTTTTTTTCAATGATAAGAAGTGGTCATTTAGGGGGAAAAAGAAGAGAAATGGCATTGATAGAGGAGATAGACTAAATAACTGAATTGAGAGAAAAAGTTAGACGTGAATTGTTTTTGAAAAAAAATTGGGAACTTTTTTTCTTGATTGTGGTTTGATATGATAATTGAATCATGAAATCAGGAAATTTGAGAAGTTTTGGTAGTTTTTAGATTAACTGAAATCAAAGGTTTAGAAATTACGATTCGGAATCTGAACTTCTGGTTACCAGAAAAAAGTTTGGATAGCTCAATGGCAGTGGTGTCTGCTGCCAATCTCAGGATCGCGGGTTCGATTCCTGGTGCAAGCTTTTTTTCGATTTTTTTCCAGAGCAGAACTTCAAGTTTTCAAATTTCTTTCTTCTCCAAAAAAAATCCAGTCCAAACAACATTTAAAATTTTCCAAAAATTCTCGAATTCCCAAACATTACACACTATCAATTTTTCAACCATCAACCAAAATCAAATTTATCAATCCAGTTCTCTCTTCTCTCTATTTTTTCATTTCTGATACAGTTACCTGACCATCTCCGGTCGGTTAGAAAAAAGGGGCGTGTCAAATTCGTTGATTCGAAAACCCCAATAATTCGATTTACGTTGATGGCCAGGTAACGAGAAAAAAACATTATTTAGTAGATAGAAGTAGTTGACTTTGCGTCGATCAAACTTTATTTTTCTTTTCATTCGTTTTAGGGCCGGTAAACACTTCTCTAGTGTTTTTGTCAAATTAGTTATATTAAATTGACTTTTTTATCATCATTCATTCGAATTTCATTCTTTTTATTTCAGAATGGGGAAGGTTCGCGATACTGCTGTAGATATTCCAAACACTGAAGAAGAGGACAAACCAAAATCATGGAAAGATGCGTTATTCGGAAGAAGAGCTAGAAAATATGCATTCGTATTCATTGTTGCTTTTCTCGCATTGCTAACAATCAAAGATGTTGTTGAATTAGTTCAAGAATATTTCGAATATCCAAAAGAATCAGATATCAATATTGTGTTCAATGAATCGATGACTATGCCAAATGTAACATTCTGTATGTCACGACCTCAAGCTTGGTCACATTTTAAGGTGAATTTAAGTGCCTCTGTGGATGAATGGAATGCTGTTATTGATGAAAGCTTAGCGAATATGACTGATCATGATTCATTCATGAAAACTCCTTGGGATTATCGAATGGTTATGGAGGCTTATGATATGATCGCATCGTATAGTAGTATGGAAAGAGAAACTTCGTCGCACGGTTCAGCAAGATCTATCCATGTTTTCAAAAATGCTCCAAGATTGGCGGGGAAGCGAAAAACTTTCAAGAAATGGATGAGATATTCTAGATTCGCGTGGTATTTCTTTTGATGAATTCACACAAAAGACTGGAATCGAGGTTTTACGAAGATCAATGCAAAGATTCCGTCGAAAAACATTCGATGAAGAAGATGTAGTAATCAAAACAAAATTACGAATCTCTTGGATCTCTCAAATGCAAGTATGTTACCAACCGGAATTCGATCACGAAAACTTCAAAACCATTGATGATCAAGGTGTTTTCTTCGATATGCTTCTATCACACAACGCTGAAAACCTCGAAGGACAAAACATCGAATGTATGTCAGTAGATTTCCACGGAAGACCATCTTCGCACAGCAGATATATGGAAGGAAAAGGAAGATCAAGAGATGGTTATATTGATGAATTGTGTTTTGGACAAAGACACGAAGTAACAGTTCATGTAACCAATCTTTATCAAATGTTGGAAAACGAAGAAGAGGGAACAAGATGTAAAGATGTTGAAGAGGATGAAGATAACGAATTCGATTGTAGATCTCGTTGTAGAATGGAAATGATTCGTGATATGTGCCATTGCACACCACTTTCGCTCAGTTATTTGGCAAAGGATGATTTGGAAATCTTCCCACTTTGTGATTACACACAATGCACAATCGAGTAAGTTGAGAGAAAAGTGGAACTTCCTGGTTAAAATTTACGCAGAGGGGGGGGGGGAAGAACCGGTTTGTTGAATCTTTGACCATTTTGATAATATCATATCACTAACAGTTAGCAAAATTTTCGAGGTCAACATTTTTTAATAAAAACTTGAGAGAAATAAACCAATTTCGAGAAAAATCTAATTTTTTGAATGAATATTTAAAATTTAGCGATATCTACACAGAATTTTTGAAATTATAGTTTCTGTCTGAAAAATTCAGATTTTTATTGAAATATTGAATTTTCCCCAATATGTTTTTTCTAGCGTTCAAAACGGAAACTTCTCGGACAGCGAATGCACCAAAAATTGTTTCCCGGATTGTCGTCAAATCAGATTCGAAATCGATCATTCTGTCAAAGGTCGTATGCTTCGTCCAGATTTGACGCTTGTTGAACTCTCTTGGGGACCTTTCGAATATTTGACAATGGAACAACAATGGAAATACTCAACAACATCGTTCATCGCCGCTTTGGGAGGTTCGATCGGAATGTGGTTGGGTCTTTCAATCCTCTCACTCATTCAAGTAAGTTTCCTGCGTCTCCGAAATTTAATCCAATAGCATTTTTTCTAGTTGTGTACCTATTCCTACACCTATTTCACCAAGAAAATTGTCAATGAGAAAATTTTGAAAAAGGGCGCGTCAACTGATAAGGTAAGTTAAATGAAGATGAAAAAACGAACACAAGTCACACACACACAAGATTTTTGTGTTAATTTGGATGATGTTTGAAATCATCGGCTTTTTTGTGATCACGAGAAAAAATATTGCACTTTGCACAGGCTGACGAGGATGAAGAAGCCGATTTTTCGTTCGACAATGGTCAAGAGAGAAAAAAGATGTCGTTGGCTGAGAATCCGTTTGCCAGCATGTTCCCAGCCAACTCGCCAGAACAACCACGTAAACCATCGAAACTTGGGTCGAGACAATCATCACTAGATAAGGCAAGCACTTGAAATTCTCAAAGTTTCTGGGTCAACTTGTCGGGAAACGTTTTTCGTCCCTGATATTTCGGCGGGCTTGGTTCCAACTAAAAATATTGGGAAAATTTATTCCGTTTTAGTATTTTTTGGTTGAATTTTGGCAAAAAGTAATCACTACTATGTTTTTCTGTCACTTGTAGGCTTTTCTTTTCATTTCTAGCTCAAACCCTCATTTTTTTACAGGAAGGAGGACCACCAGGAAGCTTCAGTTCAAATCCAAGTGGAGCTGCAAAATAAACCCCTCAACGATTCTTCTAAACTATCTCGTACAGTCAATTATTATACCGGTTAACTCCTTTTTCCCCTTTTTCTCTTCCTTCTTGTTTATAGTAGAAAACCTCAGGCTAATCCGAAAATCACTTAAATTTGAATTCACTTATCATCAAAATTTTTAAATATAAAATAAAGTTTTTTGTTTTTTTATCTCAAGAAATCTTACCTAGTCAAACTGAATTTCCTTCGATTTTCGCTCATTTCAGTGGGTGTTTCACTAGTCAATCGAATACTTCGCAGGCTCATACATTCCTCTTCTTCATCTCGAAACACTGATGAATTTGTGGTTGTGTGGAAGCGTCGAATGTGTGTTTCGAAATCGAGATCGCAGACGCCTTCGATGGGAAGTTTTTGGCACACTCCATTTTCACCGTATCTGGAAAAACAAGGTTGAGATAGATGGGTTTTTAGGAAAAAATTCTGCTACTGTTTTATTGAGTTGAAGAATTTGAAAAAAAGTTGATTAAAAAAAGTGTAATTTGAAGACAGTAATCAATAAGTGCTCAATAAATGATTTTATATCAATTTCGAACTGAAAGCATGTTTTTTGGCTCGAAAAATATGGATTTGAACTAAAACTGGAAGATCTTCCAGATTTACACATTTTTGACCCAAAAAAAGTTGATTAAAAAATAGTCTAATTTGAAGGCAGTAATCAATAAGTGCTCAATAAAGCTATTTTTTTATAGAGTTGAAGAATTTAGAAATGATTTTCGCAATTTTTTGAACAATTCAGGATTTCCGTGAACTAAAACGTGGCAACAAGAAAACTGGGAAATGTGAATCTTCCCGTTCATTTCTAATATTTTTCAATTTAAAAAAAAATCCTAATAATCTTTGATGGTTCAAGAATTCAAAAAGGTGAGTTTTTCCAGGTTCAAATTTTATTCTAAAGGCTTGGTATTTCCTTGTGAAAAAACATGTCCACAACTTTATTGGGGAATCCCAAAATAGAAAGTAAGTCCAACAAAATATCAGAATTTTGTAGTTTAAAAAAATCCACGTGTTTTTGAGAGCTACGAAATCTGCGCCAACAAATTATCAGAATTTTGTTGACGCGAATTCTGTAGGTAGGAAAATTGACGCATTTTTCGACTAATTCAAAATTTGTACCAGTTTTGAAAGCTACAAAATCAGCGCCAAAAAAATATCACGATTTTGTTGACGCAAATTTTGCAGTTAATAATTTTATTCCTAGCACAAATTTATTTCAAGAAAAATCAATATTCATCTAATTCCTCGATCAAATAAAAATTCACCTGCACAAAAAACTGCCACCCTCTTGTGTCGTATGATTCGTTCGAATATGCCTCGAAAACTCATTCGATGTGGCAAATTCGTAGTTGGGCGCAGTACAATATTCACAATTTCGCGGATAGCCGGGCTCATAGAAATACGAGCTTTTTCTCGACGACGCGGAAATCGTCGATTTTTTCCGCCTCTCCTCACTTGTTCGCATTATACAACATTATAAATACAATAAATCTGTGAACTTGCCATTTTTCTACTGATTTTGGAAAAAAATATTATTAGAACCGTTGAAACGGAAATCATTGGAAAATTTTGAAAATAACTAAAAATGTTTTATTATTATTTGTCTTTTAAAACGAGGGGCAAAAAAGGTAGATGAGTCAAAAAGTGGGCGTGTTTGTTTGAAATTGAAAACCCGATTTTTCTTTTTTGAAACCATACTTTTTGAAACATTAAAATTAACATGAATGAAGGAATTTGAATATTACAAAGAGAGAAAGAAAACAGAAAATATTTGTAATAGCACCTGGTATATTTAGAAAGAGTATTATAATACATCGGAGAAAACAGAAAGAAACATCAAGTTGTGTTGATTGGTTGCTAATGTCTTCCGCCACGAAGAATTCGATAGACAACGAGACCTGATAAAGTGAGAGCTCCGAGACCAATTGAGACGTATAAAGCTTCGGTGAACCAAGAATTGCTGCAAATTAGGAGGTTTTTTGAGTTAAAAACGTGATTAGCAACGAATTTTGTTTTATAAATTAATTCCCCCTAAAATCACTAACTTTCTCGGATCCAACAAACTCATTGGTTTTCTCGGCGTACGTGGCACATCATCAATAATCGAATGTGTCGATGGCGCATACGATGTAACACTTTGCGCATCATCCTCATCATATGACGTCATAGCTCGCCCCATTGTGGTTCCTCTCAATTTCTCAACAACCGTATTCACTCCATGCGGTGTTAATCTTCCACGCACTGATTCTGTTGTCGAACTATTTCTTTTCGCGAAATTTTCGCGAGATGGTGTATTTGTGGTGACAGATGGCGTTTGAGTTGGATCTTCCTGCAAACATTTTTTTCTTTATATTTTTTAGCATAAAACAAGTGTTTTGGTATTACAGTCAATTCATAACTTCGATCAATCAATACTCTTGCCACGTGTCCAACTTCAACTTTTCGAAACACATCAACCGCGTCATCGTGGTTTTTACAAGTCATATCGATTCCATCAAACTGAAATTCAATAATTGATTTTTTAAAAAAAAGAAGTTCTTACTGATAGAATCTTGTCTCCAGTTTGAACAACTCCGAAAGATTTGGATTGTGGGTTGACGGTTGAGATGAATATTCCTATGTCATTTTTAAGATGTGGGCAATCGATTCCGCCAACAATGTGAAAACCAAAACCTGCAAAAAGATACGATTTTTATTGAAAACACAAAAAAAACATTCAGAGTTGATATTAAAAATTGTTACACATACCTGCACTAGTCTTTTCAATATTAACCATTTTGAAAGGTCCATTGTCAGGTTCCTCGCTCGGATCACCATTTTCTTTTCCGTCTTCCTCATCAATCGCTTCTGCAGCAAACGAAATATCGGATAATTCGTCAGCTCGAAAAGGAGATGAACAATTAATAATACACTCACGCTCATATATTCGATCTTCCGGAATCGAACCTATAGTTGTTTGTCGAGAAAATGTTTCTTCGTGGCCAGGAGAAATCATCATTCTTTGCAGCGTTGTATTAGAAATTCTGCAAAAAAACGAGGGTAGATTGAAAAAAAATGAATGAGACATTATAAAGTATGAATTAATCGGCCAGCAACCGAATGTTATTTGAATCAAAATCACACAAGAAATTTTGAATTAAAATTCATGGGAAAGGAAACAAGAGATCGAATAAAAAACTCAACAAGGTGACATTTAAAAAAATTAAAATAGTTATAACAATTAGATACATTTACTCGTTTTGTGCTCGTCGTTTCATCATTTCAAAAATGCGCTCTTTGATATATTTTTTGTCGTGTGGCGCGTACACAAAAGTTGCTTGACATTGCACAAGCATTGAAAGATCTGTGAGATTATCGATGAAATCGAACAATTGAACTATGTCGTATGTGATACTCGAGCGACCTGGTGATTTTTTCTTCAAGAATTCTTCGAAAGCTTTGCAAATTCCTGCAAAAATATACTTTTTCGAAAAAAAATAAATCATCAAAACCAACCTTCTAAGCAATCATTCATGGATTCATAATCCGACCAAGATCTCGATTCGATATTAGTTGTTGGTTGCATAAGCAAAATTGTATGATCTCGTCGCATTTTGGAGCAAAAACGTTGACACGAAACAGCAAAAAAAGAAAATAAAAATCGCGTTCGCGTCAGCTGCACACGAAATGCGTCAATGATTTGAGGCTGGCGCACAAAAAACAGGCAATTTATTTTTTTCCAATTTTTTTTTGTTTTTTTTTGTACGCTCTTAAAATACATCTAAAAATTCAAATTTCCAGGTAAATCTACCGAAAATGTCAGGATTAACACGTCAGGTAGCTCGAATTGCTACCCGTCAAGCATCCACTCATTCACAGTTAGTTTTTTCAACAATAATTTATACCACGATTTTGTCATGTTTTCAGCGATTCCCACGCAGTTTGGCGCGAGATTAATCGACTTGGAAGCGAGGGAAAATGGGATAGCATCAACAACAAACCAAAATTGTTCCTTTTCGGTCAATCGAAGAAAGAAGCCAGTGCCGCATTCAACGCCATCGTGAGTTTTGCTTTTAAATTTAAAATTTTTAATTAAAAATATAAAATATCAGAAACACTTTCAAATTGTAAGTTTAGTCACTCTTTATATACATATGCTGTAAAAATCAGACAACAATGTTCTCTGATACGTGTTCACTCAGCTGACCTATCAAAAAAAATTTAAAGATCAAAGTATATTTTTATCAATGAAAAACAGGTGTGTGTGTTTTTTTTCAAAAGAAACATTTTCAGAACAAATCTTCGGATTTTTTCAACCAATCTGCTTATGGTCCATATTTGAAAGTTGTTTGGAGATTGGCTCTTCTTCTCGGTATCATTAATGCCGGTGTTATTGCCTACGACTTTGTTGTTCCTGAACAAAAACGTCTTCATTACAAATACCGTCATCACGGACATCACGACGAACATCATTAAATAGAAGTGACAAGAATCAGATGTTTAAAGTTTAGTAAATACAATTATTTTATTCGTACACATATTTAACCCTATCAACAACACGACTCATCAAACTATTTTCAAATGTTTCATTTAATCGAGTTTCAACAAACTCTCGAACTCCATAAATCCAACCATTTCCAATACTTCCATCAACTCGAACCATTCGATAATGTCGGAAATTCGCAATTTCTTTCCTCACATATCGAATTCGTCCTCCCGGATATTGTCGGCGAGCCATATGATAAGTTTGAGCATTTACCATAGTAGGTCGATAGATTGTCTTCGATGAAACCCATATATAATCATTCGAAGATTTTCGGAAGTTCATAAATTCCATATCACTCATCAATATTTTCTCATTCATATACATTGCTGAACCCTGTTCAGTTTTCTGAATTCGCTGCACTTGGAAATTGAGTTCTGCTACATTTCCTTGTTGAGATCGGAGGAAATCAAGCATACTAATCGATGGATCAAGCATATCGAAACGCTCGTCAATGTCGCAATTTATTACCCATTTTGCGTGGTATTTTCCTCGATGATGACATTCCTAGAAAATAGTTTGATTTTTGATTCACTAAGGATAGTTACAAAATGAAATTCACCGAGAAAAAACTATGTAAAATTTGCGCTTTTCGATTTTCTGATCTTTTTAGGAATTCCTCTTTCGATTTTGCAGGTTTCCCCAATCTTGGGTGAAATCTATCACAGAAATCCGATAGAAATATATGTAGTTTGATCTCCTCTCCCCTCCCAAACAAAAAAAAACTCACATGTGTTTCAATCAAATGAAATTGCCAATCCAATTGCTCATATTCCAATTGAATAACTCTCACATCAGCCAAACCAATTTGCTCATAATAATTCAGCGCTTTCCGAGAATACGAATCGATGTCAAAAATTGTGAAATAAAACATGGTTACACCCAAATATCGATGATGTTCAACAAATTCCACAATTTGTTGCCATCGTTTTTCAGTTCCATAAATTGGGCCAAGACAAAGAGCAACTTCGTGAACTGGTTGATGATAAGCGCGAAATGTTAGAGGAATTGGTTCGAGCGGGAAAATTGTACTCGTGAAAACTCATTGAGATATATTTTGCTCCACTTCTTCGAGGACAATAAATCACATTTAGAGGGAAGAAATACGACATAGCAGAACTGTTGGCGATTTCTCGACGATTACAATCATAATATCGACAGTAGGCAGTATCGCTGAAAGGTTTATATTTTCAGAATGCCCTCAGAAACTTCAGAACTCTAACCCATAATGATCTTCCGATGAAGTAATCAATGCAATATATTCTGGATAAACATAAGCTGAGAGTAATCTCACTTTTGATCCATGCATACTATCCCTTCTTGTGATATTTTCAGATCTCCATTTTTCGTGTAAACTTTCATGTGGAATATGTTCATTATCGAAATTGTTCCAATCCTCAATTTCACATTGATCTTCGTTGGAATCGTCACGGGAAGCTGGAAAATTCAGAGAATTTTTCTAGTTTGGTGCAAAATGTATTTTTTTCTGAAAAAAAACCAAAAATTCTGTAACTGTTTTTTTTTGAGATTCAAAATTCTAAAAAAAAATAAATTCCTAAATTCTTACACTTTTTATGAATAAATCCCGAAAAATATAAACCAGATATGAATATAAATAGACTGGTCACTAAAAATATGAAAATCTTTTCGGATTTTGAAAGTTCAAGATTTTGAGACATCAAAAATTGAAAAGTTTGTATAAATCAATGAAAACGCGAAAAGTTACTGGTTTTGTAGATCAGATAACATTTGGAAAATGTTTCGAGACTAAGATTTTCGGATTAAACAACTTACCATTTCTATAAATCTCCACCAAAAATCCAACAACAAAAAATAAAGAAATAACTAGAAATACACAACATTTTACTGGTTTCATAATATTCTGAATTTTTTGTGATACAAAAGAAAAAAGGAGGATTTGAAATAATAAAAATCAGATATGCTGGACCGTAAGAAAATCGAAGAAAAGAGAGAGAAATAAGGAAAAGCTAGGTTCGAATCAGATAACAACGATTTTTCACCGAAAAAATGGTGCGCTTGTTCCAGGAAAATATACGTTTGGAATATCAAAGATTTTCCGGTGACGAAGATTTACAAAAGGATTTTTTTGTTTGTGACTTCGACTTCTTATAAAGTCCGATTCACATCGGTTAAGAGGTTTTCTGATTCTGATTGGAAGAGGATCATAAGACTTTGGGTAAATAATTGAGATATCAGTGGTTAGTTTTTTTTCTAGATTTTTTGAAAAGTTCGGAAAGCTCTGGAAGTGTTATTTTTAGGTGTGAACCCATTTTTGATTTAAAAAAATCGGCCCTCGGCCAAAAAACTTCCATTGTTTTTGGTCAAAAAATAAATAATAAATCTGGAAGTTGTCATGTTTTCAAGTTTACAAAACCAATCAGATAAAATCCCCCTTCACATTGTTCCAGACAATTGTTTTTTGTTGCTACCTTCGCTGACTCGCACAATTGGCAACAGCATTTCGAGGAATCCTGAGATATTCATCTAAAATATTATAAGCGGGAGAGAGAAAGAGAGGAACCAGATCACACGATACGAAAATCAACTATTTTTATATTTTCCATCCAAGCATCCATTATGCGAAGCCAATTTCTAATTGTTTCATTTATTATTTTTTTGGTTTTGGTATTATATATTGGGTTTAGAGTTAGGACAGGTAAGTTTTAACTTGATTTTACAAATTATCAGTATAGCCTTGCGTCTAGTGCCAAAATTATTCCAACTTTTTCAGACGGTGAAAATCGAGAGCGTCTAAAATTCCAAAGTGTAGATCATATAAAAATAGCAGAAAGTGAAAAATGGAAATTGAAGAGAGATGATACGATTCGAGTTTTAGCTGCCTATCAATACGAAGATCATATTGCAGTCACAACTTATTCACTCCATGAGCCTGGGTTAGTTGTTCTAGAACTTGAAACAATTCAGAATCAAGCCGAAAATCAATTTTACACCTACAGTAAAATAATAAAAAATGTTCCAATTCCAGAACGAATGCGCGATGCTTTTATTACGGAAAAAATAACCGATTACTCTCCGACGCCAGCCAGCCTACAGTATTCTCCGGTTTTTCGTATGCCAAATGTCCCATTGACAGACGAGCAAAATATGTGACACTTTTATCAACGAATTTTGAAAATAGTCCAGATCCTGTGGTTATTCAGAATCAAGAGAAAACATTTATCAAAAATTACAAAGCGGTTTGTGTTAGTCCGATTTTCGGAAGCGAAGTGAATTGGAAGAAAATCGTGAAATTCATCGAGTTCCATCGAATCACTGGCTTCAACTTTTTCTATTTCACAGTTTTCAACACTTCAGCTTATGATCAACAAATAATTGATGATTATGTTCGACTTGGATACGTGGATGTTACATATGTAACATCAAAAAGAATCATGAATTCAATTGAATATGATCTAATTCAACAACAAAATTGTGTATTCAAGGCGAAAGGTCATATCAAAAGATTGATTCATTTGAGATTGGGAGATGAGAAAAGTACCAGGCACGTTGATTTTAATGCAAATGAAATTCCAATTGAAATATATGAAGATGAAGAAGTTCAAGAGACATATGATTCAAAGATTGAATTGATTTCGAATGTGACAAAAGTAATTGGGAAGAGACAGATAAAAATGTATAAATCATACGATTCACTGAATGGATTACTCACTTCAGAGCGAAATATTGAAGATATATCGTGAGTTTTTCTGATTTCTTTTAACTTTGCCACGTCCAAACTTTTTTCTTTAAAAATCAGAGCGCGATTTGAGCGTAGCTTCTGACGGACTTTTAGATTAGAAAATTGGATGGAAAAAACTCTATTTGATTGAGGAAACAGATACGAAGAACTTTTAGACTTTTGAAAATACTATTGTGGTCGAAACAATAAAATTCTTAATTTTCGAATAGAAAATACGAATAATTTTTGAAACGTACTTATTTTCAATGAAATTGGAACATTTTACAAATTATTTTTTAAATTATAGAAATTCCGGAAAAAAAAACAAAAAGAATCTAGTTTGATCTAATTAGATTTTCATTAACTAATTAATTATTGTCATGTTTTATTAGATTAAAAGTTTCAAAATCTTAAAATTAATTAACAGAACTTAATTGAAAAAAGAAAAACTCTGACCTCAAATTCCAACAAAAAAAATTTCAGATATGATCTTCCAACGGAAAGAATGTACTACGACGCAGTTGAACAACGAACAACAAATATTTATAAAAAACGTCCGCTTTATTGTGACGAACTAAATATGCAATTTTTCTCGTTCTGCGAGGAAAAAATCTATCATTGCAAATTCCGAAATTATGAAAGTGAACAAAATATTCGACATTTGAAATCAATGTACAAAATGACAACAACCGCAGCGTATCAATATCCAAACTGGTAGACAATTTTTGTGAATATTTATGTAGATGAACCGTTTTTTATTTTATTAATCCGTTAATTAGTTAATTTGACACGAGTTTTTTATCCAATTAATTTGATTATATGGTTTTTTATATATTAGACCAACCCTCTTTGTTATCTATCAATCATTGATTTTTCTCCACATTCTTTTTCCTATTATCATATATGAAATGCTCATTTTCTTCATGATTTTCCTGATGATTTTCCTATTTTTCATTTACTATCTCTATTATCCAATATTCTGGATTCTCAAATGGCTAAATCCCGCAAAGTTAGTTTATCTCTAAACTTTTTCTACATAGTTGAATCCAGAAATTTCTCCTAGAAATGTTGTAGTTTCATGTTCTTCTCCTTATCTTATCAGTTGTCAGAGACCACGGTTTTTTTCAGAAAATTTACAGCCCCCACGTCGAGGCTGAAAGATATTATTCAACCGAAAAAAGAGGAATGGGAATATGATCAACTTGATGCAAATGTATGTAAATGATTTTTAAAAAAATAGAAAAATATCTAATCTAGACAACAAAATTTTTGTAGCAAGTTCTCACATTTTCTGGAAGTTCGGCTTCCGATGGTATTATTTTCATTCAAATCGTCAGACTTGCTGAAAATGTTTGTTGGAGTAAAATCTATGTTTCGGAAAATGGTGTGAATTATAGTGGAGAGTTTGAAGGAAGATGTGAAGAGGGATCGAGGAAAATCATTTGTGGTCCGCTTTTGGTTGATATGAGAATACCATTTCGAAGATGGAGGGTGAACTTCAGGGGTCATCTTATGAGGTAAAAGGACCTTTTTTGTGAAATTTATGTTTTTGAGAATATAATTTTCATGTGGAAGCTGGCACATCTGAAATACTAAAACCTTCCAGGTTAGAGGGAAATTCTCAACTTTATAAACTTAATTATTTTTCTGATACAGTAATTTTCATAAGGACTCAAAACCTGCCCTTTTTACCACAAAGTTGTTTCCAGTACCTCAAACTTCGAAAAAACATTCCTATCAATTTCTGGTTGGTGGAAACCTTTAACAAATGCCAGATTCTTCTACTCCAACACATCTCTTCAATCATTTTCCAAGATCATCGAAAAATCAAAATATAATTTTTTCAACAACCTAAAAACCATCGAAAACTATCGTCGTTCCAAAGTTTTCCATCAAATGGGCGAACTTCATCTCGAACTTCGAATCGCAAAAGATCAAATCATCGAAAATCGATACCGTGGATTGCGAGAGAAGACGAGTTTAGATGAAATCACAACATCTACACAGATTTCGAGTTATTTGAATGTGAGAAAAGAATAATTTGAGGGAATTCGATTAAATCTAAATCAGTTTTTTTTTGCAGGATGGAACATCTTTCACCTACTTATCTTCGTCAGAAATTGACCACGGGATATTCTTCAAATCAGATCACCGTGTATTCTCAACAAATTTGCAGAATATCAAAAGCCTCAATGAATCAAATATGCTACCGATTGTTTTTACTTTTTCATCAGAACTACCATTTGAGATAAGAAAAAATGTTGATTTGGCTGGAAAATTCGACTATAAAAGACCTGATAACAAAATGATAAACATCACCCTCATCAAGGTAGCTTACTAATAAAAAACAAAATTGAAAAAAACAGGCTCTATGTTTCAGATAAATTCAGGGCTCAGTAGAGGATTTGCATTTGTTACCCGTACATCTGAAACTCTTCAACCATATCCAGATATCAAGTTAGAAAGTTTCCCAGAATATCATGCTAGTGAACTCGAGAGAAACACTTTGGTGCTGCCATTTGCTCACAGAGCTTGTCAGGATAAGGGTTTGACTGGAGGAAAAGGGCGCGAATTTGGCGAGACTTCAAGCAATCACGAATGAATATTATGTTCCTGTTGGAATTGTTGTTAGCACAACAGCTTTTGATAAACATGTTCAACTGAACCCGAAGATCAGAGAAGTGATTCAAAAATTGGATGAATCTTCAAATGATGCGATTGAAATTGGAATTAGCCTTGAAAAACTATTTATTGAGTCTGAAATTTCGGAAGAATTGAAATCAAAAATTCTCGAACTTCTACCACCTGCAGAATTCTACGCTGTCAGATCATCAGCAGTTGGAGAAGATGGCGCAGATTTATCATCAGCTGGGCAATTGGAAAGCTATCTGGATACTGTGAAAGAGGATATTTTCAAAAAACTCAAACTTTGTTGGGCTTCGAATTTCCGACGTGAAGTTTTGAATTATCGCCGAAATCATGGTCAACAATTAAATCCATCAATGGCTGTTGTAATTCAAGAAATGAATCGAAATGGTGTTGCTGGCGTGTTATTTACAGCAAATCCAGTGAAAATTGATAGATCTGATATGGTTATAAATGCGTTGAAAGGAAGTGGAGAATTGATTGTCAGTGGAATTGAAACTCCTGATGAAATACATTTTGATCGATTGAATAATCAAATAACGGTGCGGTTTTATTAATTTAGAACTTAGTTTACGGGAATGATATAACCAAAAGGTTACTGTAAAAGTCCAAACTTCATAGAACGTTCCAAATATTACAGACATCTTCTGAAAATTGCTGCCTATCAGACAATGAGATTCGTCAACTCTGCAAAGTTGGAGAATACCTGGAACGTGTATTTGGTCGCGCCCAAGACATTGAATTCGTATATCAAGATGGAAAAGTGAACATTGTGCAAAGTCGCGATATCACAGGACTCGATAAAGAAACCAATTTCGAAATGTATTATGAACTTGACACTCCAACTTTTACAGATAAAGAGATTCTGTCAAATGGAAATGTTGGGTGAGATTATAAACGTGTTTTTGACAATTTCTCATTTTTTTCAGAGAAGTATTTCCAGCTCCACTTACAGCTATGGAAAGTGATCATATGTGTATACTTTTTGATAAGATTTTGATGGTATCACTCTCAATATTTTCATCCAGAAATGAATAAATTACTTTTCCAGAGCTTATCAATCGAGGATTTGAACGATCGAAATTCTTGTCATATAACTACAGCATTTGCTCTACACCATCATAAAGTGTTTATGAATTTTGGAGAAATGATGTTGAGAACTTGGGAAGCTTGCAAAAATGACAGAATTATTGAAATTGTAGTGGCTGGTGAGAGATTATTTGATGAAAAGATGTTTGAGCAAAGTGCTCAAAGATTCGGAAAAGCACCAAAAACTTTGGATATTCGACGACTTTTGAATATGTTGTATATCGTATTTGTGTCATCTTATAAAAGTTTGGATATAATGAAAGAGGCATCGAAAAGATGTGCTGAACTTATTCCATCTTCAAATTGCACAGTTGAACAAGCTATTAAAAGTTATGAAAAACAAATTGATCCTTGGTTTGATGCAACAATGAATCATGCAAAACTCTCATCATTTTCTTCATTTACTTATGTGATTTCTGGAATGCTTATCAGAGGTTCGGAAAAAGGAGATTTGAATGAGGATAACATTTCGGATTTTGCCAATGTATTTTCGAATAATTCGAGAACTGATGTTATTAGTGCAGATGTTCCGAATTCTTTGAAAAAACTAGCGGCTGCTATCAAATCCGATAATTTGGAGAATGAATTTTTGGGAGAAACTGAATCGAATGATGCGTTGAGAATAATGCGAAAAGGGAGAGAAAACATCGGAGCAATTGGCGAGGTTTTTAGAACTTCACGGACATCGAGGTCCAAAGGAATTATATCTTGATGCTAAATCATGGGCAGAAAATACTGATTTGCTAGTTCATACGATCAAGGTAACTTTTTGAAGAAAGAAAACTGCTTTTTAATAGTTTTTTTAGAGTATGTTAACATGTGGTGAAACTGTTCAAAAGAATATCGAAAATGAAGATGATATTATAAATAACTTGAAATGTAAACCACAAGGATTGCGACGAACTATGTTGAAATATTTCATTGGACAAACGCATCGAGGTGTTGCATTCCGTGAAACATCCAAAAATCATTTGGTTTCATCAGTTCATTCAGTTCGACAAACGTGTCGAATAATTGGACAGAAATTGTTTGAAAAGGGTTATTTACCCGAACCAAATCTTTGGGCACATTTAACAATGGATGAAATAAAAGAATTGAATTTGACAAGGAAACCTGAACTTGTTACAAGAGCAAAAAGACGACAGCAAATTGCTGGGAAGTTTGAAGGGTTACAATTCCCGCTGATTACACATGGTCATATGAACCCGGTTAGTTTTATGAATCACTGAATTAAAAAAAAAAAAAAACTTTTTTGTAGATCAAAGAAGATGAAATTATCGATCGAACCGCTTCTCTCAGTCTAACTGGAACAACTGTTTGTGAAGGAAAAGTAACAGCTCGCGCAAGAGTTGCAAAAACCCTCGAAGAAGCTACAGAAACCCTGCCCGGGCGAGATTCTCATCACTCGATTCACCGACATCAGTTGGTCACCATTTTTCCCAATAATCAGTGGAATTGTGACAGAAATCGGGGGACTTTTGAGTCATGGAGCGGTTGTTGCAAGAGAATATGGGTTGCCAAGTTTGATCGCTGTGCGAAACGCTACTCAACATTTCAAAACGGGAGATCTTGTGGAATTGGATTCGATTAAAGGTGTCATTATAAGATTGCAAGAGTAACAATTGAAGTGGCTATCCACTAAAAACCTTGATAAAATCACTTTATGAATCAGTTTTTTTTCAAATAATTTATCACAGCTTTAACAACACACCATTAATATTCCACATAGAAATCAATATTTCTGCATTTGCGGTCGAACTTGTCCCGAACTAATCGGTCGATTCTCAGTGTACATTGGCACATTTGGATGATACATTGGTGGCGGCGAATTGATCCAACCTGGTGGTGCAGGTGGAGGCATATTATAGTTCATTTGAGGAGGCTGGTATACAGGTTCAGCAGCGGTCGTGTAATTTGTGGTTGTTGTTGTGGTGATGACGGTGGTCTGCGCCGGTATTTCGACTATACCGTTATCCCAAGAACATTTTTTGCAACATGAATAGCATAGCATGAGGAGTGAGAAGATTCCAACGACTGCAAGGACACCGATGATAGCAGAGACACCTGATGAATTGGCACAGCATTCGAGTTCACAGCACTCTTGATTACTTGGGCAACCGAATGAGATTTGTGAGAGCTTCGTTCCATTTGAATAAGTTACCTAAACTGAAAGTGAAAAAAGGGCGAAAGCATTACAATATAACTCACATTACTGAATTCTTGATCATCACTTGTGACCGTATAATCACATCGTTTCGGCCTATCAGCAGCATAACTATAATGGCCACCCCAATAATAATGATACCCTCCATAAACGAAAGGTGTCGATGGCATTAATATAATATTGGATCGATACATTGGTGAATAACTGAACATTGTTGTAGTCGATGTTGTGTGAAAAACATTTTGTCGCATGTTAGTTGCATAGGGAGTTGAACGATAGGCTGAACCGGTTGGGCGAGAGGATGAGGAGAATGAAGATCCGGAAGACGTTCGAGATCCGGATGAGTAGGAGGAGGAAGATCTTGAGGAGGAGAATGACGAACTTCTGGCACCACTAGATCCTCTTGCACCACTGCTCCCACCTTTCGAATAAACGATTGTCAAGAGAATCGACAAAATCAGAAATTTGACAAACATTATCGATAAATGAAAATGTTTGAGCAGGTGTAGAAAGTGAAAAGAAGACAGTGGTTTTTTCCTCCGGCGCGGTTGTCAAGAGCAACCAACGCGTGTCTAGCTTGATCTTTTGGCTATCAATTGCTGACAGTAGGTTGCTATGGACAATCTACGTGCGTCAATGTAAGAGAAATCAACAATTTGAAACGAAAATAGAAATTATGAAAACAAATTTGACCTCGAACATTTATTACGTGTGTAGATTAAAAAAGTAAAGAAGGAGAGCACCTTTCGAAATTTTTTTAAAAAATTCTAGAAATGATTCTGATTCAATCTATCTTCGTCAAACTTTATCACATTTCAAATCTTCCATATTATAGTACTGAACTGTTCCTTCGTCTGATAAAACTGGATGCATGATAATTAATTTTGTAGGTTCGTTAGGTCTTGTCTTTTTCGATTGGCAACAATTGTAGTAAATGCATGTGCCAACAAAGCAAATTATCACACCGCATAACAGCAATAATCTAATTCTTATTCAAAATTAAATGTTTCAATTGGACAAAAATACTCACAAGATGCTGATTAATAAGGAGAGTCTTTTGACGGATGGATGGATGATATCTGGAACATAACCCGAGGGTATGGAATCATTTCTGGAGAGATTCTGAAGTGTCGAATTCATTGGAAATCAGAATGTTGTTCGAATAAAAACTGAAAGTACTTCAACCATGGTAACACTATCGTAGACAAGCCGCTTGGGGTATTGAGAACGGTTTGCAATTAGATTTGAATTTCAAACTTGGCGAAAAATAGTATGACGTGAAGTTGGTATATTTTTAGGATCTGTTTGTGATTTTACATAAGATTACGGTCCAGGAAAACGTTTCAAAAGAACTTAGGAAAAGGAAACATAATTTGCCTGTCCGAGGTTTCTAAACATGATTTCTAAGTAAGTTTCCTATCTTGATCTCCAAACTTCTAGATTTCACTTTTAGCTGGCATAGGAAAAAACTCCTAATACAGTTTTGATACAACCTTGGTAATCTAATAATTTATTGTTTTTCAATCACAAGAATCAAATCCGTCCAAAATTTTCAATTTTCCACGTATGAACCATATTCCGTAACAGTTTCATGCTCGAAGTAGACAACTTCGTTTTCAGTTGCATCTTCTGGATGAACAGCAACTGAGAGAAACAACGAAGCAACATTGTTATTCGAACAGAACATCAGATACAAAACCAGGAAAACAGATGTGAAAAACATGGTAAAAACCAGGAAAACACTGAAAATGTATGTATAAAGTTACCTAGAATTTTTCAACAAACTCACAAGATGACGAAGCAAACTTCGATCTTGAATCTAACCGATTCCGAGAATAACGGAGCATGGTTTTCCATATTGTGAAGAACACGATCGATGTACATTTCGCGAGAAAATGTGAGGAACTTAGTTGTGTTGAACTTTGTTTATATCACTTTAACATTTCGAGAAAACTTCATTGGGAAAAACAGTGGGGATTTTAGTGCAAATTTCCTTTCGGTGTGACGATCGAGCGAAAGAGAAAAACAAAAGAAAATTGTGCTTTGGTTTGACATTTATTATCTGAAATTAGTGCTCCAGGTTATAATTTTCAATTCTGATCACTTTGCAAAGCTTTTTATTATCAAAATAAAAAAATTTGGCAAAGAAAGAGAGGCCAGAAAAAATCCCTATGTTACCAAGTACGGTATTTCTCGTTGGGCAGAGAAACAAAGTCAAAGACGCACATATGGGTCTCGCAGCAATTGTCAGGAACACCGTACTTGGGAAGAGCGTCACTTTTTTGAAACTCAAAATTCTGAAATACACTAGCCTACAATGATTTCAGTTGAAGAATCGATAAGGTGATCCGTATAAATTCAAATTTTTGAAAATCATAACACATAAAGCAAGAAAGTGCGCTCTAGTGCACAAATCCATTATGCCCCAGAACAAAAAAATACGTCAATAGTTTATTTTATTTCCAAAAAAAACTTTTTATGATAAACTACATCATTCAATATTTATATTCGGAAGAAAGATTTCATTTTCCAATTGATCTTTTGGATGAACAACCACCGAGAAGAGCACAGTCATAGCATTCAAGTTCGAGAAAAAACATAGAAAAACAAAAACTGCTGCCACAATTGAGAAAAACACAAACAAAACAACCGAACTGAAAAATTTGATGAGTATTGTCTTGAATTATTTTCTGTAAACTCACATTGTGAGACAAAAAACTTTGAGTTGAAATTTTCCCGCTTCCAGAATAGATGAACGATTGTTTTCGAGAACAGGAGTATTTTCATTGATGCTCATTTTCAGTTCAGATTAATATGTGAACTAAATTGTCTGTCTGTCTGTCCACCTTTATTTATACCTATCACTTTTACAGTTTTAGATAACATCATTGGGAAAAACATCAGGGACTTTAGTGCGAATTTTCTTTCAATGTGACTGACGATCGAGTGAATGAGGAAAAACAAATTAAATTCAATATTTTTCAAAATAAGAAAGCGGGATATTCACAAAGCTTTATTAGAAGTTTTTACCACAAAAATCGATTTTGCGACGGCGAAGAAGTTCTCCAAAAACGCTCAACTGGATGATGGACAATAATAACATCAAGATCATCTATAACACTTTCTCGAATTCGTCGACGCATTATTTTAGTCAAGGAATAATGGACAACGATTGCCAAAACAATCAGAAATATAACAAGAATCACGTAGTCCTTCATTTTTCTCGTGAACAAAAATGAGTTCAGCACTAATTAGAGACGTTTCCCTGAAGAGATTTCAACGACAAAATGATGTAATAACTTTTGTATTGGAAACAAAACAAAATGAGTAAAATTAATTTTTATAAACTGTTTCGCAGGTTGAAAGTTGAATATCGATTGGTCGATTCGGATCGATCACGATGTTTTGACGTCGTTGGATCATACATATTATGATGAGAATTATGAATAATGCGAGAACTAGACAAAATGGGAAAATTGAAACAATAAAAATTTCTTTCAAGTTTTCCATTTTCAAGATAAGTTCCAATGGAAACTTGTGAGGAAAAGCTAAGATTAACTTTCATATGCAAATTGAAAATCATCTAGCAACCGGAGAAAAAATAGATGTTTTCAAACAGAATTCAGATTCAGGGATCATCGGAATCGGAACGAAAAATCAGAAGTGAAAATGTGACATCCGAAGTCCATTTCGATCAGCTCTATTCGGGTTCGATCATTCCGAAATTTAACGCATTTTTCCAAATAAAATCTATTCATTAATCAATCAATAATATTTTTCAGAAAATCAAATAATATCACCAAAAAGAAACTGAATTAGCCCCACCAATTTCAAAATCGCAATTATTTTGAGTGGCTGATGGAGGAGGAAATTGCTTTGGGCGTCGAAGTATTTGAAACGATTGCAAGAGGAAAGCAGGTAATATAACTGGCATAATTAGGAGATAAGTAGCCTTGAGAGATAAACGAGTCGATTAAAAATAATGAGTTAGATTTGCAGGAGAATCTACATAGAAGCAAGATCAATAAGTTCTATTTTGATAGATAGTCGATGCTGATGGAACCGGATGTGAACCGTTTTCAGGCAACCCATCGAATTGTTCCATCAGCGTTTGTTGCTCGATTGTATAAACAACATCCGTGTCTGGGAAGATAGGTTCCTCGTTTTCCATTTGCGCGATCTCGAATTCCGCGTAGAAGATGAATAACAGAAGTACAACGAAACATGCAAGAAGAATATCCATTTTTTTGGGGGAAAATGAGTATTTTCGCGAGTTTATATATAAATAACATTAATTGTCATCTAGCAACATGAAATATTTTCCATAGTTACCTTTAATTAATAGGAAGAGTAATACTACTATTATTAATAAGCTAACAAAAACTTTACAAGTTTTCTAATATTTCAAATTCCATTCTTTTACTAATGTATAAATACTGGAAAGAAATCTGTGGATTTATAGTGTTTCTCACTATAATAATTTGCCCTATCCCTTTTCAAATTATCAAATACAAAAGACGTCAAATGCGACAAGTCGAACCACTTCCACCAAGAAATCTGGAACCTTCGAACATCGAAATGGATGTTATCGCTGGAACTGGCTCAGAACACTCAACTGCTAATCAAAACGCTAATAAGTCACCATAATTTTAACCTCTTCTTTTTCGATCATAAATATTTTGAAATTTTAATGTGTTCGGAGTATTGTAAATAGTTAACTCAAAAACAAAAAATTAATAGTTAACTCAAATTTTCAGAGAAACACCCTCGAAATCTGCATTTTTCTGTGGAGATCATCAAACATTTCGATCTCATTCAGAATCTTCGAGTCATATGATCATGACTCGAAATTATCATCTTGCACTTTTTCATCGGAAAAAAAATATAATCGGCTATATTCACAACAAAGTGCAACATCAAACTATATATCATCAGTGTGATTCTGAATAGATGTATTTTCCCCACAATGATTCACAAATTACTAACCAACTCCAAAGCACACTCATACCAAATGAATATTTATAATTTCCCCAGAGGCCTCGAATTTCAGAACAATATTAAATTTTGATTTATCAAATTTTGGAGTAAACAACTATGATTCATGAACAATTTTATCTATGAAATCTCGAGTTCTAAAATTCATCAAGCTTTATGAAACTGATCTATCAGATTTCAGAAATTCATAAGATCAATAATGCTGTTGAGAATCATCCTGCACTTCTGATAGAAAACAATTCTGGGAAACTATTAACAAATTTCAAAACACATTCAATTTTTAATTCAATTTTATTTATCGATTTCAAATAAAAAATAAATGAATATTAAAGAAATAATTTCTGGATATAATAACTGAGGAATAAATATTGGGGTTAAAAAATTCGAGATTAACATAAATTATTGCATACTTTAAATTTACTGAAAACTTCTTACATACTGGAACATAAAACGAAACTATTATACTTCTTGCCATCATGCAGCAATTGTTGAAACAGTGCGATTTGTTGGCATCACGCCATCGTAAAATGGAGACATCTCAATACCTAATTCGACTGGTGCTCGCAAATCGATTGGTTGAACTGGAGTGATCACAGTGTTTCGACGTTTCAAGAAAAGGAAAACAGCAACGGCAATAATGGTGATAGCAATTGCCATACAGATTGGAATAACCAACGTGGAGATTAATTCGATTTTAGATTCCATTTCCAGAGAGAGAGAAAAATAGAAGTAGAATTAATGAGGAATGAATATGCCAAAGTTTTGCGAAGAATGATAATGTTCTCAACTTATCACGAGATTTATAGTCATCTGGAGAGACTAGAGATAATTTTTTTAAATAATTTTTATTTCTGATCAAATGAGGTTTGACAAAAAAGGTGGTTGCGTATGAGAAAGGACTATTGGGAATTGGATGAGTAGGGGGAGAGGTTGGATGAAAAACCTAATTCATGACGTAGGAATTTGTGGTATATCTGGATTGAAACAATCACAAAACTTGGGAATCTTGCATGTTTTGAAGAAGAGGCTTGATCACGATCGGAAGTTGATTCAAGACCCTGAAGCTTCCACACTTCTATTGTCACGATTTAAGTTCAAACCTTCACCTACTTACGTCATGAAAATTATCAGATTCTTGAGTCAGTTTTTTTTCTGTTACTAGATGATTTTGAATTCCCATATAAACTCATGTTTAAATTGGCTTTACTCACAACCTCGTTCCATTTTCAATAAATTATCTCGATGGAAATAAAACATCCAATAATGTCTATTTTATTCCTGGTACTATTATTTTTTTCATTCGTTCTTCTGTGTCTGGGCGTACGTATCAAAATGCGTCGAGAACTTCGAATTGATCCAATTTACATTGTGCATCCGACAGAACTAAGTGTCGATATTCAACAGGATTCTAGATCAACAGGTGATGGAGCTCATCCTAATTCAGCTGTTTGATGAGCCACTTATGTGTATTCTATTTTTGTTTAATTGTGTGTTTAATTTGTTTTTTATGAATAAAATAATTACTGATCTCCTGTATCTAATAATTGAAAGGTCCAGCTTTGAATGTCCAAGACAAGAACCCCACGGAGCAATTGAAAAAATCTGTAATGCACAAATTTTGATCCGGATTCATTCTGAAGAAAATGTTCTCTGATTGATTAAAACTTCATTTTTTAATCAACACCAAGTTTGATACTAAATTTGGATATTATTTAGCAAAACAAAATTTGTCGAAATTCGAACAAATATCAAATTCTTCGCATGACTAATTCTCAAAACTTTCATTCAACTTCAAAATGGTTTTCGACGAATACTTCTATGTGATTCTTCTGTTCTCAATCATCATCGCAATATTTTGCCTCTACCATCTCATTTTGAATCTAATCGACTATATTTCAATGAAAACTAGCCGAGAACAAGATTATTTTGCTGAAAAAACACCAGAAGAAATTGAGGAAATTCGAAAGAATGATGAAGAAGTTAATCGAAGATTGGAAGAAGTTTTGAGAAAATCTGGGTTGCTTTGAATTTTTTTTTGTTGGTTTTTTGAAATAAATTTTTCGTACTATTTAGAGGGGTCTGATATTGTAGCCAACAGCTTTTTTTTCTCGAATATTTTCGAAATTGATACCTAGGCAACCGACAATTTGCGATGACTTTGAATCATTTTGCTCTGAAAATGCTTTTCTCGTCCGACGAAATCCAAATAATCGAGACTTGTTTCATCTATCTTCTGGTTGCTATCGGTCTAGTATTCGTTTTCTCGTTTCTCAGAAAAATGTTGCATCGTGAACCCGATGAGGATTTCCTTCTGTTGATAAATCAAGAAGGCTTGGATGACGAGACACGTGACAAGATTATAACCGAGAGACTCGACAGCATTTTCAAAGGAAGCGGATTGGTATAAGTCTTGTGTTTTTTTTTTCGTGTTGATTTGATTTTTTTGAAGTCAATAAACCTTGTTAATTGAAAAAATGTGTATTTTTAGAAATTTTCAGAGATTGTTTTTTTAATCAGAAAACTCAACTTTCTTCGGTGTTATGATCAAAAAAATTACAATTATTTCCAGTTTTCTGAAACTCATGATCTGTTCCTTGTAAACAATTTCTAGAAAAAGTGTAATTTGAAAGCGCTCAGATAGACCACACACAAAGTTTCTCCTTTCGTGGATTTCGAATTCTTTTACGTGTTCATTCGCAAAACAAAAAAATAACCCTAGATTGTTGTACTGATAACAGAGACTGAGACCACAGGTTAAAAAAATATTAAACTATTTTCGATGAAAACCGGAATAAACCGGAACAAAAAACTCGGAAAGATAAGATGTTCATACTATATGTTCAATTCCACCAAAAAGTTTGATAAGGTCAGATGTGAAAAAACAATTTCGGAACCTTCATTATCTCAAATACATAAAACACACTTGATTCGACTCTTGCTGAATATAACTTTGGGGCGTCGCATACGTCACCACATTATAAGCTGGTGGCGGAGGTGGAGCCTGATAATAGATAACCGGTTCGGGTCGCGGAACAACTATGTTTTGCGGAGCCGGAAGAAACACGTGGCTCGTTCGAGTTTTCTCACGCATACAATCTCCTTTGCACAATGTGCAACATAATAGGAAAAATATTGCGACGGCAACAATCACAAAAAACCTACAAGCAATTTTGGATTTCAATGAAATTAGATAAGATTTATATAAACCCACAAATCAGCCATTGATTAGCAGTTGCTTATGGGGGGAAAAAGAAAAAGTCAGGTGAAATTTTTCCGAATATTTACCCTTTCAGGTAAAGTTCAATGATCTACATTTAGAAAAAAATCATCCAATTCAACAACATTAAAATACCCTAAATACATAACTTCGATGCTAAGCAACCAATCAGTAATTCGGCTCAATGATTCTCTCAATTTCTCATTTTAATGTACATCAACGCGACAATGTATCGCGAATTCACCAACGCCGAACCAATCATTCTAATTCTGTAGGTTTTATCTTTTTTTAAATCAATAAAGAAATCCCCAACATTTCAGAATAATTCTAGCTGGTTTCCTAATTTTCATCGCACTTGTTCTATTGATCAATAAAGCTATTCGAATTCAAGAAAACGAAGAAAGTGCCGAAGCTCCACACGAAATTCAGATGCGAAATTTCGATGCAATTCAACCAGATTCAAATAGCAGCGATAAATATTGACAGATTTATTTTTATTTACATAATTACTTACAATACTTCTTACACTATTTTGTATCTTTTCGCTTACTCATACATTTTTCACACATTAATAAAGAGCCAATGAAGACAACAATCGCTCCTCTGAAAATTTTTACTTGATTCCAAAAAACAAAAGAGAAAACTTACACAACACCGGCGGCAGCTGTATAATATGAGCAACAATCAAGATCACAACAATAATTCATTCCTTTGCATCCAAAAATAATTTTTCGGGGAAAAGTTCCATTTGGAAGTTTCAAATTGTACAACTCCTCATCGGATTCTTGAATTGCGTAGAAGCATTGTTTTGGCCTATCTTTGTGTGGCTTATAAAATCCGTCCCAATAATAATTGTTTGAGTTATAACTAAAATTTCCTCTATTCATTTTTATTTTCCGGTTACATTTATCCGTGGGAAAATTTTTAACTAAACTCACATAATTGGCCTTGTCGGAGATAGAATAATATTTGATGTCGAACCCTTGGCAAACTGAAACTGATCTTTCGACTCTGACACAAATCCCTTGTGAAACTTCGATTGCAAACGACTTCTTCCAACTCCGAGTCTCAAATTTCGAGATTTCGCAAAATCCAGTTTTGCCTGTGCCATACTCCTAGTTTTTCCCTCTCCATAAACGTCATCGAAAAAAACAAATAGTAAAAATAAAGAAAATAACTTCATTGTGGTTTGTTGCTGTTGTTGTTGTTAATGTGATCAATCAATTAGTTACATAACGGAGAAAAATCGCAGTGAAGAAGAAATATGTTTTTTTTTTCAGATGATAGAAAGAATTCTTCGACCGTATAGTAAAAAATGAAGGAAGTTGTTTTCGATTGTTTCAATTTCCGCCTATTATTGATGATTCGGATAGGTGAATCGAAATATTTTGATATTTTTCATTATTACAACATAATATTTGATGATTGTGGAAAACAACAGATATTTGTACTCTCGAGGTTTTTGTGTTGCTTGTAAAATTATATGCAATTACCGCGGAAAAACCAAATAACTAAGTATAAATTAAATTTTTTTTTTGATCAAAAACATTTTGAAATAACAACAAAAAATCTGGTTTTCATGAATCTTTGAGCTGTTTGGGATTGAAACTAAATTTAGAGCTAGATACAAATTTGGTTCTGATTCTCTGTCTTTGAAAACAATTCTAGTTATTTAGAATAAAAAAAATCCTCTATCAAGAATTATTTTTCGCATGTCACAACAATGTTTTTCCACATCAGAAAATTAAAAGATCAACACACAACATACAAATCTGCTGTCAAGGAATTTTCCAGCTTCTCATATCTTCTACACAGACACTATTTTCAAAATGTTTTCCAATTTTCCTTCTCACATCAGAATTTCCATATGAAAAACAACTACAATTCGGCGAATCCGAATTTCTACAAAACCAAAACCGTCTACCTTCTCTCGCCCCACCAATTTTTGCGCTCCAATTTCCCTCAACCAAAAAAACCTCTAGAGTTTCCATAGTTACCCGTCGTATCATTTATATCAGAACCAAATTTCAGCCCGCTCTTTTTCTCATTTTATTCGGGCAGTAATGAGACTTGTGATCTTATTGTTCCTAATAGTTTCATCAATCACTATTGGATATGCGCAAAGATTCCCAGTTACACGTCCGCCGAGGAGAGAAACCTATCTAACAGGTTCAGAGTTCGAGCAAAGTCTCTTCACTCATTTGCTCAATTCAACATCTGTTAGTATTCTTGAGGATGATATCACTCTACTTCTCACCAGTTCAAATCTCACCTATTCAGTAAATGATGCACAAACCCCGTTCGAGTAAGTTTCTTCTGCGCTCTTCTCAAACAATACCATATTTTTTGTAGATTCGTTGACCGTCTCTATTATTTCTCCGAGGATTCATTTAACAGAGATAACAGTGAGAACTTCACATTCACTTATATGTGCGTTTTTAATGTAACTGCTGATGACGACGATAATGTATTCAAACAGGTGAGAAAATTCACATTTTCACTTCTCAGAGGATCAATCATGCATACCTTAGTTAGGTAACCTAACAACCTTATTATGTTTAGATCTCATTCCGCGGTGGTTCTCCGATCGACGCATTTGTTTTCGGCTGTGAAAACAACAAAGAATGTTGTGGGTTGAAATGTTGTGGTGATGATGTTTTGATCAACATCATTATTGTTGGAGCAATTAGTATCGCTTTGTTGCTTTTGCTTTTGTGCAACATCTTGATCGGTTTCAAGAAACGACGAGGTGGTTTAGAAATACGAATTCTAGCGTGATCTTTAAAATCTGGTTTTACAGAAAATGGAAAGAATGGAGCAGGAACTTCATCTGCTGTTTATGAAGTTGGACGAACAACTGATACAATGGGAGGAGAAGAAATCGATGCTTGTCACATTACTTTGGAAACCGCAACACCTAAAACACCCAAAGTTCCTTCTCAAAAACCATAATATGTTTTTTGTTGCTTAAATAAATTATTTGGATTTTCTCTGAGATCAGCTGATTGTTTTTATTATTATTCTGAAAACAAAGACGGTTGTCAAGGAAATTGTGGAACTTAAAGTACTACAGGAAATCATCTGGGGAGATACAAAAAATCTGAATTCTATCTAGAAGCAAGTATAATGTTGAACATCCCTTGATCAGACATACGAAAAGATGCTTCACTCATTGGAACAGATACCTAGGCAACCGATACAATTTCAAAAGTTTACAGCAAGAAATGTTAGCTGATCATATACATATATATATATATATAAAATGAGTTTCAGTTTCATACCCCTAATTTTCGTGATTCTCACAATTTCTCTTCTATTGAGTCTACTATTCTGGAATATATATTTGATCTTGACAAAGAATATCGGAATCAGACATGATGATTGTTCGGAATTATTGTCACCAGCTGCAGAAGATCAAATTGATGAAGAAGTTCGGATTGAGGAGCATCAAGTATAAGTTTTCAATATTTTCATGAAGGGTGCGGCAATTTTTTGGTCCTTTAGCTTTGACGAATAAATATGTTACGTAAAATATGATTTTCCTATGCTCACACATTACGAAAACCAGATATGCATTCTCTATTCATTCAAATTTTCGACCAAAGACTGTTGTTACAAGCAAGCAAAAAAATAGTTGTCTGCAACATTCCGTTTTTTCTTCTTCTTCCATCAACTAATACACATTTTCGCATAATTCTTCTCCTTCTTCTTCCATCTTTTTTGTATTATTTGCATTGTCCGCGCGGATCCGAAAAAGTGATCACTTGAGCACACACATTTTATCATTCTCAAAATGCGAGATGAGTGGCGGTCGAAATATACACACAATGTTTATGAAATGACCTTCTCCTTCTTCTTCTTCTTTTCGTTTATCATCTTTTTAGTGTTGCTCTCATGTTTTTGTTGCTGCTGGGTGCTCACAAGGAAATGTTGTGTCTCGAGACGAGACAGGTACAAATTGGATGGATGGATAAGTGGAGAATGGAACAAGAAGGAATGTGGTGGTGAAATTTGGAAAAAGTACAACATTCTTGTGAAACAACAAACACTTTGAACTAATTTGGGAAATACACGTAAGAAGAAAGTTTTCTTGGAAAACTGACCTGAGCTAGTGCTCTTCTGGAATTTGTTTCTGAATTCAGTACTCAAGATGATAAAAACAAAAAAAAGTTGGAACAGTGCCATCGAAATCAGTTTGAAGAAAATATTTCCCTCGGAGATTTTTTGGTCGTATTATGAAAAAAAAAACCCAAAACTGGCCTGAAAATCGCTCCATCATAAAAGAATCCGAAATCACCAAATCCTCGCTGGAACATTTCGAAAAATGAAATAATTTTCACACTATCAAATTAACGTGGCAACAAATGTCACGTGAATAATAAAATCTTGAAATGAAACTATGAACGCTTACAGTTCTACAGTATTCAGGAGTTTCTGTCACACCTCGGCGAATCCGTGGCTGGCCAGAGTACAATTTTTTTTTCAAAAACTGAAAAAATCACAGCTTTCAGAGGACAAAAACTGAAAAATTCACATTTTTCACACTGGAAAAAGTTAGCGTACAATTTTTTAGTTTGGAAACCACGATTTTGGCCTAGGTGTGGTTTCTGTAGTTCTTCCTGATCTACTTCTATAATTTATTCCAAAAGTTGTTTCTCCCCAAACCTCAGATCTTGAGAATATCGTCATCATACTTGAGATATAACATTGAACCTGTCTCTTCCTGATTAACCGTATTCCTCTAGAATCATAAACGAGTCCAGGAAGATCAAAATGTAGATGCACTCAACTCATAAATAATCCCCGTAGGAGTCACATGCCTCCCCCTCAAATAAAAATTGTCCCCTCTTCCGAAGACCGTGTTTTTCCGTGCCTATCAATTGTTTCTATTTGTACAATTCTACAAAAATCCCGGAAACGTTGATCAACGCACTATTATTTTTATTTTTATTTATTCGCGCCGAGCCTTTCTCTCTCCAGACCTGTCGTTTTGCGGCTATTTGCGGCCCTTGGGCCAGCCATTTGAAGGGCCGGCCTAGCCAGCCCAAATAGGGAAAATGGGCTGGCTCAGCCCGGCCTTTCAAACAAATTTTATTGTGTAAATCCACTATTTTTCAATGGTGTTTCTTTCGAATTTTTGCATTTTGGCGGAAGAAAATTGGCGTATCTCGTGTTTCTGATGGTGGATTGATAATAAAAGTAAAATTTATTGAAATTCATGTGTTTCACCATTACGATCCTGCACCAAAACAGTACTGCGAAGAAATATTGGTGCACTAACACCAATTTAAGTTATTCTGATTTACGAAATTCGCCCAAATGCAGAAAACACAGCCTCCACACCTGCGTGAAGTCTGCGTCTCACTCTCTCGTCGTTCGCTGAGTGAGATGGAGCGCGTTTGCTGCACTCACTTTTTTCCATTGAAAAAAAACTTTTTCTTTATTTTTTCGTGTTTTTTGGTCGCCACGATTTTTTTCTGCGCTAATACGAAGCTAAACTTCAAAATAGAAGAGATTTGGAAGACAGAGATATATAAAACATCTCATATCGAGTCGAAATTCAAGGAGAACATTCGAGCGGAAAAGTGAGTGTTTTTTCAACTTTTTTGACTTCAAATTTTTGAGCAAGAAAAATAGTTTTACAGGTTATGGGACATCTACAGAAGCGCACGTTGAGAAGGAGAATTGTTCAAAAAATCAAAAAACTCCAGAATACAGCTCTTTGCGTTGTCCGAAAATATGAAATTTTCAACTTCAAATCGATGCTTCCACCAAAACTGAACTTCAAATATCGAAATAGTTGATGCAAAAAAATGTGAGAGGATGTCAGATAAATACGAATCATGGAGAAAATCGAAGATTGGATGGAGTTTGGTGTCGATATTCTATGATTCTGGGAGAGAGAGACAACAGTCATGTTCAATGGCGAACTTGTTAAACTTCTGAGCCATGGATTATTGCTTATGAACGTTATCCGAACTTTGAGAAGCACTATTTAGTGAATTGGTTCGTTTTTTACAAAATTCTGTCTCGTTGAAGGTTCATGAAAACTCGTTTTCAAAGCTACTTTTCAAAATTTATCACCATTGTCTAGTGTATATTTTCCAGGTCCTCTACCAACTCGAATCTTCTCAATTACACTCTGAGATTGGAATGCTTCGTATGGATTCACCAGGATCGAATTAATTTTATAATTTTCGTTGAATTCTAATCGAAATTAGGGCGATTTTGAATAAGAATAAATGTTGTTTCATAAATTCGAGTTTATATCCTGAAACTAATTACAGAAAAATGTCGGTTAACATGGCACGTAACCTAAAAAATGAATTTTTTGTATTTTTTTCAAAATATCCCGAAGAGAAAGCTCAGAATCAGTGTCAAAACGGTCATTGGTTTTGTTTGTCGATTTTCTGATTGAAAATGTGGTCAATGTTTCTCAAAATGTATTTCTCTGCTTTCGTGAGATGCTCCTCTTTCTTCTCATATACAATTCATTTGATGAAACCCACGATTTTCAGAGTATTCAATGAAAAAATGCTGAAATTTTTTTAAAAAGAAAAAAAACGAGAGAGCGCCTCCCGCTGAAGAAACCGAGAGAAAAAAGATGACGAGAGAGTGTTGCGATCGGAGAGAACGAACAGACACACACAGTTTAGTATGCCGTGTGTCAGAGTGCAGACAGGGCAGCGTTTTTTCATTTGTGGACAGCGTGAGAAAATTTGAGCAAAATCATCCATTTGTAAAAATCCCGAATTGTCATCAAAAATTTATGAAGGGCCGAAAAAAGGGCTGAAACAGCCTCTCATAAAAAAAGAAGGGCCGGAGGGCCGAAATAGCCCGCATTTTCTGAATTTTGAAGGGCTGGCCCGGCCCGGCCGCCCAAAAACGACAGGTCTGCTCTCTCTTTACCTCTCTCTCTCTCTCTCGCGCTATGCCAATGTTTCTTGACTACCGGAGTGAGGAGAGCGAGAACCGGATCAAGGCGCACAGCGAGTGACCGACGTTGGCATAGACCAATGACGCGATTTGTCGTCGAGTATAAAGAGCAACATTGCGCCACCATTTTTATTCATTCCGACAGAGAATTTCCCAATTTTTTTTCTTTTTCTTTTTTCATGCTGATTTTGGTGCTAACTTTTTCTTCTTGATGTTTGAGAAAATTTAGATACAACTTTCTTACTATAGGAATCCTAAAATAACCAAGAACAAACATTAAATGATAATTTGGCTTCCAAATATAGACTGTTGTCAAAACAACATTACGAAACGTCTCGAACCTGAACAAACTCATTGATGATAGATACATATTTGTCAACTTGTTTCGTGCTTTCAAAGAAAGATAGATAGACATATATGAGAGAGCGAGTGAGAGAACTAATCTAAACAGTGAGTGCTAAGCGCCTCCCCATCGGGGCGGCAGTCAAGACTTCTCTTGCTCCTTCTTCTTCTTCTCCTCATTATTATTATTTATAATATTTTTGTTTAATTGTACCCCTTCTTCAGGTCTTTTCTACCTTCCCATCTTCCCAGCACATATTAATCATGAAACAATTAGCCGTCTCGATCTGCATTATCCTTCCACTCGCCTGCTTCTGGGTTCTCCACGCCGAAGACGCGCCAGAAGGTAACTTTGGAATCTATTTGAATTTTTTCAATTATTGTGTTTTGTAGCTCCTGAAATCCGCGAGGCCAACTCAACAGTTTTCCGTCAAAAAAGACAATTCGGATGTCCAGCCAACTGTTATTCATCATGCAGTTCAAATTCCCAATGTCAACGATATTCGCTCGCCGCTGTTTGTGTTCAAGGATGCTGTTGCCCAAATAGTAACACCCTTTCGAGTAAGTTAAAGGGTCTGGGCATAGGGATACCAGGCTTCTTGTTGATGGGTAGGACTTGGGCTAGCATATAAGGCCAAACCAGATTCATGTAAGTATCCAAGAAACCCCTAACTGTTGTGTGGTTTCTCTTTGACCTCGTGTTGTTTGAACATTTTCAAGTAGTTCAAATGACCAAAAGTTCAAGCGGAAACCAAAATTTCCTTGTCATCCACCTAGTTACTGTAGCACTCGTTCAGCTGTGTTTATCAAATCCTCGATATTTCTACCTCTCATTAGAAAAGTCTTAATTATCCCCTGAAGCTTCTCCATTTCTCTGCGCTCTCTTATCTCTCCTTCGTCCGCGCGCGCGCAAAATATTTGCGTACCGACCGCTCCCCCATTTTGGCCGCGCGCACTCGCGATCTAAAATTGTTTGCGCGAGCCACGACGCACGACGCACCAGCGCACAAAAAAAGACAGACATACACACACACACACATTAGAAAGCAATAACAACAAAATGTAGAGGGGACTAAAATGAATTTTTGCAGCCGCCTGTTCCGGTGGACCAGCCGTCGCCGCTTGTTTGGGAGGATTGTGCGGGCAAGGATTCTTCTGCTCGAGCAGCAACTATTGTTGCAGATGTCAATCAGGAAACTCGACTGGTAAGTTGGTGGATCCTGCGATTCAAAGAGTTACCCTAAGTCATCGCTAATGTTTTCTAGGACCATGTGTTAACCTTGCCTGCCCAACTGGTTACATGTGCAACACCAACAATTATTGTTGTCCACTCGGATCTGGAGCCGTTTTGGGAGCCTGTGTCAACGGAGTCTGCCCAACCGGATACACTTGCGGAGCTGGAAACCTTTGCTATTCCAGCGGAAAGTAATTGTTGTTTTTGATTGAGACAAGCAAGATGCGACAAATTGCCTTGTTATCTATCCATCCCAGATTTTTCATGTTTCCTTTCCTTATTAATATATTATTTATATGTCTTTCGAAAGTTCTATTTATTATAATTATTAATATTTTCATCATAAATTATAAAGAGTTATTTTTCGAAAAAAATTTGTTATGGTATAGTGTTAAGAAATGTCTTATGCAAATCAATGAGGGAGACACGTAGAAAAATTAAACCGGGGATTCTAATTCTATAATGTTGTCAAGGTGAAAAAATGTGAAAAATTAGACAATTTTGTGTTCATCTTGTGGATTATGATCATAATCATAGTCAGTGTGAACAAAAGCGCGCTCAACTTCTGGAAGACTTTCGATGTTTGATTGAAGTGTTTCACTGATGTCGTGAGAGTCGCGAAGAATCATATTCTCGTCCAAAACAATGTGAACCTACAATAGTGATGTTTAGAAAATTGTGGGAAAATTTTCAGAAATTTTTGATGTGAAAAAACTAATTATAAAGATAAAGGTAAAGGTAGAGATAGAGATAGATAAAGTAATAAAAAAGAAAAATAAAAGAAAAAATAATTTGAAAAAGTTAGGCTGGATTAATCCAGCGCAAAAGCATGTTTGTTTCAGAATTAAATTATTTTTGGCTTTAGAAATCCACGTGGATATCGGACAAAAACAATTATTAGTTTTTATCTCTCTCATCACTTTTTCCAATAATTTCCAAAAACTATATTTTTGCCCCTTTCCCACGTCACAAAAAAATCCTCACCTCAACCAAAAATCGGGATCCAAAATGATAAACATAAACAGTATCAATATGCGAAATTCTCGAATCATGATCCAAACAAACTTTGATAATCCGATTGATAAACTCCGGCTCGGCAGATTTTCCAGACAATTTAGCCAAGTGTTCCCGACCAGTTTGCACCCATGTAAACAATATATAAACCGAAACAATGATAGCGCCAGCCGGATCGAAATAATATGAGTATTGAGTTCCCAAGTAGGCACAAATCAATGCCACGGTATTTGAGATACAATCATTTCGATGATCCATTGCAAGCACATTCACTGATGCATCTGTGTATTGTTTACAAACAACATATAAGAAAAGTTTGATGAAAACTGTCGAAACCATTATGGCAACAGATGTCAAGGTAACATTAACAATTCCAGGTTCACCAATTCCATAGAGATCGTATTGCAAAGCATCGTGTATTCCACGAACAGATGACACGATTAATTGAACAGATGCCATACCCATAATCATACTTATAATTATCTATAAAAAACTTATTTATGACTTTCCAGAAACTTTTTTTTAATTCCAAAAACCAACCAATGCCAGAGGTTCTAGCCGAGTTCTTCCTCTTGGATACAAATATGGATCTCTTTTCTTAATCATTCTTTCTGAAATCGAAATAACGAGTCCGGAAGTGATATCAACCACTGAATCAACCATTGATGAAATAATAGACATTGATCCGGATAGAACTGAAGCCACAACTTTGGCGATCATCAAACAGAAATTTATTAGAAGTGTGATTTTTGCCATTCTCGCCGCTTCTGATGATTCGCTCTCTTCTTCGGGTTGTTTGGTTTTTGAGGGTTCCGTGACTTTTTCGGGGGATGCACGCTGGAAATATACTTTTTTTTAATTTATGAATAGATTTTAAAATTACCTTTTTTCGAAACTTAGAAAAACATTTTTTTTTTTACTTTATGAATGACGGGATTTTAATTTCGAAATGTCATTTTTCTAAAAACCGAAAAATAATACATTTCTAAATACAGAATTTTTTTGCACGTGGTCTTCACATGTTCCCATTTCCGAAATCTCTAAACTCACCCGTTTTCCATTAGTTGGGCTTCTCGGAACATCAAATATCATAACTTCCGGCTCATCATTTCCATCATTTTGTTTAACCAAAGGAGCTGTCGCAGGTGCAGCTACCGAATTTTCTGCAGCCTTCTCATCAATCTCAATTTCATCTTCTTTGCTAGTTGTCCGCCGGCGAGTTCGATTAAATTGCTGGAAAAAATTGTGTGTTTTCTTCTGACTCTTCTGACTTATCAAAACATCCCGCCCATTTCATTCTGACTTTTCTGATTAAAATTCTGACCTCAATCTGTTCACTATCATTTTTGAAATTCTCCAGCAACTCGTTCTGTTTTTTGTAGAATTTATTGAGCTTCTTCGCCGAACCTTTTCCCTTCATTTGAGAACTTAAAGATGTTGTGCTGCCAGCTGCAAGTCTATGTAATTCAGCGCAACTTGTTTGATTTTCAATGTCTTTTGGGATGCTTGCAGCACCATGGGAGAGCGAAATTGAACGAAGTGATGATTTTTGTGGGATTAGAGTGGATGTTGATGTTTGCGGAACTTCATCGCGATTTTCCTCTTCTTCATCTTCCAATAAACTGAATTTCGCCTCACCGGCTGACATTTTTTGGTTGAGGCTGCAAAGAAATACTTATAGAAAACATTTTTTGAAAAAACGATGCAAAAAAAGAAAGATAAAACTTTAATCCCTACTCGGCCAAAAAACGACATAGCTCGGGGCGACTCGCTACACATTTTTCGAGACTCGTTTTGCAGCGAGTTGCCCCAAACGCGCCTCAAAAGTGGCGAGTGCCGGGCAACTCGCTACAATTTTTGCCCCTTTTTAAAATCATGGTTTTTATGCTTTTTTTTCGGGATTTCACAGTGATTCATTGATTAAATGGCCCATATAAATGTAGGGTAATAAAGCTATAAGTAGATCTACTTTTGCTCCATAGATACAGTTTTTGAAAAATGCTTCTGAACACCCTCCGAGAGAGTGGATCGGGGCGAGAACGGGGCAAGTTGCTTCACGCTCGGGCGAGTCGCCACAAGCTCGCCCAAACAGCCTCGGGCCAGTCGCCCGAAACGTGTAGCGACTCCGCCCCGATTGGTAGCGACCTCGCCGTTTTCTGCCCGAGTAGATATCTAAACATCAAAAGTCAGCGAAAAAAGTGAAAGTGAGAAAATTCTTGAAGGACATCTATTTTTTCGTCAAATCATATCAATGAAAGTTTTCAAGACATTTTTTGTACTTTTCTCACAAAAATAGGTTTTCTCTCACTTGTCAGCTGAAAAATAGACATATCTAGGGTTACTATGGGAATAGTTAGCTTTATTCAATTTGCTGTCGAGAGTTAAGTCAAAATATAAATAAATGTGATCAAAGAAATTCGTGGGGGTTTTGTAAATAAACATGCTTATACATTTTGTTGGAAAGTTTTTCAAAGAAAAAAATGAAAAAAAAAATGATTTATTTAAATGAAAAAAAGTGCACTTTTTTTCATTTAAAGTGTGCGAGGGATGCAGAAAACGTGTGCGGCGATTGCAGATTTCAAATTTTCATTTGCAAAATTTATTTTTTTTTCGACTTAAAAGTACTTTTCAGACTAGTCGCTTCCAAAACAAAAAAGGAAAAAAATAAAAAGTAAAACAACGACACTCGAGTGTACTCGGCTTGCCTGTTGTTTAATTTTCTAATACTGTTCGAGCGGAGTGTCGTTGCTTTATTTTTACAAGATGGCGCGTAAATAGGATTTGGTGTTTGCGGGAAGTCAGTGTTGGCACACACATTTTTTTCGTTTTATGTTTAGGCGCAGGCTTTCAGACTGCGCCTATTTGGGCTTGGGATAGTTTTTTGAAATTTTTGTTCGGGTCAACGCTTTTCCAGTTTGATCTACACCCCAAATGAGGAAAACCTATCATGGGATTTTTCTGAAATTGCCTCTGACTTACGCTAACTCGCCGAGAAGTCAAAAAAGACCCTTTGCATGTACCACCGCAAAGCAATTTGTACTTCATGAAATTTCAAGCTCTTTTTTTTAAAGATAGATAATGTGAATACCTCGAGGTGTTTTTCGAGTTACGTCAATTTGTGATATCTGCGTCGAATGCGGGACCATTGAAAAAATGACGATTTAGGCTTTGGATTTGGATTTCTAGCCTAATTTTTTCAGATAAAAAATTTCATTCGCATCTCACTATTTAATTAAAAATCAACACGTATTTCCGGCAAAATTGAATTCCAAGTTTCCCATAAAGTTTCTTCTCTAAATCTCTCAAAATTTCGATGATGTCAATTTTCTTGACGAAAATTCTCGGGTATTTTTTTTTTGATTGATTGATTTCAAAGATCATCGGAACAACTTTGAACACCAATTTGTTTGGGATCACTAAATAACATTAAATTTCGAAAAAGAAAAAAAACACATGCATGAATAATGAATTTTATTGACAAATAAATATTTAGAATGCAGAAAATCGCATAAAATTCGGGGGGAAAATTCGATAAAAAGAACCATTCAAGAATATCGGAATTTTTCCAACAAAGACGCCAAAAATCTAAATAATCCTCTGAAAACCCTAGCAACAAAAAAAGAGAAAAAAAAACAAGTTCTTCTTCCACCAACAAACCGCCTAACAACAACAAGGCAACAACCTTTTTCTCACCTAAAAATATCTACCGCCGCTCATTTTCTCACACAAAACTAACAAAAGATCGCAATCTCATTTTTGTCAATCTTGTGAAGAAAAAAATAAACCTTCAAAATGAAGAAAGAGTAAAAAAGTTAGTCGGTTTCGAAACGCTTCTTCTTTCTTTCAAAAATAAACAAAGTACGAATCGAGGAGAGCGCAGAGTGACAGACAGTTGAGCTCACAGCTGTTTGAAGCTGAATTCTCATTTGAGCTAACTTGCAACATGCGAGAAAATAAATGAAAATTGGTTTATCTATGAAACGAAAGAAAATAAACAAAGATACATGTAAATTTATTTGACAATGTTAATTTTTGCTGGCTGGGATTTTCAAAACTTCCGATAACTCGCCAAGGTTCCCACTCGTTGAAATCGCCTAAAATAGTAATTTAGGAGATTAAAAAACGGGGGTGACTTACCCTAACTTGCACAGTGTGTTCCTTATATTCATCCAAATCCGTGATCCTGGCTGTGTTATTTTTTCCAACAACTTTCCCGCAACTTTTTCCATCAATCCAAATTTCATAGCCTCAAAAAAGATGAGATTTCATGAATGATTTCTAGCCCAGTTCCAAAATCCCTCAAAATCCTCACCTTGAACAATGGGTAAATCCCATTTCACAACATAAGTATCATTCGACTCTTTGAGCAATTTCATACTCAAATTCTTCGGCGTTGGTGTCTGTGACTTGATAAAATTCATAAAGAAATCCGTCAATTCCTCATTCATCTTTGTCAAATTCTGATTTTGTTTCGCCATTTCTCTCATTTGTTCTTCAAGTGCTCGAACTCTTTGTTCCAACTCCGAATTCTTTCTCGGACTTTCTTCAATAACTTCCGCCACACTAGGAATTCTATTCGATTTTTCCGAATCCATAATCGGTGTTGGTGTTGGATCAACTCTCGCTGATGATAAAACAACAGTCAATGTTGAATCAGTCGAATCAGTTCTTTGTAGATGTTTCTCCTGATTCCACTGATACATCGGTGGATCTGTTGACTTCCTACGATTTGGTGAACAAATTCTCATTGAGCTATTGGCTCTTTGCTCCTTAGCATGAGCAACATCTTCTGGAAAAAAAGATTTGAAAGTAATTTTAAAAAATAAGTCGTGGTGAAAAAAGTTAATCACACAAAAGGGAAAATCAAGCAATCAGAACTTACCCAAAACCGTTTTCTCGGATTTTCTGAATTTTTTTCCAAATATATTTTTTTTAAATAAATTAGATTAAAACTTAAGACTAACCCATGGTAATCCTTTTTGGTGTGCTACTCTTCAAATTGATTTTTTCGATACTTTCATTCAATTTGTCCATTTTCCCATTCCATTCTCGAAATGGTGAATAAGCGGAGCCCGAAGTTCTTTCGCTAGTTTGTTGACTTTCACTTTCTCTCCGTTTTTTCAGCACTTTTTTACAAGTCAATTGAGCCGGTGTCAATGGCGCCTCCAATTCTTCAGCCGGAAAATGTTTGGCAATCTTTTCACAAAGTTCCTCATGATTTCCTGGTTGAATTCGTCGAACTTGTCCCTGAATACTCAACCATTCGCCATTTGTTCTCACTTCATCCTCAATATCCAATCCATCGATTTGTTCCAATTTCTCACCGCAAACTGCGATCAAATAAATTCGAGGATCGAAAAATGCAAGAGTTGAGGTGATGCAAGGATTGTTTGAAGTGTACAAGAATTCGAGATTTTTCAAATGTGTGAGATTCGAAAATTCAGAGAGATCAATAATATTATTTGATGAGATGTCGAGTATTTCCAATGAGATTAGCGAAGAGATATTCTACAAAAAACGCATTTTTCAAATAAATATAAAAACACAGAAAAACTTACATGTAAAGTTTCAATTTTATTCGCTGACAAATGCAAAAACTGCAATTTTTCGCATTTCGATAAATCGGGAATTTTGGTTAAAGAATTGCCAAACAAGTCCAAATGCAATAAATTCGGAAAATTCAATGCGAAATCTTGTTCGAGAGAATTACACGAAACATCGAGTTTTGTTAGATTTTCGAAGCGATTTATTCCAGTTATAGATTTTAGTTGGTTGTTTGACAAGTTCAATTCGCGTCTAGAAAATGCAAAATTTTGATGTGGGAAGAGGGAAATTATGACGTGGCTTTGGCTACGTCCGAAAATTGGCAAGAAAAAATGGAGATTTTCTGGAACTTTTTGTGTTTTCAACTTAAAATGAAATAATTTACGTGGGAAAATCAAGATTCCGCTCTGAAAATATAAATTTTTAAAATCTTGAACTTCAGATAAAGATTGCCACGTCACAACTATGGAATTATAATTGTTCAGTTTTTTTTTTGAAACTTAAAATCTACAAAGTAAACTTTTGAAATTTTCAAAAAATCCCTCTAATTTTGCCACGTCATCCCAAAAAAAACTCACAATTTCACATGATGAATCGCTTGAAACTTCTGCATCATATTATCGCTTGCATTCAAAACTTCAAGTTTCTTGAAAAACTCGAAATAATTAAAATATCGAAACTCATTTTGACTAATATCCAAAGTTCGACATTTCGCATATTCCGAGATCAGATTTTTCGACAAATGTGTGAGTTGCAAATTTTTCAAGTCCAAAAATCCCCACTCATCAATTTCAGCCTCCTGATTTTCGACTCTGAAAATAACACGATTTTTGGAATTGTTTTCCAGAGGGATCGCTTAAAAAGCACCTTTGTGAGCTTGTAGTTGTGTTAAACGTGGAATTCGACAACGAAGTATCAGCTCTTTCATCAAAATTCTCCTTCTCCTCTTCGTCCATCTGACCTATTTCTTAAAATGTTTTCCTTCTTCAAAAATAAATAAAATATTTCGAAATAGCTAAAAACTAAAAAGCAGCAAAAACTTGAATACTTCTTTAACTAACACATTTTTATAGGAGATTTCAAAATTTCAAAAAAGCAAATAAAACTGTGAGATGTAGTATGCAGGAAAAACCAAGACAAATTATGAGAGGAAACGGGGAAACCGGAGGGGAGTACAAATAAAAAAAGTTCAAGAAAAATCCTGAGGTTTGACAAAAAAAAACAACTTCAAGAGGAGTTCGGCAAACATGAAAAAGGCACAATTTTGGAAAAAAAACAGATTGTTTATTGTCTGACGATCAATGATTCGCGTTCAGCACCAACACCAATGTAGACAATTGGAACCTATAATTAAAAAGAAAATGAAAAGGTTGGATAGGGATTGGGGGCAAAACAAATCACCTTGATGAAATCTTCGATGAATTGAATGTACTGCCGACATTTCTCTGGCAAATCCTCGTATTTTCGGATTCCAACAGTCGGTTGTTGCCATCCTTCGAATTCTTTGTATTCCACTTCAACTTGTCCCCAAGCGTTGGTTTGTGGTGGTGGAGCAGAGAGAACTTGGCCGTTCAATTTGTAGCCAACAGCAACTTTGATAGTCTGCAAAAAGATAAGGAGATATTTATGATTGTGTTGTAGTTTTTTGTCCAAAAATTTGTTTTTCTTGAAAAAAATAGAGAAATTAAATTAAATATAGTTTTAAAAAAATTTGATAAGGGTGTAATTCACTACCTCAAATCGCTAGACCTCAAATTTTTCATTAATTTTTGGGTAGATCAAAAATAATTTTTCTCTAAATCTCTCGTTTTTGCGTTGAAATTCGTCGATTTTATTCCCACCCCTAAGATCGTGTCAGGTCTCAAAAATGCGCGAAATTTTTCGGGTAGTAAATTACACTCTGTGTCTGATAAGGTCTAGCTTTTCCCAATTTTTCCAAAACTCACTGGAAAACTATCCAAAATATCCAATTTGGTCAACGCAATCGCTGTATAACCATTAATCATTGCCGAACGACGCAACAAGAACAAATCAATCCATCCGCATCTTCTCTTTCTTCCCGTCGTCACACCAACTTCTTTTCCAATCGATTGCAATTTATCACCAATGTCATCGAAAAGTTCAGTTGGGAATGGTCCAGTTCCAACACGAGTTTGATAAGCCTTTACAACTCCAATAACATTCGAAATTGCAGTTGGCGGAACACCCAAACCAGTGCAAGCTCCTCCAACAGTCGAATTTGATGAAGTGACATATGGATATGTTCCAAAATCAATATCCAAAAGTGCACCATTGGCTCCTTCAATCAAAACTTGTTTTCCAAGTGATCTTTGCTCATGGATGAATCCAACAGTATCTCCAACCAAGTTCAATTCAGCCAATTTATCACGATGTGTTTTGAAACGTGCCAATTCTTCTTCAACATTGACTTCGATGGTTGGGAATTGTTTTTTGTAATGATCAACAAGTCTCTTGTATTTCTCAGAGAACTCGTCAAAATCAGCCATAAGATCAGCGACACGAATTCCGTTTCTAAAGCATTTCGAGCTATACGTTGGGCCGATTCCTCGATTGGTAGTTCCGATTTTGCTGAAAAACAAGGTCTCGTTAGAGATGAATTTTTGAATTATTAAACTGAAAAACGCCATAAACTATGTAAATTGTCTCTTTTTATGTCGAATCGTCCCTTCTCTTCAGCCCAAATAGGCGCAGTCTGGAAGCCTGCGCCTAAACCCTACTTTTTGGCAGCAAGCGAATCTTCTTGTCTTCCATCAACTTGCGAATGAACACCCATAACAAGATGTGCTTCGCTTGAGATCATGATTCTCTTCTCCCATCCAGCTTCCGACAAAATTCCATTATGCTCCAACTCCGAGAAAAACGCGTCAAGATTAACAACAACACCATTTCCAATAACATTGAAACAAGTTGGCGAGATAATTCCACTTGGCAAAATATGGAAATCATATTTTCTTCCATTCGCAACAACTGTATGCCCAGCATTATTTCCTCCTTGACATCTTGCGGTCACATTAATACCATGCTTTTCGATGAGATAATCAATGATTTTTCCTTTTCCTTCATCGCCCCATTGAGCACCCAACAAGACCGATACATTCGCATTTTTCGACGCCATTCGGAACTGAAAAATAAAATATATATAATATAAAGTATATAAAATTTTGATAAAGTTTTTTCTCAAATCAAACGAACGACACAAAAAAAACAAACAAACAAAAAAATGTTGTAAAGTGAACGCTGGGAAAGAAAAAATAAGATCAAACACTGAAACTCAAATGTTATATAAAATTGCAAATGAAAAAATGAAAAAAAAAGAGAGAAATCGTACTCTATAATTTCGAAAACCCATAATTATTAAGAAAATGATAAAAGCAAATGTTAATCATTAAAAATGATGTCATCGGAAATGAGAACAGCTGCTTGATTTGGTTTTTTTTTGAGAATAATTTCCTATTTTCATAGAAAAGTGTTATTTTAGTGGAAAGTCTACGCCTATTTCAGAACTTTGCGCATTTTTATTTTTTATATGATAAATAAATAAAAACAAAAAAATCCCGAATTTACGTCAGCGATCAAAAGACAAATTCCAATGATTTTTTTTTAATTCGCTCATATTTTCTCTCGCAAAAACGCCAAACCACTAAACAAACATACAATAGCATTGGTTCGATTGTTCAAAAATCCACGAAGTTCTGCTTTCTCATTTTTGCCTTTCAGAGCATCAACACTGGATAGAATTAAACCCATTACGAAAATGAGCAGAGAAAGAGCAAAAGATGATGATGATAGGAAAAATATAGAACACGTTTGAAAATATAAACAGAAAAACACAACAACTCTGAAAATCTGAGGATCGAGGAAGCGGAAAAAATATTGAAAAAAACGGATAAAAGTGTAATACGACAGACTAAAGAAAAGAAAAAAAGATGGATTTGAGCTAGCGGAAATGTTTGAAAGTGCACACGTTTCATTTTTTGAACTTATTTTTTCATTTCGGAAAAAATCTAATTTCTATTTTTAATTTTTATTCTGAAAAACGTCAGTCTTTAGAGATTTCGTGGGCAACCAAAAAAACTATTTTTAGGTTGAACTCTACTTACAAAAATTCAAATTTAAAAAAAAACAATAATTCTGAAGTACTTACTCTCGTCACGCAAAAAAACGCGACAAAAAGTAAAAACTGACCTTTTGTCGATAAGTGCGAAGAAGAGAAAACCTATTGAAAAAGAATAGAGTATCATACAGATCTTGAACAGAAATGATATAACAATAATCAATATAAAATCTAAAATATTCATTTTTCATGCAAAAAAATCAAGGGAAAGAGAAAAACAAGAAAACAAGGAGACCAATGGGAACAAAACTTTCAATTGGAAAAAAAACGAATAAAAACAAAGTTCACAAAATTTGAGAATTCAAATGAAAATTCAAATTTTGTGAGATATTTAACAAACTATTCAACTAACCTAAATCTAAAAAATGGGCGGGGAATAAAAATTAATATGAGGAAGGATTGGGGGGAGTGAAATGACTAATCAGGTAAATATATTAAACAATACACGTTTTGAGGGGTAATGTTTTAAAAATTATGTGATGTTGTGAAGAATCAAATTTAGTTTTGTTCCTTCTTTGGCTCTTCAGCGGTCTTGGCTTCTTGGGCATCTCCACCACTGTTCTTGGCAGCCATGTTTTTGTAGGCGGCCTCGAACAATTTGAGCGATTGTTGTTGGAGGGTGTTGCAAGCTTCCTTGATGGCTTCTGGGGTTTCGTTGTCTTTGTTTTCGAGGATCTTCTTGGTGTCAGCGATCTTTGTTCGGAGAGCTTCGCATTCGTCCTTTGGAAGTTGGTCAGCGAATTCGGTCATCTTGCTTTCGGTATCATGAATGATTCCTTCGGCTTGGTTGATAACTTCAACGAGTTCCTTCTTCTTGGCATCTTCAGCGGCGTTCTTTTCGGCTTCCTTGATCATGTTCTCAATTTGATCCTTGGACAAACCACCGGATGATTGAATAACAACTGAAAAAATGTTTCAATAATTTTGGAACTTTGAAAGAGAAAAAAAAATTCGTTTCAAGATTTTCCCATTAAAATCCCTCAAAATTTTCAAAACAATACTTACTTTGTTGTTCTTTTCCGGTTCCACGATCTCTGGCAGAAACATTGACGATTCCATTAGCATCAATATCGAAGGTAACTTCGACTTGTGGGACTCCACGTGGTGCTGGTGGGATTCCGACCAATGAGAATTGTCCGAGAAGTTTGTTGTTGGCAGCCATTTCACGTTCTCCTTGGAAGACCTTGATTTGAACTTGAGTTTGTCCATCAGCGGCGGTTGAAAAGACTTGCGATTTCTTGGTTGGGATGGTTGTGTTTCTTGTGATGAGTTTGGTCATAACTCCTCCGAGGGTTTCGATACCGATGGAAAGTGGAGTAACATCCAACAAAAGAACATCAGTGACATCTCCGGCAAGAACAGCTCCTTGAATAGCAGCTCCCATGGCGACAGCCTCGTCTGGATTGACAGCCTTTGATGGAACTTTTCCGAAGATTTCTTGAACGGTGGCTTGAACCTTTGGCATTCTGCTCATACCTCCGACAAGCAAAACATCTCCGATTTGGGATGATTTGACTTCGGCGTCATGAAGAGCTTTACGGCATGGTTCGATGGTTCTCTTGATAAGATCTCCAACGATTTGTTCGAACTTGGCTCTGGTGAGCTTGAGGTTAAGATGTTTTGGTCCAGATTGATCCATTGTGATGTATGGAAGGTTGATGTCGGTTTGGGTGGTTGATGAAAGTTCGCATTTGGCTTTTTCGGCGGCTTCACGAAGTCTTTGCATAGCTTGTGGATCTTTGGTGAGGTCAACTCCTTGTTCTTTTTTGAATTCAGCGACGAGATGGTGAACCAAAGCATGATCGAAATCTTCTCCTCCGAGGAAAGTATCTCCGTTGGTCGATTTGACTTCGAAGACTCCCTTTTGGATTTCGAGGATGGAGATATCGAAAGTACCACCACCAAGATCGTAAACAGCGATGCTGAAAAATACAGGTTAAAAATTTCAAAATAACAGTTTTTTACTCACATCTTATCATCAGATTTCTCCAAACCGTAGGCAAGAGCAGCAGCGGTTGGCTCGTTGATAACACGAAGAACATTCAAACCGGCAATTTGTCCAGCATCCTTGGTTGCTTGACGTTGTGAGTCATTGAAGTAAGCTGGGACTGTGACAACGGCGTTGTTGACTGTGGTTCCCAAATAGTTTTCAGCGGTTTCTTTCATTTTCATCAAAACGAAAGCTCCAACTTGGGATGGAGAGTAAACTTTTCCTTGAGCCTCAACCCATGCGTCTCCATTACTGGCTTTGACAATCTTGAATGGCACAACTTTCCTGGAAAAAAATACATTGGAAAACAATATTTCTTCAAAAAATCATAAGTCGACTTACAAATCCTTTTGGACTTCGGCATCTTCAAAGCGTCTTCCGATCAATCTTTTGGTGGCGAAAAGTGTGTTGGAAGAGTTGGTAACAGCTTGACGTTTAGCTGGTGCTCCGACAAGTCTTTCACCATCAGCGGTGAAAGCAACTGTTGATGGTGTGGTTCTTACTCCTTCAGCGTTCTCAATAACTCTAGCAGTCTTTCCTTCCATAACACTGACACAACTGTTGGTGGTTCCGAGATCAATTCCGATAACATGACCCTTTGCTTTATCGGAGCTAAAATTCGAAAAATAGGAATATTTTTCAGAAATTTCAAAAAAAAACTCACAAAGATCTTGTGTTCAATGTGGTTGCTCTGGCGATTGTGCGAGCAGATGACAAGATTGATCGTGCAGTAAGCATTTTATCTGTAAAAAACAAAAACGGTTTGTTGAGAATGGAACTTCAAAATTTGCATCATTTGAAAAGAAAAAATTGCATCATTGTTAAAATCGTCAAAAAAATAGTTTACACGGCAGGTTTTCAAAGATAAGAGAGTAGGCTGTTTGCCTGAATATCTGTTGGTGCTTTTCTGATATGAAATGAGAAGTTAGTTTCACCTTGAACTTCAACAAACAGTCAAAAAAACGAAGGAAAAGTCTAGAAAATTCAAGAGTCCTCTTCTCTCCGCCCTTTTATTAGTACGGTGGGAAAATGGTCTCGCAGCAGCAGAGAAAGAAAGTGTGCGAGGGTTGCACGCGCCGCACACTTTCTCTTCACTTTTCAAAAAAATTATTTTTTTTTCGTTTTTTGTTGTTTTTCAAGTTCAAATGCCTAGTTTGCATTATCAACAACTCAGAAACATATACTTTTAGATTAAAACGATTCAGTAAATTTTTCAGGTGTCAAACATGGGGTTCGCTTCAGCTACCCGCGAGGAAAAGCTGAAAATGATGAAGTCAAATTCGACTCGAAAAGCAACAAAAAATTTGAATAGACTAGCGAAACGAGGAAAACTTTCTAGAGAGATTCGTAATTCTATGGAAGAAATTAAGAAGAGAAAATCGAAAGAATCACGACAAAGATTGGTTGATGTGAGTTTTACTGATCAATTAAATGTTTCAATTAAAAAAATATCTGTTTAGATTGAAGACGATTTCGTTGCTGATCGCGAAGCTCATTATGACAGTGATCGAGAAGAATTGCCACTTGATATGCTTGATGCAGATATTGATTGGGAAAACAGTGCTTTCGCTACTTCAAAACGTCGCCTTGAAAAAACTCGCAAAGGCGCCGCCAATGATAGTGATGATGAAGAAGAAGGAGAAGTAGAAAGTAAACGAAGGAAATTTGATGGCCAATTAGAAGCTGGACATGAAGAACTTCTGCCAATTAAATTGAAAGACGGTACACTTGTCAGACCAACTCGTGAGAAGTTCCAAGAGGAAAGTGATGAAGAGAAAGAGGAAGAAAATGGCGACGAAGAAGATCAAAATCAACCTCATTTAGAAGATTTTTCTCATCTTTCGGCTTCTGAATTACTCGTAAAACGAAGAGAACTCCTCCAAGAAGCTAAAAACACCATCGCTTCCCATGCAAATATGCTTCTCGCAAATCCGCAAGTAAACATCACCCGTCTTCGTGATCTCTACAATCTCTCCACCGGAGAAAAAGTTCATTCATTGGTCCGCGAACAAGTTCAAAAATTAGCGATGGCAAGTACTCTTCAAGTTCTGTTAGATATTATCCCAGGTTATGCGATTCGTGAACAAACCGCTGAAGAAAAAGCACAAAAACAGAAGAAAGAGACAAGAGTTTTGGCGAATTTTGAGGAGGCTTTACTACGATATTATTTGAAATATCTACAACTTTGTGAAAAATTATCAAATAGTGAGTCTTTTTTTTGAAATTGTAGTAAATTTATTGATTTTTTAGAATTGGTTGGAAAAGATCGACACAACGACGAAACAACATTCACTTTCAAAATGGGAATTTTATCCGTCAAAGCTATGGCTCGAATCGTAATCGCCGCACCGCATTTCAATTATGCTACCAATATCATCTCTAGTCTTGTTAGATTATCTCTCGCCAAAAATGAAACTGTTATCAAAGAAGTTTGCGATGCCATCAGAACTGTTTTCAAAGAAGATTTGCATCTTCGAATTACTCTTTTCACTTCGAGATCGATTTCTGCTTTGGTGACAAAAAGGAAAGGACGAGTTCCTCCACAATTGTTAACAACATTGTTAGCTATGAATATTACTGTGAGTTTCTTAATTTTTCAAAATAATTTGATTTCATTCATGGATCTTTAGGAAGTGAAAAACGAGGACAAAAAATCGGGAAAAGACAGAATCGTTGCCAAAAAATATCAACTCAAAAAAGAGCGAGCTAACAAAACTGCAAGACGATATAAAAAGCAGTTGGAGAAAATCGAGGCTGATTTATTGGAAGTTGAAGCGGAAGAATCTCTAACAAAGAAGCTGAAAAATGTGAGTCTCCAAAATTCAGATAATGATAATTCATTCATCAATTTTATAGGCCACCGAAGCAATGAAATTCGCTTTCCAAACATATTTCTCGATTTTGAAAAGAATGCCAACTTCAGCTTTATTAGCTCCAGTTCTTGAAGGATTGAGTAAATTTGCGCATTTATTAAGTATCGAATTCTTTGATGATATTGTAACAACAATGGAAAAAATGGTAACAAATGAAAATCTTCGAATTATCGATCAACTTCATTGTATCAATACTGTATTCGTTATTCTTTCTGGAGATGGTCAATTATTGAATGTTGATCCTTCAAAGTTTTATCGCCTGGCTTATCGTGTTTTGAATTTGTTGCCATTTGAAAAGAAACCAGAACAACGAATTAGTCAAATTGTAATGACAGCAAAAACATTGGATACAATGCTAATTGATCGACGAAAAGGTGTTCCATTATCGAGAGTTGCCGCATTTGTGAAAAGAATTTTATCGATTGCGACGGTTTTGGATGATTTGCCAGCATTGTGTTTGGTTTCATTGGTTAGATCTATGTTTATTGTGAGTTTTTTACTTACAAAATTCGCTAAAAAATTCGAATCCGATTGAAGAAATAACTCGAAATGAGTCAAATTGTTTAAACGTGAAAATAAAAAATCCAGAATAAGTTCACGTAAAATTTATTTTTTTTATGCCACGTGGATTTTCTAATGTTTATTTATTATCTTCAGAAAATTTAGAGCATTGCTCATGTTAAATATAATCAGGAATCGCTATAAGTTTTGAAACAGTGAAAACGGGGAATTTTTTAAAATAATAAAAAAATAATAACAATTTTCATGAAAATAGACTCTTGTAGAAAAGTATCTCAATATTTTCCAAACCAAAACTCCAATGTCTTCCAGGCTCATCCAAAATTGGCATCAATGATCGAAGATGAAGAAGGAGGTGCTCCAGGTGTTTATCGACAAGATATTGATGATCCAGATGTTGCAAACGCCTTGGCTTCAGATGTTCGAGAAGAGTTATCAATGTTAACAAGACGAAGAAATCAAGATTTATCGAGATTTGCAAATAATATTTTGTATGGAGTTCCTTCGACGGGCATTTTCAAGTTGAATCCGCAATTGACTTCGATGTAAGTTTCACTTTACTTCTTTGATTTTCCGAATCATCGCATTCCAGAAAATCTTGGGTATTGTTCACACAATCTATTGAATCATTGAAAGAAGGATATCAGAAAGTTGACACAAAATATTTAGATGATATTGAAAAGGCAGCAAAGAAACGGTCAAATGGACCAGTTTCGCCTAAAAATATCCATCTTCATATTTCAAATTGGTTATCGAATGCAAAATAATTTTTTATTTATTTGTTGCGTTGTTTTTTTGTTTTTGTTATTGTTATATACATTTTTATTTCTTTCACTAGTTCTTTTCTCAAATCGAAATCAACACTTATCACAACTCGCCATACAATTCTCATGCATCCATTTTTGAGTCTTCGCCTGCCTGCAAAACCCATTGAGAGCCCACGTTCCGCAATGCACATTTTTATCATCACATCCGATTCGACAATACATTTTCTTGAGAAGTTTGATGTCCGGCCAACTCAAAGTTTTACGTTGCCCCAATTTTTTCGTGTTTTGCGATGGGTTTTTGAGAGGAATCATTGTTGGTTTTGATGGATTTATTGCTGCTAAATAAGCATCATAATGCATTATACTGTCATACGCATAATTTGTTCCATAAGATGTGTAGAGTTTTGCATCTGAGATTGCAAAAGCGTCGTAATGTTGAGGATTTATATTCGACCAATCTATCTGAAATGTTGAATTTTGAGATAAATTCATAAAGTTTGGAAACTTATATCCTAATTTCCCTCACCTTTATGAATTTATCACGATCAATTCTCAAATGTTGATGATTTACCCCCAAAGCATGCATTGTTTCATGGATCGCAACTCCTCGATTATCACCGCATTGAAAACTCAAATAAATTGGATTCGCTGGATCCATCTTTCCAATATATGACAATCCACAAAACGTTGAACTATCAACTTTATAATATTTCAAATGATTTCCTTGCGGATTTGCGTTATATCGAAACAGTATACAAGTTTTAATCGATATTGCGTGTAAAGCATTTCGAACATCTTGTTTTTCTGATTCTTCGAGAGAATCATCAAATGTATATTGAATCGGTTTCCAAATATCCCATTTTTTAATCGGAGTTGTTTCATTGTGCTGGAAGAAAATTCCAGATCTTGGGGCTCTTCTTCTAGAACCTTGAGATGCCTCTCCAAGTTCATTGAGCAAAAAATTTGATTGATGTTCAGAAAGCAAGATGTCTTTGTCGAAAATTCCATCATCAGCAGCAGCAACAACCTGGAAATGGATGATAGTTCCGCCAAATATTATAAAACTCACCCCCTTCAGGTTTGCCCTTTTCAATAAACTTTGTTTAACTTGAAGAGTTCTATCAAATTGCAAATTAATTTTCTCGCTCGATAATCCCTTTTCATTGTGAAATTCTGTAATCTTCTGAAATATTTGCTTCTTTGTCTCAACATTTTTCACAGCTTGTTGTGCACAATTAAAATTCCGACAACTTCTTGCAATCTCCATTCGATCTTGCTCTCTGATTTGTCCAAATTGTTCCTGTAGATTATGAATGAATCCAACGAGTTCGGGGAGTAAACCGGTTAATGGATCTTGAATATTGATGTTTGGAACTTGTGGTAATAAACGTCCCGCTTCGTAGATCACAGAACTGATGATTTGTGGAAGATCATTGAAATCTGGAAGCTGTCCATTTCGACACTTTTGATGTTGTGGAAACCTTCTACAAAAATCCCTTGCTTTTCCTGACCATTCCGATTGACTCGAAACTCTTTGCAAATCTCCAATCACATCTTCATCATTCAACCCAATTCCTCTCTTGATTCCCGACGCAAAATTATTAATAATCCCTCCAAGATTCGAATTTTCTCCGAAGATTTGAGATAGAATTTGAGAATTTACGACTGAAAATAATATAGAAGAAGACAGAACAATAAAAAAGGAAACCATTTGAAAAATGAAATGAACAGTTACTTTTTATCAAACAAACTTTATAAGAGATCGATCATCGGCAAAAACGACATGATTTTTTTGTTGAAAAATAATCTTTCGAACTAAACAAAAAATTTTTTGAACCCTCCCATTTCCTAGAATACCTTAATTAGAAAAAAAACAACAACCACACATTTTTTCTCTTTTTTTCATTCTATTTTTATAACAAAAAAAATGTCTAGCAAAAACTGTTCTTCAGTGAATTATTCCTATTTCGAAACTCCACAATTTCTCCGGAATTTTCTATTTTCTGTAACTTTTCTATCATTTCCAATTTATTTGGTTGGATTTTATTGTATTTTATGCAAGACTCCGGCGAAAAGTAATGGCTTGAAGTGGTGTTTATTGATTTCGGCTACATGGTGAGATTTGAATGGGCTTGATTTTAGGAAACATTTGAGATCAGCGACCCCCATTTGCAGGTTCGCATCTCAAGATCTCATCCTAAACATCCTAGTTATCCCCTTTGTCTTATTACCAATGTATGCTGGATGCCCTTTAGGATTTTTGACCGAATTCTTCAATGTATCAATAATCACCCAAGCTTATTTAGTTGTTCTTGTCGTTGTTGGTAAGGATTCAAATTTTAAAAAACAACAATAATATAGTCTTATTTATTCCGTAGGTGTATGTTCTTCAATAGTTTGTCTCCTCGAGAATCAATACCACAACATAAAACGAATAAAAATTAAACAACGTTGGATTCAAGCTGCATTATATCTTTTCAATTTAGCAGTCTCTTTAACATTTCTCAATTTAATAGTTCTAAATATACCTTATCAACCATCAGCACTTTCAATTGTATTTCAAGTTCTTCCATGTCTTCCTCAACATATTTATAATATGCCGATATTTGTGCTAACTTTACATTTGGAAATCACCTCATTTATAATGATGTTTTTGATTGCTAGTGTGTTTTTGGAATTTATCGTTTTATTTTCATCAACTTATTATCAATTATTTATGATTGGTAGTGTTACAATGAGTAAGAATACTAGAAAATATCAAAAATCCGTGTTCATCGATGTTTCGATTCAAAATTCGATTCCTGTTGTTGTCATTCTTCTTCCAGTCTCATATTTGGTTTATTCCTGTCTCAACTCTTATCACAATCAATGTCAGTTTTTCCATTTTTTACCAACAAAAAGTTTTGTTTTTTCTTGCAGTGTATAATAATCTGGTGCTAATTTTGATGAGTTGCCATGGTGTTATTTCCGTGTCTACTATGATCATCCTTCACAAACCTTATCGAGAATTTCTGTTTTGCAAGAAGAAAGTGATCAATTCTGTGAGGACTGTCTCGTATCGAGCATAAATTGGATTTTTGCGTTTGGAAAATAAACGTTTTTGGGAGAGAAACTGAAATTGAAATAAATAAAAATGTGAAAAAAGTTTCGTGGAAAAAATATTCTGAAATCTGATGAAATTTTTCAGACAAGATCACCAAACCAAACGTGAACTTTTGACGTAGCAGTCTATGAATCATTTCCAAAAAAAATCTGATCCTCACAACATTTCAAAACAACACCGAGGGTTCACGTTTTTTAATTTATTTTGAATGTCTGCAACTCTTCACGTGACACACTCTCTTGCAGTTTTTTGTCTGCATCTCCAAAATTATCTGAACTCGGAATAATTTAGAAAAGCTAGACAGATATAGCCAATTCTGAACGTTTTGAACTAGAATTTTTGAAAAAGCTCATCAAAACAATTTTTCAAAAATGCTTCCCCCGATTTTTAATACCTCAAACTTTCGCTAATATTTCCTCCTCCTCCTCGCTCTTCGATTCAATCAAGCACAAAATTTCAGCAACCTATTAGTAATCTGTCTCTCTTTTTGTTCCAAAATGAATATTTCTCTCGAAAAATTCGAATTTTTCGAAACCCCCATGTTTCTAAAATATGCAGCACATTCGATTTCACTTATCGGAATCCCAATTTATTTTTTCGGTTTCTATTGTGTCATTTGGAAAACTCCGAAAAATGTGAAAAGTGTCAAAAAATGTATGATTATATCGTGTTTATGGTTAGTTAATGTTCTCTCAGTTTCAATTAGCCAATTAATTATTTAATAGGTGTCTGATTCAAGATATTGATTTGACCCTTCTAACAATTCCATTTATTTTAATCCCAACATATTCGGGATTACCAATTGGGGCGATGAGTAAAGTTGGAATCTCCACAAAAATTCAAACTATTATCGGACTTTTTATCATTGTTGGTAAGTAAATGAGTTTCAGCTGGCTAAAAAAATCGGATTTTCAAGGAGTAATCTCTTCAATCACTGGATTACTCGAAAATCAATATCATATTATAAAAAGAATTCGTCTAAACCTATTCTTCATGCAATTTTCCATATATTTCATCAATTTTTCTCTATTTTCTATTTTTATGTACATTGTATTTAGCCAAACTCCAGAACAAATATCAGCTAGAAATCGAGTGTTCAAAATTCTTCCCAATTTATATCCAACAATCTACACTTCTGATGTATTTGTAATCTCCGAAGATCTATCTTTGGTTTCAACTTATTTTTGTTTATATTTATCAAATATGATTGGACAACTCGTTTTCTTTTCCGCTGTCACATTTTATAATTTATATTTTAGCAAGGAAAATTTGATATTGAGTAAAAATACACGAATTCTTCAGAGGAAATTGTTCATTGGAGTTTGTATTCAAGTTACACTTCCTCTAACTTTAGTTGTCTTCCCATTTTTATCAATTTTTTATTGCTGCGTGTTCAACTATCACAATCAAAGTGGGTTTTTCATATCACATGAAAGAACTTTTTCACAAAATTCTTAAGAGATTCCAAAAACATACTGTATTTCTAATCAAGATTATTTTCAGCATTAAACAATTTTATGTCAATAGCAGTCTACTTACACGGAACTTTATCAGTTTTAACAATGATTATAATACATCCACCATATCGAAAACTTCTTCTCAATTTCTTCCGCTGCAAAATTGAAAAACAAATCAAAGTACAGTAAGTTAATTTTTCTCTTCAATATTTATAACGAATTTTTGTCGCTTCAGCAGTCTGGTTTTAATGAACACCCGACCATCGACAACATATTAGTTTCGTTGATGTTACGAAACAAAAAGGAAGTCGAAAAGGTATTTTCTTAAAGCAGAATATTTTCATTAAAAAAAACATAATTAAAACTTTCCTGTCGGAAAATGGAGAAGCAGGATAACCATTTCTCATTTTTTGAGACTCCAAATTTTGTGAGACAATCAGCACATATTTTATCAATTTTCACTGTTCCTATTTATTGGTTAGGTTTTTATTGTATTCTTTATAAAACTCCAGAAAATGTGAAAAGTGTCAAAAATTGTATGCTAATCACATTTGTTTTGTAAGTATTTTTTAAAATTTGACCAAAGAAATATTTTTTGCGCAGATGTTTCATTCAAGATATTGATTTGACGTTTCTAACAATTCCTTATGTTTTGATCCCAAGTTATTCTGGATTTCCAATTGGAATTATGAGTTATTTTGGGATTTCAGTAAAATATCAGACATATGTTGGACTATTATTGATCTATGGTTAGTGAGAAATTTTTCTAATAAATGAAAAAAAACTTATATTGCAGTTGTCCTAACTTCAATTTCCTGTCTCCTTGAAAATCAATATCATATAATAAAAAGAATCCGAACAAGTGCAATCATAATCCAAGGTGCAATTTACACCATAAACATTGCTGTTTTTGTGTACTGCATAACTTATATATTCACTCAAACTCCAAACCAAATCGAAGCACGTCAACGAATTTATCAAACATTACCCTCACTTTATCCAGAAATTTATGAATATGAGATTTTTGTGGTCACAGAAGATTCAGCAATGCTCACATATATCGTACTGTTGGTTTCATTGATAATGTTCAATACTCATTTTTCATTTGCTCCTCATTTTTCCAATTATATTCCGCTTCTCGAAATGCAGTTTTGAGTCAATTAACTCAAAGTCTACAAAAACGGCTATTTTTTGGAGTTTGTGTTCAAGTTCTTCTACCATTTGTTTCTCTTATTGTTCCATTGTTGTATATTGTCTATTCCAGCATTTTTGAATATTACAATCAAAGTGAGTGATAATTGATTGAAAGAGAAAGTTTATAAAATCAATATATTTTAGTTCTCAATAATTTTGGTGTACTTTGTATGTTATTACACGGTTTCCTATCTGGTTTAACAATGCTATTGATTCATCGACCTTATAGAGATGTCTTATTTTCTAAGTTCAAAAAGAAAAAGATGGCTTCAAGTGTTGTACGGTGAGTGGAAATATCTAAACAAGTACAATATAAATTTTCAGAACTCAAACATATCGTTATTGATTAATCTGAAGTTTTTCGTAAAATAGAAGTTATATTTATTCTTCCAATTTGGCATGAGATCATCGAAAAATAAACACATTTAAATAATACAGAAAATAATGTATTGATCTTCAGAACCAATAAAACATTTTTCACAACATTTTGTTTTACTTTGTATAAAAAATAACAAGGAAACCATTTTGGCTCATGGTCGAATTTTGAGCTCAAAATTGTTTATGGTCAGTTTCAGTCATCCTAAAGAACATATATAAATCCTGGACCAGGTTTTTCCGATTTTGCAATTGAGTTTCTCATGATTTGAACTACTGTCCATTAAAAAAAGTTTGAGCACAAAACTCGACGGCGAGCTGATCAGGTTCCCTTGTAAGATCCGATTTTATTTGCCGTCGTTCTATGAACAAAATTAATAAACTTGAAACCATTTTGATCAATTTTTCCCCGCCAAAAATAATTAATTAAACTTTTTGATTTTTTTTGAAACCAAAAAGTGTTATTCTATGAATTTGGGCGTGTCTGAATAATCTTCACAGACAACACATTATTTTCTTTTTCATACCTTATAATTTTCAAAAACCATGGAGAAAAAAGTAACATTTAGTTATTTCGAATCTCCAGAATTTTTGAAAAGCGCAGGCCATTTTTTAACATTTATTACTATCCCGATTTATTTTCTTGGTTTTTATTGTATTCTTTTTAAAACTCCAGATAATGTGAAAAGTGTCAAAAGTTGCATGATGATGATGTTTTCTCTGTGGGTTTTTGAAAAAAAAAAACAAAATACAAATAAAATAATTGTTGTTTTTATGCAGATGTTTTATTCAAGATATCGATTTGACATTTCTAACAGTTCCATTTATTTTACTTCCAAGTTATTCTGGGTTTCCAGTTGGAATTATGAGTCATGTTGGAGTTTCCATCAAAACTCAAACTGTAATTGGAGTTTTTATAATTTATGGTAACCTTTGATTACTTGAATAATTTCTGAATAACTGAAGTGTCTAGGTGTTCTAACTTCTATAGCTGGTATCCTTCAAAATCAATATCATTTAATCAAAAAAGTTAAAATGAATCCATTGATTATCCAATTTTTATTATATTTCATCAATATTTTAACCTGTGCATTTAGTCTTTTCGATATTTTCACAAAAACACCAAACCAAGCAGAAGCTCGAGAAAGAGTTTTCAAAAGTCTACCGCCGCTTTATCCAACAATTTATGAATATGATTTATTTGTGATTACTGAAGATTTAGCATTTGTCTCAAAATATATTATATTTCTAATTTCATTGGTGGTTGGCGAATATATATTTTTTATTAGTGGCTCCTGGTTACATCTACGATCCGTTTCTCGAACTACGAATTTAAGCAGAATAACACAAAACTTACAAAAACGATTGTTTTTTGGGATTTGTATTCAGGTTTTACTTCCATTTATTTCAATTATAGTTCCATTTTCATATTTTGTCTATTCTTGCATGTACAATTATTATAATCAAAGTAAGTTGTTCTACATATCTTGATGAAGTAATAATTAAATTTTGAAGTTTTCAATCACTTTGCAATTCTTATCATGTTATTTCATGGTTTCTTGTCTGGTTTAACAATGCTAATAATTCAACGCCCATATCGAAAATTCATAACAGGCTTTTTCAATAAAAATAAAACGTCTCCACATATTGTAGGGTTGGTTTATTTTTTCTTGATCTACAAGTTTTTCAAAATTCTTCATTCAGAACTCAATCTTAGTATCGATACTAACTTCTTGTTTTTGTGGCCTCTGCAAAAAATTTAAATAATCCAGAAAATAATGTATTGATCTTTAGAACCAATAAAACATTTTTCACAACATTTTGTTTTTTTTGCAGTACCGTTTCCATCCCAGTGTTGTTTGAAAAAGTTCCGATTTGATTCGCCGCCATTCTATGAACAAAAAATAATGAACTTGAAATCATTCTGATCAATTTTTCCCCGCCAAAAATAATTAATGAAAATTTTTGATTTTTTTTTTGGAATCAAAAAGTGTTATTCTAAGAAATTGGAGGTATAAAGAATCTTTACAGACAACACATTATTCTCTTTTTCATACCTCATAATTCTTGAAAAACCATGCAGCAAGAAGGAACATTCAGTTATTTAGAATCTCCAGAATTTTTGAAAAACGCAGGCCATTTTGTATCACTTATCAGTATCCCGATTTATTTTCTTGGTTTTTATTGTATTCTTTATAAAACTCCAGATTATGTGAAAAGTGTTAAAAATTGTATGATGATAACTTGTTTATGGTTGGTTTGAAATTTTTATGTGGCTATGTGAAATTTAAAAAAATATATACTTCATAGGTGTTTCATACAAGATATCGATTTAACATTTCTAACAGTGCCTTTTGTTCTGATCCCAAGATATGCTGGATTTCCAGTTCGATGTTTAAGCAAATTCCAGTAATGTATGAAATAAATTAATAGTGTAGTTTGTTACTTTGTACAAAGAAATTACAATTTATTAATGAGCATAAAATTATTCCTAACGAAAATAATTAATGAAAATTTCGTTTTTTTTTAATTTTTTGGTTGAAAAAAGGGCCAATGAAAAAAAAACATTTTGAGAAATAAAAACCCTGAATTTTCAGAAGTCACATCTGTCTTTATTATATGTGAAATCTGCCAAAAACAATGACACTTGTCACAGACAAAAGGAAATTAGAAAAAACCATGTTCAAGTTATTCAGAAAAAAAAACAAATCATAACACGTGTTTCTTTTTGAACATGTACACAACACTCGATTTTTTCGGAACTCCAGTTTTTATCAAATACGCATCCCATTTTGTATCACTTATCAGTCTCCCGATTTATTTTCTTGGTTTCTATTGTATTCTTTATAAAACTCCAGATAATGTGAAAAGTGTTAGAAATTGTATGATGATAACCTATTCTTTGTAGGTTTTTGAAAAAATAAAAATAAAATAATTTTTGTTTTTATGCAGATGTTTTATTCAAGATATCGATTTGACATTTCTAACAGTTCCATTTATTTTAATCCCAAGTTATGCTGGATTCCCGGTTGGAATTATGAGTCATGTTGGAGTTTCCATCAAAACCCAAACTGTAATTGGAGTTTTTATAATTTATGGTAACCTTTTGAATAATTTCTGAATTTCTTGAATAATTTCGAAATAACTGAAATCTCTAGGTGTTCTAACTTCTATTGCTGGTATCCTTCAAAATCAATATCATTTGATCAAAAAAGTTAAAATGAATCCATTGATTGTCCAATTTTTATTATATTTCATTAATATTTTAACCTGTGCATTTAGTCTTTTCGATATTTTCACTAAAACACCAAACCAAGCAGAAGCCAACAATTTAGTGCTAGGAACACTATTAGAGGTGCCGGCGCAAAACTGTCTCTTTCTTACTTTTTTCTTATTTCCAAGCAGCAAAGTAAGTAATCTTTCTTTCTTTTATCTTATTCCTTTTTTCTTTTATCTTATGACTTTTTCCTTTTATCTTTCTTTTTTTCTTTCTCTTTTTTATTATAAATTTTTTCTTCTTAGCTTGGGGCTATATTTATAGCCCCCAATGTGCCGTATTTGGCCTTATGCCTTTCAGAAGCATGACATCTAAACCTGAATGAAAATTCGAAACTTTTTAAAAATATTTTTTAATTTTTGTCGTTCTTCCATGGATAATGGGCAAAAACATAAAATCTATACGTGAATGGAAATTCTAAACTTGTTGAAGATTAGCGCATATTTATTATTATCACTAAAGCCCAAATACCGGGCCTTGTACCCTTGTACCTAGAAAAAATATTTTTTTCAATTTTTCTTTGGGAAGTTCACCAAAATTAATTTCACCACAAGAGTGCTGGGCACAGTACTGTTTTTCTCTGCTTCTAGAAATTTTCCAGAGTAGTAAAAGTTACATCGATTCATAAAAGAAGTTTATTCATTTTTCTTGGATGTGCATAAATCAGAAAGTTTCGCGGCGCAGAAAGTACCTCGGAACATTTTCCTGAATTTTGTGACACCTGAGAAAATATGGAGTGTGACTCAAAAATTGACGAAATTCAACGCCGAAATGAAAGGTTTAGAAATTTTTTTTTGATATACTAGAAGAAAATGGATTTGAAAAATTTGAGGTCTAATTGTAACGATTTGGAGTAGTAGAATTTTTTTGAATTGAAACCAACAATGTATTTTTTTCTAGTCACAAGGCCCGGTATTTGGGCTTTAGTGATAATAATAAATATGCGCTAATCTTCAACAAGTTTAGAATTTCCATTCACGTATAGATTTTATGTTTTTGCCCATTATCCATGGAAGAACGACAAAAATTAAAAAATATTTTTAAAAAGTTTCGAATTTTCATTCAGGTTTAGATGTCATGCTTCTGAAAGGCATAAGGCCAAATACGGCACATTGGGGGCTATAAATATAGCCCCAAGCTAAGAAGAAAAAATTTATAATAAAAAAAAGAGAAAGAAAAAAAGAAAGATAAAAGGAAAAAGTCATAAGATAAAAGAAAAAAGGAATAAGATAAAAGAAAGAAAGATTACTTACTTTGCTGCTTGGAAATAAGAAAAAAGTAAGAAAGAGACAGTTTTGCGCCGGCACCTCTAATAGTGTTCCTAGCACTAAATTGTTGGCTCTGCGTCTAATAAACTATTTTGAACAAGAATTCCTATTCCAAAGAAATTATGTCATCTCACCTAGGCATAGTGGCAAATCAATTGAATTGTTCAGTGTGATTCAAGTTTTGCTCGTTTTCAACCTATTCACAAATGCCTGTGAATAGTCTCAAAATTTTTTTCCAATCACTCAACGGTTGTTTGAAAATATTTCATTCTAATCAATAAGAAAAAGGAAGAAATTAAATCAATATAAAATTTCTGAGAAACTCTCTGAAAAATGCATTATTCACAAGGTCACCAGATAAACTTTTGATGAAACATATCGAAATATACCAAATTGACCATGCTGATCACGATTCCGAAGTCAAGATTTGCCACGAATATGAGGACTTTTCTGGAGCTCCAAAGTTGGAATGGAGTTTTGGTTTTTGCCCATTTTCACCATATTCCAGTTTGGAAAATCAACTTTTATAGCTTGAATGAGGTTGTTCACTACATTCTAAAACCTATCAGCTTTTTTGTTCATCAAAATTTTTTAAAAACCAGCTGAAAACTGAAATTTTCAAAAATGCCCGAAAAACTTCCAAAAACGTGTGTATTTTGGTCAATTGTACAATACCTGGAAGACATGCCCTGGAACTGAATTTCCTGTAAAAATGTACAAAACCTGGATTTTTTGAACAACACCTAGAAGCTAGAAAAATATCTGAAATTTCTCGAATCAATCCCAGAATGTGATTTTTATGTTCTAAGTCTAGTTTTTCTAGACCTCTGCCGAAAAATGAAAATGTTGAAAATGAAAATATTTTTACTGTAAAAACTGGAAAATCTTTCTAGACATGGATTTATTAGTTTGAAAACGTGTTTTTGTGAATTTTTTGAATATACGAGCAGAAAAACGCAATAAATTTTTTTCCAGGTATTGTACATTTTTACAGGAAATTCAGTTCCAGGGCATGTTCTCCAGGTATTGTACAATTGACCGTGTATTTTTGTGTATTTTCATGGCTTATTTGAAATTTGCTGTTTTCAGCTCGTTTTTGATATTTTTTGATAAACTAAAAATCTGATCGGTTTTCGAATGTGGTGAACAACCTTTTTGGAAAGTTGATTTTCCACCCTGGAACATGGTGAAAATGGGCGAAATCCAGAACTCGATTTCAACTTTGGAGCTCCAGAAAAGTGCTCACAGGAGTTGGTGGCAATTTTTGGCTTTGGCTTTGGGATCAGCATGGTTGATTTGGTATATTTCGATATGTTTCATTAAAAATTTATCTGGTGACCCTATGCACTTCCCTTGTCAGATGAAAAACATGTTAATTTTAATTGTTAAAACAACTAACATTGCATGAAATTAGCATATTTATCAATCAAGAAAAATAAAATCATGATTTCAGTTCAAAAGGTGAGAGAAAACCTTATTAAAATGTCAAGTTTTCCGCGAAATCATGAAAAATACGCTTTTCAGATTGAAATAATGTTCAACCACACAGTTTTTTTAAAAATAAAATCAACATAAGTCATCTTGACACTTCAAAACATCGAAAAAGTTTAAAAAACGCAAGTTTCATTTTTAATGTTCCATCAGAACTGCACAAACAACAAAAAAACACAGCGTCATTGCGTAGTGTCGTTGTTTTCTTTTTATTTTTTTCAATTTTTTTTTCAAACTCAAATTGAAAAAAGTTTTACCATAGGATTCGCTGAAAATGCATACAATAAGTATTTCAAGTGTTCTTCTTTCATTTTCAGCGCTGAAAAGTATAGGCACTCGGGCTCTTTTTCGAGAAAATTCAAGTTTAAAAAAATGCACTTTTTTTCGAAATTCAAAAAAACTTCCAAAACAGGTTGATTTGCATCGGGCTGTATTTAAAACAAATCTAGCACCCCGAGAGAAACATTTTAGTTCCAAAAATTTGTCATACCGTTGATTTTGAACAAAGTTATGATGTTTTTTGTGAAAAATTGGACATTTTCACAAAAATCGATTTATTGTAACTTCCAGTTGACGGTTTGGGCTAATTTTTTTCATTTTGTTCGTCTGTCGATTCTCTACTAAAAACTCCAACGCGCCGATGATGAAAAATATTTTATGACTGTAAAACCTGAGCTTGAAAACCAATAGTGATTCTAGGCGCTGCACCTCAACGAAAACATGAGGTCTGCACCTAACTAAAAATACTTCCCGAGGCATTGAGCTTATCTTTCTTTTAAAAAAAAAAAGTAAGAAGATTCATTAATTTTGACAGGAGTTACGGCGATCCGCGTTTTTGAAAAAATCGATTTTTGACGGACCATAAAACTTTTTTTTCAAGCTTATCTGAAAATCTGAGTACTACGTTTTTTACACCTACCCATAGGGTTCAAAAGAAAATATTAATATATGTTTTTTCTGGAAAATTTTTTCATCAAACATAAGCCCAAATAGGCGCAGTCTTGAAGCCTGCGCCTAAGCTCGAGAAAGAGTTTTCAAAAGTCTACCTCCTCTATATCCAACAATCTATGAATATGATTTATTTGTGATTACTGAAGATCTAGCATTTGTCTCAAAATATATTATATTTTTAATTTCATTAGTGATTGGCGAATATATATTTTTTATTAGTGGCTCTTGGTTACATCTACGATCCGTTTCTCGGACTACGAATTTAAGCAGATTAACACAAAACTTGCAAAAACGGTTGTTTTTTGGAATTTGTATTCAGGTTTTACTTCCATTTGTTTCAATTATAATCCCATTTTCATATTTTGTCTATTCTTGCATGTACAATTATCATAACCAGAGTGAGTTCTGAAGTTAAGTTCATAATTAAAATAATATTTTAAGTTTTCAATAACTTTGCGACTCTTTCCGTGTTATTTCATGGTTTCCTATCTGGTTTAACAATGCTAATAATTCATCGCCCATATCGAAAAGTCATCACAGACTTTTTCAGGAAAAATAAAAAGTTGTCAAATACAGTAGGGTTAGTTTTTTTTTAATTTTTTTTAAGTCTACAATTTTTTGTCAAAATTCTTCATTCAGAACTCAATCTTTTCATCGATACTAAATAACTTTTTGTTTTCGTGGCTTCTGCAGAAAATTTTCATGGTCTGTGAGAAATTGCGAAACCCTTCAAGAGATAGCAAGTGAAAATGAGAGAGTGCTAGGCGTAAAAATAAATATGGGATGGAAATACATAGAGTTTATTTTTTTGAAGAAATGACGACGAGCGAAGCAGTGTCCAGTTTTAGGTGAGTTACTGATGTTTTTCAACACTTTGATAGCAATTTGTATTTCTATTTTCTCGATTTTTATTTATTTTTATTTTGAGGACAGGTAATTTGCCACGTGAACCTTGTTCTTTTTGCATTTCTAATATAAATTTTCAATGGAAGAAGAAATTTGTTCATCGGAAATCTCTATTTTTCCCAGGGTTCCAATATTTTCGTCATGCTCAAAACTTCAAAAGCTAGCGGAATCGGAGAACAAAATTCTCACATCGCTTGGCATCAAATATTTGTCGAGGCTTATCAAGGTTGGTTAAAAAATTTTTATCAAATATTATTTATGAGGAATTTGAAAAAAAAAGTTTGCTCAAAAAAATTCCAAAAAAATGTTATTCAGAATTCGGCTCAAAAAGTCTTTCAGAAAGATTTTGTGTATTAGAAAATGTTCACAGTATTCTGAAACTCGGAAAAAAAAGATTTTTCAAAAATGTTTTTTTAAAATTCAAATGTTCATATTTCAGATTCCATTCCAAAATTCTGAGATCAACACAATTACTGTGGAATGTGAGCAAAGTCGCCCAAAAGTTGCCTACCCGATAGTGCTCATTCATGGCTTCGGAGCTGGCTCAGCACTTTGGGGCTCGGCGATCAAACGATTTGCTCAAATACAAACTGTTTTTGCCATGGATCTTCTCGGTTTTGCCAGATCTTCTCGCCCAAAATTCTCCGAAAATCATGAAGAAGCCGAATCAGAAATTGTGGAATCTATCGAAATGTGGAGAAATGAGATGAGATTGGAGAAGATGAACATTGTTGCGCATTCGTTTGGTGGATATTTGGCAACCTCGTATGCTATCAAATATCCGAGTCGTGTTCATAATTTGATACTTGCTGATCCTTGGGGTTTCACTGACAAAGATCCCAATAGATTTCCTCAAACAAAAACTATCAGATTTATCCGATGGTTTGTTGAGACATATAATCCATTAACAATTATGAGAATGTTTGGATCTTTTGGTAAGAACATTTATTTTGAAATATTTTCCAATCATAAGATTTTGTTTGTAGGTCCAAATCTGATGCGTCGAACTCGTCCAGATCTCAAAGATAAATATTCGGAAAACGTCTACGATTACATATATTTATGCAATTCCCAACGACCCTCGGGAGAAAAAGCGTTCAAAAATATCGCGACAGATTTGGCTTGGGCGAAACGTCCAATGGCTCAACGATTCCATGAACTCGACACAAAAGTGCCAGTCACATTTATACACGGTGTTCGAAGTTGGATTGATTACGAATCCGTTTCGCATTTGTATGATTTAGAACATGTGAATCAATATGTTGTAGAAGGTGCTGGACATCATGTTTATGCAGATAATAGTGATCGATTTAATGATATTGTTGTAAATACTTTAGAAAATTCAAAATAAACGGGTTCAAATTCTTTTTTTTCTGATGATGATTTTAATTAGTCTAGACTATCGTCAACGTTTTGAGATGAATACTCAAATATCAATCTGATCTCACATTTCTTTTCCAAAAAGCTGCTAACTCTCCTCAAATGCCAACAATATATTTACTTATCAAAGCATAAAAATCTAGAGCTATACCTAATAACCCCCTTCTCAAGATCAGTCTCCAAAAAATATTTCCTTTTTTTTTCTTCTTTATGTCCTTGAATAATTTGTTATTCGATATTCCACTTTGGTATATTTGCTCATTTCATATTCTTGGAACATTATCAATTCTTCTCAACACATTCGGAATGTATTTATTAATCTATAAAACCGATAAAATGGATAAGTATAAAATATATTTATTTGCATTTCAATTCATGACAACAATTGTTGATTTGACAATATCATTTGCAGTTCAACCGGTTTCACTTTTACCAATTTGGGCGGCTCATACATCAACTGGGTTACTGTGGAAATTGTTCAAAGTTTCACCGCATATTGCTCTTCTATTTCTTCTGGTTACTTTGGAATTACAAATTGTCACACTTGTTTTATGTTTTGTCAAAAAACATGAATCAATAACTTTGATTGGTAAAATAAGTTTTACTAATTCTAATAAATTTATTTTAAATAATAAATTGAAAAGCAAAATACTGGTAGTTATCCTAACTCTATTGATTATTCTTCCAATTTTATTATTTTTCAATGAGCCTTCAAAAGAAATACAATTTCAAACAATTTATAACAATTATTTAGAAGTTTTTGAAAAATTTCAACATTTGGAAAACTTTGTTTTATACGAGAAAAATTGGAAGACTTATTTTTTATTAACAATTGGAACTTTATCGCAATTAATCATTGGAATATTCATTGGCTTTTTGAATCATCAAATTTTCCAAACCTTCAAATTCAAACTGGAAACAATCTCAAGAATAGTTCAACACCGCCACCGCGTCGCTCTTTATAGTTTGATCGCTCAAACATCCACTTATTTTGTCTTGCTTATCCCTATTATTATATTTATCCTTTCCGCGTATTTGAATTTAGCTGAAATCGAAAATATCAGCCCAAGTCTTATGATTATTTTCACCTCGCATTCTAGTCTCAATTGTATAGTTATGATTTTGTCAACTCCGAGATTCCGAAGATTTTTATTTTTGAGATTCAAGTGTTGTAGGCCAAAAAATGTTTCTCGCACAGAACCGATGCCTTTTTGAATAAAAATAAATGGAATACATTTTGTTTTTTGATTCACAGATACAAAAAATTGTAGGTTCTAATTCCACGAAAGCTCTTAGAACCCATCTCCAAAAATAAACAGGATTACTTGCAAAATCAGAAGAAGAGAGAGAAAAAATCATTTCCGAATGTTCATCTAGGAAGGAAATGTAATCATAAGGTTTTGATCAGACAAAGAATCTTTGAGCTGACAAAAATTGTTCGAGACAAGTTCAATGAGCAAAAATTGAGTAATTGTCTGGAAGTGACATGCGTAATACTTTTCTGAAAAATAATATAGTTCGTGTCTGACATTTTTGAAATTGTGTTTTTAAAAATATGTAGAAGAATTGCTTGATTTATTCATAAATTTTCACACATATTTTATTGGGGTGTTTTTGTACTTTTTGAAAATTTTTTTTGGAATATCTCCAAATTTTCAGAATTTGTTTAGAATTTTCAAATTTCTCTATCTCCTAAAAACAAGGAAAAATGGTCAAAATTTGAACATTTTTTTGAAAATGACTTCACTTTTGATGTATGTATTTCAAAAAAAAAACAGTAACAAAAATATTTATTTGGCACATTAAAAATTCCCCTCATCCCAAATTAGTTATTCATTTCGTTTCATTCATCGACTGGAAGGTCCTGAAATATTTGGCACATTTTTTCGGGTCTGATCTTTAAACTGCAATTAACTCACCCAAGTGTTCGGCCCACTTCGATACATTCTTTGTGGCAAAAGTCGTCCCGAATATCTGGAGCGAGACATCGAGCGAAGATTTGGGCTTGGTTTGATCCATGAGGCAAAGAAGTTATCCTCATCGTTGGCTAAAAATAAATTGATCTAAAATTAAAACTAAGCAATGATAAATAACTCACCGAAGCACAAAACAATTGCAAAAACGAGAAGAATTGCGCACCGAAGTCCGTTCATTTTTCGAGAGCAAATGACTGAAATCGAGAACTGAAATAAGCAAGAAATGCTGGGAGGCGTGGCTCAAAAATTCCTTTTTTTTTTGTTCTTCTTGAAAAGGAGAGGAAAACGGAGAGGAGAGAAGAAAAACATGAATCCAATTAGCTGGAATTTCATTTGGGATTCCGAAAAAAATCAGGTGTCTAGATGATGATAACTTATTTCGTCTAGCACTTTTTTGGTTACAAGTTATGACGTGGAAAAGTCTGGGAAAAGTCTGCTGAATATTTTCGAGCTCTGAACGTTGTTGATGCATAGGTTTACATAAGAAATACAGTCTCTGAAAAATGTTTTATGAATTTATATGCCACGTCATAACTTTTGTGGTGACTTCAATCTTGCCTCCAAAAATTATGTACAAAAATATTCTTTTCGGTTGCAAAACTGTCAAAATTGCAATTGATTTCGATTTATTGCCAACACATCGAGACTGAAATTCAAGAAACACAAAAATTGAGAGCCGAAGGGAGAAAAGTGATTTTTGGATACCATGTTACTTGATTTTATGAGAAAATGCAACATTGCTCATGTTAGAGCTTGAAAAAATTGGTGAAAATTGTGAATTTAATGATTTTTGATATTGCTCATGTTAGTTGAAATTAAGGCCATTGTTCATTTTAGTTTCAGACCCAGACTTTTTTTTTCCTGAAAACTATACGTTTCAAAAAATCGATGAAGGTTTTCAGGATTTTTATTTTTCAATACAATGTTTGAAAGTTGTTTTGTGAAAAGTTGAGCAATTCTAAAAAAAAATTAGGCATTACTCATATTAGTAGAACAAGATTAATCCTCAATTTTCCAAAAACGAAGAAGAAAAAAATTTGAAGCTGAAACTCGAACAAAAACAAATTGACATCAATCTTCAATGAATCTTGCTCATTTACGCGAAATTCCGATCTTTCTTCATCAACTTCTCACATTGATTGCTCAATAAATTCAGAGAATTTGAAACTCAGGGAAATGAATACTCCGGAGAAACACATAAACAGCTCTGGAGAAAGCCGAAAATTACTCCGGTGCTAGCACTCGTTTTTCTCCTAAAAAGTTTTTGGGTAGTTTGGTGCGCTCTGGTGCTCCTCCGGAGAAAAATGGTCGCTTCGGCGCTCCTCTGGAGCGTTTTCGGTTGAGGTTTGGGGAATTTCGGTGCGATTTAGAGAAGTTTTGCGCGAATTGGGTAAATTTCTATGTATTTTCAGTGCGTTTCAGAAGCTTCCCAGCTGGCTTTTTGATTCGCTTGATCAAAAAAACGTTGAATAGTTCACCTTTTATTGAATAATTAAAATGATTACAATTACTAAGGCTCGATTTAGTACACAAATATGGTCGCTTCGGTAACCAAATTTGGTATTTAAATAGCCAAATCCTTCTTCGTAGATCGATATTTCGTTGATAACTATTGCCAAGTAACATGAAGTTTTTTGATTGTCCCTTTTATGATCTGAAAATGAAAAAAACTTAAAATTGCACATTTTTAGAATTAGAGAGAGAAATTCAAAATGGAATCGTAGCGATTTCCCTTCTTAGATAAGATAAACCAACTTTTGAGATTATTTTCGTGAAATATAAGATGTCATGGTTTTTAGGAAGTGAAAAGAAACTCACATTATACACTTTTGAATTTAATCTACTCTGTGATCCACATTGCGAAATCAATTTGATGCATAATATGAATTGTGTTTTCCAGTTGTCGACTGTAAAAATCACTTTATGTAAATACGGAGATTGATTAAAAACATACCTGAACACTTAAATATCCCATGAACAAATCTTGCTTCCTCGAAAAAAAATTCATTCGAATCGTAGTTCCTTCCAGCGCGCCCATTTTGACTGAAAAATATGAAAAAGATAGTAAATTTATTTTAAAAAAAGCTTTACCTATGCGAAGTAAACATGTGAAACATAAATTTACAAAAAAAAACGTATGGTTTCTGAGAAAAATGACTCAAAATAGAAAAGAAAAACGAAAAATGAAATCGAATGCAAAAAATCAATAGTTGACCGCGACGCAGCGCAGCGCATCCAAAAGTTTGAAATTTTGATCGCACCGGAGCTCCCCTTTTCTATCAAGAGAAACACCAGAGTTACTCCGGAGTAAAAAGGGGGAAATCGACGAGCGCTGAAAATCACGACTCTTTCGTGTTTCTCCGGAGTAAATTCGGGAAGTTTGGTGAGAATTAGTGCATTCTTGGGTAGCACTGGAGAAAATAGCCCCTTTCGTGTTTCTCCGGAGTAGTCATTTTCCTGAGAATCCTAAATATTTCCTCTCGCATATATTCTCATTAGAGCGCACATTCTCTACTCCTCTCTCTTTTCTGCGGGAAGGGGAAGAAGAACAAAAGGTTGTATTTTGTCTCACTGTGCGATCAGACTACACCCAAGCACATGCATTGGTCTTATGTAAACAAATGAGTTCAAAGACTAAAAAACAGGAAGCGAGAGAGTATGGAAAAATGAGAGAGCGGGCAGAGAGATTGCCACCCTGTTGGTGATTGGCTGGTTTTTATGGCGGCGTCCTTTTTTTTTTTGATTGATTATATGGTTGGGGGGATATCATTATTTTTTATTGTCTTTATGAACTTTGAACTTTGTTTGGCTGGAATTTCAGATTTTTTTAAAGTTTAGGAACAATTATTATCTGGAACTTTTCTTGAACTGGTCCAAAATATGGATCTATCTTTGTCTAGAATTTTTTGGCTGGAATTTCAGATATTTTCATAATTTTTCTTAATTTTGGACTGGAATTCCAGATTGTAATTACATTTCTCTAGAATTTTTTTGGCTGGAATTTCAGATTTTTGAATAAATTTCAAAATTCTAATGCAGTTATCTGGATTTTCGAAAAATTGTCTTACTTTCTCTCTTGTGGCTGGAATTTCAGATGTTTCTGAGTAGTTTTATGAAAAATGTTTTTAAATCAAGTACTTTAAAATTCTTATCTTTGATATTCTGAATTTTAAACTTTTTTGAATTTTTCTGCAGGAATTTCAGATTTTTTTGAATTTCTTGAAATTTGGAAATTGTGTGCTCTAATGTAAGATTCTTCTTAAATTTTAGAAATTCAGATTTTTTCCTGAAAATTGGATTCAGTCTTTGAAACTTATGAATATTTTTTTGGAATCTTGAATCTGCATAAATATTCTAAAAATGTTTTTTTTCCAGTTTCACTCCTTGGTGTAGTATTATTTGCTCTAGCAAAAATGTCGAATGTAAGTTGGAATATTTCAATCTCGAATCATGAATAATTCTTATATTTTTCAGTCTTTCGAAAACGCCCAACTCGCCGAAACCGGCAAAAACACTCAAAGGGATTTGTCATCCCAAAATAGACAACAAGAACTTCGTCCTGATTCTCCAATTGGAATTCGCATCGAACGGTGCTCCAGGCGGAACAGTTAGTTAATTTTTTTTATTTTCAGAAAAATAAAATTGTTTTGTGTTCAGATAATCTAGTTTGAATAATTTTTAAATCAGATTTTCTGAATTAAATGAACATATTTATTGAATTCTATGATTTTCAAGCAAAAAAAAAATCACCCACCGTACTCAAAATTATTCCGCTTTTCTTGCAGGCCATTGAAAGAGTTGTTGAAACTCAACATGAAGTTGCTCCACCACCACACTCGCCAACTCCAATTGACGATAAAGAGGCTGAGTATGCGGAGTTCGACGCAATTTGGCGAAACTTTCGCGCTGAACAAGCGGTTAGTTGTATTTTTATGAGAAAAATTGGAAGTTTCACAGAGATAATTTTTTAGAAATAAGATTTAAAGAAAATTCATGAAAACTTGAGCGGAGATAAAAGAGAATTTCTGCTCAAGGAGTGATTTTTGAACTACAAAATTTTGAGAAGAAATATTTTATGGAAAAATTTCTCAAAAAATTTTGAAAATCATAAAAACCCACCGTGCTCAAATTTATTCCGTTTATCTTGCAGGCCATTGGAAGAGTTGTTGAAACTCAACATGAAGTTGCCTCTCCACAACAATCGCCAATTCCAATTGACGATAAGGAGACTGGGTATGCGGAGTTCGACGCAATTTGGCGAAACTTTCGCGCTGAACAAAAACAATCGCCAAATCCAAGTGAAAATATGGATGAGCAGCAGAATTGTTTCGAATTTGGCGAAATATGGCAAAACTTCTACGCTCAGCAAGACGTTAGTTGCATTTTTATGAAAAAAATTGAAAGTTTAATTAAGATTTTTTTTTAGGAAAAAATTTGAATTAAAAATAAAAGAGACAATTTTTTAGAAATAAGATTTTGAGAAAAATCATGAAAACCTGAGCTGATAGAAACGAGAAATTCTGCGCAAGGAATGATTTTTGAACTACAAAATTTTGAAAATCATAAAAACCCACCGTACTCAAATTTATTCCGCTCTTCTTGCAGGAGTCTCAAGAAAGTGTCGAAATTGCTGATCCACCAAAATCTCCAACTGAAGATATGGGAATTCCGGTGACCAATATCGCCGAAATCAAAGAGCTATTGAAAATTTTTTTCGCTCATTCCCGATCAGAAGTTCCTGTCGCAACCGATGCTCCGCAAACTCCAAATACGAATGGTGAAGATGAAGGAGGAGAAATCGTCGAGCAATTATTCAATGAATCATCTGCTGCTGGACATGATGAAAATGATGATGATGAAGAGCCGGAGATCCAAAATCTGCAAACTTTGGAATTTTCGACGAATTCACGAAATTCAAACTCACCACCTTCTTCAGTCGAATCGTCAATTCGTGAAATCACCGAAGTTTCCGATGAAACTACAAATATTCCGGCTGAAGATATGAATATGATGTCGAATGCACACTCCGATGCTGATGATTTTGATTTTTATGATGTTTATAATTATGAAGAAGATGCTCCATCGGAAGATCGAGAAGACGAAGATCCGTGTCCGTCGCCTGCCCCATGACAGATTCCGTGCTCTCTCTCCAACTGACACGCCAGACGAACGGTTGGCACGGCGACGGGCTCTTCGACGCGGAACACCTGGCTACAATCCACCAGCCCGAGCTCCAATTCCGGTCTTCGTTGATCATGGCAGAAACTTTGATTCTGATGACGAGCCACTTTCTCCAATAAGACCTATTCGTGGACCTGGCATTGTCATCAGATCATCGGGAAATTTAGGAGAAGTCATGCTCACCGATGATCTTTATGATGCGGATTCGAATGTTGATTTGACTGGTGATTTGTTCATGGTAAGAACTAATGGTCGCGTTCCCCAAAAGCGGATCAATATTGCCACGGACAACTCGATTTCGCTTTTTGTCAATGGCAAATGTTACGATGACATCGAACGACGAATCCGTGAGCGAGTTGAAGACGAAGTGAGGTCGTCGATGAAGAATTTCAAGGGAATTATGGTTCCGCGAGAATGTTATGGTCCATTGTGTCGATTATGGAACATCCGTCCGACAGCTGCTCCACCCACTCAACGACCAACTCGCAAACGATCATCTTCATCGTCGACGTCGCCAACAAAAAGACCAAGAATTGCAGAAGCTATGGATTTGGCGGCTCCCACAACATCCGGTGCTCCTCCAACACCAACGAGTCCCATTCCAAATGCTGATGCCAATATTGTGCTCACGCCACCAACAATTCTTGCTCCACAACTTGTTGCGACCGCCTCTGTTGTTGGCGTCTTGCCGACGCCGACGTCAACAACACGCCAATCAAATCGCGTCCCTCAAGTTGTCGCCACTGCTCCCGCCTCTGTTGTTGGCGTCTTGCCGACGCCGACGTCAACAACACGCCAATCAATCCTCGTCCCACATGTCGCCACTGTTTCCGCCTCTGTTGTTGCAGTCTTGCCGACGCCGACTCCAACATCAAGCCCTCCATCAAAGAAGCGTGGTCGACCCTCAAAATCCAACTCGACTGTCGCAAAAATTCAAAAACCGGCTGCCAAAAAGGTTCATGCAATGGTACTGAGATCGGATGATGCAAACCAACAACTAGCACCATCGAAATTCTTGAAAAGCAAGACGCCGATTTTGTCGATAAGAGATGTGAAGAGAATTATGGAAGACATCGAAGCCGCGCTCAACCATCTCGATTTTGGCGCCAACAAAACGAATTTGATGAATAAGTTGAAAGAACTTCGCAAATTGACCAAAGATTATGCCATCAAACCATCGGCCAGAAAGTTCACCAAATTGTCAGCAAAATGCGATAGTTTAGGAACATGTATCGAGCTTTATGCTCGATAGATTCAGTGAGTTGCCGTTTTTTTCGATCTGCAAAAAATAATTGATTATTTTTCAGCCAAAATTGCACCAAAATCAACACCTGGTGCCCCATCTATCTTGTATTATGATTTATTTATTTATTTATATATTATTCAACAAAAAATGCAAAAAAATCCAAAAAAATCAAAAAAACATCAAAATCCCAAAAAATTGCTTATTATTATTATCATCATTATTATTATTATTATTATTATGCCCATTTTTATTATTTTCAAATTGCCTCACCATTTTTGCTCGTCCTCCACAACTCATTTGCCTCATCATTTTATTGATAACTGCCAAATTATCAATATATGATGTGATCCCTCATCTTTTCCACCACCATCTCAACCGCTTCTACGATTATCAATCCACAATATCCATCAAAAAGTGAGTTTTTCGAGCTTTCCTCCAAATTTCGAAAATTTTTAAAATGAAAATAAATTTTTATGTGTGCCAACACGCTGACGCGAAACTGCACACATTTATTTTTGAATTTTTTTTCCGCTCGCGCTTGAGATTTTGAAACTGGGAAACTCAAAACATAAATAGTTTGTGGGCTTAACAATTATTTGAATTTTTCAGATTCTTGGATTGAAAATTTATGTGGCTGGTTTTGTTGGCTGTGGATCCGGGCGTACCTCCGGTAAACGACGCGCAGGGGTCACAGAAGCAGCCTCTGTGATAAGTTAAAAATCAATGCTTCAAGCTCAACACCAGCAACAAGTTCGGTTTCTCCACAATATCCGCCACAACATGAATCTGGACATAGAATATTCGATTCGTTTATATCATATTATTCAAATTTTCGCGGGAAGATCTCGAATTGTTTTGTTGTCGAAACAACTCCGAAATACTGGGAATTCCGTGTTGAAAGAATGCGATTGATGTTTTTCGTCATCTCGTGTGATTTATGTGGATTTGCGAAATATCGATATGGTACAAAAGGGCAGTTCAATATAATTTGGACAATATTTCGATTGGTTCCTCAAGGTGAGTTTTTTCGAAATGATTTCCAAAAAATGAGTGTGGCAACACGTCAATTTATATATTTAAAAAATTATGCGTGCTGATCGAAATATTAAAAATTCGAATAAATATTGAGCAATTTTTGCAGATCGTTTCAAAATTCGACGATTCAAATGGTTCTATTCGATGAATTCAAGGATTTTTTGCCACAAAAATCGCGACGATTTTCAGTTTTGTTTTCAATCAATATTTGAACAACCAGGGAAATTGAGTTTATGTTAATATTGATTGGCGGATCGAATTATTTATTGCTCATTTCTTATCGAAACAAGAAATCTCAGAAATGTTTTATCACTTGCGATTTGGAACGAATTCGAGAAACGACACAATGATCAACCGATTGATGTTTGATGTTTTTGCACTCTAAAAATCGCAATTCATTATGCCGATTCAAGGAACATTCAAGAAATTGGCCGGGCGTACTCCGGAAAAACGACGAAACATTGCTTGCCATATAATTTGCATGCCCATATTTTTTGGAGCCGGAAATGCTGATATTATGGAATGCTTCAACAAACGGGCGTTACTCCGTACATAAAACGACGAAATTCAATCAATTGTCGATTTTGTTATTTCGACAGTCTAGCCATATAAAAGATATGGATTCGGTCGAGATTTCAAAAGAAGCAATTGATTTTATTGGCAATACATTGATCGAATGAGTGTTTATTGAAAGGATATGCGGATCAACTTATGAAATTGTTATTATTTGAACTGACCATTTGAAGAGTATTCAATTTTGTCGATGTGAAGCAGAAATGTGGACGTGCAAACTTGCCATTTGCCCAACGTCATGAATTGGGTCAATTGACCCCGAAAGGATCAAAACGTTATGTGTTATTGCCTCCGGCACATTTCGCAAAAAAAGCGAGGAGCTAAAAAAATCCAATCAACAAACAAATGCCGAATTATACATTTGAAAAAATTAATACGGATCGACTACATTTGGCTATTTGGTTTTGATTTGGAAAATATCGAATTGCAATTGGATTTGGAGATTCTCTGCGACCAAGTTGCTATCAACAAACATGGACTTTATCCCCACCAGGAATCGAACGACCACAAAGATTTTGCAAATGTCTGAAATTGAGGAAGAAGGATTATACAAATCAACTTCTTGTCCGAAATCTGAGCGAGGAATTTGCGAATCGTTGTGAGTTTTTTTTTCCTAAAAATAATTTCGGTCCCCCATAGGCATTATTTTCCACCCTTTTTTGTTTACAATAGTGAAGAAAAAAAGATGAGATTGAAAAAAAAACAATTTTAATTACGTGAAACGTGTACACGTGGCAGAATACGTGGCCGACAGGAAAAATTGTTGGAAAATAAAGAATGTGGGCCCAGATTTCTCGATTTTTTGTGCTATTCTTTCGCAATTTCTCGAAATTTCTATCGCTATTTCTCGGAAAATTAAAAAAAAAGTGCGTGCAAACACCGTTGCGTTCAACAGTAATACTTATTAATTTTGAATTTTCAGAAGCCGCTAGTTTCGTGATTTATGGAATCTGGACGCGAAATTCCGATTTGTATTAATTCCACGTGGACAAGGTCAAATTCAGTGTGCAATTGGTCGAAAGATGGATCGGGATGGTTTAAGCTTGATTTTCCAACTAACTGGAATCAGCAGTCTTGTTTCGCATCTCAACACTTCGACAATGGATTTTATGTTGATAATTTGCTTGGCGGATCGATTTATCTACTGCTATTTTCTCATCGAAGTATGCCACAAGGAACCAGAACATCTATGGATTAAAGATTTATTTTTTGATTCGAGGTCAATATTTGATATTCATTGAATATTCACTTCGAAATATTGAAGAATTTCGGAATGTTTTTGTCTCGAATTTGTAACTGCATAAGGTGAGTTGTTTGATTAATAATATGAAGCCCAGCATTCTCAATTTTTTGTGCTTTCGATTTTCCCTCGAAACGAATCTTTTCCCGCAACTCAAATTTAGAAAACTCGAGAGGAAAAATTTCAAAAAATAAAGAGCGCCAGTGAGTGTGCAAACACCGTTGCGAGCTACAGTAATATTATTATCATTCATTTTTTGCTGACATTTGAAATAAATACTCTGTAATTTTCAGAAGCTGCCAGTTTCGTAATTGATGAATGGAATCGAGACCTTAATAGCCCGGTTTGATTGAAATACATACGGACGTGAGTCCAACGTGGAAAATGGAAAGTTTATCGATAATTCCGAAAAATCGACATATAGTGCAATTATTGGTCGAAAATGGGATCGGGACCTGGCTCCCCGATTCGAATAATATTCTACAAAATTTGGAGATTCTTAGCGATCAACAAAATGGACCTAATCCCCATCATTTGCTCAAAAAGCTCTCGAACTGCTCCCGCAAATTTCAAAAATTGAGGAAGAAGGATTATACAAATTGACTTCTTGTCCGAAATTCGAGCGAGGAATTTGCGAATCGTCGTGAGTCTTTTTCCTAAAAATAATTTCGGTCCCCCATAGGCATTATTTTCCAGTCTTTTTAATTCACAACAGTGAAGAAAAAAGATGAGATTGAAAAAAAAAACAATTTGAATTACGTGAAACGTGTACACGTTGCAGAATACGTGGCCGACAGGAAAAATTGTTGGAATATAAAGCATGTGGGCCCAGATTTTTCAATTTTTGTGCTATTCTCTCGCTGCTTCTCGAAAATTCTCTCGCTATTTCTCGAAAATTAAAAAAAGTGTGTGCAAACACCGTTGCGTTCTACAGTAATACTTATTAATTTTGAATTTTCAGAAGCCGCTAGTGTGATGGAATTGGGACTCGATGGAATCCACGTGGAATTCATCCCCACGTGGACAAGGCCAAATCCAAAGTGCAAGTTGCCGAAAAAATGAATCGGGACCTCGCCCCCCCATTCACGATATTTTGAGATTTTTGGCTATCAAGTTGGGATAAAAAAAATGGACCTAATCCCCATCATATGCTCAAAACGCCACCGATTTTGCAAATTTCAAAAGTTGAGGAAGAAGGATGATGCAAATCGAGTTATCTGAAATCCGAGCGAGAAATTTTCGAAACATCGTGAGTTTTTAAGAAAATATTTTTGGAAAATCGAATTAATTTTTTGATTTTTCAGGTGTTACTAAATTCAATATGCCCTCGAACAGTTCATGGCTGGAAAATTTGCAAGATTTTGCTCTGTTGGATGATTCATAGTTCAAAACCACCGCAAGTTTGCCAATTCACTAAAATTGAAACACACCGTGCTGGTATTCGTCAAAATAATTACACCCAAAGATGTTTTGATTGGAGCTAGAAATCAACAGAACATCATTGTTCACTCTCGGTTATTGATGATCCAAATTGATGATGAATTCAATAAAATAATCCGACGTCCAAGAGAGGAAGGACCTCGCCCCCGATTCACAATATTTTGAGATTCTCAGCTATCAAGTTGGGATAAAAAAATGGACCTAATCCCCATCAAAACGCCACCGATTTCGCATATTTCAAAAGTTGAGGAAGAAGGATATTGCAAATCAAGTTATCCGGAATCCGAGCGAGAAATTCGCGAAACATCGTGAGTTTTTAAAAATATTTTTTGGATAATGAATCAATATTTTGATTTTTTAGGTATGAATCAATCTATACTGTTGAACATTCCATGGCTGGAAATCGGCAAGATTTCGCCCCGTTTGTTGATTCGTCAAAGTTCACCAAAATTGAAACACACCGTGCTGGTTCCAATCTGGGATGCAAAAATCCGATGTCGAACCAGAAAAATTGAATGTGAGTTTTATTATTTCATTTTTTTTTTGAAAAAATCAAACCAAGTTTTCAGGAAGTTCATCTGTAGTTCAATTTGTGTGCTCTCATTTTTGGTCATCCCCTTTTGCAGTTTCCAAAATTGAGGATGGAAGATGAAATCAATTGAGTTATCCGAAGTCTGAGTGAGGAATTTGCGAAAAATCGTCAGTTTTTTAAAAGGATTTTTGGAAAATGAAATAATTTATCTTTTTTCAGATATGAATGAATTCTCCGTGCTCTCGATCAGTTCATGGCTGGACATTGGCAAGACATTTGTTGATTCATTTGTTCAAAACCGCTGAAACTTCGCAAAGTCGCCGAAATTGAGAAGCCATTCTGGTTCCAAATCTGGGATGAAAATCCGATGTCGAACCAGAACAATTGAATGTAAGTTTATTTATTCATTGTTTCTTAGAATAAAATCAAAACAAGTTTTCAGGAAGTTAACCAGTAATTCAATTTGTGTGCTTCAATTTTTGGCCATATCGCTATAAATGTGTTAAGCTCTCGAATGGCTAGAGAATGACAAGATTCATTTCCGTTTGTTCAATTATTGGTTCAACACCACCGAAACTTTGCCAATTCACCGAAATTGAAACACCGTGCTGGATGGAAAATGATTTTTTTTTGTAGTTGGAAATCCGATGTCCAACCGGAAAAATTGAATGTGAGTTTATTTTTTCATTTTTTTTTGTTTGAAAAAAAAAATCAAACTAAGTTTTCAGGAAATTGTGAAACACTTCCTGTACCTTCAACATATGATTTTCCGATTCCAAAACGGCCGCAAATTTGCCAAGTTTACCGAAATTGAAACACCATTCTGGTTCCAATCTGGGATGAAAGTCCGATGTCGAACCAGAACAATTGAATGTAAGTTTATTATTTTCATTGGTTCTTAAAATCAAATCAAATTTGCAGGAATTAACCAGTAGTTCAATTGTGTGCTTCAATTTTTGGTCATCTCGCAATTTTCAAAATGGAGGACAGAAGATGAAATCAACAAAGTAATCCGAAGTCCGAATGAGGAATTTGCGAAAAAGTGTGAGTTTTTAAAAAGATTTTCGGAAAATGAATATAATTTATTGATTTTTCAGGTGTGAATAAATTCGCTATGCTCTCGAATGGCTGGAGAATGGCAAGATTTCGCCCCTATAGTTTCATTTATTCAAAACCGCCGCAATTGTTTGGTTCAACACCGCCGCCAAGTTCACCAAAATTGAAACACCGTGCTGGTTCAACTCAAGGATGGAAATTGAAGTTTTTGTAGTTGGAAATCCGATGCCGAACCAGAAAAATTGAATGTGAGTTTATCTTTTCATTTTTTTTTTGAAAAAAATTAAATCAAGTTTTCAGGAATTCATCAATAATTCAATTTTCGCGGCTTCAATTCTGATTGAACGAATCAATGAGAAGGTTCTTAAACTTTGGGATTTTCTACAAATCACGATTCAGCACAAGATAATTATATTCGTCGAAGTTGGGAAGAACCTGATGTTCCGGAAATCACACGGTTTTAAATGGTCCAAAAACCTTTTGCAGTTTCCAAAATTGAGGATGAAAGAAATCAATGTCCGAGTGGGGAAATTGTGAAAAATTGTGAGTTTTTTAAAAAGATTTTTGGAGAATGGAATTAATATTTCGATTTTTCAGGTGTGAAACACTTCCTGTACCCTCATCATATGATTTTCCGGTTCAAAACCGCTGAAACTTCGCAAAGTCGCCGAAATTGAAAAGCTATTCTGGTTCCAATCTGGGATGAAAATCCGATGTCGAATCAGAACAATTGAATGTAAGTTTATTATTTCATTATTTTTTAAAATAAAATCAAATTTTCAGGAATTCACCAGTAGTTCAATTGTGTGCTTCAATTTTTGGTCATATCGCAATTTTCAAAATGGAGGACGGAAGATGAAATCAACAAAGTAATCCGAAGTCCGAGTGAGGAAATTTGCGAAAAAGTGTGAGTTTTTTGAAAAATATCTTTGGAAAATGAATTAATTTTTGATTTTTTTCAGGTGTGAATGAATCATCTATGCTGTCTAACAGTTCGTGGCTGGAGATTGGCAAGATTTATTCCCATTTGTTGATTCATTTTTTCAAAATCGCCGCAACTTTGCCAAGTTTACCGAAATTGAAACACCGTGCTGGTTTCTTTCAAGGATGGAAAATGAATATTTCTGTAGTTGAAAATTCGATGTCGAACCAGAAAAATTGAATGTGAGTTCATAATTTTCACTGTTTCTTAAAACCAAATCAAATTTTCAGGAATTCACCAGTAGTTCAATTGTGTGCTTCAATTTTTTGGCCATATCGCAATTTTCAAAATGGAGGACCGAAGATGAAATCAACAAACTAATCCGAAGTCCGAGTGAGGAATTTGCGAAAAATCGTGAGTTTTTTTTAAAAGATTTTTGGAAAATGAAATTAATTTTTCGATTTTTCAGGTGTTACTAAATTCGATATGCCCTCGAACATTTCATGACTGGAAATTGGCAAGACTGATCTCCATTTGTTGAATTATTGGTTCAAAACCGCTAAAACTTTGGCAAGTTCACCAAAATTGAAAAGCCATTCTGGTTCCAATCTGGAATGAAAAATCCGATGTCGAACCAGAACAATTGAATGTAAGTTTTTTTTCATTGTTTCTTAAAATAAAATCAAATTTTCAGGAATTCACCAGTAGTTCAATTGTGTGCTTCAATTTTTGGTCATCTCGCAATTTTCAAAATGGAGGACCGAAGATGAAATCAATTGAGTAATCCGAAGTCCAAGTGAGGAAATTGTGAAAAATCGTTAGTTTTTTAAAAAGATTTTCGGATAATGAAATTAATTTTTGATTTTTTTTCAGGTGTGAATGAATCATCTATGCTGTCTAACAGTTCGTGGCTGGAAATTGGCAAGATTTATCCCCATTTATTGATTCTTTGCTTCAACACCGCCAAAACTTTGCAAAGTCGCCGAATTTGAAAAGCCATTCTGGTTCCAATAAGGATGGAAAATGAATATTTCTGTAGTTGGAAATCCGACGTCGAACCAGAAAAATTGAATGTGAGTTTATAATTTTCACTGTTTCTTGAAACCAAATCAAATTTTCAGGAATTAATCAGTAGTTCAGTTTGGGTGCTTCAATTTTTGGTCATTTTGCAAGTTCTAAAATTGAGGATGGAAGATGAAATCAACAAAGTAATCCGAAGTCCAAGCGAGGAATTTGCGAAAAATTGTGAGTTTTTTTAGATGATTGGAAAATGAATCTATTTTTCTAGTTTTCAGGTGTGAATAAATCATGTAATTTTGGCCTATAATATTTTGGTTCAAAACCGCATAAACTTCGCCGAAGCCACTAAAATTGAAACGTCTGGCTGGTTCAAATCTGGGATGCAAATCCGATGCCGAACCATAACAATTGAATGTGAGTTTATTATTTTCATTTTTTTATGTTGAAAAATTTGAACCACTTTTTTTCAGGAAATCCATCTAGTAGTTCAATTGGGATGATATCAATTTTGCTGGAACAAAATGAAGTTAACTTGTTCTAAAACATCAACAAAGATGCTCGAGCAGGAAATCAAGAAGGCGATTTGGAAATTCGAAAAAATCATCGCATTTTTTTGAAGAGTTTCAGAAAATCTTGTGAATGTGAGTTCTTGTTTTTATTTTTCTTCGTTTCATCCAAGGTTCGAACAATTCACCACAAAAATCTATTTTTCAGACTTCCTGTAACTCGCCTTCAATTTTTTTTCTTCAATATAAACTGGTTCTCAATTTCTTTCTAAACGTAAGATTAAAAAATATTGATTTTTTTCTTCTCAGAACTCTATTTTTTCAGAAGAGTACTAATATAACAACAAATATCATCGTCTTCAACAAAATAAGTAATTCTGTAGGTTTTTTTCTATGTGTTTTTATTTTTCATGTCACACGTTCCCCTTTTTCTTTCTGAGCTGAAAATTAGGTAGAAAATCGAATGCAAAATTTTTAATCGAGAGATTCAATCCCCAGAATTTCAATTGATTTCCATTTCGAAATTTATCGGGGAAAATTTTCTAGAATTTTTTGAGGTTAAAAAATGGGATTCCACTTTTAATGGGAATTCTAAGGGCTAGTCGGAAGCTAGGAAAGTTGATAAGTTTTTCTGAATTTTTGGGTGTTTTTCTAGGAATTTTAGTGAGATTAGCGAGTGGGAAGTTTTGTAAGCAGCGGGAGAATTTGTAGGGAATTTGGGATTGGGTTTTGAGTAAGGATGCGGTTGGTTTTTTGAGAGGTTTTAGGAATAAGATTTGTGAACTTGAATAAGGAAGGTAAGTTCGTAGTTTGAGTTTAGGTAGAAAGAAAAGTGAAGTTAAGGTTAGATTAAATCTAGGAAATTTTTTTTTCAAAAAAAAAATCATTTGAAAAACTTGCTCCAATTTGTCCTTGTCCTTGTTCTTGTCTTTTGTCCCGTGTCCTTGTCCTTTTGTCCCGTATGTTCTTGTCTTTTTCAGATAACAGGTAATTTTTTGCACCTTTTTTTATTGGAGCAAGTTTCATTTTGATTTTTATTGGAAAAAAAGTTTTGAGATTTTTCAGAAATTGATAATTTTTAAAAAATGAATTTTCTACCCAAAATTAGGTTACTTATTTCCAGGTTTATAGTTCACAAATCTGAAAACTAGATAATCTCAAAAAATCTTCTAATTCCCCTTAAAATCTTTCTCAGAGTTTCTATTAATTTTTTCAAAACTTATATGATTTCTTACAATCTGGTTTCATTAATTTTTCTAGTTGGATATTCAGAAATTTGGATCAATTTATCGATTTTTCCTAGCTGATGACAAAACGTTTCGAATTCTCAAAACTAGTGAGATCCCATAAACTTTTTAAAATTCTAGGATTTTTTCCCAATATTTTCGAAGTGGAAATCATGCGAAACTGGGGGTTTTTCAGTATTTTATATTCGATTTTTCTATCTGTATTTTCAGCGCCTCTCCCCCTAATTTTCTGTAATTTTTATTCCTGTACTATATTCGTTCGCTTTATTTTCGTTTAATTTCTATTAAAATTATAATAGAAAGCTTGATTTATTGGTTTTTATTCGAAAGTTTGCAAACTTTTCAAAATATCTCATTTATTTTTTTTATTAATCAATACATTTCAGTGTTTTTTCTTCGTTTTTTCTTCTCGTTTCGATGGATTTTTAAAGGTATTTATGTGTTTTTTGTTCACTTTATGTTTTATGTTCTCAACCGATTGGCCAATGGATTTTTGAACACTTTTTTGCACTAGGTCTGTGTTATAATCGTGGAGAAAAGGATGCACAAAATTCCGAAGTTATCGAATCTGGCGGAAATTTGGGTTCGAACAAGCTATTTCAATTTGCACAAATTGTTCAAGTTCTGGAAGTTCGCTCAAAACAAGGATTATTCTACCGTTTTTGCTGCCTGAAGAAATAACTGAGCTGGTTTGAAATTGAGGTAAGAATTATGAAAACAATATCAAATTCGGTAATATAATTATATATTACTCTCAGGAATCTGGAATTTTATTTCGAAAAAATCTAAAATTCCTGAGACCCGAAAATTTGAAAATTTCGAAAAATTCATACATTTTCTAGCGTGACCAATTTTTGAACCCACCTCAAGATTGTTCTTTTTTTTAAATTTCTTTTTAAGTTTTTGAAAAATTGAAAAGTGCGAGAATGTCAAGCAAAAATTTGAAACTGAATTTCAATGAATAATTGTCAATGGTATGATTTAGGACTTTCCAAACTTATATGAAATTTTTCCAATTTTCAACAGAAGGTCAAGTTAATTTTCAGATATTTCATCCCTCCAAGCTGTTTCAAATCCAACCGATAATTGTTCTAATTTTGCCTTGCGATGGAAAGGATTTCGATTTTGTTCAGATTGGAGTGAGTATGTATATTTTGGAATTAGAAACTTTGAAAAAAATTATTGAAAAGTGATATGAAACTCTGAAATCCTGTTTGAAACTGATAAAATTTATATTTTTCTTGATTTTTTTTTGGGAAAATCTTGAAAAATTAATGATTTTATCAGTTACAAATTGAAATTTCAGCGGAGATGCGGAAGCTATGCCCAATTTTTGAATTTTTAGAAAAAAACTTTAAATTTTGATTAATAAATTAATTAATCCTTTTTTTCAGATTAGAAATCAACAATTCACATTGGTTCCATTCAATTATTCAAAGATTTTCGAGTTTTGATCCCAAAAATTGGTAAGTTTTGAAAACTGACATGAAATTCTGGAATTTTAATTTGAAACTGATAAAATTTATATTTTTCTTGATTTTCTAATTGGGAAAATCTTGAAAAATGGATGATTTTATCAGTTCCAAATTGAAATTTCAGCGGAGATGCGGAAGCTATGCCCAATTTTTGAATTTTTAGAGAAAAACTTTGAATTTTGATTAATAAATTAATTAATCCTTTTTTTTTCAGATTAGAAATCAACAATTCACATTGGCTCAATTGAATTGTTCAAAGATATTCGAGTTTTGATCAAAAATTGGTAAGTTTTGAGAACTGACATGAAATTCTGGAATTTTAATTTGAAACTGATAAAATTTATATTTTTCTTGATTTTCTAATTGGGAAAATCTTGGAAAATGGATCATTTTATCAGTTACAAATTGAAATTTCAGCGGAGATGCGGAAGCTATGCCCAATTTTTGAATTTTTAGAGAAAAACTTTAAATTTTGAATAATAAATTAATTGATCCTTTTTTTTCAGATTAGAAATCAACAATTCACATTGGTTCCATTCAATTATTCAAAGATTTTCGAGTTTTGATCCAAAAATTGGTAAGTTTTGATAACTGACATGAAATTCTGGAATTTTAATTTGAAACTGATAAAATTTCTATTTTTCTTGATTTTTTAATTGAAAATCTTGAAAAATGGATGATTTTATCAGTTACAAATTGAAATTTCAGCGGAGATGCGGAAGCTATGCCCAATTTTTGAATTTTTAGAGAAAAACTTTGAATAATAAATTAATTGATCCTTTTTTTTCAGATTAGAAATTCAACAATTCACATTGGTTCCATTCAATTATTCAAAGATTTTCGAGTTTTGATCCAAAAATTGGTAAGTTTTGATAACAGACATGAAATTCTGGAATTTTAATTTGAAACTGATAAAATTTCTATTTTTCCTGATTTTTTAATTAAAAATCTTGAAAAATGGATGATTTTATCAGTTACAAATTGAAATTTCAGCGGAGATGCGGAAGCTATGCCCAATTTTTGAATTTTTAGAGAAAAACTTTAAATTTTGAATAATAAATTAATTGAACCTTTTTTTCAGAACAAAAATCAACAACTCTTATTGGTTCCATTCAATTCTTCAAAGATTTTCGAGTTTTGATCCAAAAATTAGTAAGTTTTGATAACTGACATGAAATTCTGGAATTTTAATTTGAAACTGATAAAATTTCTATTTTTCTTGATTTTTTTAATTAAAAATCTTGAAAAATGGATGATTTTATCAGTTACAAATTGAAATTTCAGCGGAGATGCGGAAGCTATGCCCAATTTTTGAATTTTTAGAGAAAAACTTTAAATTTTGAATAATAAATTAATTGAACCTTTTTTTCAGAACAAAAATCAACAACTCTTATTGGTTCCATTCAATTCTTCAAAGATTTTCGAGTTTTGATCCAAAAAATTAGTAAGTTTTGATAACTGACATGAAATTCTGGAATTTTAATTTGAAACTGATAAAATTTATATTTTTCTTGATTTTTTTAATTGAAAATCTTGAAAAATGAATGATTTTATCAGTTACAAATTGAAATTTCAGCGGAGATGCGGAAGCTATGCCCAATTTTTGAATTTTTAGAGAAAAACTTTAAATTTTGAATAATAAATTAATTGAACCTTTTTTTCAGAACAAAAATCAACAACTCTCATTGGTTCCATTCAATTCTTCAAAGATTTTCGAGTTTTGATCCAAAAATTAGTAAGTTTTGATAACTGACATGAAATTCTGGAATTTTAATTTGAAACTGATAAAATTTCTATTTTTCTTGATTTTTTAATTAAAAATCTTGAAAAATGGATGATTTTATCAGTTACAAATTGAAATTTCAGCGGAGATGCGGAAGCTATGCCCAATTTTTGAATTTTTAGAGAAAAACTTTAAATTTTGAATAATAAATTAATTGAACCTTTTTTTCAGAACAAAAATCAACAACTCTTATTGGTTCCATTCAATTCTTCAAAGATTTTCGAGTTTTGATCCAAAAATTAGTAAGTTTTGATAACTGACATGAAATTCTGGAATTTTAATTTGAAACTGATAAAATTTATATTTTTCTTGATTTTTTAATTGAAAATCTTGAAAAATGAATGATTTTATCAGTTACAAATTGAAATTTCAGCGGAGATGCGGAAGCTATGCCCAATTTTTGAATTTTTAGAGAAAAACTTTAAATTTTGAATAATAAATTAATTGAACCTTTTTTTTCAGAACAAAAATCAACAACTCTCATTGGTTCCATTCAATTCTTCAAAGATTTTCGAGTTTTGATCCAAAAATTAGTAAGTTTTGATAACTGACATGAAATTCTGGAATTTTAATTTGAAACTGATAAAATTTCTATTTTTCTTGATTTTTTAATTAAAAATCTTGAAAAATGGATGATTTTATCAGTTACAAATTGAAATTTCAGCGGAGATGCGGAAGCTATGCCCAATTTTTGAATTTTTAGAGAAAAACTTTAAATTTTGAATAATAAATTAATTGAACCTTTTTTTTCAGAACAAAAATCAACAACTCTTATTGGTTCCATTCAATTATTCAAAGATTTTCGAGTTTTGATCCAAAAATTAGTAAGTTTTGATAACTGACATGAAATTCTGGAATTTTAATTTGAAACTGATAAAATTTCTATTTTTCTTGATTTTTTAATTGAAAATCTTGAAAAATGGATGATTTTATCAGTTACAAATTGAAATTTCAGCGGAGATGCGGAAGCTATGCCCAATTTTTGAATTTTTAGAGAAAAACTTTAAATTTTGAATAATAAATTAATTGAACCTTTTTTTTCAGATTACAATTTCAACAATTCACATTGGTTCCATTCAATTATTCAAAGATTTTCGAGTTTTGATCCAAAAATTAGTAAGTTTTGATAACTGGCATGAAATTCTGGAATTTTAATTTGAAACTGATAAAATTTCTATTTTTCTTGATTTTTTAATTGAAAATCTTGAAAAATGGATGATTTTATCAGTTACAAATTGAAATTTCAGCGGAGATGCGGAAGCTATGCCCAATTTTTGAATTTTTAGAGAAAAACTTTAAATTTTGAATAATAAATTAATTGAACCTTTTTTCAGAACAAAAATCAACAACTCTTATTGGTTCCATTCAATTCTTCAAAGATTTTCGAGTTTTGATCCAAAAATTAGTAAGTTTTGATAACTGGCATGAAATTCTGGAATTTTAATTTGAAACTGATAAAATTTCTATTTTTCTTGATTTTTTTAATTGAAAATCTTGAAAAATGGATGATTTTATCAGTTACAAATTGAAATTTCAGCGGAGATGCGGAAGCTATGCCCAATTTTTGAATTTTTAGAGAAAAACTTTAAATTTTGAATAATAAATTAATTGAACCTTTTTTCAGATTACAATTTCAACAACTCTTATTGGTTCAATTCAATTCTTCAAAGATTTTCGAGTTTTCATCCAAAAATTAGTAAGTTTTGATAACTGGCATGAAATTCTGGAATTTTAATTTGAAACTGATAAAATTTCTATTTTTCTTGATTTTTTAATTGAAAATCTTGAAAAATGGTTGATTTTATCAGTTACAAATTGAAATTTCAGCGGAGATGCGGAAGCTATGCCCAATTTTTGAATTTTTAGAGAAAAACTTTAAATTTTGAATAATAAATTAATTGAACCTTTTTTTTCAGATTAGAAATTCAACAACTCTTATTGGTTCCATTCAATTATTCAAAGATTTTCGAGTTTTGATCCAAAAATTGGTAAGTTTTGATAACTGGCATGAAATTCTGGAATTTTAATTTGAAACTGATAAAATTTCTATTTTTCTTGATTTTTTAATTGAAAATCTTGAAAAATGGTTGATTTTATCAGTTACAAATTGAAATTTCAGCGGAGATGCGGAAGCTATGCCCAATTTTTGAATTTTTAGAGAAAAACTTTGAATTTTGAATAATAAATTAATTGAACCTTTTTTTCAGATTACAATTTCAACAACTCTTATTGGTTCCATTCAATTCTTCAAAGATTTTCGAGTTTTGATCCAAAAATTAGTAAGTTTTGATAACTGGCATGAAATTCTGGAATTTTAATTTGAAACTGATAAAATTTCTATTTTTCTTGATTTTTTAATTGAAAATCTTGAAAAATGAATGATTTTATCAGTTACAAATTGAAATTTCAGCGGAGATGCGGAAGCTATGCCCAATTTTTGAATTTTTAGAGAAAAACTTTAAATTTTGAATAATAAATTAATTGAACCTTTTTTTCAGATTACAATTTCAACAACTCTTATTGGTTCCATTCAATTCTTCAAAGATTTTCGAGTTTTGATCCAAAAATTGGTAAGTTTTGATAACAGACATGAAATTCTGGAATTTTAATTTGAAACTGATAAAATTTCTATTTTTCTTGATTTTTTAATTAAAAATCTTGAAAAATGGATGATTTTATCAGTTACAAATTGAAATTTCAGCGGAGATGCGGAAGCTATGCCCAATTTTTGAATTTTTAGAGAAAAACTTTGAATTTTGAATAATAAATTAATTGAACCTTTTTTTCAGAACAAAAATCAACAACTCTCATTGGTTCAATTCAATTATTCAAAGATTTTCGAATTTTAATCCAAAAATTAGTAAGTTTTGATAACTGGCATGAAATTCTGGAATTTTAATTTGAAACTGATAAAATTTCTATTTTTCTTGATTTTTTAATTGAAAATCTTGAAAAATGAATGATTTTATCAGTTACAAATTGAAATTTCAGCGGAGATGCGGAAGCTATGCCCAATTTTTGAATTTTTAGAGAAAAACTTTGAATTTTGAATAATAAATTAATTGAACCTTTTTTCAGTACAATTTCAACAACTCTTATTGGTTCCATTCAATTCTTCAAAGATTTTCGAGTTTTGATCCAAAAATTAGTAAGTTTTGATAACTGGCATGAAATTCTGGAATTTTAATTTGAAACTGATAAAATTTCTATTTTTCTTGATTTTTTAATTAAAAATCTTGGAAAATGGATGATTTTATCAGTTACAAATTGAAATTTCAGCGGAGATGCGGAAGCTATGCCCAATTTTTGAATTTTTAGAGAAAAACTTTGAATTTTGAATAATAAATTAATTGAACCTTTTTTTCAGAACAAAAATCAACAACTCTCATTGGTTCCATTCAATTCTTCAAAGATTTTCGAGTTTTGATCCAAAAATTAGTAAGTTTTGATAACAGACATGAAATTCTGGAATTTTAATTTGAAACTGATAAAATTTCTATTTTTCTTGATTTTTTAATTAAAAATCTTGAAAAATGGATGATTTTATCAGTTACAAATTGAAATTTCAGCGGAGATGCGGAAGCTATGCCCAATTTTTGAATTTTTAGAGAAAAACTTTGAATGATAAATTAATTGAACCTTTTTTTCAGCACAATTTCAACAATTCACATTGGTTCCATTCAATTATTCAAAGATTTTCGAGTTTTGATCCAAAAATTGGTAAGTTTTGATAACAGACATGAAATTCTGGAATTTTAATTTGAAACTGATAAAATTTCTATTTTTCTTGATTTTTTAATTAAAAATCTTGGAAAATGGATGATTTTATCAGTTACAAATTGAAATTTCAGCGGAGATGCGGAAGCTATGCCCAATTTTTGAATTTTTAGAGAAAAACTTTGAATTTTGAATAATAAATTAATTGAACCTTTTTTTCAGCACAATTTCAACAATTCACATTGGTTCCATTCAATTCTTCAAAGATTTTCGAGTTTTGATCCAAAAATTAGTAAGTTTTGATAACAGACATGAAATTCTGGAATTTTAATTTGAAACTGATAAAATTTCTATTTTTCTTGATTTTTTAATTAAAAATCTTGAAAAATGGATGATTTTATCAGTTACAAATTGAAATTTCAGCGGAGATGCGGAAGCTATGCCCAATTTTTGAATTTTTAGAGAAAAACTTTGAATTTTGAATAATAAATTAATTGAACCTTTTTTTCAGATTACAATTTCAACAATTCACATTGGTTCCATTCAATTCTTCAAAGATTTTCGAGTTTTGATCCAAAAATTGGTAAGTTTTGATAACAGACATGAAATTCTGGAATTTTAATTTGAAACTGATAAAATTTCTATTTTTCTTGATTTTTTAATTAAAAATCTTGAAAAATGGATGATTTTATCAGTTACAAATTGAAATTTCAGCGGAGATGCGGAAGCTATGCCCAATTTTTGAATTTTTAGAGAAAAACTTTGAATTTTGAATAATAAATTAATTGAACCTTTTTTTCAGATTACAATTTCAACAATTCACATTGGTTCCATTCAATTCTTCAAAGATTTTCGAGTTTTGATCCAAAAATTGGTAAGTTTTGATAACAGACATGAAATTCTGGAATTTTAATTTGAAACTGATAAAATTTATATTTTTCTTGATTTTTTAATTGAAAATCTTGAAAAATGGATGATTTTATCAGTTACAAATTGAAATTTCAGCGGAGATGCGGAAGCTATGCCCAATTTTTGAATTTTTAGAGAAAAACTTCAAATTTTGAATAATAAATTAATTGAACCTTTTTTTCAGAACAAAAATCAACAACTCTCATTGGTTCCATTCAATTCTTCAAAGATTTTCGAGTTTTGATCCAAAAATTGGTAAGTTTTGATAACAGACATGAAATTCTGGAATTTTAATTTGAAACTGATAAAATTTCTATTTTTCTTGATTTTTTAATTAAAAATCTTGAAAAATGGATGATTTTATCAGTTACAAATTGAAATTTCAGCGGAGATGCGGAAGCTATGCCCAATTTTTGAATTTTTAGAGAAAAACTTTGAATGATAAATTAATTGAACCTTTTTTTCAGCACAATTTCAACAATTCACATTGGTTCCATTCAATTATTCAAAGATGTTCGAGTTTTGATCCAAAAATTGGTAAGTTTTGATAACTGACATGAAATTCTGGAATTTTAATTTGAAACTGATAAAATTTCTATTTTTCTTGATTTTTTAATTAAAAATCTTGAAAAATGGATGATTTTATCAGTTACAAATTGAAATTTCAGCGGAGATGCGGAAGCTATGCCCAATTTTTGAATTTTTAGAGAAAAACTTTGAATAATAAATTAATTGAACCTTTTTTCAGAACAAAAATCAACAACTCTCATTGGTTCAATTCAATTATTCAAAGATTTTCGAATTTTAATCCAAAAATTAGTAAGTTTTGATAACTGGCATGAAATTCTGGAATTTTAATTTGAAACTGATAAAATTTCTATTTTTCTTGATTTTTTAATTGAAAATCTTGAAAAATGAATGATTTTATCAGTTACAAATTGAAATTTCAGCGGAGATGCGGAAGCTATGCCCAATTTTTGAATTTTTAGAGAAAAACTTTGAATTTTGAATAATAAATTAATTGAACCTTTTTTTCAGAACAAAAATCAACAACTCTCATTGGTTCAATTCAATTATTCAAAGATTTTCGAGTTTTGATCCAAAAATTAGTAAGTTTTGATAACTGGCATGAAATTCTGGAATTTTAATTTGAAACTGATAAAATTTCTATTTTTCTTGATTTTTTAATTGAAAATCTTGAAAAATGAATGATTTTATCAGTTACAAATTGAAATTTCAGCGGAGATGCGGAAGCTATGCCCAATTTTTGAATTTTTAGAGAAAAACTTTGAATTTTGAATAATAAATTAATTGAACCTTTTTTCAGAACAAAAATCAACAACTCTCATTGGTTCAATTCAATTATTCAAAGATTTTCGAGTTTTGATCCAAAAATTAGTAAGTTTTGATAACTGGCATGAAATTCTGGAATTTTAATTTGAAACTGATAAAATTTCTATTTTTCTTGATTTTTTAATTGAAAATCTTGAAAAATGAATGATTTTATCAGTTACAAATTGAAATTTCAGCGGAGATGCGGAAGCTATGCCCAATTTTTGAATTTTTAGAGAAAAACTTTGAATGATAAATTAATTGAACCTTTTTTCAGCACAATTTCAACAATTCACATTGGTTCCATTCAATTATTCAAAGATTTTCGAGTTTTGATCCAAAAATTGGTAAGTTTTGATAACAGACATGAAATTCTGGAATTTTAATTTGAAACTGATAAAATTTCTATTTTTCTTGATTTTTTAATTAAAAATCTTGAAAAATGGATGATTTTATCAGTTACAAATTGAAATTTCAGCGGAGATGCGGAAGCTATGCCCAATTTTTGAATTTTTAGAGAAAAACTTTGAATGATAAATTAATTGAACCTTTTTTTCAGAACAAAAATCAACAACTCTCATTGGTTCAATTCAATTATTCAAAGATTTTCGAATTTTAATCCAAAAATTAGTAAGTTTTGATAACTGGCATGAAATTCTGGAATTTTAATTTGAAACTGATAAAATTTCTATTTTTCTTGATTTTTTAATTGAAAATCTTGAAAAATGAATGATTTTATCAGTTACAAATTGAAATTTCAGCGGAGATGCGGAAGCTATGCCCAATTTTTGAATTTTTAGAGAAAAACTTTGAATTTTGAATAATAAATTAATTGAACCTTTTTTTTCAGAACAAAAATCAACAACTCTCATTGGTTCAATTCAATTATTCAAAGATTTTCGAGTTTTGATCCAAAAATTAGTAAGTTTTGATAACTGGCATGAAATTCTGGAATTTTAATTTGAAACTGATAAAATTTCTATTTTTCTTGATTTTTTAATTGAAAATCTTGAAAAATGAATGATTTTATCAGTTACAAATTGAAATTTCAGCGGAGATGCGGAAGCTATGCCCAATTTTTGAATTTTTAGAGAAAAACTTTGAATTTTGAATAATAAATTAATTGAACCTTTTTTCAGCACAATTTCAACAACTCTTATTGGTTCCATTCAATTCTTCAAATATTTTCGAATTTTGATTCAAAAATTAGTAAGTTTTGATAACTGGCATGAAATTCTGGAATTTTAATTTGAAACTGATAAAATTTCTATTTTTCTTGATTTTTTAATTAAAAATCTTGGAAAATGGATGATTTTATCAGTTACAAATTGAAATTTCAGCGGAGATGCGGAAGCTATGCCCAATTTTTGAATTTTTAGAGAAAAACTTTAAATTTTGAATAATAAATTAATTGAACCTTTTTTTCAGCACAATTTCAACAATTCACATTGGTTCCATTCAATTATTCAAAGATTTTCGAATTTTGATTCAAAAATTGGTAAGTTTTGATAACAGACATGAAATTCTGGAATTTTAATTTGAAACTGATAAAATTTCTATTTTTCTTGATTTTTTAATTGAAAATCTTGGAAAATGGATGATTTTATCAGTTCCAAATTGAAATTTCAGCGGAGATGCGGAAGCTATGCCCAATTTTTGAATTTTTAGAGAAAAACTTTGAATTTTGAATAATAAATTAATTGAACCTTTTTTTCAGCACAATTTCAACAATTCACATTGGTTCCATTCAATTATTCAAAGATTTTCGAGTTTTGATCCAAAAATTGGTAAGTTTTGATAACTGGCATGAAATTCTGGAATTTTAATTTGAAACTGATAAAATTTCTATTTTTCTTGATTTTTTAATTGAAAATCTTGGAAAATGGATGATTTTATCAGTTCCAAATTGAAATTTCAGCGGAGATGCGGAAGCTATGCCCAATTTTTGAATTTTTAGAGAAAAACTTTGAATTTTGAATAATAAATTAATTGAACCTTTTTTTCAGCACAATTTCAACAATTCACATTGGTTCAATTCAATTATTCAAAGATTTTCGAGTTTTGATCCAAAAATTAGTAAGTTTTGATAACTGGCATGAAATTCTGGAATTTTAATTTGAAACTGATAAAATTTCTATTTTTCTTGATTTTTTAATTAAAAATCTTGAAAAATGGATGATTTTATCAGTTACAAATTGAAATTTCAGCGGAGATGCGGAAGCTATGCCCAATTTTTGAATTTTTAGAGAAAAACTTTGAATTTTGAATAATAAATTAATTGAACCTTTTTTTCAGCACAATTTCAACAACTCTTATTGGTTCAATTCAATTATTCAAAGATTTTCGAGTTTTGATCCAAAAATTAGTAAGTTTTGATAACTGGCATGAAATTCTGGAATTTTAATTTGAAACTGATAAAATTTCTATTTTTCTTGATTTTTTAATTGAAAATCTTGAAAAATGGTTGATTTTATCAGTTACAAATTGAAATTTCAGCGGAGATGCGGAAGCTATGCCCAATTTTTTGAATTTTTAGAGAAAAACTTTGAATTTTGAATAATAAATTAATTGAACCTTTTTTTCAGCACAATTTCAACAATTCACATTGGTTCCATTCAATTCTTCAAAGATTTTCGAGTTTTGATCCAAAAATTGGTAAGTTTTGATAACAGACATGAAATTCTGGAATTTTAATTTGAAACTGATAAAATTTCTATTTTTCTTGATTTTTTAATTAAAAATCTTGAAAAATGAATGATTTTATCAGTTACAAATTGAAATTTCAGCGGAGATGCGGAAGCTATGCCCAATTTTTGAATTTTTAGAGAAAAACTTTAAATTTTGAATAATAAATTAATTGAACCTTTTTTTCAGCACAATTTCAACAATTCACATTGGTTCCATTCAATTCTTCAAAGATTTTCGAGTTTTGATCCAAAAATTGGTAAGTTTTGATAACAGACATGAAATTCTGGAATTTTAATTTGAAACTGATAAAATTTCTATTTTTTCTTGATTTTTTTAATTAAAAATCTTGAAAAATGGATGATTTTATCAGTTACAAATTGAAATTTCAGCGGAGATGCGGAAGCTATGCCCAATTTTTGAATTTTTAGAGAAAAACTTTAAATTTTGAATAATAAATTAATTGAACCTTTTTTTCAGCACAATTTCAACAACTCTTATTGGTTCCATTCAATTCTTCAAAGATTTTCGAGTTTTGATCCAAAAATTAGTAAGTTTTGATAACTGGCATGAAATTCTGGAATTTTAATTTGAAACTGATAAAATTTCTATTTTTCTTGATTTTTTAATTGAAAATCTTGAAAAATGGATGATTTTATCAGTTCCAAATTGAAATTTCAGCGGAGATGCGGAAGCTATGCCCAATTTTTGAATTTTTAGAGAAAAACTTTAAATTTTGAATAATAAATTAATTGAACCTTTTTTTCAGAACAAAAATCAACAACTCTCATTGGTTCAATTCAATTATTCAAAGATTTTCGAGTTTTGATCCAAAAATTAGTAAGTTTTGATAACTGGCATGAAATTCTGGAATTTTAATTTGAAACTGATAAAATTTCTATTTTTCTTGATTTTTTTAATTGAAAATCTTGAAAAATGAATGATTTTATCAGTTACAAATTGAAATTTCAGCGGAGATGCGGAAGCTATGCCCAATTTTTGAATTTTTAGAGAAAAACTTTAAATTTTGAATAATAAATTAATTGAACCTTTTTTTCAGAACAAAAATCAACAACTCTCATTGGTTCAATTCAATTATTCAAAGATTTTCGAGTTTTGATCCAAAAATTAGTAAGTTTTGATAACTGGCATGAAATTCTGGAATTTTAATTTGAAACTGATAAAATTTCTATTTTTCTTGATTTTTTAATTGAAAATCTTGAAAAATGGATGATTTTATCAGTTCCAAATTGAAATTTCAGCGGAGATGCGGAAGCTATGCCCAATTTTTGAATTTTTAGAGAAAAACTTTAAATTTTGAATAATAAATTAATTGAACCTTTTTTTCAGAACAAAAATCAACAACTCTCATTGGTTCCATTCAATTCTTCAAAGATTTTCGAGTTTTGATCCAAAAATTAGTAAGTTTTGATAACTGGCATGAAATTCTGGAATTTTAATTTGAAACTGATAAAATTTCTATTTTTCTTGATTTTTTAATTGAAAATCTTGAAAAATGAATGATTTTATCAGTTACAAATTGAAATTTCAGCGGAGATGCGGAAGCTATGCCCAATTTTTGAATTTTTAGAGAAAAACTTTAAATTTTGAATAATAAATTAATTGAACCTTTTTTTCAGAACAAAAATCAACAACTCTCATTGGTTCAATTCAATTATTCAAAGATTTTCGAGTTTTGATCCAAAAAATTAGTAAGTTTTGATAACTGGCATGAAATTCTGGAATTTTAATTTGAAACTGATAAAATTTCTATTTTTCTTGATTTTTTAATTGAAAATCTTGAAAAATGAATGATTTTATCAGTTACAAATTGAAATTTCAGCGGAGATGCGGAAGCTATGCCCAATTTTTGAATTTTTAGAGAAAAACTTTAAATTTTGAATAATAAATTAATTGAACCTTTTTTTTCAGCACAATTTCAACAACTCTTATTGGTTCCATTCAATTCTTCAAAGATTTTCGAGTTTTGATCCAAAAATTAGTAAGTTTTGATAACTGGCATGAAATTCTGGAATTTTAATTTGAAACTGATAAAATTTCTATTTTTCTTGATTTTTTAATTAAAAATCTTGAAAAATGGATGATTTTATCAGTTACAAATTGAAATTTCAGCGGAGATGCGGAAGCTATGCCCAATTTTTGAATTTTTAGAGAAAAACTTTAAATTTTGAATAATAAATTAATTGAACCTTTTTTCAGCACAATTTCAACAACTCTTATTGGTTCCATTCAATTCTTCAAAGATTTTCGAGTTTTGATCCAAAAATTAGTAAGTTTTGATAACTGGCATGAAATTCTGGAATTTTAATTTGAAACTGATAAAATTTCTATTTTTCTTGATTTTTTAAT